TGGTCTTTCACAGAGATTCTCTGTCTCATCAATTCTCTTTCTGCTCTATGTAGAACCCCTCCTCCAGCTTATCAAAGGCTGGTTTGGGTATGCAGATGACATTGCAATCCTGGAGACTGAAAGCTCCCTTGAGTGAGTAGGAAGTCAGCTTCAGAATTCTCTCAACCACACTCTGGAATGAGGTATTGACAATGAAATCTCATTTGACCCAGCCAAGACAGAGCTTCAATACTTTCATAAAAAGATCAAGTACTTGGAGCCCTCCATCTTCTTTAATGAACAGACAATTTCCCTCAATAACTACATCAGATGGCTAGAAGTTTTCTTTGACAGAAAGTTACTCTTCAGAGAACATATTTGCCTTGCATGCACTCAAGCCAGAATTGTTACAGAACATGTTAAATCACTAAATGAAGTCTCATTCAGAAATCAAACACATTTGCTCAGACAAGCAACTCAAAGCTGTGCCTTCAGCACTCTGTTTTATGAAGCTGAGATCTGGTTCTTGAAGTGAACCTCTCAGGCAGTCATTGGCAAGATTCAGATAGTCTTCAATAACACTGCTTGAGCCATTCTACCTGTCTTTGCCACAACATCTACCTCTGTTCTCCTACATGAATCAAGCTGAGGCCCAGTCAAAGCCTGGCTAGAAAGAATACATGATCAACTAGCCATTCATGTAGCTGCAGCTGACCCATCACATCCTCTATGCTGAAGATGATACACCTCACATTTTAAATAAATTAGATGAAACATTAAAATGATGATCATCACATCTGACTCAGAGTTCTTGCCTCCTTGGGACAATTCTGGCATATCAAATAGAGAGTAAAAGACACTAGAAATTGGGACTGTGGGACAAGCTGCAGGACCAGCAGCTTTTCAAAACTGACTTCAGAAAGCTGTATCCCCCCTCAATCTCATCACATATACTGATGGCTTCAAAGACAGTCAAGGAGTTTCAGACAGAGGCTACTGTCTATACTGAGGAACAAATCAATCTCTGAAGCTTGATAAGCTGCCTCTGGGCTGCACTGCCAAGGTCTTTGATGCTGAAGTGCTTGTAGCAGTTGCTGATCTCAAGGCAGCACTACAGAACCTCTTCTCTATGTTCACACAGCACATTATAGTGGCTCTAGACAATGAAGAGGCTGCAATAAGACTTCACACAGACACACTCACACAAACATCTTTTCTTGTCTTTGCTAAGTTCAATGAACTCCACAGGTTCTGGACAAAACAGAGCTCAGGTCCAGCTGGCCTGAGATGGGTCTATGTTTGATGGTGCCTCAGCCATGCTGGGATTCCAGACAATGATGCTGCAGATGCTGCAGTCAAGTCAGTCTGCACAATGAAATGCACTCACTGCACTCTGACCCTGGTGTGGGCCAAATTCTATGCTAAAGAACACTTCAATGCCTCACTGCAACAATACTGGAGCTCCAATAGCATATCATGATACAAGGACCTCAATATCCCAATGTCAAAAGAATCCTCCTCTGAGCTCACTCTTCCCTGAAGGAATCTAGGCCACTTGCTGGCAGCTAGAACAGATCACAGTGACTTTGCAGTCTATCATCACAGATGGGCACATGATGACACACTTCTCACCTGCTCTTGCAGCTGAGATAAGACCTCTGAGCACTTCTTCTTTTGCTGGAAAGACCAAAACATTGAATGAATTAAAACCTCTGAAGCATGCTGAGAATCAAAGAAAGCAATTGACTGGCTTCTCAGCACAGTAAGAGGAGCTATGACCTTCTCTACCTGGTGCACTAATACCCACTTCTTCATTGACATCCAACACTGCTACTAGAATCTGTTCAACATCTGACTTCTCCCTCCCCCTCTCTCTTTCCTACACTTCTTATATACATTTCTCATCACCTCTACACACCACCCTAGAAGCCCTTGGCTTCCTCAGTCCTGTAATCTTCAGCTACTATGCCATTCAGAACCTCCAGGATGGGGGCTACTCTGTACATAGACTCTCAAGAGGGCTTCGGCCAACTAGACATGTCAGGCAGCAGACTAGCTGCTGCGCTGACACGCCTGATACCCTTAGGGAGGTGCTGTGGCCGCGACGGCAGACTATTCTTAGTCAGCTGATCACGTGCCTCCAGGCGTTAAATAAGTAATAATAATAATAATAATTAGAGTCAACACAATGCAACAAGGTTGACAAACGGTCCTCTAAGAATTTGATGCTCGTGACAGTGTGATCACTCAGAGCAGGAACTTTGATCTCTCTACATGGTGCTTGAGACCAGCAGCCATCTTTTTATAATGATGGGGTCAAGTAAGTCAGGGAAGGCCTTCACCCTCTTCTCAACAATGGACATCTTCTCTTACGAGTAAACAGTTAGACTAAGTTTAGCTATCTAAGTCTTACCAGCTTTGGTTGCTTCCAAATAGGCTTCCGTACGGTTGCTCTGAAATCTCTTATTGATGGCAGGGGTGGCAAACAGTGTCTTGACTGGGATCAAATAATTTAATTATTCCAGGGGGTTCACAGGGTAAGGCGGTCAAATAAGCACTTTAATGGGTGAATGAACTGTGAACTTAGCGCCGGTGGATAAGTACCAGTCTACTGAGCAACTTTAACTAAGTCTGAGACTGAAAGAAAATCTACTAGCTCAAAATTCTAAATCTTAATTTAACTTTTTCTGAGAAAATAAAGAAAGTTAAACTACGGAGGTCCCTTTCAAAAGTTTTCTTCCTGCCAAGGCGCCATTATAACACCATGAAACCTTAATTCGGCAGAATCTTACTAATCATTAATACGAAAATCACACACACTTTGATACGATGATTTTTAAATTTCTTTTCAAATTCAATTCTTCTTTCAATATGGCTCAAAATACTGATATTGCTACTCATGCTCTTGTGGCTACACTCAAATCTATTGGAGGAAAGAGTTCTATTGAGATCTCAGAGATAACTGGTCTATCTGTTTGATTAATCAATCTAATATATGCTCATATTATAGAAAGAGGCTTTGAACCAAATCATTGACCTCTAACTATTTAAGATGACTGGTTAAAAGATGCTTCTCACTCTGGCCAACCTTCTAAACAGATATCTGAGATTCGGCAATAGATTATTGCCAAGGTGCAAACTGATTAATATAAGTGAAAAAAAAACTATGTTGATATTGTGGATGAACTCATTCTGAAAATTCAATATTTTTATTCTTATAATATGAAGAATTCTAAGAACTGCTGGATTTTGAAAGACAAAGTCAATATGAAAATCTGAATTAATTAAGAAAATAAGACAGCAACAGCTTCAATTCTGTCTTGAACATAAAGATTGAACTCTTGAAGATTGAAAATTGATTATTTGATCTGATAAAACCTCTATTATTCTTCTTCATTGATGTGGTGGATATTAAATATGGTGAATCAAAAAGAAAGCCTTTGTACAAAGCTGTATTCAGGAACAGTGAAAGAGCTTTTCTGAGTTCATGTTTTGAGAGTGTTTCTCTTATGATAAGAAAGAGCTTTGTTATTGCTGGTTTTCTGAGACTGCTTTAGAAAAGACAGAATCTTTTAAGAATTTGTTAGGCTCAGCGTCCGACCGAGCCGCCGGTGCCCGGTTAGACTCGACGTCGGATTGAGCTCGGCGCCCGATTAGGCCTAATCCTCATCACGTGACCACGCGACCATGCGGGTGGTTATAATCCAGGCAGGCCCCAGCATCCCCTTTCATCCCATCAAGCTTAGTATTTCGTTATATAGCAGTTAGCAACGCAGAGAGTCTTTCTTCTTATGCAGCTCGCATTCGCTCCCTAACAGAATTATTAATGCCTCAAATGAGGAATTGAAGCCAGTTATGAAAGAGAAATGAGAAATAAAGAATGGGATGAGGCAGCTTAATCTTTGTCAACTACCTGGCAAAACACTTACATGGAAATGGAAACAGAAAACAGGCAAGCTTTCCCATGGCAGTGGTGATGATATAGATTGGTATTGATATCAAATCAAAATCCTCATTCTGAAACTCTTTCTCTTTACTAAAAAGTGTGAAAAAGAATGCCCAGGCACAATTGTTCAAGAGAATAAAGCTCCTTCTCATGATCATTATATTAAACACTGAATTTACAATATATACAATGTCCATTGAATGCTTTGGTGTGGTAATTCCCCTGATCTGAACCCAAATTGAACCCTGCTGGCTATAGATGAAGTGAAAAACTACCTGCAAAAGGCCATCAAAGAGTTGGGCAGAAGCTATTAAGATATGGGAGCAGTGCTGAAAGAATCTGTCTCAGGAGGCAATAAAGACATGGATTGAGAGAAACCCTATTCATGTTCAAAAGATTATAGAGCTAGAAGGAGGCAATGTATATAAAGAGGGCTGTGGATAAAATGGGTGTATATTTCTACACTAAGTTTGGCAGTGTTTTTAGTATATTTAGTGGCAGGAAGAAACTTTTGAAAGAGGACCCTCTGTACTCTTACTAATTATTAGTTTTGCCGCTCAATTGGGAACTACGTTAATTATTGTTGCGGTAACTCCTAGTTAACGGAACAATACATCCAAGGGAACAAACAACCTGCGTCACACCATTTACAGTACGCGAACGGTAAGTTCCCTGTACGGAATATTCCAACAGCCATGCTTCCCACTGTTAACTCTTTGAATTTGCCGCCCATTCCACACACGTGTTTGCGAATAAATCTCCATCTCTTGTGTCATCCGTAGGATCGGGAATGACCCAATGGCAGGACAAACACTTGCTTTTAAGGTTTGTGCTCACCAAATCTTCGCGTCTAAATTGTATTCAGTCACCGACCTGGCACAAACATTCGGGTTAATCATGAAAACCATTCCATGCATACATCTATCCAGGTATTTATAAATAGATACTGCGCAAAAGATGTCATTTATATACTTGCTCAGACACCGTGCCGGTAATCGGAAGTGTCGTCTGTAGTTTTGCATATATGCGCATAACACAGTCAGTACCTACCCTCCCCTCAGACCCAGCTGAAAAATCAATCGTCCCAACCCCAATCATCAAAATTATCCCAATGTCTCCAAAAGACATTGTCAGCCTCCTTCTTGTCCTCAACCCCTTCTGGAAGTGGGAGCCAAAAGGGGAATTCGTCGTGGAGGGGCCTCCCATACCAGTCGGAGTTGGGCCAGCCTTTTGGCAAACCGATGAACGGAGGAAAGATGTAGCGTTTTTCGCAAGTCCCAACATTCCTACATCTGAGGTTGCAGAGTCCGTATTGTTTGCAGTAACATTCCCGCGCCGAGGGACAATAAACCGCTTTGCGTCCAAAGATAACTGTTTTACTCCTAGTTAACTAGGGAGATTCGGAAAAGGGGGGGGGTTCTCGGTCCTGGTTGGATGGGAGTGGTAGTAGGAGACGAACCATGCCATGAATACTCGAAGACGCGCCCGCTCAATTCATCTGGAAGTGGGGTGCTGAGAAGCCACTGACGGAAATGCTCGTATTCCTCTTTGGGTCGTTTGAGAATTTGCTCGCGAGTGACGCCAAACTGGGCGCAGCACGATACCCCGACTCTCTGCGGGACGGGGGTGCCTGGGAACAGCTCTTCGAAACTGGCTTGGTAAATGGTGCCGGTGTGGATTTCGCCCAGGTTAATGTGGGGGTCAATGAACGGGCGGATCTCCTCGGGGCAACCTACAAGCCAGACGCAGCGGAGGTTGAGATAGCCTTGTTTGGTGAGGAAGGAGACTTGGAAGTTTTGCAGAAGGGGGACGTTATCGAAAAGCGGGTCATCGTTATGCCATTGGTACCGCTCTGGGTGAATGAAAATAAGGTGCTTTGGGAGGCGGTCGTAATGATCGATTATATACCTGGAAACTGCATTAGAAAACCTTGTGTTATGTTGCACACATAAAATATATAAAGACCTACGTCAGATAAACCATTGCCTCCCTCCCCTTATTTTCTGGCACGGTCAGCTTGGCATGGGGGTTGTCGGTGACATATATATTCTTCTTGAATTCTGGAAGGTACTCATACAACCAGGATGTGTTGTCGTTCTTCGTGCTGGCGACAACGAGTTCAAGTCGATCGATTTCGTCCAGAGTGGATAACGGGGATGGGACCGGCGTGACGGAGCGAGCTGGGAAGAAATTTACAGTGCTATAAAAGAGATACAACGCAGCACCAAAAGCGATGAGCTTGAGGGTGGGGGAGAGATTTCGTAGGCGGGAGAAGAAGTAAGCGGCAGAGACACACATGGTGCAAATAATAAAAAAAGAAGTAGGTCAACTACTTTCAAGAGAGATATGCATGTTCAAGAGAAAATAATTTTGAAGCACACACAAAGTGACGTAATAACAACGGGTATATAAAGGGGTCCTGAGGCAATGCACGGCCCAATTGCCAATGCTTTTTTAGAAGCAGGGTGGGGAGGTGGGTCGTACGGTTGCGGCCGGGAGAGTAGTTAAGCAGCAGGAATTATAGTTAAATAGTGAATGGATGAAGTGGAAATTATGTTACTAGGGAAGTTATCCACAGGTATCCTCAGCCAAGGGGAGAATGTGAAATTGTGTCTATACCTCCTAGATAACGAGATTTGGCGATTATCCACACCTCCTTGCTCAAGCATTGGCGGACATTCTCCCATTCTCCCAAGTCAAGAGTGAATTCTTCCACGGAACTAAAACCTTCAATGGAAATAGAGAATGTACCAGGGAAATTTCCCATAGTTGATACTCAATTATCGGATTAGCCCCCTCCGCAATAGATAGATTGGAGTAAACCAAGGAAGAACAATCAGGCAGAGGCAAATTTTTGAATTGTCGATGTGGCTTCAAAGTTAAAATCCCAAGCTTCAAAAGTGAGTTTATGATAACCGTGATTTACAACATCCGGGAGAAAAGTTGCCTGGGTTCTTCGAACCCCGGTGTGTTAACATCTCCGACGCGAAAGCAAACTTTCGAAGACTTCTGGTTGGATATAACTAATGTCCTTTAAACTTATCAGGGAAAATATAGTGCGCAGGCAGCAATACGTCATGCTTTCTTCGGTTTGAAATATTTACTAACCGTCTTTGCAGCACACTGAGCACCCTTTAACATACAACTCCCTTTATAGCCATGTCACTATCAGCAAAGCTTTTGACAGATGTCACACTCCATTCCACAAATTGGAAAAATATTCTGTTGAAGGGAAATCTCAAGAAAGGCCGGCCAATTGCGCTGACCCTTGTCTCGAGCCGGCAGGTGTATGCTCTGTGTAAAATGTCCGATATTCGAGGGCAAAACTGCCTTGGGAATGAATATATATAATTTTGTACCATTAGTTAGGTCCACACCTTTTCATAGGGGTGTTGGTCCCTTTCTCAACTTCGCTTTCAGCGGAGCGGCAAGTTTGCCATCTGCGTGGATGTTTCATTCAAGAAAATACCTCATTCCGTCACGAAAATATGCACCGCTTGTTTCCGTTGCGATCTGTTTCTTTGAATGGATAGGTTTAAAAACACAAAAAGTCTCTGATTAGGGAGACTTCCAGAAGTTGAATCTGCACCGGGGGCACTATATCTACTCGTGATATCCCAAGAGCAGCCGTGGATTCCCATATGCTCCAACTCCTGTGGGTGCATACCCCCTGATCATGGGGGATATAGGCCGTGATGTAAAATCCATTGTCGTATCGTCGTCATCCTTTAACATTTTGTTACGAGTGGTTGGATTGTTGGATAGGCAAGCAGTGGAAGTCACGTGGAGATTATTTTTTCTATCAGTGCGGATGATATATTCCCATTCCCGTTTGTCTGGTCGGGATATGGAATAAGACTGCAGATTACTTGCTTTGGAAAATGATGTGGATTATTTTAATGCCTAGTCGTGAAAATAGTTGGATATCCTCAAAATTTTTGAAGTAGATACTTGGATAGTGGCATTTTTGAAAACCGTCCCGAGCTACTCCATATATTCATCCATAAACCAGTTGGTTTTGTCGCACGCAATTATGTGGGCAAGGGGAAATATAAGAAATCAAGGCAAGAAAATAGGAAACGTAAATAAACATCACTAGCAGAGGCTATGATATTTGGCTTCGTTCCAGAAGTTCAATTTTTGATGTCTTGAAAGGATAAAACTCCTAACACGCAGAAACGGGGGATTGAAGGGCAAATTGGATGAGCGAATTCATAAAGCAGGATGGGAATCATTCAGCTTGTTATAGACGGAGTAGAACCTTCCTCAAATGTACCAATAAATGCATGCCTATGTATTGTTTTACGCAAATCCCCGGAACGTAGTCAGACGTTTATCAAAAGTGGGTATTTTCTGCAATTTTCTTTTTCCCCCCTCCATCTCTCTCTTTCACAAACACACTCACAGCACATGTATATGTGAGTGAGTCTACTGCAAAGACTCAACCACCATCGCACTAGCACCACCCCCTCCATTACAAATACCCACACAACCCAACTTCCCCTTCTTCTCCTTCAAAACACCCAGCAACGTCGTCACAATCCGCGCCCCACTAGCACCGAGCGGGTGTCCCAGCGCAACCGCGCCGCCATGCAAATTAACCTTCTCCTCCCCGAGACCCAACTGCTTGAGATTCGCCAGTGCAACAACGCTGAACGCCTCGTTGATCTCAAAGGCGTCGATGGCATCCTGCGAGACGCCAGCGTGCTTGAGTGCCTTGGGTATGGCGAGGGATGGCGCCGTGGTGAATTTGCTGGTTGCCTTGGCGGCATCGCCCCAGCCGAGGATCTTGGCAAGAGGCTTGATGTTGAGTTCTTTCAGCTTGGCTTCCGACACAAGGACGACGGCGGCGGCGCCGTCGTTTAGGGGGGATGAGTTCGGGGCGGTTACGGTGCCGGTGTCAGGGATGAAGGCGGGCTTGATGGCGCGGAGTTTTTCAGGGTGAAGCTGTGATTGGGAATGGAGTTAACGGATTAATTGTAGATGTAGATGGACACGACGTATATATATATATATATGGTCTGCACTTACATTCTTTGGTTCCTCGTCCTTATCGACAACGACACCGGGCTTGCCTCTGGAGCCTGGGAGCTCAATGGGAGCAATTTCCGCATCCAACAACCCAGCCTTTTGGGCAGCCTGTGCGCGCTCATATGATCTTATGGCATAGCTGTCCTGTTGCTCTCTAGTGAAGCCATGGTCCACAGCACATTCCTCAGCCTGAAGACCCATGATTTCATTCTTGATAGCATCGGTAAGACCATCCCTCATGATACCGTCCACCAAGTTCTGGTGGCCGTATTTCGAGCCGGTGCGCATGTTGGAAATGTAGTGAGGAGCGTTGGACATGGATTCGGTGCCTCCAGCGACAACGATGTCGGCGTTGCCAGTCATGATTGTCTGCACGCCCAGAATGATTGCTTTGAGGCCCGAGGCGCACACTTTGTTTATCGTGGTGCAGATTGTGGACTCTGAGAGTCCTGCGCCGAGGGCGCATTGTCTTGCAGGGTTTTGTCCAACACTACAAGAGATGGTGTGAGAACAGATATGGCTAGATTGGAGGCAATATAAAAAATGGTGCATGGACGGACGGAGCTTACTTTGCGGAGAGAACGTTTCCGAAGAAGACTTCCTCGACGTCACCGGGCTTGATTTGGGGTACTCTCTGGACAGCAGCTATACGAGTTCTCGAATCAGTGTCTGGTTTCATGCGGTTTTATAAATGGGATTATGATACCGTACCTTTAATCGCATGGGAGCCGAGTTGGGGCGCGGTTAAGCTAGAGAGGGACCTGGATGGGAGGAAATGCTTTGTTAGCACCACGAACCAAAACAAGCTTTATTTAAAAAGTACTCCGTAGATCAACAACTTTCGCTGAAAGATGTAGCACAATAGAATTGTTCTACTTGCATGCTAAAGTCATTAGGCAGTCTCTACTTACCCCAGAAAAGAGCCCACGGGGGTTCTCGCGGAGGAGACAATGTAGACAGGAGGGAGAGACGACATTGGTATAGGAAATAGCAAAAGTAGAACTAGATGTTATTTACAGCGATTGATAAATCAACGGAATGAAATGATTGATGCACATATACTGGGAGTGAGAGAGAGACAGAGAGTGGAAACAGAGAGGAATACTGGAGCAGAAAAGAACGATGTAAGAACAATGTGAAGTGTAAGTAAAAAGAATAGCAAAGTGGCGGTATGCACAGTCAATTGACGGGGTAACAACAACGCCAATATTTGTACATTGGCGCCGATCGGAAGAGTCTCAAATAAATAATAAGAAGAATAAGAATAGGGGGAAACTAGGCAGTTTTTCTCTTCTTTCCTATTGAACTATTTTATGTTGCTTTATCTAGTTACTTTGAGCAAAAAATGGCCCTGATCAGCCACTAGCAAATCCTCTTATATTTTATGTTGGTGCCTGAGGCCGCCAAAGGTGCAAAGCTCTCGCTCATTCAAACTTCAATCCTTCAGACCGCATCAAAGCATATTTAACCACTATACCTATTCGCAACACACTCTGTCCGCCCCCACCATAATCTTGTAACTTATATCTCCTTTCGTGTGATTTTTCTGTAAGCTTCTCTAAAGCTCAAGAAGCTTGCGACATGAGCCGTCCTACCAGCAATTAAACAATACAGCGCGCTTCTTGATAACATCCTCTGCAGTCCATCATGGACGACCTTTACGACGAGTGAGTGGTTTTCTTTGCGCAATAGCTGTTTAATCACTCATATACTATGTTTGCACTAACAATGCCGTGTTGTGCAGATTCGGAAACTACATAGGAGGGGCGGAGGAGTCGGAGGAGGAATATAGAGAAGGCAATGTTCGCGCTGACCCTTATGCCTATGATCTCGAGTCAGAGGAGGGAGAAGCTGGGGAGCGCGTTGCTCATGACCAACAACTGATGGAGATAGACGGTAATAATGCCTTTTGCACGCTAGCAGCCCGCATATATATATATATTTTTAAGATGTTGGATATGGAAGCTGACAGTGGTATTTCCAACCCAGAGCAAGGTCCTTCGAATGCGGTAATCCTACATGAAGATAAACAATATTACCCAACTGCCCAGCAGGTGTATGGCGAAGGAGTGGAAACTCTCGTTGAGGAAGAGGATGCACAACCGTTGACCCAACCCATCATCGCTCCTGTCGAACAGAAGAAATTTGCTGTTCAAGAAGCGGACCTCCCCCCCGTCTTTTATTCCCGTGAATTCATGACAGATCTCCTAAACTTCCCCGACCAAACCAGAAATATAGCTCTCGCGGGTCATCTACATCATGGAAAAACTGCTTTTATGGATACCCTGGTTATGCAGACGCATGATCTATCAGAGAGGCTAGATAAGAGGATCGGGAAAAGGAAGGATGAGCAACTACGTTATACAGATGTCCATTTCGTCGAGCGGGAGCGGGGGTTATCGATAAAATCTGCGCCCATGAGCTTGGTCCTACAAGGCACAAGGGGGAAATCGCACCTTTTTAACATCATTGATACACCTGGACATGTAAACTTTGTTGATGAAGTTGCGGCAGCGTTCCGATTGGTGGACGGTGTCGTTTTGATAGTCGACGTTGTTGAGGGTGTCCAGATCAACACAGAGCAGATCATCAAATATGCTGTCCTGGAAGATTTGCCTCTCACGCTGGTTGTGAACAAGATGGATCGACTCATCCTCGAGCTCAAACTCCCTCCTACAGACGCCTATTTTAAATTGAAACATGTCGTGGAGGAAGTGAACACTGTCATTGAACGGACGTTACCAGGACAGGGTGAAAAGAGAAGATTGAGTCCAGAGAAAGGGAATGTTGCTTTTGCCTGCACCAGCATGAATTGGTGCTTTACGCTGCAGTCATTTGCGAAAATGTACGCGGATACCTACAAGGGCATTGATATTGCAGAATTTGGCGTTCGCCTCTGGGGTGACATCTTCTTTAATCCGAAGAGCAGGAAATTTACCCGCAAGGGGGTTGAAGAGCGATCGAAGCGGACATTTGTGCATTTTGTTTTGGAGCCCATATACAAGATTTTTTCGCAAACCATTTCTGAGAGCCCGGAAGACCTGAAAGCGACGTTAGCGACGCTAGGGATATTTCTGAAGCCTTCTCAACTAAAATCGGATGCGATAGTACTTCTAAAACTTGTTTGTGAACAGTTCTTTGGGCCTGTAGACGGCTTCGTTGACATGGCGGTTCAGCATATTCCCTCCCCCAAGGAGGCAGCAACGACAAAACTCGAAAAATACTACACTGGGCCTTTGGATACAAAAGTGGCAGCTTCGATGTTAGCATGCGACCAAGATGGACCTTTGGTGATCCAGGTAACAAAATTATACAGCACTCCTGATGCATCCAAGTTTAACGCCTTTGGCAGAGTCATGAGCGGCATCGCTCGCCCAGGGCAGCAGGTGCGGGTATTGGGAGAGGGCTACACCATCGACGACGAGGAAGATATGGCCATTGCCACAATATCTGATACTTGGATTGCAGAGACCCGATACAACATCCCTACCAGCGGTGTGTCTGCTGGAAACTGGGTCCTACTGTCCGGTGTTGATAACTCCATTGTTAAGACTGCCACTCTGGTCCCGTTGAAGCTTGAAGACGATGAGGACGCGTATATCTTCAAGCCAATTAAACACTTGACCGAATCTGTTTTCAAAGTTGCTGTTGAACCCATCAACCCGTCAGAACTCCCAAAAATGCTTGAGGGTCTTCGGAAAGTTAACAAGAGCTATCCACTCATATCTACCAAAGTCGAAGAATCAGGCGAGCATATTGTTCTAGGAACTGGAGAACTATACATGGATTGCGTACTGCACGACCTCCGCCGTTTATATGCAGAAATGGAACTCAAGGTCTCTGACCCAGCAACGAGATTCTGCGAAACTGTGGTTGAAACATCGGCCATAATGTGCTACGCTATGACGCCCAACAAGAAAAATAAAATCACAATGATCGCAGAGCCACTGGACGATGGAATTGCGGAAGACATCGAAAGTGGACGAGTCAAAATACGAGATCCCATCCGAAAAGTCGCCCAGTTCTTCGAACAGAAATACGAATGGGATAAACTAGCCGCGCGAAGCATTTGGGCCTTTGGACCCGATGAGATGGGTCCGAATATCCTCCAGGATGACACTTTACCATCTCAAGTAGATAAAAAGCTATTAGGAACCGTGCGAGACTCTATACGCCAGGGTTTCAGCTGGGGAACTCGTGAAGGACCCCTATGCGAAGAACGTAAGTTGTAAACCCCATCCCCCTTAAACATATCCAAAAACCTATCTCGCCATTCCACCACTAACCAACCCATCTCTATCACACCAGCAATCCGCAACACCAAATTCAAACTCACTGACATCTCCCTGGCCGAGCAAGCTATCTTCCGTGGTGGTGGCCAAATAATCCCCACAGCCCGACGAGCTGTCTACTCCTCTTTCCTCATGGCCTCCCCACGCCTCATGGAACCAATCTACACCTGCTCCATGACTGGCCCCGCCGACTCCGTGGCCGCAATCTACACCGTCCTCTCCCGGCGGCGCGGGCACGTACTCTCCGATGGTCCCATAGCGGGCACACCGCTGTATGCTGTCCGCGGCCTGATCCCCGTAATCGACTCTTTTGGCTTTGAAACGGACCTGCGCATCCATACGCAGGGACAGGCGACAGTGAGTCTTGTGTTTGATAAGTGGAGTGTTGTCCCTGGTGATCCGCTAGATAGGGATGTTAAGTTGAGACCGTTGGATATGGCGAGCGCGATGGCGACAGCGAGGGACTTTGTGCTGAAAACTAGGAGGCGGAAGGGTTTGGCGGAGGATGTGAGTGTTAGCAAATTCCTGGATCCGGAGCTTTGGAAGGGGTTGAGGGAAAGTGGGGTTTTGGGGGAAGGATAGGGATATTGTTCCTTCTCTCCTTTCTTCACTGGTTCCTTTGGTTTGGTTGCACGTATTTTATGTACGATAAAGATAGGGATTGATCTGCGTGTTTTAAGAGTGACCAAAAAAAAAAAAAAAAAGAGCTGTATGGAAATATACAGGATGACGAATAGAATCTTTACATGGTGACAGTCTACCTTGCCAGTCAAAAAGGATTGGTTTTTGCTTGTTTTGCTTGCATTACTGTATACTTCGCTTTCTATTCCGGATAGTGGAATACACCAGCATTTTATTTTTGCTTCCCCACGCATTAAAAACCAATATGCCAAAGCACCTAACGCCTGCGCCCCCAGACCCAAAAAGAGAGACATTTAGTCTCTACACCAAAAAGTCCAAAACTAACCCCGGAAAACAAAAATTCAAACTCCTCATTTACTCATTGACACGTCTCCAACATCCGCCCAATAACACCCATAAGCGTTCCATTTTCCAACGCAGCCGCCACCCGCTCCTTATCCGCCAGCTGCTTATTTACCTCGTCAGCCGTACTATGCGTGCCCTCCTTAATACGCACATCAACACGGAAGCGGTGTGGCAGGGACTGTTCCAGCCGCACACGCACACCCAATCCTATCACCGTTGCGAGGGAACAGTGCGTTATTGTGGGCGTTATGAGGACGGTGACGGTGCGCAGCGGGGAATCGGGATTGCTGGGTAGTGAGGGTCGGATCGAAATGTCTGGGAGAGAGACGACGGCGAGGGAGCCGAGGGATATTGGGTGTTCGGGGTCTGCAATTGTGGAGATTAGGTCTGGAGAGATGTTAGTTGGTTAGTATGGCGGGAAAGGGGTGGAAGACGGGAAAAGAGAAACGCACCGAATATTTCTTGTTCGTCGATGGGCTCTGCTATTAAATCATCATCGCTTTCAGATTCGGAAGCGGAGTGGCTGCTGAGATAGTCTCTAGCAAAAGGGTCATGGGGGAGAACGGAGGTGGGATGTAGTTCCTGGGCGAAGATCCCCCCGGCATACGGGGAGTCCGCTTTAGCTGCGGCGGAGTGGCGGGATTGTTGTTTTCGAGTGGGGAGATCAGCGGCACTGAGGATTGTTGGGTTGGAGTTTTGCATGATGACGATATCGCTATTTCCTTTCCCATATGTTCGTACCTTTTTTTTTCTTTGGCTTTCCCTTTTTTTCTCTAAAGATGTTCGAAAGATGGTGAAGAGGTTGGTCTCTCCGTTGGCTGCGGAATAAGAGAGCAGAAGTTGAACGGGCCAATAGGAGACTCGGGATGGTTAGTTACCTAATACCTGTGGAAAATCCCTTAGTTGTTATCACGTGGTATCGAAGATCTCCTTTTATTCTGTTTTCAAATTTTGCTCTGGAGAGAGCAACTGGATATTCCCAATAAATAATACATTTGACCAGTACAAAAGGAAGAAATCACATCCAGAAAATATGGAAATTACAGTCCTAACAACAACACCCTGGGTCTCTAGAAGTGCCGAATATTATTCCTAAAGAGTGGGTCTACTGTGCAGGCGTTTTCATTCCCCCTTAATCACCATAGACGTGATGATTCCCAAACCTAGCAGCAGCTCACTGCTAACATAACAAACGGATAGAGCTAAGTGCCGATTGTCCGCTTTCTGGAAGGTCTCTCTCTAAAGCGTTGGGGTTCTTCTTCATCGGCCAGACCAAGTCTTCTTGATCCCGCGGACACATCCCACTCTTGCAACTCTTGCGAGACTAAGACTTTCCATTTAACGTAATATTGAAGACAATCACGCCACCTACTCCAGTGCTCGAAGTCTCAAAAACCCCTGGAGGTATCAGGGTTAATTCCAACCCCCCGATTGATATCATAAGGCAGAGGTTAGATTGCTACCGCATCACCGGCAGGTTGCATTGGTAGTTGTTGAAATAATCAGAGAGGCTTGAAGTAGAGCAGTTGTCAACGGAATTGTGAAAGCGACGTTTAGCGAGCTTCGATTATAGGTTTCATAATTTGAATTGCAGATGGCAGAGCTTGCAAACCTGGATCCGAATGTCTTGAGTGGACGGACGAAGGACGTTGCTGTATCCGATACCCAGTCTAGATGCTTGTGCTGAAGCAGCACATGCTAATCATGTTTCCAATCACCATTATTGTTGCGAACCTGTTTCCTGAAGGCGGGAACCTGTCTCCCCCACATGCAGTCAGCACTAGTAGTTAAATGTAGATTAATATGGTCAAGGACACCCCTGAGCTTACGATTCCTCTATCGCCAGCCACATATCCAGAGACAGAATTTGGTCCGTGTGCCCATACCTATCTATTTTTAACCGCGCTGCAATTGAAGCCCCTGTAGCTAAAGTACTTTGTGTTTATCGATCAACCAATAATCAGACAAGGTCTGCCGCCAGTAAAGTCTTTGCCGCTTACAATTTCTCAAAGAATATTTCTGATCCCAGCGGACAAACAGACGAGGGGATTTGCCATGTTTTTGGCACGATAATGATTCTTCGTTGAGGAGCCGAACGCCAGAAATCCGCAGCGGTCTAGGGTGAAAAGAGGGAGATTGGATATCGGCGCTGGGGTATGTTATTTGCAAATGACGAGCGTATTCTCGACGTGAGCTTGCCAGCCTGTTGAAGCATGCCCACTTTCTCCTGCTGCCGTGCATCCATGCAGGCATTCGGAGACAACGATCCTCAAGATGGATGCTGACATGCAGAGATAAGCCTACCACATGTTGTCTAGCGCGTTCTAAATGATGACAACATGAAAAGACAGCATGAACACGAGGTGTGAATAATCGTGGTTCAATTTCCTCTCTCATGAAACAGAAGCCTGGTTTTGATCGTGAGGTATGTTTCTAGATTTTCACATGGTTATGGACAAGATTGAGACGTTGGATATTGAGAAATGGAGGAGCCCGTAATATGATATCACCACAGGGAAGATTTATGAGCCAAGCCGTGTATAACATGCCAAGGGGTTTTTTATTTTAATATCAATTGTTCACTGTAGAAGGATGATTTAAATAATTTTCTGCGTGCCACACGTATCCATTCAAAGATAACTACCGCTTTATGCAACGTGATATTCCACACAAGGAACAATGTCTTGGTACCTCGGTTATGAAGAACGTCACTCTGTCATTCCTGTTGAATGTTGTGATAAAGAATCGAGACCTCGTTAGATCACTGATTCTGCAATTAGTCTGTTAACGTTTGAGATATTAACAGCGTCTAGCAGGCACACATCCATAGAACGCGACCGGTAATTGGCCTATGTTTCAACAGTTGTGATAGGATTACTGCCTTGAAAATTTGTGGTAGTAAAACAAATGAAAAATGATGAAAGCAAGGGGGAGATTCAGTTACCAGGGTTCAATTATAGTTCTTGTAAGTAAATTATTTATCTCAAGCTTCTGGGTCGGGGAGGAAATTGTGGCTGGCTTCGGGACTCCACAAAATCTTCCCGTCACGGTCCAGATGCTGCACTTGCAGCTTCCAGTGATAATAGTATTAATAGAAGACAGATAATGACAGCAGAATCACCAGGTGCTCGGGAAATCCCCGAGGAACAGCAGTACTTACGCTCAGTAATCTCTATAAAGTGCCGTAATTTGTCAATAATTTTCCGACATTTGGATGGGTCGCACGGGGTTGATAGTGATTTCATAAAACATACTGTTGTGGCTGAGGAAGTGCACTGGCCATTAAACTACCTGGGAAGCAGCTGATGACTGATTATGGTGCCCCTTTTCATTTCTCTCGATGTTGGCGTACACCGGAGCGCTTCGTGTTGCGATACGGTTTTCAGGCATATGCATACGATTACGCATAGGTATTGTCACTCCTGATAGGTACATCAGCGGTATACGAGCGCAACCTGGCCGTCACGCACAATCCCTAAATTTTGTTCTTAGAGCGGAAGCATCGCAAAACATTGCCAAGTTTAATAATCCCAGCTAAATGGCTTGGTGAGTAGCAAATTATGACCAGCCACAGAAATATATTCTTGGAAGAACCTCAGCAATAGTGATTAGTGGTTCATCGTCTTTTGCCATCATTTGACTGCCTTCGGTATAAATTTCTCTTTATTATCTGATGAGGGGCAACAAGGCAAGCGGAAACACACGGCATGAGGAAATTTTCAGGCTTCTTCTGTGCGTGTGCCGGGGGAAGCCCTGCAGATGACCCTGTTCGACTTTCCTAGAGCAAACCCTGTTAATAGTATCTTAAATCTCTTGTCTTTGGATTTTGCCCATCGGATTTTCTCGGATTTCCCTTGAAACTGACGAATGCTACCCATTGGGTCCTGTTTTCAGGAGACCACTTCCGTCGAGGCGACAAATAGGCGCAAGGAAGGGAAGTGGACTGGAGCTAACTCCTGAGATACCTGAGCATTCAGCAGCACATAGAGGGGTGGAATGGATATCGTAGCCACGAGGTTGGTACAATGCACAAATAAAAAGGAAATATGTAGCAAGTGGAGTTTGGCACTTAAGACACGTTTTCGAGTACTCCTTATTTCAAAGGATTTGGCATCATAAGTCACCCCCCTGTTGCCATATAAATATCGAAGGAATAGTTTCTGCTCCACCCCCAGGGGTGCTTGTCCATCTGCCGATCATAAGACTTTGACATCTGCATAATAATAGGAGGATCGAATGGGATGTTGACTAGGGTTCACCAATGAAGCTCCGAAGATTGTGATTAAAATCAGATAGGAATATGCTGTCTCCTGAAAGGGCTCTTCAGTGTATTAATGACAACCTCCTGACAGACTATTCGTCTACATAAGGTTTTCATCCGTCGGCTGGCCGTGCATCATGCAATCGCCCTAATGTCATTAGTATTTGGCTAAAGGATGCCTAGATTCTTGTGCAGCATCATGCTTTCGTATTAATAATGCAACACTCATGGCCAGGGTTTGTTCAAATTGCACCAGCTCTGTCTTGGGTAACTTCACAACAACCCCTTAGATAACAGTATTCCACCCCAATAGGTTTTGTAAACAACTCAAAGAGGACACCATCTGCACAAGAATGGTAACCAAAATAGTCGAATTGCGGGGTGATACGGTGTTTTGCCTATATTGCACTCGACAAGCTGCAGGGAAGAATAGATACTGACAATATTCTCCTTGCTAGCTTGCCATCACTTCCACAGGATTCTCCCCAAGAAAATCTCTTCGTACCATTCCTGTGATTTTACGTTGGAATGCGATGTCCAAGACTGCCAACGTCCAAGGAAGGGGTGGAGGTTGTATGAGAAAATGGAATGTAATATAAATAAATTAAACCAAGCTATAGTGGGCATTTCAATGGTTACGAAGGAAACTAACCTGTGCCCGGTACGAGTGAGAAAATAACCATAGAATGAACCCTTGATGTTGAACGAAAGACCAGTTTCCTAAGCTTCCACGTGATAACTAACTAGTCCAACCCACCTAACTAACTCAATCAACCTTATTTGACAGAAATTCAAATTAAGCATCATCCGCTAATTAATCCGCTAAATAGGGATTAACTATAAAGAATTTATATATGGAGGATAATAATACTCTTGGGCCTGGAGCTTTATGTCCTGTCCTACCACATTTACTACTATTGAATTGTAATCTTATGCTTTACTTTTTTTTCTTCTTGTTATATACTCTCTCTAATAAAAATAAAAGGGAGCTTATATTTAATAACTGTACAAGATGAGAGAAATGAAAAGATATTGTATATTCTAACCTTGTGAGTTAGACAACTTATCAAATTGGATTATAGAATAATTCTCATATTTATTTATAGTTAGCAACTTATATCTGTCAATTATATTAAGTTTTGCTCATTTCATAGCTTAAGTCTCTAGGCTACAGAGGAATAAGGAGCATCATAAAGCTTAGCAGCTGCTCAAATATTTGCAAACTTGCTGAGTTTTCATAAGCTTTAGCTAATGGAAGCCTAGAATTCCTTGCTGAAAGCGGTGGACATATTGAGTGATTTGATAGATGAGAAGGATTGTGATGAAAGGTTGATCAGTTAAGTGATGTGATCCGTTAACTTGGTGGGTGGATTACGTTAACTAATTAGTTATAGCGGATCGTCTCAACCTCGCGGACTTCACCGCAGCGATTTCGTTTCCAGCGTCGGACAGCATACGAAGACAACGAACGGAGTGCCGATTACGTCGCCCAGCGAACTTCGAGCTATGAAATACTCAATCCTGAGAGGAGGCGAAAAGCGCCTCCCCGGACATTGGCAGCCCTACCCATTATCGGTAGGTTATAATTTCACATCCTACGCTCGTTCATTGTTACAATCGACACCGGAACATCTGAGACAGATCAGAACATGATAAATTCGGTTTGAGGGATGGGCTCGCAGTTTCTTTCACACACAGGGGGGAAGGGTTCATCAAACGAATCAATTTTGGGAGCTGCTACGTGCGTATTGTTGCTATTCAATCCCTTCAACGGAATGTGTGGGCTTGACATGGATAAATCAAAATAAAGTAAAAATAAAATAAAATAAAATAAATAATAAATAAAAAAATCAGCCAGGCACGAAAAGAGTAAAGGGTGTCAAATGTGCCAAAAGAAAAAGAGCCCCGCTTATAATCGGTCGTTCTCCACAGGATTATAGTTCTTGAACTCATTGTAGAGTTCCATGCGGGGTTTTCAAGTGATAGGGTTTCCGCAGAGAGCCATTATAATGATCGTATAATATGAACCACCCGTCAGCGGAGACTTCTGTTATGCAGGATGTTGAATGGGCTCTGGGAGAATTGGATCCATTGCAGTGGAAGCTGGGGAGAGAAAGCATAGCGTTCGTGCTCGGCTGCTTGCAGAAAGTCGGTTGTTTAAGCACGTCCCTTTAGCCTATCTTGGCTTTGCTTGGTTTCAGAAAATTTAAATTCCCCGGATTATTTCCACAGATTTCCCTTGAAGATTCTTATTTTGGAAAAATAACGATTTGCAGGTTTGGTGCATATTCAAAAATGGATTTCTCTGCCTGTCAACGACGCTATTTTCACCCTAACCCCTTTTCCTACACAGGCCAACCCCTGCTATTTTTCTTCTCCAACTGCTCGGTAGATGTCTAGTCCACCGACCGCATTTGTTGGTGTTCCTTCAAGTCAGTGGTAAAAATCCTGTTTCTACATACTCTAAATTTCACGCATTTCTCGAAGAAAAGATTTGATCACCATTCATTACTGCTGCAGGCCTTCCTAGGAGCGAAATCGCCAGTCCAGCCACATATGAATTCACAAGGGTCGCTTCCTCGAGCTGACTAAATGATCTGTAATGCTAACTAGTTAGTTAAACTAACTGACTATCTGCCGTTTCTGAGGGAATGCAACACTTCTTCACGGCGTTCGGATTTAGTGGTTGAATATTGCTTTTCCCACCCCCCCCTCCCCCCCGGCAGTCATCAATAACATGGTTCGGTGATGTCCGAGAGAGAGGAGATCGAGAGAGAAGATAAATAATAATCAATATCAAAGTGCGAAAAAAAAAATAAATAAAAACAAATAAAAATAAAAATAAAAAAGCGTGGAATGGATGGAGTTGACAAGCTACTCTGTTCATGGTCTTGAAGCATCCATGGATAATATCTGTATCAAATCAATCCATGATCTCCAAAACTTTAAAAAAACTCCCTGATCAGAAATTTGTGTGCCGTGGTCCATGAACCTGCTAAAATAGCACGGTCTTTAACCTCGTAATCATATGCCAGTAGTTAGGGAGGTTTTTAACTTCCAAAACAAGAGGAATAGCATATTTAAGATGAATAGAAGGAGAGGTCGCTTTATAACTTTCTTATAAATAATAAGCTCTTCATATCTCTCCATTTTGGGGACCTCGGGCGTTCTCTCCATATCATCTGTGTTACGTGTCTGGATTTATTTTTAGTTTATTTTATCTTTGAACAGGAGGTTGGTTGTTATATAAATACTCTATAGGTAACTAAGTTACAATTTCGAGCCTTGGGACGATAAGGTTTCCGGTTTTTACGCTTTTGCGTTGTCAACACCGGTGCCCGATTTCTACATATCTAACCGGTTGGGGAGCCTTGAGGTTGCTGGTATAGTTCCGTATTGTGCCACAACAGAGTTGGACGAAGGTAGGGCTGCTTGTTGGCCCGGGCGATGCGATCTTAGAACTCGAGGCTGCTGTAGGGCCCTCTAGGGCTCTTGCTGCTGGATGCCACTGGGAACGAACCGGCCCCTCTTAGCGCTAGGTACGTAGGTTAGCTGAGAATTACCCCTCCCTAGCACTGCTAATAGGCTGGCATCATCAGTGGACGGCTAATTGCTAGCTGCCTCCATAAGCCTCTCAAAATTCTTTCTGCTTGCTTTTTTTCCTTCTTCTTTTTGCTTTTTGCTTTTTATTTTATTTTATGAAAACTCTCATAACAATCTTGCTCGGCCACTTATCACACTCTCCCATCCCGCTTCCACCTTCCCCACTCACAGAGAGAGAAAGGCATACGTACAATCTGCATGTTCAGTCACTTTTGCGGACTGTACAGAGCGAAATGAGTGTTCATCCGACTGAACTCCCCAGTTTTGTTGTTATAAGATATTGCTATGATTTGGTAACTACCGCTGCTACATCCGATGATAGGAGTAGAGGTAGTATGGGATGCCTAACTATTAATAAAAGTTAGTGACTAACATATTCCGATCTTCTGCATATAGATCTGTCTTCGGAGACTATCACCCACAGACCTGGGAACCCTCCCAAGCCAATCCCGTGACCCAGCCCTTCTGCCAGTCCCAAGGTTCAACGCCTTCAACCGGGGCCCTTCCTGATTAGTTAGCACTTCCACCCAATAACTTAACTAGTTAGTTTGTTAGTTTGTTGGTTACCGTTAGTAACTCGTTGGCTGCCATCGCCGCTTGTCACCTTCCTCTCGCTTCAAACCTCGCTTCAACCCCATCCTCAACTTCAACCTCATCTCTCCCCTTCTTTCGCTCTCCTCCCCCCCTGGACCTCCCCCCTTTTCTCGCTGCATCCCATCCCCGCGCCCCGATTCTTGCCTGTCTGAAGCAATGGGAGATGTCTGTTCTATCTGCTGATCGGTCATTCCCCTTTCCGTGTGTGCAGGACTAGCTCTTGATCCCGTTCCCATTGCATCCAACTTTGTCTGAGTGGGTTTTGGGGGAACCGCAAACCTTTCCCCCAACCTACCATGAACTTGTGGGAAGTGCGCAAAACATAGCAACCGTCTTCCATGCGCATGTTTGCGCTGTTTCATCCCATCCCACCAACAACCACAAGCACAGCAACAAGCAGCAGCAGCAGCAGCAACAACAAGCAGCAGCAACAGAAAACGCCAGCAACCACTATCCCCTGATTGCTCCCACCCGCTTCGTCACTGATGTCTCTTGTCTTTGCTTGATTGCAGGCCTGTCACACATTCTGTCAACGTTCACCGTTGAAAGACCCCACACGCGTGCCAGGTACAAGTAGTACTCGCACAAAGGCTGCATGCTAAGCTGTGAACAACCCAGGCCTCATTTCTGACAGCCATTGCGATACCCCACCGTTACCAGACGCTAGTCGAATTTCTTGTGTTTCTCCAGCTCCGGCCCTCTGGTTCCAATTGTGCAAATGCAAGCATTTTCGTTTGTCCCGCCTAATATGGGCCCAGCTGAAGGCCAGAAGAGTAAGGCTCTATCTCTTTTGTAATTTTTTTTTATTTGATTTAATCTATTTACATATTTCCGATTGCGCCTCCGGAGCTGTTGGCTGCTGGAATCTTAGGCTGCCGGCAGGCCGTGATGTCAATGCGGCTAATGTTTTGATTCTGACGTGAACTGCATATGTAGACTATGTTTTTGTGGACGAACACAACAGACACAAACGTCTCAAGGGTATGAATTACACACCTAGCACCTCGCGCTCACAGAAATCCACTGGACTAATAGCTGGATAGTGATGAGAGCTTGTAACGGCTGCCGCAAACGAAAGATCAAATGTGATGCTGCGACTACCAATACCTGGCCCTGTTCTGCATGTACGCGGTTGAAACTTGTCTGCATACCTCCGACCATTGGCCAGGATGGCGATTTTTCTTCCCATGGTCAAATGCCCGAGGCGAGTCAGCAGCCTCCGCCAATAAACGTCCTTCACCCTACAGATCTGGACCTTGCGGCACAGAACATCCCTCATCGACCGCAGCCTATCGATAGGACACATACACAGCAGCTGGGAAACGTTCGGGGCTACAATGCGGACTCCCGTTTATATCAGGCGCAGCCATATCTAGAGCAAATGCAAAATTCACGCCATCTGTATCAAGACCTTTCTTCGCACCATCTTGTCCAACTTCAACCCCATCAAACATTTCAGCCTAACCCCAACCTATATACCACCTCGCCAACTCAAACACTTCTTCCGAATGTGGACACTGCGCCATATGCAAGATCGGATCATTCAAATCCTGGGGACCTTAGTGATGCGCTTGGGGATCTTAAAATTGACGAAGCTGGAGTTGGTACGTCTCTCAGAATTAGGACATTTAACTTCATAAATTCCATGTCCTATGGATCCGAACCCTCTTTTAACCTTCCCGTTTTTCTCTCGAATAAATTCTTGCATTCCTGCTCCGTGTAATTTGGTTCGTAGCTAACACATTTATCCTTCAGCTCCATACATTCGACAACAGCGAAAGGGTGATAGAGATCCGGAAGCACCAACCGCAGACGAAGATGACGCGAAACTCCCACCCCTTCATTTGGCCTCTGGTGCCACCATTCGGATTCCTCCTGAACTGATGCCGTCAGACGACGAAGCCATGAGATATTTCGACATTTACTTCACACATATTCATCCTTATGTACCCGTGGTTCATCGAGCCCATCTCTATCAGCAATGGCAAACTGATAAAACATCCATATCCCCTCTTATCCTAGAAGGTATCTTTGCTTGTGCAGGAATGATGTCCGATGACCCGGCTCAGGGTGCACAATGGCTTGCTCTGGGAAACAGTGAGTTATCCCGAAAAGTAAAACTAGATAAAGGGTTTGCCATTGACCGCAACAGGACACGAAGCGGTGTTTATGGAAGCCCCTCGACTGAGTACGATCCAAGCATTATTACTCCTGCTGAAAGCTAGAGAGGGCTCCCCTAAAAAAGGCTATTTCTATCGTTCTTGGCAAACGGTTAAGACCATGGTTTCTATGGCGAAGGACCTTGAACTTCATGAACACCGGAGTTACCATGCTGAAGGCAAGTCGTGCGGACTTAGCCCGGTTGAGTGCCTTGTTCAAACAAGAGTTTGGCAAAGTCTTTTGGTCGTCGAAACTATGATTGGAGGTCCTCAAGGTAGACCAACACATCACCCATTTTATTTATAAACGAAATGCTAAGTTCACATCCAGGGCGAGCGGATTTTGGAGTTGATCCGGAGACTGTTGAATATGAACCCTCATGGGGTGTTCCGGGCCTGGATGCATTTGAGACCGAAAGGTCACGGCTTTTTGCTTATTTTGTCCGCAATGTTCGCACAATTCGATTGATTATGGATTCATATCATAAGCTCAAGAAACAACCAGACTGGGGTGCCGACCCTCGATTTATGGAAAACAACACTCTTATCCATGACTGGTTAGCTAACCTTCCGCCGGACTTGCAGGTCACTTATCCGGCGGATGGATCAGCGCCATGGTTGCCGTCCCATCTCGTGGGTAACATGCATTCTCACTTCAACCTATCGATCATAATACTCCATCGCCCTCAACTTCTAGCCTCAAAATCTTTTGCAGCGGGTGGAAAATGGAGAACCCATATGGCTCTTTGTTACAATGCAGCAAAAAACCTCTGTCGGCTCCAGGAGGCCGTTGTATGCGCGTTTGGTTTGAATGGCTTGTTTTATATGCAGCGCGGCATCAGTTTCACTGTATATGGCATCTTGACCTGTACGATGTTGCATCTCGTGAGTATTGCAGCATGCCCAAAGACTTATTATATTGACCTCTGTTGACAGTATCACACACAGATTGCTATTACCTCCCCAGACCCTGAGTTCAATTCCGATGCCAGAATATATTTTACCCGACACATGCGTCTCCTTGAGCAATGTGCATCTGCATGGCCCGTGCCTGATTTACAGGAGCAAATTAACCAGCTTCGATTAGCGTTTTCGGCTGACATTAACAAGCCATTTGAGCTCAAGTCTAGTTTCCCTTATGGTAGTCCATCAGAGCCACATCATCCCAGTCCTCCTGTGGACTCCAGCTACCTGCCTACTTCGTATGCAACAACTTCCTCAGAGCAGAATCAACTAGTATATTGCACCAACTCGGTTACTCCTCCCATTTCCGCTGGTGCGAATGATAGGTCAGAAACGTCACTGCATGACTTTGGACTCATGCAGGGCCATGGTTCCGGGCCAAATACCGGCATGCTTAACGTCCCCTTGGTTGATAGTAATAGTTGGGATCCCACTCGAATTATCACGTACGTCACCCATAAAAGCATTCACACAACGCTCTCCAAATGCCCTTAAAAACTATTCATGAGTCGTAGGCCTTTCCGCTAACCTACCTTCTTTGCCCCCTTTATATAGTCAATGGGATCTTGCCTTTTCAGCCGCCGGATCAAACGCATCAAGTTCAAATTCTCCCCCCGCGTCCTCCACACAACCGCCTCAGGATTCACAAAACATTCTCACCGCCCAATACAGCATGCATTATTCACAAACACCAAAGATGTCATCAATGACTTCTCAACAATCCATGGACCAACCTCCCTTTGGTAACCTGCAAAACCTGATCAGAGCATGCGATTGGCAGCGCAGCGTTGCTAGTGTGTACGATCCTCAAGGTATGAAAAGGAGATGGGACCAGCAATCATTACAGTTAGAACCAAACTCAGGCCTGAAGTGAAAGGAGGGACCGGGGTTTCCAATCATTTCTACTCCCGTTGAAATACGATTGTAAGATGGTATTTTATCCCCAGAGCCGGATTATGAGTCTTGTTCCAGCGTTCGATGCCTTTGGGTATTGACTATGCCTGGTAAAGACGGCCCGTTCTTACGGCAAACGTATTCCGTATATAGAGGTCTCACACATTTCAGCAGCCACTCGTCGACCACATATAAGCATATATAACCAGGTCATTTGATATCGCATTTACTGCTCTATATACCTCTTTGTTCTTAGGTGCAGGATTGTCCGTATTTTGTTCGGTTTTTTTTTTTTTTTTTTTTTTTTTTTTTTTTTTTGCTTTGTTTTGTTTTGCTTTGCTTTTATTCTCCAAATATACCCACACCAACGATACCGATACCGATTGAATTTGAGAAATATATCCCCTCTGTTAACAATTTTTATTTTTATGACCCGTCAAACGCGCCGATCTCCTATGCTTCGCGATATATTTGTCTTATTTTTCATTTCCACACTTCTTGTTTATCTTTGCAATTTTCTAGAATTAAATATCTCTTGGCTGTCTGAGTGTCTATGTCAAGGAATTGGGTAGGAGATGAATGATTGATCGAATGACGTAACACACACATACAAATATACATGTATGTATATGTGGAGATGTATTCATGGGTTTTCTATCTTGTCTCATTCAAACACAGTGATATTTACTTATCCACTTTTTGCTTGAAAAGAGAAATAATGCTGCCTTATAGGTTTGAAAGGGAGGTTATATGTGATTTGACTCGTCTTAGTTTTAAATTTTCGTGTATTTTAGAGAACAGGTTGACGCTATTCAAGATTTGTTCCGATAATTGGATTGAATTTTGGATGATGAATGACTTTACAACTGACACAACCTCAACTCATTTCAGACGTTGAAATAGCTCGAGGGAGCACATGACGTGAAGAGAGAGGGTAGGGGGGGAATTGTGGCTTGGAAGGTATGTAAAAGTTGCTCCAGCTTCGTGTTCCCTCATGCCCCTTATTACTCTGGAGAAAGCTACAGCAGCATATTTTTCTGTCAACTCCAGCCTGGAAATTTCCAACGTGACATCTGCTTATACATACAGACAACCAGGGAGCAACCCGCTCTCGCCCCACCATCTCCGTCGTCCATTCTCCACAATCAGGTGTCTCCGACGGCAACGCTGGAGTAACGGAACGTAATTCACATCGCAATTTGACTAAGCGGTGTGCGGCATGATCCCTATTGTTGGGAAATATGATGTTCCAGCGGCGGCAGAGAATCTGCTATAGCGAACTTCTTGACGATCAAACCTGACCAACCCAGTCTATACACGTTCCCGTTCCCGTTAAGTTGATGAAAATTGCTAGACGTCCCCAGGGCCCAGAGATAGAATGTCGCGCGACACAACTCGTAGATTCTTCCGTCCTTCCCTCATTCATCCTTTCGAGACCACGGGACTAACGAAGTAATCCTCTCCCCACCGATATGGCTCCTTGTTGGCATGGTAGAGACAACGAAGGTTGCCATGGCCAACCACCGCGAACGAATAAACGTTGTGCTATATACTGCACTCAAGCAGCAGGACAGGTTGCAAAATGTTTTCAGCAACGGAACCAAAGCGGATTCTAACCATCAGCGGATATGTAGAAGGAAGCCATCGTATCGAGACAAGATCCCCGCTCTGCGTCCGGTCGTTGGCGGTTTGATGCTCTGGTTTTGAGGTAAGGAACATCATTGGAATCGGTATAGCTGGATCATACACCGTGGACCATTCAACCGCTTCTGCCTCTGCCCCCCTCTTTCCCTCTTTTACTTCCCTCAGGGCACCCTCCTCACATTGCCAACCTCCGTCAAAGCAGAAACCGAACTACTTGCACGGGCACCACAACGATGCCATACAGAGAACCAAAGACAAAAACCACATCGTTCCTATCAAGTAACCCCTATACTGCCAAAATAAAAAACAATCCCCCAATCAAAAAGACGCAGAAGCCGGCTCATCCCGTTCTTCCCAAACCAATCCTTTCATCGCGCGTTCGGACAATCCTCGCCTTATCGCCGGGCAGCGGTTTCAGCTCATGGTTAGGATCGTACGCGACGGAGCCAGAGTAGAAACCGGCACCGATACTACTGCCACCTGTGCTGTTTGCTAGTTTGTTTTGCTGGTTGTTTTCTTTGAGCTGTTGTTGGCGTTGGCGTTCTTCTTCAAAGGCGATTAGGTCTTCGGTTGATATGGTAATGGCGGTGGGTTTTCGGCGGAGCATATTTTCTTCCTCTATTTTTCTGTTAACTCTTTTTTCCCTTTCCTTTTAATTTTTCCTTTTAGCTTTCAGGTTTGACTTGCTTTGGTTCTGTTGTTGGATTTAGATATGAAACTATCCGAGGCTGAAGAGAAATGTTTGAGGTTGACGCTATTTATTGGTCATCAAAGTTGTTGTAATTATCACGTGATGGCTGAGAAAAGATTTGCCGAACCTCAACCTTCTGCTTCAACGACATTCGATGCAACTTCCCATCACCCACACTCAGATCCATCCGTTGGCATTCATCGGGCGAGTTTTCGTTACCCATCCCAGCCCTTTGCCAGTGGGGTAGCTTGGGCGCCGCTTCTCCTCATATTCCATAGGGCGATACTGTGAATAGCATACGAAGATGTTCAAGTCCTATGGCGTGTCCGCGCGCCAGTGGACCTCAGTTGTTGACTCCGCGGTGACAAAATGGAATCAAGGAGCAGCAACAGCTATATCTGCTCGGCTGTTTTCCTCGTCATCTAGCGGAGCAGCAGAGAATGGTGATGATTCAAGAGGTGTGTTTCCACAACTGCGGAGATTGCAAAGTAAGGAACAGCATTTATACTAATCACTAGGTTTAAAAAGCCAGACCGTCTAAATTCCTCCCGTGGCACTGCAAGAAGGCAGACTGATGGCTCCTCTTATCAATCCTCCTCTCCCACCCCTCTCATCCGTCGTATAGTTGAAGGTAGACCAATCACCCGTCAACAGCAGCCATTCCAACAACAGCACCGTGGACCACTCGACGCCCGTGCTCTAGGTGCCGAAGTCACTCAAGCAAGCGGAAAGCCTATCAAACTCCTCCGCGCACCTGCCACACTACGAAAACTAGGAAGTAATACCAGCCGACTCAGGACTCCCAAGCGTCCTGCAACCATCCGTCCAGCCCGTCGTCAGAGACAGGGCAAATCGTCGAAGAGCGACAGTGGGGGTGGTGCGTGGACCGGCCGTCGCGAAATGTCCAAGGAAGAACAGGAAGCTGAGGAAAAGGCTTATCTCGAACAGTGGGAGCGCGAGCGCCCGAAACCCGTCCGCTATATCCCGCACGGTTACAATCTTGATAACCTGCAACGAACGTGGCCGGCTCTGCCAATGGGTGAGACAGGTCCTAAGGAGGCGCTGCATGAACGCCTAGCATGGATGAGTGAGCGATACCCCAACGGCTTCGAGCCGATGGATCTCCTAGCGAAACGCGTCCATGAGGGGAAATGGACGTATTTCTATAGCGATGATGAGAAAAATGAAGCGGTGGAGTTGGCACGGAAAATGGAGGCCGAACGTGCGGATAAATTAACGGATCGCAAGGGGACTATGGTCGAGCCGGAGGACATGTCGTTCCAACCCATGAACGAGACGCAGAAGAAGCAGTTAGTTTCAAGGCTGGTTTCGGGCGAGTATAAGTCAGAGAAGGACCAGTGGATGAAGATGCATGCTACTAGACATCCAGTTATGCAAGATGTTATAAGGAATTTGACGAATAACTCGACGTGGCAAGCATCGCAAAAGACAGTGTTTTTGGAGACACTTTCTAAGTCGTTGCCGCAGCCTAAGGTTGCGAGACCCAAAGCCTAGAACATACTTTGCAAAGGATCGGGTTCTTTCTATATCTTGCTTCTTTTTTTCCTTCATCTAAACCTGCCATATCTAAGATTCATTAATTGTATACTACATTTCCATCTTGATAACCGTTTCATATCTACTTCTTTTCTATTTTCTGTGCTCAATTAGCATCCAACCTATATGACGTGCGAAGCCCTCTCTTTCATCCGTGTATCCCAACATGTGAAGAAACAGATATAGTAACTAGCAGCTGTATAAACGCCGGCATATCGTCCACATACGTCACGTCACCACCGATTTAAAAAGAAGAATTGAACAATCAGGCCTCCAATGCCTTCCTCGCTGCCTCAAAAACATCTTTAACCTCCTTCTGACCCTTCTCTGCCACCTTCTCCATTTTCTCTATCTGTTTGTGCAAGTCATCCGGCCTCACAAGCTTCTTGACCCCCATATGCTTCAACTTCTTGTTAATAGCGCCACGAGCATTGCGCACGGCGTTGGAAGCTCTTTCCATAGCCGCTTTCGCGTCTTTGACAGACTGTTCGCGTGACTCCTTGGTTGGAGGCGGGATTGGCACATTCAGCTGAAGGCTGTTGTGTGCGTCCGTTTGTGGGTTAAGGGACAGGTTGGACGAGAGCAGGGCAGAGGTTATGGGTTTTACGTACTAGGATTTCAGAATTTGTTAGTATCTAAGAATGATAATGGAATCGATGCTTTGAGGGTGGGCCAAAATTGGGCTTGTAGGAAACTAAAATAAAAAATAGAAATAAAAAATAAAAAAAGAGGAGGATATAGCACACCTCATCTTCTCCCACTAGTAACGTCAACATCCTCCCACCCTTGGGAATAACCTGTACCAGCTCCCCCAGTCTCACCGTCTCCTTGCTCCCCTTGCCATCACCCTTCGTAACCGCCACACGCAACGATTCAATGGTTTCTGGGTTAACTCTCCCGCCTGCCCGAAGCTTCGAGATATCATCTTTCAGCTTTCTAACCGCCTCTGCGATGTCATTGTCCAGCTGGGTGAAGCCAAATGGGTCGTCTGAATCCAGTGTTTCCGCACCGCCGCTGAGAGCTCCACTGTCCGCATCTCGCGACGAGGATTTGTTGCCTTTATCCTTTTTCTTGGAGAGATGAGAGGTTGTAGAGAAAGATTGTAGGCGGAGGGAGGCTGTGGTTGTGCGAGGAAGAATGAGGGAGACATTGTGCAAAAATGCTGGGAGAGCCGATCTAGAGCTCTTGGTGATGATAGAGCTACGAGTTCTCAGCGGGATGGATAGCGAGCACAAGGAGCCATTGGCACTTGCGGTTCTGGAGGTCAGAAAAGAAAGGAGTTCTGAATTCAAGGAGCGGATGACGGGAGACATGGTCGGTGTGGATGTGGTGTGGTGGTAGATAGATATATATCCAAAGGGGAGAGTTTGAGGTGGTTCAATATTTAAATATTTATTAAAGGTTCGAATGGAGGAGGAATTGGATTTTGGAGATTCAGACAGCAGCACCAAGGGATAATATCATTGCAAATATCCATATACCTTTGGTATATTGGTGCAATTTTATTCTCTTCATCGATATTTATTCCTGCCGCCAGATAAATATTTATCTCAATGGACAAACAATCTGAGCATCAGAGTAAAGTATTTAAATGTCACTCCACCTCGCTCAACCCACAAATATAATCAATATAAATCTTTCTCCTGTTCATAAATACTAACCAAACTGCCCTCGCCCCAAAATCGTCAGCAATGGAAATCGAATATTCCAGTGTGTCCCTCTGGCAAAACCATTTGATCTATTTACACTATGCTGCCTTTGTCACGTTCTTCTCAACCACCAACGTCGTCTTGAACTAAGTTATATACTTAATTTTCACTTTTCCATCTTCCGGGAGTCCCATTATCCTCCCATCCTGCAGGCCTGGTCCTTTCGTGCCGCAGAACCCCAGTTCAAACGTTACCGGCTTGAGCGGCCATCCTTCCCACAACCAGAGACTCACGCGTTCCAAACGCTCACACGTTTCCAGCTGCAAAACATCCAAAGTGCAACAAAACGCGCCCTGCCTGTGGCCATGTCGGTCAACTTCTAAACTTGAGCGATGGACGCATCGAAGTACTGTGGAGTGGGACGATAGGAACGCGAAGAGCTGCGTGCTCATGGCATTAGCGCGGAAGTCAATTCAAGATGCGGAAGCAAGATGGAAGTGCCGAGACAGGCCATGAACTGTGTCACGTAGTTGTCGTCGACAAAGTGGATGGAGAGGCGGCTGAGTTGGATACAAGAACTGATGAAGCGAAGCAACTAGTTGCCAGCGTGCGAGATTGCGAAGACACTGAATTGCCCGCTCATTTAGTATTCAACCTGAAAAAAAAAAAAAAAAAAAAAAAAAAAGCCGACCATTGCAATATCTGTAAGGCCGTTCTGCGCGAAGCTTTTCTGTCAGCCTTCAACATGGCCAAACGGTCGCAGAAGCAGTGCAGCTGCAACCAACGAGTTTGATCCTGTTAGGACTACCCGGTGGCAAAGGTGAGGCACAGGTAGTCGATGGTGATTTATGGATCAGGTCATTGAAGCTGGGAAAGGATCAAAGCATCTGACAGACAAGACACTCAACTATCGGTACTTGAGGTCGGGACTCGACATTGAGAATAGTCCATAGTGTGTTGAACTTCGTTGTCATTCTCTACCTGATCTTTCTCAATATTACAAACGCTCAGGAAAGATGGGTAATAAAAGGAGTAGGAAGTCTCCACGAGTCGCAGGATGCCTCGCCAGCTCCTAGAGAAGGTTATCGTGAAAGGCAGCTCTTAATTGTTGATGAGGAAATGGAGGACCAGAATGATTTATTGGAATTGATGGACGAAATGAGTCGGTGAAATATTGGTGAAAATGTGCCCTTGCTGCACTTCTAGCCGTCTCACACATTCCACGCGTTCCTGACAAACGGATAGATTGACTCCTGAGGAAAACATCGACAGAAAGAAAAGGCAGAAATGTTATTAATGCAAGAAGAAAATTTGCTTTCCGCCTACTGCAACCAAGGTACATTTGGATGTATGTATTTTATTCAAGTTACTTCTGAGAACAAGAGAAATAAAAAGAAATGTTCTGAGAAAAAAAAAAAAAAAAATTCAAACTTTTTCTATGAGGCCGTGAAAAACAAAAATCAAGCGACAAAAAAAAAGCTACGTTGGAGAAAAGGAAAAAGGCTAGTTACGTACGAGACGGCTAAGACATGGGGGAAAAAAACGGGACATGAAGATAAAAAGAAACAATTTAAGTCCGTCCAGTTCATGATGTCGCCCCCATTTTCACAAAACTTGAAAAAAAGGGGTAAATAACAAAAGAGAAAACACGATCGTCTCAATCTTGGTCAGAGGTTGGGGCAGGGGATCAACCAAGTCAACCAAGCAGGTTGGATATGAAAGGTCATGGTCATTTTGACAACGAATCGTGCAGGATATGAGAAAATGCCAGCTACACACAAGGACAACGGCGCAACATCACAACCCCTGACCACCCACAAAGCGGGTGGGAAAACGTTTATCATCCCATTCCTTTTCTTCCTCGACGGAAAGAGAAAAAGAAAATAACCCGGAAACATCATCAACGGACATCGCAGACAACCACAAGCAGCAGAAGAAGCTTTACCGCGTAGCCATCGCCTTAGTAATCAACCGCTTAAGAGCCAGTTCTTTCTTCTTCAGATCCTCGGGGGACGAATCCTCAATCTCCAGCTGGGCCATGGCGTCGCTGAGAGCGGACTCGATCTTCTCCTTGTTGCCACGCTTGATCTTCAGGGACATGGTTGGGTCCGAAATGATCTCCTCGACGCGGGAGATGTACGATTCGAGTTGCTGGCGGGACTCAAAGCGCTTGCTGAAGGCCTCGTCGCTGGACTTGAATTTAGCGGCGTCTGTTGGGCAGAAGAGAAAGGAAGTTGGGTTAGTTAAGTTTTTTTTCTTGGGTACAGTGTTTTCAACTGATTTAGTTGGGGTGGGGTTTGAATACAAATACATACCGTTGATCATGTTCTCAATCTCGGTGCTGGAAAGCTTGCCAACGGCATTGGAGATGGTGATATTGGCACTGCGACCAGAGGACTTCTCCGTAGCAGTAACCTTAAGGATACCATTGACATCAACCTCGAAAACGACTTCCAAGGCCGCATCACCAGCCTTCATGGGTGGGATGGGAGCGAGAGTGAACTCTCCGAGGGAGGTGTTGTCTTCGCAGTTGGTGCGCTCACCCTGGTACACGGGGAACTGTACGGTTTGCTGGTTGTCGACGACGGTGGTGAAAGTGCGCTTCTTGATGGTGGGGACGGTCTGGCCGCGGGGTACAACGGGGGCGAAGATGTTGCCCTCCATGGCAACACCGAGGGAGAGGGGAACGACGTCGAGAAGGAGGAGGTCGTTGGTGTCGGCGGAGGTGGCCTGGCCGGAGAGGATACCGGCCTGGACGGCGGCACCGTAGGCGACGGCTTCGTCGGGGTTGATGCTCTTTTTTTTTTTTATCGTTTGTTAGTTTCAGGCTCCCTTTTTCAGATGAAAAAAAGAGTTGTGGGGGATTTTTACCTTCTCGAGCTTCTTGCCATTGAAGAAGTCGCTGAGGAGCTTCTGGATGCGGGGGATACGAGTGGAACCACCCACAAGGACGATCTCGTCAACCTTGCTCTTGTCAATGTTAGCGTCCTTGAGGACTTGCTGGACAGGTTCCAAAGTGCCAGAAAATGCTTTGGCGTTCAGATCCTCGAAACGAGCACGGGTGATTTGAGAGTTAAAATCCTCGCCATCGAAGAGAGAATCGATCTCAATGGTGGTCTGGGTGGCATTGGAGAGAGTACGCTTAGCACGCTCGCAAGCAGTGCGCAGACGGCGGAGGGCTCTGGGGTCTCCAGAAAGATCCTTCTTGGTCTTGCGCTCGAATTCCCTCTTGAAGTGTTCGAGAAGGTTGGTGTCGAAGTCCTGTCCTCCCAGGTGGGTATCACCAGCAGTAGCCTTGACAGTGAAGACACCGCCCTGGATGTTTAGAAGGGAGACATCGAAAGTTCCTCCACCGAGATCGTATATGAGGACATTGCGCTCCTTCTCGGATCTTCCTGAGCCAAGACCATAGGCAATGGCGGCAGCGGTGGGCTCGTTGATGATACGGAGGACGTTCAGACCGGCAATTGCACCGGCGTCCTTGGTGGCTTGTCTTTGGTTGTCGTTGAAGTATGCTGGGACGGTGATGACGGCTTTTGAGACCTTCTTGGCAAGTTTGGTCTCAGCAACCTCTTTCATCTGTTTTTGAAGGGGGCTGTTAGTTATTTGATTTTTCCCATGGCGAAAACGTTAACGATGCAGTGAGATACACACCTTCATAAGGACCATAGAAGAAATCTCTTGGGGAGAGAAAGTCTTGGTCTCGCCCAGATACTGGACCTGGACAACGGGGTTTCCGCCCTGGTCAACGACCTTGAAAGGCCACGACTCGACATCCTTCTTGACAACGGGGTCGTCGAATCTCCGTCCAATCAACCGCCTATTATTCCAGAAGTATTAGCAAATCAATCTAACGAAACGGGGGTTTCTTCTTTATATATATATATATATATATATATTTTAAAAAAAATAACAACAATAATAATCAAATGAAGAACGTTGAGAACAACTTACTTGATATCAAAAACGGTATTCTGGGGGTTCATGGCAGCCTGGTTCTTGGCCGCCTCACCGATCAAACGCTCCTCATCGGTGAAGGAGACGAAGGAGGGGGTTGTGAAGCTACCCTGCTCGTTGGCAACTGTTCAGTGGGCAGATGAGAACCCATTGTTAGCACCACTATTTACTTCTCGGGGGTTGTCATTGTGGTTGGATAGTGTGTGGGGCGAGGGGTTAAATATTCAAGTTGTGCGTGTGTGTGGTAGATATTGTTGTGTGCACGAGTCATTTTTGTGTGGGAAAGAAAACACATACTGATTTCGACATTGTTGCCCTCGTAGTTGGCAACGCACGAGTAGGTGGTGCCTAAGCAGAAAAGGAGATATTAGTTATTGCACTTCTATTATTAATAATATTAATATTAATATTAATACTTGATTTCGATTTCGATTTCGATTGCTCTGTTTCCTCCTTTACAGAGGATAAATAAAATTGTGTTTGGCATCCGAGGGGGATATGTGGGGTGGAGCTTGGATAGGCAATAACTATATCAATCAATCTTACCAAGATCAATGCCGATGGCACCCTCATAAACTTCGTCGGAAGACATGATGAAAACAATGTGTGTGTTATCTTGTTATTTCAACGCGTTTTCTCCGAAATCAAAGAGGAAGAAGCGGTGAGCGGAGGGGGAGAATGGACGAGGAAGAGAAAAGAGAGGACGAACTGGAGGATGGATGAAGAAATAGGAGAGGAAGAGGAAGAGGAAGAGGGAAAAGACGACGAAAGAAGACGAAGCAGAGGAAATGAGCTCGGTGTTGATGTCGAGGTTGTTGGTTAGTGGTGATTTTTTTTTTTTTTTTTTTTTTTTTTTTTTTTTTGCTCTTGACCTTTTTTTATCCAGCGGCTTATTTATCGAGGCCCAAAGCTTGGACCAAAAAAAACGTGACGAACCAATTGACGAGAGCAGCGCTAAGCCTTTTTGGGACTAGGTTTTTAGTATGAGAGCTTAGTCAGCCGCCTGTTGCCCTTAATTTGTTCCTCGGCTGGAAAGTCCAGAGCAAAGTCAAGGCAAAGGGGGCAACGCGGAGGGCAAAAACAGTGGATATTATTGTGGAAACTGAGGTTAATTTTCCCTAGGTAGTTTAATTATAATACAGGAAGAAGAAGAAGAAGAAGAAGAAGACGAAGAAGAATGAAAAGAAGGAAAAGAAGAAGGAAAAGAAGAGGAAAAGAAGAAGGAAAAGAAGAGGAAAAGAAGAAGGAAAAGACCTGTGCAACAAGGGTAACTGAGCAACCCTCGCACATGGCAACTAGCTAACACCTGATAATTAATACAGTAGCAAAAACAAGGTTTCACATCGGAGCACGGAGAAGTTGCGCAGAAAGTGGTTCGAACGCCTGCAGAATGTGGCCGCTGCCTTGAATCGAAAAAGAGTCCGGCCACCTACCAAAACCCAGAGACCATATCACATACGCCTCATGTCGCTGCGAGAACACGGTAAGGGAGGTTGGCGGGGAGGGAAGGAATTAATTAACAGAATAGGGTATGACACGGGAATGACTGAAGTGTAAAGGAGAATTTAGCATCCAATCCAATATAACTTGGAAAGGGACACCGCTAACCCCCCTCCTCCTCCCCCTCCCCCCTCTCCTCTCCAACCCCCCGAAATCAAAGGATCAACAACTACCTCCTCATCAAATTCACATAAACCGTCAGCCGCTCATACTCACTCTCCACCTGCACAGGAGCCCTCGTTCCCCCTCCACCTCCCCCTCCACCTGCACCTACAACCGAACTTGAAGCCGGACCTACCCTTCCCCGCGCAGGACCAGCACTCATCTCAACATCAATCTTCGTAATCCCAACCCCAAGCCTAACCTCATAATACGGCCTTGTCGGATCCATCGTCCGCGCCGGCGACAGCATCGGCGATATCCGATGCCCGCCAGCCGTGACGGTGAGTTGTGTTTGGCGCTGTAGAGGACTGGAGCTGGAACTGGGGTTGGGGCTGGGGCTGGGGACGGCGATTGTGGGAGATATGCAGATGATGTGTGCTTTGGCGGGGAGATTGATGGTTATGGATTGGCTGGTGAGGGTTGGGGAGGGGGGAATATCGAGGAGGATGGATTTGGAGAGGTTGAGGTTTGGGTGGCTGGATAATCGGACGTTGGAGAGGAGGGCGGCTAATGGTGGTGGCACGGGTTAAGTGGTTAGTGATGGTTCGGGCCAGCTTTTCTTTTCTTTCTTTTTCTTAGGGGCGCAATTTTCTCTGGCTTCAACATATTTAGAGATATATCTATGGTTTATCTTACCTCTGCCTGGCTTTCGTAATCTCAGGTTCAACCGCGGCACCGCTGTAGGTGTAAATGGATAGGAATATGAACGAGAATTAAACGCCCGTAACAGCGTCTCTGAGTTATTTTGTTGCATTAACGGGTCATCCGTCGATGGTGGCATTTTGCTAGACAGTTCAGCTGGTCCGGAAACTGTGCGATTTCGTGCGTTGGGGGGCGCTTTTACATGTTCCTGGTTCGTCCTGCTCCTGAGAGTAGGAGTTGATACCCCTGTACCTTCAACTTTGGCAGCAGACGAAGGCCGCACAGGCGATGACCCCGCGTTGCTTCGTTGCTGTTGCTGCTGCTGCTGCTGCTGTTGTTGTTGTTGCTGTTGCTGCTGCTCTTGCTCCTGTGATCGCGTGCTTCGCGTCGAAACCGCCCTGGTCCCAGAACCAGATCGATCTCTCAGCGTTCTTGTGGGCGGTGTCGGCCGTTCCGGTACTCCTAGTCCATTAGACGTGGCTGCCTTGACATGTTCCTGCTGCCTGCGCAGCGCTTCATTATCTATCAAAACACCTCCCTGTCGATGTTCTATATCCGCCGATGACGGTTGGTCACCAGTTCTCCCAGGAAATCGCAACGTGAGCTTCGGCGGCGCTGGTTCTGGGGTCTTTGTGGCTCCTACACGCAGCTTAATGCGTGGGGTAGGACTACCCCCATTTGTCGTCGAGGCGGGTTCAGGGACCTGCTTTCGTGCTTCCGCAAGAAGCCGATGGAAGTATTCCTAGCACCTTGTCAGCGAAATTGAAACCTACACTATACCTGGGAAAGAAATCCACCTGTCGCAGAATTACCTCAAGTGACCCAGCAAGGGCAAATATTTCACTGCCATCCTCATTAAATTTTCTGGCATTGCGCCAGATGTAGCTGACCTCCTCCTCGAACGCATCCCACGTCTTGAAAGGAGTGGTTTTGGTAGAATTCTTGCGTCCGTCTGTGCCTCGGACCAGTTTTAGGATGGCCCTGAGGGACACGGGATGCTTTATGATTTCATAGTACTCCTTGTATAAATTCCGATCAGGCATACTGAGGAACGGGAAAAAGACTTCTTCGCCACTAAATGTTGTGTTAGCACATTACAATAGCGTTGCAACTTTGATCGCAGGCAATTGCATGCAAAGCAAACAATCTCACTCTGAATCCTTTAATCGAATCATTCCAGCAATTATCTTCTCCTGAGCACTTTCAAAAGTTTCCCCCTCAAAGTTCAAATGCGCGTTCTCATTGGAGTCACCCTGTTCCAAGCCCGGTGTCTCGACTGCGGATGACTTTTCATCCTCAACTTTAGTGTCCTCGTGAATTTCAGGTTCCGGGGACTGGACTTCTTCTCCTTCCCGTTCCACTTCTTCTTCGTCTTCTGGTATCGGGGTAGCAAAAGGTGCGTAGTTCGGATCGTTGTATGCGGGGTTTATTGTAGACATTCTATTCGCGACTAATTTCCGTATGCGCTCAGCGTTGGAAAAAATCATTGATCCTTTGTCATTGTAATACTTGGCGTTGCTAACCATCCTCCGGAGGTCACTTTCTACAGGAGTTAAACAGAGGTATTCACGTTTTTTCAGTTTGTCCTAAAAACATCGCCAAAACGCGGAATCAGTTAGTGATTAAAATGCAAAATATGTGCTTGAGGTAAACATATCACGAGTCCCTTGTGGAAGATTGGGTCATACCTCGACAGTATCCAGGGCAATTGGAAGGCGAATCGCTTTGTAATAGTGAGGATTTTCTTCCTGTTGAATGACAGTGGTTAGCTTACTATGCGCAGTTGGCAGGGGGTTGATTGGTAGCTGAAATAGAGCTCACCCGGTTAGGAAGATGCAGAAATTCCGTTGCAACAAGTTGTCCACTATCGTGAAAGAAGTACATAAGTTAACGGGGGGGATCACTAAACAAACGTCTCCAGGAGAGCGACCCATGCAAATCATCCAATAACATACTGTTTATCAGTCGCCTCCTTGATCAGCGCGAGCAGTTCTAGACCTGTTTCTGTTGTTTTCTCGGGGGTCTCGTCTGTTTCGGGGACATAAGTCTAGTCGGCATCGACATTTAGCTCAGATATATTAACATCAAAGCACACGATGGAACACGAAGGGACCTTGGGGATGCGGGGGGGCGTGCTATTTAGCCGGAGCCGGGGAGAGGGTCAATCGTATTTCGGTTCTCCCTGAGAACAACCAATTCCCAAGCACCGGTTGAGAACAACAATGATAGAAAACCACACCAAACTGACAAACTTACTGAGGTCCTGCGCCGTTTCTGGCCCTTTGCAGGGCCTTCTGGAGACCCCGCCACGGTTCCCCGCCGTTTAGTTGTCATGCTTGTGGAGTGTCTTTGGGGATAGTTGCGACGAGAGAGCCAGGGCAAGGGGCAAGAGTGAGGTTCGCAATTGGTTGGACCGAGGGTTGGCGGGATTTAGACATGAAGAGTCACGGGTAATAGCAGCGCTCATGCAGCGGGAGACGGCACAGTAGCAGAGGGTGTGGCTGGCGCAAGATGGGCAGAAGTTAGGATGTCGCAGCGTAACTGAACGAGAACAAGACGATGATGCTGCAACGCGACATGACGAGGTTAGAGTACACAACGGAGTATTGGAGAGTATGGGGTGAGGTTCGGTACGGTACGGTATGGTACGGATCTCGGTGATAATTTTGCGTGAAAATGTTGTAATATTACGGTATCATATTACACATGTTATTTATGGGTCCATGTTAATATGTCAAATACATACACAGGAAATAACTCCAATCAACAAATACCGTACCACACAATACAATACACTAACGTAATCAACCATCAACTTCCCAGCAATCACCAATATGTGCGATATAGCTGCAGAGACACCGCTGCGGCGTCGCGTACAGTACATTAGGACACTGTATGATGAGGCCAAGCAAACCAGTATATAGAACAAATAGAGTTTTGATATCATGTGAACGAAGCGATTAAGGGAGTGGAGAAATACATTACTTATTATGATATATTTCACGCGAACTTAGCCATCACACAAATTTAGTATGAAGAGACTACCTCTAAGACAAACAAGACAAACACAACATGTAATTTCCCTGACTAAATTGGCGTGGGTTGGTACAGTTGAAATACGCTATCCCCCAATCACCGAAACAACAAATGATAACTCGAACCGCTGCTCACTTACTGCTCACTTACTGCTCACTTTCACTACTTCTCACTACTCACTGCTTGCTGTGAGAGAAACTTGTCAACCCAACCCCTCTCGCATATACTTGCCATTGGCATTTCTTACAGCTACTACTGCTACTGGACACCAACTAGGCCTCCTTCTCCAGTCACGGTCCGTGAGTTAGGAACTAAACAACCCGCGTTACGCCTGTTTTTGCCGCTTGAAGAGGAAGCGTACACATACAACTCGACTCTTCCTCCCGTGGTCCGGCTTCGCATAGTCCTTCATTTGCATTTCAATCTCTTCCTCTTTTTCCTGCTGGAGGAAAGACACTGTCCGCACTCATTCTTTCCCGCACTCTACCAAAGTCCTATTTTACGATTGAATCGGTACGTTGCGCACGTGTCTAAAACACCACTTGCCCGCGCTCAATACATCCATCCCAGCTGGGCAGGCCCCCTTTCACCTGAAAAGAATCCTATACGACAGAGAACGCTATACCTATACCCATCCTACAATAGGTACCTAATTTGGATCCCTCTGTTTTGAAAAACAGACAGCAACTACATTCTTTCGTGATCATGGATATCGACTACTCACGAAGGAACAAGAAGCCCCGGCTACTCCTGGAGCCGGAGCGGGAGAAACTGGACGAGTTTATTGAAGGCATACATTATTCTTCGAGGTATGTATTGGTCTGTCCTTGCTTATACGTGGAAGAAACCCATTCTATTTATTTTTAAAAGGAATATCACACCCACCAAAGACACCATTTGCCCTTCTGACACCTCCAATTGTACAGATATTCGGATAGCGAATTCGAGTACCGCCATGTCCAACTACCCAAAAATATGCTAAAGAACATACCCACCGACTATTTCGACCACTCCAAGGGAACGCTGAAGTTGCTGTGGGAGGAAGAGTGGAGAGGCCTGGGCATTACGCAGGTATGTTGAACCTGCCTGGCGCAAAGTGCCATCTGGATTTCTCATCGTGGAACATGCTGACACTCTGCCTTTTGTTCTTCTAGAGCTTGGGCTGGGAACACTACGAAGTCCACGAGCCAGAACCGCACATTTTGCTCTTCAAGTGAGTTTTTCGCCATGAGTTCCTCCAATCTGCACGTTCTGTGTTATATCATTACCTCCACTATCTTATTACTGACTGGTTGGCATCATACAGGCGACCAATTAACTACCAGCCTCCCACCAATTAATGACAGCCTGATTGTCCGCCCTCCCCCTTCAACTTCCAAACATAAGAAACCACAACCTTAAATGATGTATGCTGGGGCGTTCTTTCATTCCTCCATGATAAAGCTAGTTTCCTCAAGAGTAATATAGATCGAAATGATCAGTTTCCGTTTTTCGAATTTCACCACTACAACAAACAACAACCAATCGACTTTGGGAATTATAAATGGCAATTTTTCTGCATTCCCTTATCATATTGTTCGCGACTACTTGTTCTTTTCCCGTATCTGTTCCAGATGTCCACATTAAATAGATATTTATTTCATGTCCTCTCAATTTTTGCTATCAAGTTTGTGTAATTACAGAGGTCTCAATATTTCTCTTCTGAACAAGCGTTGCAGACACCGCAGAACAACCCACCCCATCTCTATTTTTTTTTATTCCGTCTCTCTTTGTACTATGTGATACACACATCAACCCACACTCCCCTCTCCTGCTAGAACGAAACCATTTGAACTCAACCCCCAAATTTCCTCGGTCCTTTCCTTTTCATCCTAATTTCTCCTCAGAGTTAATGTTTCAATCACACAACATTCTTCTCAAGCCATTTCTCCCATTGTTCTGCCGTAAACCTGCTGCTAATGGTTCTCTCCTCAACGCCCTATAACCCAGTAGCATCCGACGAGTTAGTATAACAACAGTATATAAGATATATTTCACCGCAAAAGGGGGGATGGAGCACAATTGCCCCAAAACTCTCCAAAAATTTTACTTACATCAAAGTATACCGTAGGCGTAAAATGCACCCCGATCAACCGCGAAGCCTTGCCAAAAAAGGAGAAAGAAAAAATATCACATTAGCAGCCATCACCACGGAAAAGGAGAATAAGTAAGAAGTAGCTAGGAAACAAACCTTAACCATAACCTTCAAATCCCCAGTTACCCCATTCCCCCCATTAAGATCTCCCTGCTCATCCGGCTTATCGCTAACAGCCAACATCTTCAGCAACGCCGCCTCATCAACCCCGACGCCGGCCGCAATCTTCGCCAGACGCGCATACGTCTCATTCCTCGTCTCGTTAACAACGTTCGCATCAAAGAACTCTGTCTGTCTGGCGAAGAGCGCGGCACTGAAGGGCCAGAATTTCTCCGGCGCAAGCTTTAGGACGGCTACGCCAGCTTCGTGGGTGAGGGTCGAGGAGGGGTGCCAGGGCTGGATCTGCTGGCGGAAGATTACCTGGAGATTGTCGCGGTAGTGGGCGTTCTTGGAGAGGAGAGGGGTTATGGTTGGGTAGAAGGTGTTGAAGAATATGGCGGAGTACTGAGGGAGGGAGGTCGCGGGGTTAGTGTCTGGTTTCTGGGTTCGAAGGCGTACTGTATGTATGTATGTATGTATGTATGTATGCATGTGTCTTCATAATATGGGATGGATGGGGGTGGAAAATGGGGTTATCGTACGGGGCAGACATAGTCCAGGTCTGTTTTGATGGGAGATATTGGTGTTAGTTTTACATTGATTTAATCGCCATTGGATTGCATCGGATGGAGAGATATGTGATGGAAGATGGGACCAGAATATCATCACACTAACAAAATTCCAGCGTATGCTTGGTCTCCGTGCCTCCACTCAGGGAGAGCTTCTGGCCGGCGAATTGGGGATTTAGAGTCATGGTCTGTCTTGCTTGCGATCTGGCTTGTTCTTAGTGTAGGTGGGTTAGATGGGAATTGGAAACAATGTGGGAAGCAAAATGTGTCGGCGGGGAGTTTTTTCGCAACGGAGCAGCCTGGAGGGGCGTGGGGCCTGGGGGGCTTGCAGGGTCTGCAGGGTGTTGCAGGGTTGACAGGCTGATTGGGGATGACGACATCGCGGCTACGGCTGGAATCATGGTCATTGGCTAACTGTAGCTGTTCCACCCACAACGAACTAATGTTGCAACACAACCCCGAAACCGGAGCAGCAAACCGGAGCAGGTTTAGGTGTCTAGGTGTCTAGGTGGTTTAACTGTTACCCCTGTTGGTTAGGAAGCGACTGTTACATAGTTGCCCATTGCTGAGAGGAAAATCCCTTGCAGCTGGCAGATGCTGAGACGGTTGACATCTTTAGAGTGGAAGTATTCAGGGTGTTTCCGTGCTTTAACCGCCGTCACTCTCCTCTGCTAAAACATACTAAAAATAGGGGAAGTTGCATGACCGATTGCGATTGATTACACTTCTATTTTTTTGGGTCTGGAGCTTGGAAGCTAGGAAACCAGGGGAAAAATAAGAATGATGCTCACATTCCATTTACGCAGAGGGTAAAAACTGTTGTATATATGAAATTTGCCAACTACCTTGTGCAAACCATATAGAACGCCGCCACCAGCCAATGCTGGGGGCCAGGAATACGAAAAATAACAAAACAAACGTGGGGTTATCAAGAAGAACATACGTATCCACCGGCTGAGAGCTAAGGGTAAATGTAAGCACCTGAAGAGAAAACGCCGGAGGAATAACTGGCGCATAGCAGAGCGGCGAGTAGATGGCTGGAAGGAAAAGAGAAAAGAAAAGAAAAGACGTAGCAAATTTACTGACAACTTCGCATCAAAGTCATCTTGGGTGGTTATGAGCTCTTATCAGCGTAATCGTCCAGTTCGCTTTCTTGAGAGTGAGGTTTATGGACACTATTAAGATATTTTGATCTGTAAGGGAAGGTGTTAAGAACGAGAACATTTACGTCATACCAGCTCTTTTTTGCTGGCTCATAAGTACCGATGATATGGACCTCGCAACCCCCCTTTGGCCCTGAGAAGAGAGCAATACCATTCATCCTGAAGGACCCCTGTTGCGGAGTTTCGTTCTGTTTCTTCCGCCGGGACAGCAGGAGAAATAGCTTGAATATATTTATTGCGATGCGGACGTCAGAGATTGGCTCTCTTGGTACCCCAGCTTGGTTCTGCAAAGCGGAGCTGGCCTTGGAAGATTGAAATTCTGTGGAGCCACCGGATTGGGTAAGATCTGCTGCCCCCGCGTTAGACGTCAGGGGATATGTTATGGATCGAGTAAAATTGGATGCACTGGCAGAATCTGTATCCTTTGGTGAAGCTATGTGACTTTGATCATCTGTTGTCCGTCTGTTTGACGATTCTGTCTTGGGGATTCCCAACATCTTTCGAAGCTTCGCTATTTTCGCTGTAAACAAATACTGCCCAGCAACCCAAGATGATGTCATGAGGGACCAAGGCTCGAATATGCTGCGAATCCACTCTCCCCGGTTCCCAGGTATTGGGCGAGTCGTCCAAGATATGTCATCTCCTCTAAGCTCAAAGCTATATAATGCATCAGCAAAAGCAGCGGCTTATCTATCGATTTCGTAATCGAGTTACTTACCCGGGTTGGACATAGCCGAGAGGTTTATGAGTGGGGAAATTGAATTTAATGGAAGTTCTTCTAGTAGGTTTCAGAGGGGCACCAGTCACATCGGTAACTGCCTTGACTGCCTTCTCGTTCACTATTTCGGTTGCTCTATCTAACAAATCATCTAGAAGAAAGGTTAGGAACTGAAGTGTTGATAAGAAAGAGATTCTAAAAGTTAGAGTAGTCCCTACTTCTCAATTTAACGAATTGTGCATTGTCATTTGCAAATTTCTCGAACGTTTTCCACTCGGGGTCATCTTCACTGTACAGTTCTCCCGGTACGGTATACGGCAACCCAACAGGGAAGAATGGTATATCCTGCTTCTGGAGGTTGCCATGCTCTTGGGTATCCACTTGCTGTTCTAGGCTGAGATCTTCAGCAATACTTTCATCATTCTCCACCAGACGGTCCAACGAAGACCCTATAATTAAGCCATAAAGTTGGGATGCGATGTTGACGGACAGAATAGTGACTACACCTCTCCTAGTGTGCCAGTTAGTTTGAGTTTGTATATATATGTTACTCGAATTTGGTTGAATTAGACGTACTTTAACCATCGCCTTTTGATCCTCACTCGCTGGACTTGCACGATCCCATTGTAGCTGGTAAAAGACCGTCGGGTGGTTTGGGGCACTCGGAGGTGACAGGCTGGAGCGACCCGTCTAAAGTTCTGAAGCATTTGAGCCACTTCTATCTCGAAGCTCTCATTCTTGGTTGTGAAAGGCTGTGCCTTCAGCGGAGACAAAGGACAGAGCGTGACGACAATATCAGAGGCTCATTTGGGACAAGTGCAACCCCAGGATTTTGCCAAATACTGTGAATAAATAAACAAAGAATAATGATTATCAATGAAAATCTATGGCAAGTATTAGACTGTGGAAGGAATAGAAGTGATATAGTCTGTTCTTCAGATTTATTTTCCTGCACAAACCCTCCACATCAACACTGGGATCTTATTTTACGGTTCCAAGGTTGCCAAGATAATGGACACGTGATTTTACAAAATACAACTGTCCCTGATCGTTGGAACTGCTCAACCTTGAGAAACTTTGGTATAAATTTCTGTTTCTTGCTTTTTGACCGCGCTGTATGCACTTCCAAAGGTGCTCAGAGCAAAAGATAGGAATCCTGGTGTTTATTAGCATTATTTATATGATCTATTCAGTATTTATTGTTTAGTTACAGAGGAAACTGCTCTTATTTCCTCTCTTGCAAGTTGAAATTCTCGATTACTTTCCGGTTATACCGGGCAGTATCACACTTCATGACCCCAAGGCTATATTTCAATGAGATGGGAATCCCGTGGAGAGAGGTCATTAAGGAGATACAACCTCCTTTCTGGCTCCTACTTCAATAATAGGCTGGCTATTCCTTTCTGGCTGGGATTCAAGTTAATAAACACGGCAATTTTGCCGGGACCTCGTTGGATAGCTTGCAGCTGAATAGGATAAGCCATAGGAATGGCAATTTTCAAAATTAATCCACTCAAGGGGATACCGGGGGAAAATATAGGCTCTTGTACTCAGGTCAGAAGGATTCGGTGCTATCTCGAATTTGAAAAAGAAAGAAAAGGAAAGGGGAAAAGAAAACAAATCGGTCTTTCTACATATTTAGCCATCGTACTCCGTACAGCTAGCTCAAACTGCTGTTAACTGTTCTTAAAGGTCTGTAACTATGTCAGAGGGAATCGAAGAATAATCCGTTGAACAAATTAAGGTTGAGCGGCTGTCAATTAATGTATTTCAACTAAACCTCTTTGGAGATAGCGTGATCCACAATTACATGGATCAAGTTAGCACAACGTTTAACTCAACTACATTATTTGCACTCTCAACTCTCACCCTAAGTGCTGGTAAGCCAGGAGTAGAAGAAGAAAAAATATAACTTAATCGTTTTATTTTATACGGATCTCGGGGATCTAATTAGATCCGATGACCTAAAACTTTGCGCTTTAGTTTTATTATTGTCTCCCAAACTATCAGGCGAACATGATCGTTCTGCTTCTTCGTGTAACGGAAAAACTTAACGGCTCCGTACAACTAAATACCAGTGAAATGGTATGTGGCACACGATGATGATCTACCTAGAGTGATCATATACCTTGTTTGCCATGATCTCATCAAGGGGACTTGCAACCCAAAGCTGTGGAAACGCAGATTCAACTGGTGTTGCTATCGTTGGGACCGTTGGAAATAAATAAAACGAAAACGAGGAGTCAGGGGTTTGCTTTTAAAGTTTTGAACTCTGTTTAAACTAATCAGGCGTTAAACTTTTTTCTCCGTCCAAAAGCGCCTGAAGACTTCTAGGAGCTCCCATTTTGGCTGTAGAGGCTAATAATTTCATAATTCGTCCTGAACCTCTAGGCTGATCTTCATCATACACATATAGGGAAGTCCTTGGCTATGCCATATGATAACAGTGTAGCCAACTGACTTGGCTAGTCCTCAGGCGATTCGAGCATACAGCGGGTTTTCCCTTCCTAGGTCTCATCAGGGCGTCCGCTCAGCTAAGGGGTTCTGCGATCAGCTCAATCCGTGGTGACGGGTAAAATCCCGGTTATTTATCACCACGTTACGTATGTATTGCTATTCAAGGCAACCATGACGCCTAAGTCATGTACACGGCGTCGGAGCTTACACTCTGAGCCGGGCGATCCAAAGATTTTGGTTCCGCAGTGATTAAACTTGAGAGGTTTCATTGAGGAGTAAAAGTTATCATTATGCAGGATGAGACTTTTTTGCCAGAATTTCCGAAGTCAGAGGCACCTCTGGTGTAAAGGTGTCAAGAATGATGAGGCTCTGTAGTTCACTACACCTTGAGCACGGGAGCCTATCGCTCACACCAGAGGAGTTAAATAACCCGCATCCCATTTTCCTAGCAGTTTTCTCCGTGTTTAGCCAACCTGTTGTTGGTTCTCGCCATTCCTTGACCACCAGAATGTCGCGGCAAGTGGTTGTCTCTCGATTTACTTCAAACACGGTTGGATCTTCTTCATCCAGGTCTTGAAAATCGGTATCTCAACAATGAGGGGGCCTCAACCCCAGCAAGCAGCACCCGCATATCCCTTGTCTCTTGATTTTAAATAAATAAACTCCACGAATCCGAGAATCTGCACAAACATTCGCGTCCAAGAGTAAATAAAAATGCACTCAGTTAACTTTGAAGATCAACACTCATTAATGGGCGCGATCTGCTGGGAAGAATTAAGGATATATCCCTTGGCTCTTTCGATAATCCGAAAGGGCTTTGCGAAGAGTCTTTTAGAATGGCGTTTCAAATATAGCCCGTATATCGCACTTGATGAAGTACTTCTTGAATGTGTTCTCTGTAAATTGGGTCACCACCAAAACTGATTCGAATACGCTTCAAGTCCTAACTCAAGAGGTGCAACGGTAGACAGTGTGATTGAGCTCGGAATTTTTAACTGGTTGGGTGCGCTACTATCAGTGACGCTTGATAGCTCTGGACAGGCCTCAGCTTCAACCACGGTTCGTCTTCGCCATGGCTCTAAAGTCCAGTGAAGTCATTACTATTTGCCTCCACAGTCATTCTCAGGAGAAAGATGTCTTCAACCGAGTTTAAAACGTGTCCGAAGTAAAGTGAATATAATATGAATAAAATGTAGAATCATGTTTTAAAATGTGAATTGTAAGGAAGAGATTATTGAATAATTTCTCCCATTGTAAGACATTGCTCAGAAGAGAGCAAAGTGTATTGAGGGTAAAGTTTGGCAAACGACGAATTTGCGGGAATGCCCTCGGACCGACGACAAGTGGAATGACTTTATGACGCTAAGCCTAAGACGGCAACGCTGCTTGCTGAGCTTGTGATTGGAAGCTTTCAACATCAACTCCAAGTAATCAGCCGAACAAGCAATGATAGAGAACAATCTACATATAACCACTACGAGTTTATTACGATTATCACCAGCTTCCACAGATCCAGCCTTCCTGGGAATTGGTTGGCTTCTTCCGGTCCTCGCTTTGTCCTTCATCCACAGCCGGGTCCAGCTGTCAACCAGCCACATTGCAGCATGAGGCCCCTCATATCCCTCCTCGTTCTCCCTTTCTCTGCGATCACCGGCGTTGTAGCCTACGATGCTAGAGCTTACACATTTGATCCGCAACAATTACCTGTGCCTCCGGTTAATCGGGTAGTAACTCCAGAGACAGCCAGGCTTATATTAATTAGCAGATTAGGGCTGTCGGAATGTTCGACATTAGGTTCTGTCGACGAGACTGTCATCCGGGATCTGAATACATTTGGAGGAAAACAGACGCCTATCATGGAAGATGCAATGTCTGATGGCGATTATTCGAAGTTGCTACTTGTGTGGGAAGGTGTTGATATTCCTGATCGTAAGTTGCGGGTACTAATTGATCGTTCGCAGGGGACGTCCTAACTCAAGCACAAATAGTTGCCTCCGCTTCGAAATATTCCTCGAACTCTTTTACCATTCCCACTGCGCCCAATGATCTAGTCGATGGCTCGTTTATCAAAAAATTACTAGCTCAATCTTCCACAGTGCGAACCACTTCAAAACTTTGTCCCTTCGATTTCGATGTAGAAGGTGGATTCCGGGGATCCCTAATTCTGGTAGGAACCAGTTCTCTATGTGAAAGCTAACTTCGTCACTTCAGCTTGTTAACAACGAATTATAAATGTTAGTATACGAGTCAGTGTCCTTCGGGGAATAATCTCTTCCCCTCAGGAACCTCGAGATTTAGTGAAACAGCATTTCTCAAATTCCTGGCTCGAGGTGCCCGGTCCTGGGGAGGCGAGCATACAACCGCTATACTAAGGATATCTTCTGGGGTGAGCTGCAAAGCCCCTTCCAGAGTAAAATTAAATATAAAACCTTCAGCCACTAACATATCACTGTTTCCTAGTCAAATACCCCAGCTGTCCGAAAGACGGTCTTTTCAACCCTTGCGGAACTCAGCATCCTCGCAAAGGAATCCAGGCAAGAATCCACAATGATATTTGCCGATACTGTCCCACCATACCGCACCGCCAACCGCCCATACAAAGAAAGAGAACGCAGCATACTGGAACCCAGACAGCCCAAAGACGCAAATGATATGACGCGAGGCCACAAATTCCCGTCCGCCATGATGCCCTTTTGCTACAACGACAACAGAACTTGCACAGAGGCGACCAATAGCTGCTCCGGTCATGGTTCTTGTTACCGTAAATTCGGTTCCAAGGAGGGCTCCAAGGGAGACTGCTATGCATGCAAATGCGGCCGAACCGTCGTACGTACGAATCAGGATGGAAGCGTGAAAACCGTCCAATGGGGAGGGCCTGCGTGCCAGAAGAAGGACGTCAGTATTCCATTCTACAGTATCGCTGGGATTTCAATCTTGGTGGTGTTTTCTATTGCGGGAGGTATCAGGATGCTCTTCAGTGTTGGAATGGAGGAGTTGCCGAGCGTTCTTGGTGCAGGAGTTGCTGTTCCGAAGTCACAAAAGTGAAGATTTTGCTTCTTGCCTTGTGTTTTGTGGCTATTGATTTTATATTGGCGCGTGGGTATTTATTTGGCTGAGTTACCTTTTCTTGCACCTTCTGTTCGCATTTTTCATTTTATGTTTGCTTCATTGATTTACCAACATTGGATCTCTTTCTACCCAGGACTTTTCCCGTTTTATGTTTCTGTTTCTTCCTCTTTAACTGTTGGCTGGGTTTTGTTTTCTTGTAGTTTATATCTCACATGGATACCTAGATTATGGCTATATCAATATCAAGCATATAATGATCGTTTGTTTGGGCAGCTCTTTTAGTTTTTCCGCTCGGTGAAATTGCCCACCTGGAGAGTGTTGACTTATGGAGTATGAACGTATTCGCGACACAAGGAATGAACACTAGCCAACAACCAGGAAATTTACCCCGACAGATATCCATGGGAAATCTCTCTTCATAGTATGTGTTTTATCTGCTCTGACAAGTTCCTTGTTGAAGATGCTCCTGCCCTGCACGAGGTTGGAGAAGCCTGATCTATTCGGGTCAAACGGGTGTAAGATGACAACGTCGCCGTAGACTTAGATTACCAGTAGATTCACAATGTCCAGGAGATGGGCTTTGGTGTAAGAAGAAAATTGAGATTTGACTTAGCGGCATGATGTGCCTCACTGGGTAGCATGGTTTTCATTCTTAAAAGGTTCCCCCCAGGTGTGATTTGACATCACATAACTGGCGGGACACATGTAGAATCGATATGAACAAGTGGGCCAGATAATTATTAGGATTTTAGTAGAAAATGATACGCCATCCTAGCCATTGATGTTTACAATGTATTAGCGGCGTCAATGAACAGTAGTTATCATATTGATATTCTTCAGCACAGCCCAGTCACCGGCTCTCAACACAGCCGTCTTGGAAGCCACTCAACAAGTTACATATGTCTTTCATCTGTGCCAGCTGAAAAGTATATTGCCCTCGGCAGGCAAAATCAGTGGCACTGGCTTCCAGCTATGCGTATTATCAGATTTGGCCGTCACCACAGATGAATGTCTATATGCTGGCGAAACCGTAAGAGAGTTGACATAGGCTCAATTATGCCCGATTGACCTTAGTAACTGTTAGGGTGATACGCGTAACTGTCCCCTTGTTTTCTTGCTTGGGAAGCTTTAGTATTAGCCTCTATACAAAATGTGGCGTTTCCCCCAATAGGCTATGAGCATGGCATGTTGGCGTTTAATGGCATAAACTACATCCCGGACTCTTTGTTGAAGCACGTCGGGGGAGATTGCCATGGTTGCGGTGGAATCATGGACTATTGATTATTATCCACATAAGAGAAACTGGACGTAGCTCAAAAGACATCTCAGATAGCCAGCCCTGTAGATAACGCGCCTACTAGATCTAACAAATGATGAAAAAGGATAGGCAGTTTTGATTTGACAATCCTGTCGCTAGGTTCATCAGTGCTCTTCGGGCAAGTCAGGGACAGCGTTTTTGAGGAGACTTCTTCTTGTAACTCTGCGCCATTTGAAGATTCAACATGGATAGATTATGCCTGGAAGTGCATAGTTAAGTAAAGTGAACAAGATGATAATGTAACTACGTTAGTGAACTGCCATTATTAATATTGAGACTAGGATTGGAGATTGTAAGGACTGTTTGGATGGACATCTACGAATTCTGTTGATGGACACGAAGTTAATTTATATTAAAACTACCTTAATTAGTTAACTTGTTAGCGGTGTTCAAGCTGACTAAGCATGAAAAACCCTCCTGAGACATCTAACTTCTAAACTACCCGAGTCAAGATAAACTCAAGTGTAAAAATAAAATCTACCGAAGAACTTCACCCATGGAATGGAAGGGAGGCAAAGAGTGCCAAATTCAAAAAGCCGAAGTTCCTCGCTGCGCTATACTTTGACCGAAGAACTATTCCAAAATTAGTTAATATATGTGGGTAACTAACCTGATTATCTGTTGCTAGGCACGGGATTAAGGGTAGCTGCAAGAATTGAATAGGAAAGGTGTCCGTGCAGAACATAAAACTGTAAAATCAAGGCACACACACATATTTACTTTTGTATTTCCATTACATCACTAGGCCCCAATAATCAAATCACCCTTCATTAATTCAATCTTTCCAATAGAAATCAATGAATGCAGAAGTCTGTCTGCCCTCGTATTATTATTCCTTATACTTTTCGTGTGTATGCAGTCAGCGCATGAGTTGATTCTACAGACGAACCTCGGTTGAAAACATACTCCTACAAAAGGAAACTATACATACAAGTAGGAGGTACGGAGTAACTAAAAGTGAAAGTGCTCGTGCTAAGGAGCGACTAATTCTAGAATTCCAGAACTTACATGAATTCCAGCCCCATAGAGGGGTGGCAATTACATGTGGAATAAGGCCCAACGCGAGGTTTAACTGAATGGTATCAAATGTACCAATCAGGTGTCATGTGAAGTGGACCAGATGACGTGCCCCATTCTTAAACGGGGTCTCAACGGATTTGAGGTACCCTCGGTGGGATTTGAACCCATAGCCTTTGATTTCCCACGCCAAGTGGGCATACAGTCGGTCGGATGTGGGTGCGTGCTGTTGTTGTAATTATTGCTAAGAAAATTCTGACGATAACTAATGGTCAGTATTGACAGGATATAAACTGCAGTCATATTCATACTATTTACAGATATAGGTAAAACAAATATCATGGAAGTAAGTATAAATACAAAAATTAATATTTAATTAATTTTATATCTATAATTATTAAAGTTTTCAATGATATCTTCGTTCTCAGCTATATAAGCTTCTCTCGCTATGAATTTGAGCTGTTTTTCCGTCTTTCTTAAATGTAGGAATCTCAGAGATATTTTAAAAATTATTTTAAAATTATTCTCATTCAAAAACACAAAATAGAAAACAATTCACTTATTAATCTTAGAATTCAAGCATTTTATAAAATAAAAATAAAAATCTGAAGATGTGCAATCAGTTAATCCTTCATTCAAAGAGGAAAAACAATATACTATCTAAAAAAAACCTCTTTACTTATCCTATTTGTATAAATCAAAACAAAATTTTTCGATATTCAAAAACCAAGGATCTTTATATGAATAATATTCCTTCTTGATAATTAAACTTAATTAACCACACACCATTCTCTTTAAAAATTGCGAGATTGTCTTAAAATGTAGGTCAGGAGTATTCTACATGTGATCACGTGTTACCGGGCGGCCGGGACAACGACTAATCCGTGGACGCCCAAACACCATATATAGCGTGGCACGTGAGGAGAGTAGCCGTAGTATCCACTGTAGAGAAATTGAATAATTGACGCCGTTTGACTGCAGAATCCCGGGCGTGTCGGTCGAAAGGGTAGTTTATTTGGAGCGTTTGACGGACTGGATTCAGGTAACTAAAAAGGTTGTGGGTATTAGTCATCTTTGAGGAAGCGTTTGCCTTGCTTGCCTCCTTCCATGCGTCAATCAGAGTTCAACATGCAGCCACCAATATACTCAATGATGCATGACGATAAACTAGTGAGTCGGCGCGGGTTTCATTACGAAACTCTCGAGGCTCCCCTACGGGAGGAGAAAGAAACACTGACCATCCAACCACTGAAAGGATGCTTTGCTCGTCCCATTTAAACATTTGTGCAAAACATGACCTGTGACTTTCTAGCCATGTGAATGCAATGGTGTAGAAAGGCATTTTTTTTCCATCAAGGATCTTGCATAAGAGGAGCATTGGGCTTGTGTTGGTGGCTCTTTTGGCGTTTGTTGGCTTGAACCTGTTCGTCCCATCAGGAATGAACCGAACCAGCCCCAGTCGCAGATTCGCGGTTAGGCTAGACGGACCTTTAGAAGGCTCTCTCTCTAACCATTCAGATCCCCCAGAGTTTAGCCGATTCCAAGAAAGAGGCAAATCTTCTTCCCCCTCCTTTCAGGGTCTATATGATTTAATGAACAACATCGAAGCGCTGCTGTGACACCCTCCCTGCCTTCTTTCGTGATTTATAGAGTCCCTTGTTTTTTAAACAATTCTGGTTTCCAAGCAACACGCGCAAGATTTTCCACCGGGATCTCGGAAGCTTTTGGGATGTGGGAAATTGAGTTCTGTCCGGGACGTCGGGATAAACTGAGCCAACAAAGGTTGGTTCGTGGAGATGAGAATTTAATGAGGACGGGGCGGGCTGTTGTGCACAGAGAACCTTCAGCGAATAATGCTGCTCTCTTTTGTCCTTCCTCTGTGAAGGCTGGTTATTACGGCACAGGGCAAGGGCCCTTTTAACAACAAGACGACCAGACTGGGCTTGGGGGCAGCTTGAGTTTGTCAGATGCATATCATTCTTAGAGCCAGAGAGCAGTTGAAATGAATAATAACGCACACTCTGTTTATGCGGGAATTGTGCCTTGGCCTCCATGGGGTAAATTTCAACGACGGATCTTGAAGTTCCGCAAACATAGCTGTAGTCGTGCAAAATCTAGATGCCTGTGTGTAGCTCTGAACCAGCTGATGTTGAGGTGAAAAAGGTGCTATTGGCATTAGTGGCGGTTTGGGTGAAAGGTTGTTCTTTCATGCCTTTTCCCAGTCTTTTTAACTCTAACAACTACTTCGTTGTTTTCTGTCCACGTTGGCTGGGGCTGTGCCGAAGCCTATTTCGAGGTCACTGGAGTGGCTCTGCACCAGCCCCAGCTAATAATAATTAGTTTAAGGTTCGCTCCAACCTCCATTTCGCCCACACGACCCCAACACTCACCTCCACATCATCCTCATCATCCAACCATCACATTGTAAAAAACTTCTTCCCAATCTCACTCTCTCCCATCTTCTCTCTCAACTGCCTCAACTCTCGCAGAACCTCCTTCTTCCTTAACTAATGCTATTCTCCTCACCGCTGTCTATCCCTCGTTCCTCTCTATCCGTCTAAGTCGCCCCCATTACTCCCTGTTGTGCTCTCACAACGTCCCGTATACCCGATCGTAGCATCCATCCGTCGTATTGCTCCCTAATTTCAGACTCTGTCATCGAGTTTCTTCACCAGTCTCTTTACCAGTCTCATCTAACGCCCCAAACGGCCCCGCCACTCATCTTATCGACAGACTGTAAATACTGTACAGAGCTGGGATTCAATCTCGAGGCGGATATAACTGAGCTGCGGTTTAAGTTGGTTGTATGCGGTTGGACTCCGTTTGACTCAGCGCCTTGGTGACCTTTATATACGATTTGATCTCCCCCTCCCGCCTGAGATCCATATTTCCTCTTGGTTTGGATACCTACGGAGCCGTGTCGACCTCTATATGTACCTTCTACACTGTTGAAGAGTTACTATGACATACGGACAACTTTGGATGGCTGAATACCTACCTATACTTTGACTGAGGAATGGTACCCTAGCGTGGAGTCTTATTCTGATATCACTCACTGTACCGCCTAGACGCTCTCACAATTCGTTGGGTCAGCAGTCATGGTGACCAGTACTCCTACTGCGACGTCTCCTATCGGGGTAACTACCAGCGCTGCCTCTGGTGATGGTGGTGGTGGTGGTGGCCCTACAAGTTCTCCTCTTCTCTTTTTTATTGCCCTAGGTTTCGGTGTGGTTTTCACCAATCTCTGGTAAGATTTCACATAATCAATTTTGGCGGCATCAGACTGGCATATCTTGATTCTAATTTTAGAGTATTACCTGGTAGGATTATCGTTGGTGTAAAATACTGTTTCAGATACAACCAGCGGAACCGACAGATACGAGCTGAAGACGCTGGCGAACCGATTGATCTGGTTACTGTTCCAAGAACTCACCGGCGGCGAAGGGAAAAGAAGCTTATGAGCATGGATGAGGTCAATTCCCGCTTCCCTCTGATGAAATACAAGGCCTGGCGCGCCTCTCGTGCGGATGAGGGCCTCCCAACATTGGGAGGAATCCAAGCGCCAAGCAGTCGACCGGCGAGTTTGAACGAAGGTCTTAGCATCAGCGTCAGGGCCGCTGCGCCCTCTGAGAGCAAAGGACACGCCGCTCTCGCAGATCCAACAGAAAACATTGAATCATCACGTGAAACAAAATTAGAACCGGAGTCAGAAAGTGCCATTTTGCCAGCTGAGCAAATGGAAATTAGGACTTCAGGGGTTGAAAGCCGCTTTTCCAGTGAGCATCTGAAAGAATCGTCGGGTGGTCTAGAAGACGACGATGACCACGACGAGCATATCAGCAACGCTGTTCCTACGGAACTACTTGCGAACCCGGGCGATACCTGCGCAATCTGCCTTGATATTATCGAAGACGACGACGATATCCGTGGCCTGAGCTGCGGCCATGCATTTCATGCATCCTGTGTGGATCCTTGGCTGACTAGTCGTCGCGCATGTTGCCCACTCTGCAAAAAAGATTATTATGTTCCCAAACCGCAACCTGAAGGCGCAGAAGGGACCACCCAAAATATTTCTACCAACCGCAGCAGACGTGATGGTAATCGAAATAATGATATTACAGAACCGGAACGTGCCTTTATCGGTGACCGTGGAAATCCATTCGTATCTCGCCTTGCGCTCCCAGGACGGTTCATCAGTGTAGTTCCTGCAGATGAACGGGTTTCCAATTTCCCTAGGGCTACGTCTGAGCCAAGGCCACGACGCCAACGACCCCCAGCGCAACCCAATCCTCCGGATAGCACGACGAACTCTGGTTCACCTACATCGTGGAGATCGCGGCTAAATTCCTTCCGCTTTCCGTCACCATCGCTTCCCAATATTCGGTTGCCAGGTAGGAGCCGGAGCGCAGATGAACCGCCTTCAAATGCATCTATGCAACCAACGCCACGACAGCTTGAGGCAGGACCTGCCTAGTTAATAGCTGTTTTCCTCTTCCAAACTAAAACCACCACCCTGGCAATTGGACACTCGTAAATGTCGTTGCGATCGCACCCTGTTGTCACACCGCAATGTACCATTTATAACGCCGAATCTGTGCTTCAGTGACCTCCACGATGTATGGCTTTATCATCCACTTCATGGTGGGCATGCATTTCAACCAGTACTGCAATTCTGAACCGCAACTCAACATACATCTTACGCCTTATTCCGATTCACTAACCAATCCACCATCCGCTCTGTACTCGGATGGAGCAATTAGACTAGTGACTCCCTCCTCCAAATGAGGCAACCGGCCTATCAACCCCCAATACCCCCACACCCTACGGCTATATATACTTCTTTCTAAATTTCTCTGTTCTAGTTTTCATTTAGGCGTTTGAAGGGAAATGGGAGTTACCCGGTTCGGGTATAGGTCTTGTATAGGGCACTTATGTATCTGTGGGAGTTTTAAAAAAAAATTTGGTCCTTTTTAACTTCTTTTGCTTTTACCAGATCGGATGATATAATATTTTATGAGTTGATATGGAACGGGCCAAACCCATCGGCCCACCGACGCTACGCAAAGCACTTATATATATGTATCTGCGGCACGCAGGATATAGCCATTTGAACATGTTACTCCATATTCCCCCATACCATTCCAGATGTTTAGTTTCCAGCCCCCAAATTTGCTCCTTCCTCGGCGCTCAATTTGACTGCATTCCCTACCCACCTGTTTATTTTATGAATGATAGCAAGCGCTTGTATATGTGTATTGCATTTTATTTGATCTAGCTAGATAGCAGCTAGCAGCGTGTAGCATTGGCAGCTATGCTTTTTATAATGATTTTTTCCCCTCCTTTATCTTTCAGCGTCTATACTGAAGGCCTGGCATCTCCCTGTTAGTGAATACTGTAGCTTCCTAATCACGCCCCCCCCCCTCTCCCCTACATGTATAGTTTATACTGAGAACTATGTTATGCTTTATGAGGTTATGAGGCTCTTTAATTGAAATAAGCTATGAATAATATGTTAACAATATCTCTGTAGCATCCAGATATACCTAGATGTTTTTGTGATACATATAATTTATAATCAATTTTAGATCAGGTAGAATATTTGAAAGTTAGTTATAAAACAATAGATTTTATTAATATTGATAATAAACTATAAAGAAAGTATAGTTATTAAATATATTAAAATTTAATAATGTAGTTTAAGATAATAAAAAATTGAATAAATATAAATTAATAAACTATTTTTATTAAAAAATTAATTATATTTTTAATAATTTTTTTTATAAAATTTAATAATTAAAGAGGTTTTTTTTTATAAAAAATATATAAATTATATTTAATTAAAATTTTAATAACATAAATTAAATTAAAAAGTTATAGTTTTTATTTTAACTAGTTATTTATAAATTAATATTTAATTAAAAATTAATCTTTATAGTTATTAATTATATAATAATAATAATAATAATAATAGTTAATAATGACTAGTTAATAATAGCCTTTTTATAATTTATTTAAAAAAAATTTATTAATAAAATAAACACTTTAATCAAAAACAGATATATAATATTTAAAAATATAACTCATAGTCTTGAACAAAAAAAAAAGTATAAATATCTTAAATTTAAGACTTTTCAATCTAGTGTTAATATAGCAATTACACTTTTTGCTATAGCAGAAGAGACATCACAATATTACAGCCTTTAGCACAGTGGCATTTAAGCAGTTCTGTAATTTGCTAGGACTTATTCATATGAATGAGAGTAGCAGAAAATAATGAGCCACTGGATGCAGCATGTTTTGGGTGGATTCTAGGTTAGACTATAGACTAACTAAGCTCTGAGATATCACACAGCAATGCGAGGGGTGCGTTGGCGTATACAGATTAGCTGTTGCCCCGGACAGCCGTCTCACGCGATTAGGCGTATATAGATGTGTTATACTATCTGGCAAAAGAGCCCAGTCGCCCGTAGTCTATACTGGACTGTGGAGGTTGATCAGCCCTGAAACTGGACCGTACCACCAGACTGTGTTTTGAGCCAGGTAGGTATCCGGTCATATGCCCGATCCGTGCGTTGTGTGAGTGAAAGTTTTGAAACATTGCAAATGCTGTAAAGCTATTGGGCATGCTGTTTGGGGGTAAATGCCCGAGCCTGTGGCAATGGGTTCTAACAAATAATCTTTTTTGAATGATCTGAAGTCCTCGAAAGAAGCTCTACTTATATATGTACAGATACAAATCGCATACCTTGTTCGACATACCTACCCAATCGCATGGCATCATAAATTTCATGACTGTTCCTGGCTTGCGGCTCGATCAAAGCAGTGACAAGCACACCAAAAGAACAATGATCGCATAGAACATTGTTGTCGAGAGACCCTGCGCAATCCTAGATGCTGCAGATATTTTCCCCGACAAATCTCTATCAAACCCAAGGCTCATATTCCACATCGGTGTATCATTCACGGGTTTCAACATGTCGTCCGACCGACTTGCATCAACGGAACCCAAAAAGCCAATCCTTATTGGCCCTGATATCAGCCCTTCCTCGGGAATGCTAGGTGGATTTACCTGGAAAAACCCATCAATCGTCAATGATGCGGACCTGTTGTCGAACTGTCCGCGAAGCTGTGGCCCTTTGATAGTTTCGTATTTGAGACGGTTGCGTCTGTTCCGCGGTACAAGGATAGCGCCCGCGTACAGTGTTTGACTAAATGAACAGCTGGTGTGGTTAAATTTAAGATTTATCCATGGGTTGCTTGAGGATTTAGGATCGTAATTGAAGGCGCCGGCAAGGGAGAAGGCGTTGTCGCTGGTGAGGCTGGTGGAGATGTTCCAGGTTCGCTTTGAGTTAATTGGAAAACCCAATCTTGGATAATCACTGTGTGGTAAAGAATGGTTGTAATTTGTCAGTTATTATTTTCTTGCTTTGTTGGCCTTGTTCAACTGCCAAAAACTTAAAGATGAACAAAATGACCACCGGGCTGACTACTTACGGCAGGGATGAAATCCTGAATGGCAGTCGTTCCCAACGATAATAATCTGTATCTCTCTGGGTCGTCAGGTTTATTCCTCTTTGCCATGGTGTGAGAACCATCATGATAGGATTTTCGTCGCCTTGGACAGTCTTGGTAATTGCAAGTACAGCATCATAAGATATCTCGAGAGTTTGGTCAAGGAAAGCAGGACATGGCTTGTCATCGTCATCATCTTCGGTCGTCCAGTCCACTACAGTCATTTGCATGGTCACGGTGCCATTATAATATCTACAGTCATTAGCCAAACACTACAACACAAACTCCTAGATCTCCATAGCATTAGGTCAATTTTCATGCATCCCGCATGAAAATGCGAGAAAAGAGAAGATTGTCTACTCACGTTCCACGCCATCCATAGAGCCAATGGCTGAGGCCGGTGATATTTTGAGGGCGAAAGTTCCCGTCCTCATTGGAGTCCCATAACGGATCATTGGAACCTAGCACTGTGCGTAACAAACCCAAGAGGAGAAGAGCTGGAAACAAAGAGCACATTTTCAAGGCTTGTGGCGTAATGTCAATGCACCCTGCTATTGCCAGATAGACGCCAAAAAGTCAATTATTTCATCTTGTGATGACTTTTATGAAAAGACCGAAAATCCGGGCTCCCTTCTACTTTTATTTGCTTAATCTGATTTGCAATTTATTCCCTCGTACCCAAAGCCCGGGGTGACTCCCGAGGTCGCGTTAGAAGCGGGTCAAGAGCACGAAGGAACTAGTTGACCCTCAGTAGCTGTTAACTTGCACCAATTTGCCGAATTAGCGCTCTTGTTCCCGTTGTATTCGACAGAGTTTAGTTTCGCCAAGTGATCGTCCAGTCATGCCAAAATTTGACCGGGCCATGCAATACGAGTTGTGGAATTCTGTTTCGGTAACTTGTAAGAGTTTTATCAAAAGCCCGGTGAGAACGGAGTCCGGGCTCTGACAGAGGGCAGTTTCAAACGGTTTAAAACAAAGAGAGAAAGGAACAAGTCGTCGCTGATGACGGAGATATATCTTGAAAGAAGAAAAGGGGATAGCTATATTTTGATCTATCAACGAGATTTTTGTTAAATTATCTCCTCAATGATGGGAGAACTGCGTCCTTTATGCCCTGCAATCATTGAACAGTGCCGAGGAAGGGTTTTCATTAGTTTTGGACTTCCTTGTTAAAAGCACAGTGGACTCCTGTGTCGACAATATGTCATTGCTAAAGCCTCGTGTATCTCGTGTATGTTGGATTACAGATATTGTGAATCCCAATCCGTAACGGACATAAATCAACGCAGCTCAGACTTGCCTTTTAATATTCCATCAAGAAGTTTCTGCAACAGAAAACACTCTGCCTTAGCCAACGGAAGGAGTATGGCTCAGACGGGGTTTTCTGCCCCAGGAAATCTAGCCATCAGAAGTATCTGTTTATTGTCATCATTGCTGCGTTTGATTCGACGGGTTTTAGCAGCGTAAGGCTTGCTAGAGGAACTGAAGCCTTGGCAATTTGGAGTTATATGCTCCTGCCAATAGTTGTGAGTATCATCAGAAAGATGACCACAAGTGGAACGGATACTTTAAGTTAATATCTGTGTTCCTTTGCTTCGACCGCTTTCCATCTTAGCAGTTCGAGACCCGAACTGTATAGCCCGCTTTTTCTCCCGAGCGACATTTTTCATTCCAAGTTTCCACGCCAATAGCCGGAGGGATCTCTTCCCTGGCTCCAGGGACTGCTCTCCTCCTCCTGACTCTTCGACATCGCCACAAATACCAGATGGGCTTGAGGACATGGCTCCAAATCCGCACTTCTCCCAAACAGGGCAGGCAAGTGCCCAGGCCAGAAAGTCGTTATCAAGAAAAGGGTATCTAACCTCACGACCCCAGTGGGATATAACACGGTCATCCCGTCCCAGGTTTCGTTTGCTAAGCCGACCAACATCCAAAGCAATTTCATCTACAAGACCTTGGAATCCATGGCGACTGAACGCAGTTTCGTGCCTTGTATAGCCTGCAAAAACTTCATCGGCTCCAAGTCCAGAGAGCAAAACTCGCGCTGTCGTTGTGTAGGGTATACAACCAGAATAATCTCCCTCATTGGTAATTTCTCCTTGTCCACGTGATGCAAAGTACAGTGCACATGCAATAGACAGATCCATTTCCGTGTTATGAGGGCGCATCAAGCGCCTGACTTTCTCTCGATGGCTTAATGTTTCTGTATATGGGATGTTGATAGCAACAAACCGCCAGTGCCTGTTGAAACAGACCCGCTGAAGCTCTGCGCAGGATGATCGCCCAGTAATTCGATCTGGACAGGCTTCGTATGCGGACAGAGTTGGAGACTGTGATTTGGAAGCCACAGCAGCCGCTGCTACAACCCTAGGGTTTTCGAATGCTACATTAAGAAGGTCAATCGGCTCATCTATGGGGAGGATGTCGTGTGCTAGCCTTGCGAGTATGGTACAGTCAAGGCCTCCCGAAAAAAGGACTGCTACTTTTGTTTTGTATTCTGATGAAAAGAATGGTGGTTCGGGAATATTGCTGAGACGGAGTCTTATTGACTCACGGAGGGTGACCTCCAGTGTCTCTATAGATGGGCAGTTTGCTTGAAGAAGTGGAGGAATTTCTTCCATAGGTAGAATTTTGTTCATGAGTGGTATAGGATTTCTCTAACGGATCAATTAGCTGGAAGTTTTCTAAAATCCATTGCCGCGTAACATACTATCTGAACCTGATCAGTGCTAGTGGTATCTCCATTTTCCCAGCCCAAACTCTTCACGTTGAATATTGAATGCAAAGAATTCGACGTGGAACCTCCAGAACCGGAGCTTTGTAAAAGGTGGGCAATGTTGATCATGTGTATGCCGTCAGTGTCTACTTCTTCGAAGTTCTCAGATTGGATTCCATCACAGACGCTGCAAATCTTGAAGTTCCCGGCATTGTCCCATCCACTCAGTAGTGATCGTCTTCCCAAACAGTCTCTTCCAAAAAAAAGTCTTTGCCGATATCCATCGTAGAATATAAACGAGAATGGTCCAGAAATGGCGCCCACAGCATTAGCTACCTTGGCTAAAGATTGACTGTCTGTCATCTCAGATGATGATATTCCATTTCGGTAAGTTGTTGGTTGCACAGCCTCGAGAAACAATCGGAAGACCCGTTTTGTATCATTCCCATTGATGGGACTACTGTGGATTTTCCACGCTTCCCCGTTCCAGCACAGGACTGACCGGCTGGCGGCATCTACAAGGGGTTGAGTTTGGACATAATCTCCACGAAGAGCGAGGACAGTTGAAATAAAAGTTAGACGAAGGGAAGATACATTCTTATCGAGATTCTGGCCGACTTTTTTGGGGTGATCTAGCTGAAATGAATGGGTCTTCACAATGTCCGGACCCCTGTTTTGCAGTAAACGAACTGTGTCCTCGTCAGGATATCCATATCCCGCAGCACTCAATGAAAAGAATATACCGCACATGGCGATTTGGACAGTGGCCCCGTCAGGCGACCGCACCAAAGGAGCGGTAGTATGAAGGTGGGATGCATCGGACCCGTCCAAAATGTTTGGAAGTTCTGAAATCAGACTCGGTTCGGAGCAATAATAATCCGGAGCGACCGAGTTCCAAGTTCGTACGAGTGAATCATGGAATCAGTCATCCTTGGAACAAAACATACGCCTTGACTAGCTATATACGGAGAGGAAGTTCTGGAAACACTCAGAAACGCCAAAGAGCGGTATCTGAAGGGATTCAGCTAGATCTCTGCGCATTTCGGAATGCGCGTTGCACCTTGAATTCTCTCCGCACGATAAACGCTTTCCGCCCCCATGTTTAGCCTATGTCTTCTCCCGAGCCTCGAGTTTGCCCTCCAGGAGGCGGCGACCATCGGCGGGAAGAGAATCAACAGCCCGATTCTGATATTATAGAGCAAACAGGCTACCTGCAGATATACGGTTTAGAATCGAAGACCCATCCCTCTCTGGGCAACAATGAAATCAATACCGTTCAATATCAAAACAGCACGATTGCAGAACAACAAGAAGAACAAAGAGAAGTTGATAGGGATAAAACCGTAGACATGGCAGGGGATCCAGCGGAAGCTGTCTCTCTTGTGCCTAATAATGACGGTGTTGATCTGCAGACATCTGCCCACGAGGTAGAACGATTCACGGTTTCTTTTGTCCAAACAAATCGCAGCCGACCATCTCCACTTAAAACAGCTGTTACTTCCCTTTCGCCATCACGACTCCAGAAGGAAGAACCTTATTTGGACCCCACTCTGAAGACCCCACAAGAACCTCAATCGCCTTTAGAAATGTCATCTGAAGGTGCCGAAAACGACCTTCCACAGGTCCCAGTAGGGATCCAGGGTGAGGCGGCTGGGAATCAGGCCGAGGGGGAGGGCCGAGATAGTGAAGATTCGCAGTCAGAAATACAGAGCATCATGGATCAGTTTGCAGATAACGCTGAAAACCATGGGCAGGGAGATCTCATGTCTCCCAGACTTGAACTCGCCGAACAGTTTCTACCCGGACAGGCACATTTCCCGCCGCGCAAGTCGAGCCTAGAGCCTCTCTCGTCACCAGACAATTCCATCGAAAACCGTTCTTCTAATCCATGGAATTCTTGTTCGGGATCCATTCAATCTATTGGATCCCATCAAGCTGTCATTCCTCCAGCTGTACCATCTAAGTCTCTCCCCAATAAGTCACAAAAGGCTGTTGGAACGGAGCTAGCAAGTTCTTCAAATTCTTCGTCCCGTCTGCCGCCGCCTGAGCCAGAACCAGACCAGCCATTTGATTTCCATCGTTTTCTCGAGCAACTCCGTCATCGGACCGCAGATCCTGTAGCCAAGTTCCTTCGATCTTTTCTAACGGAGTTTGGCAAGAAACAGTGGATGGTTCATGAACAAGTGAAAATAATTAGTGATTTCCTCGCGTTTATTACAAACAAGATGGCGCAGTGTGAAGTTTGGAGAGAGGTATCTGACGTCGAGTTTGACAACGCTAAAGAAGGCATGGAGAAGCTTGTTATGAATAGACTATATTCACAAACGTTTTCGCCTGCAATACCACCGCCTCTTACTCCCCCTCGGAGTAGAAGCAAGGGCAGAAAAAAATATTTAAATAGCCCGCAAGGTCCTGGAAGAAGGGGACAACACCAGGAAGATGTTGAACGCGACGAAATACTAGCCCAGAAAGTCCGGATTTATAGTTGGGTGCGGGAAGAGCATCTCGATATTCCCCCGGTTGGTCCTAATGGGCGGCGGTTTTTGGCTCTTGCGCAACAAGGTACGGACCGCACGAAATGTGCTAAGCCAACTTATGTTGCTAACCGATTCTAATAGAGCTTTTGAAGATCAAAGGTTACCGCGCTCCCCGGGACAAGGTCATTTGCGTTTTGAATTGTTGCAAAGTGATATTTGGTAGGAAGCTGCTTGTTGTTCACCAATTGGAAAGGAATCTAATCATTGATAGGTTTACTTCGAAACGCGAAAAGTGGGGATACATCGGCGGATTCGTTTGTCCCTCTCTTAATATATGTTGTCTTGAAGGCAAATCCTGAGCATCTAGTCTCAAATCTCCAGTATATTCTGCGGTTTAGAAACCAAGATAAGTTAGCTGGCGAGGCGGGCTATTACTTGTCTTCTTTGGTATGCTTTACAACAGAAATTTTGCCTTCTCATCCGTCTAATTAACCTTTACCCTTCTAGTCCGGTGCCATCCAGTTCATCGAAACACTTGACCGCACCAGCCTTACCATTAGCGACAAGGAATTTGAGCGAAATGTGGAAGCAGCTGTATCAGCCATAGCAGAGCGGAACGAAGAAACTGCTGCTCCATCACTCCTGCAACCAGAGAAGTCTGCTCCCAGTGGTCCTGAAGTAACACCCCGAAATTCCACAGAAGGAGAATCCTATACAAGACGAAAAGATACTTCCCAGCTTGGTAGCAGCGAAGACAATGTCGCTGTGACAGGACTATTGCGGACAATCCAGAAGCCTCTTTCAAGCATTGGCCGAATATTCTCTGAAGAAACAGATTCTCAGAGTGAGAGGGAAGCAACGCCTCCACCACAGATCCTCTCCCAACAACGATTGACACCTGTAGGCATTTTTAATACGGGGCAAGTGGATGAAAGACGGCCTTCAGCGGAGAGACATCGTGGGAGAGACGACATCACCTCCTCCCAGATCAGCCAACTTGATGCCCAAGAAGCTGCCGCACGCCAAGCGAGTGCAGAGGCCGCAGAAGCTCGCCGCATACAGCGGGCGGAACATAACAATGTAGTTGAGTAAGTGGCGCATCTAAGGTGTTTTTTCATCTGCACTGAATATGGCTAATCGGACTCACAGGACGCTGTCTGGGATGTTCCCAAATCTGGATAAGGATCTCATCGACGACGTCGTGAGGATGAAGGAAGGTAGGTGAGTAGGGACCAATTTTTTTTTTTTTCTCTCTGTCGGTGTTTTTGTCGCAGGACTGATTTGTATATTTCCTTCGTTTCCAGAGTTGGTCTTGCTGTAGACGCCTGTCTGGCGCTCAGTGCAGAATAGATGCCCTGACGTGCGGCTTCAGTTACTTCAACATATTTAATATTATACCAACCCGCAATTCTATTCTTTGTCCTGTGTGGATCCCACGTGTTCTTCTTCTGTCTTGCCGACAGGGAGCCTCTCGGTTAATGGATCAAGCGAGAGCGGCGTGTTCGTTTTCAATGTCGTTCAACAGGGAATAGAGGGGAAAGCCGCCATTCAATACAGAGTCCATATGAATGTTGTGTACAGTACAATACAAATAGAAGCATATCATGAATGATTTGAAGAGGGATGTCATTTGCGTTCATGTGATAGCAGCTCAGATATATTAAGACTACTAATAATGTTCATAGACATGGCCATTTTCTGTGCAGCAACATAACATAATCATGTCCTTGTTGGTACTAATAAAGATTATTTGTTGAGATACTGGCTGAAACATGCTTTATAAATAAAGAGTGGTGGATAGTCTGTATATGTTCCCGTATTCATTTATTTGTTCTTCAAGTGTCTGAATAAATGTCAGACCCTGTTGTACCTGTACTAGCATATTTTTTCCCTACAAACTCAAACAAAGCGGAATACCAATTCCACCTCCTCAACCAGGCCCCATTGAAGAGCAAGCGAGTAGTCCCATCTATATGAAGACTTGGGCGACTGGTAAATTTCATCGGCATGACCAGAAAAAAGAAGTCTCAGAGTGGCCTGAATCCAAAGGGAGAATCGGTAGATGGTGCAAGGAACAACCCAGTTACGTCCACCACACAGACAACACTGGCGACGCCGTCAGCACCAATTCATTCGGTGTCATCCAAGACACCACCAGCAGCTGCGTCAAAGAGCTCCAAGCCAAAGACTTTTGAGCAATCAACTTCCGCTTTGATAATATGCCGCAACAAGTATGTCTATTTGATACTCGAATATAGTTGAATAATACGTCCCCAATTATTCATCCATCCAGCTGCAGCCCTTCGTCCAATCTATCCCATTTGGCAAAACCGCCTTAGCTAACCATTAAGACACTGGCGCTATATCTCCTCCTTCCATGGTCCATGGCTTCAATTACCTCCAGAGGTCTTAGAAAGCCTTGCATATAGCAATTATGCTTCCCCGCGCCCTCAACCCATTGACCCCGCGGTGTTCTTCGACCTCGTGAAAATTCGCCGCTTGATCGAGGAAGCTACCGATCTAGCTGTCCGTGCAGCCAATGGCACCACATCGTCCGCCCTCAGCAACTCCCAGAACGCGATCAATGGACTATTAAGTAGTGGAAGCAGTACAGTGCTGGGAATAGGCATTGGTGGTGGCGGCGGAACGGCAAGATTGAGCAAGGAACGGAGGCACCGGATGCGGGAACATGCCACCCAGAAACTCTCCCTAGCATACCATCTGGATGAAATTGCGGCAAGTGTCGCGACAATGCAGTCTGCTTCTGCACTGGAAGAGGTGGCCAAACTGGTTCTGCAGCGCAACGAGCAGGACTGCAATGCCAAGTACGTACATTTTTTTCATGAGAAGATTCCGTCTCGGTCACTGGCGCAATGCACCAATCTGCAACCCCTGGACGAGGTGATTGCCAGAAGACCACGCGAAGGAGCCTTTTACAGAACAAGAGCGGTTACAAGAGTGTTTATGGATGACTATGTGGGTGCTGCCAGAGATCTGACGAAGGGTTTAAATGTCTGTCGACTACAAAGCGCCCAGCACGGGACAAGTCGTGTTGAATTGGAGAAGAGGAGAAGAGGTCTATTGCCTAGAGATTTCAGATATGATTTGAAGGTGGAGGAGAAAGACCAGCCCAGCAGCTTGGAACATCAACTCGTATTTCATCGTGGGGGGGTGTATCTAACGATTGCGTGCCAGAACATCAATTCTGCGCTGGATGCACTAAGTATCTGGCAAAAGGAGCAACTGTTGAACCCGAATCTGGAGGGAGAGGACAACGTCTTGTCCACCTTATCCCCTGCCGGGAAAGAAGCGTATCGCCGATGGCTCGAAACGCGTAAGATGGTCAAGTCTAATGCCAGACGTGCTCTGCGAGATTACTTGAAGTTCCTCTCCAATTTCGATTACACTCCAGGCCTTCCCGCTGAGCTCGCAGAAGAGTTCCTTCGCAAGGTTAACATTACATCAGGTGCACACCACAAGTCGGGAGGCACTCGTACTCAAGAAAGCCGGCTTATAGAAACTCTTCGCATGGCTGGGACTAGTCCATCTCCCGGATCTCCTACTTCTGAAGGCCGTGGAGGGGCCCCAGCACAATACCAGCTTCCTCCCACAGAAATATATCCAGTATCTGTTCTGTTCTCCGAACAACCTCCGTCCAACCTCCCTCCTTTCCCTACCGACTCCCAAGCCCTGGTTCGCCCCCAACCAAACGGGTTGGGAATATCACCCACCCATGCTGACGCTGCACTTCTCGCAAATTGCGATTGTCACGAGGCCGTAACCTACCACCCTCTGCTGACCGATGCGCTCCATTCTGTCCTCCTCTGCCACGCTCTCCTGCAAACCTCTTCCAAGGAACTCCTCCGCCACGCGCACATGGTTGCACGGCTAGCCCGCGTCTGTGACGGCTACCCAATTTTCCTTGCCCCCCGCTCCCCTGCACGAGCAGACTGGATCGAAGTCATGCACCGTGTCGACAATTGGCTGGGGCTCAAGCTGACGTGGGAAGCCCTCTGCGCGCCAGCGCCACTCCCGGGCCACCACGGCCACCCCAGGCCTGAAAAAAAAAGGACGACGGAGGACGAAATTCAGGAACGTCGCAAATATGAAGCGATCATGGAAGCACTATCGGACGACCGTGTGCAGGATGAGGAAAGTTTTCTCGCATCTGTGCGGGCACGCGAGAAGAGGGCCGGGGAGCAACGCATGGAGAGCCATCCTAGTGTCCCATATGCAGGTCCTGCACCTAAACGCTGGGAACAGGAGGACGGTAAAGAGTACCCAATCAGCACTGAGCGGGCGGAATTTATTTCACGCTGGATAATTGAGGCGCCAATGTCCTCGGGTGACGGAAAGGGGAAAGGGAAGAGACGCAAAGGTCGCGCTACGGTGGATGAAGTCGAGGATGATCCTTCGCTTGAGGATATCTTGCATGAGCTGACTATTGGAGACCATGACGGGCTTGGCTAGACACAAGTGCAGATGGCAGATTGGATGACTGGGTCATGTTTTCCTTATATATGTTGCTGCGTGTATGCAGTGACGGCTCCGCCAAGCCGCTTGTTTAGTTTTTGCTGTATATTATGCGCATATGCACAGTTTGTTGGAGGAAATTGATATATACAACATGCAAGTGTATGATCTGTCAGGCGTTTGCAATTTAATAGACTTTTCTTCGATTTTGGAATAACCACTGCATATCCATTATCATATGTTTTGGCTTGGAGGAATTTTGATCTCTCTGTCTCTCCCAACCCCCCACTCCTTCTTTTCCATCTGCAATATTTACTTCATCGGCAAAGAATGCCCCACTCAGTTTAAACTAGGTAGCATGGAAAATAAGGTGGACTCTGACGTCAGACCGCCCCACCGCAATCGCCATCAACCAGGCTGCTGGCGTTTTCTACGGAGTAAATAATGAGAAATCCCGCTCGTGAACTTGGATGTTTCTCCTCCCTGAACTGAAATAATGTTTTCAAAAAAAAATTTAAGGGGCCAAATTAATTAATTAGGCAATTGGTCCAGGTACATTTTGCATCACTTCACCAGAACCTGTTTACTTTTTGCCCTATCTTTTTTTTATTTTTTAACCTTTTTTGCCTTTTGCACCGCCCCCCAACCAACAACTATAAAAAGACGAGCAACTCTCGCCGAGAAAGTTACCGGCCGGCTCTTTCATCATAACAGAGTTTGGATATTAATGCCTTAAAATAGATTTTTGGTTATTCTACCCCAAATTTTAACTCATTCAATCCCTCCTTTTTCACAATGCCCATCCAACTCAACCCTTCCTCGTCGTCGTCCTCCTCCTCCAACACGATCACTGGTGTTTCATCAACCTTCTCTGCATCAGATCAACGGGGGCAACAATCTCATTCGCAGTCACAGCAAGCACAGCCAAATACCACATTGACTGCGGCTCCACCATCTTATACCTCCAGAGAGTCTGGAGGAAACGGGCAATTGAGCCAGGAAGATGCCGACAGACTATATGAGGAGCGGATGGAGGATGAGTATGCGAAAAGGGAGGGGGGAGCTTGAGGGGTTGGGATATTAAAAGGCATTTTGTTAAACATTTGGGGGTGAAGAGAGAAGGAATGGGAGGAATGGTCATGTTCTTCTGCAATATTTTGGGTTGGTACAATCTTCTGTCGAGTTCCTTGGTACAGTTTAGCTCTAGATCTCAATGAATAAGAGAACACAACAAGTAGTTAGTTATTATATCTTATGTAGATAATAAGCTGGATTCTCGAAAACGCATAGCAACATCCTGCTTTGGCCATGACATCAAAGTGCTCTTCCCAACAGCCAACCAAGATCCACGCATTTTTCATACTTCGCAAATGGTAACCAACAACGGGGACCTGGAGAGGAGCCCATACACGTAGGAAGGAGAAAGGAGCTGGTAAAAAGGGGCGATCGTTGTTGTCGTAGTCATATTTAACCCTGGCGTTCCTTGGATTATCAACTAACTCTCAGACTTTGTCCATGAAACCTGCCAGCTGACATTCCCAGCGGTGCTGATTGGCTGCGGATACCTTCAACAACTTAATTACCAAAGCTGCAACGTTAAAACTACGGCGGTCATTGACATCCGCCGGGTCGGTGGATGGTGGCGACTTGTTGGAAATGCGGAAGATTGGAAAACCAAAGATATAAAATACAAGGGGGGATGCCATTAAAAATATCTATGGCGTTATCGAAGAGCCAAAGGCGATTGTCACACTCTGCTTTCGCTATAAACCATCTCTTCATCTCTTCATATCTTCATCTCCTCCACTCTCTCTTCTCCACTCGCCTCCTCCCATTCACACAGAAATAGCCTGTTCATGGTGGCTTCCAACAGCTCTGTGAAAATAGACGCATACCCGATTGCTTAGCTTATAGTACATCTGCTCAATAAGACTTGAGAGACCCCACAACACGTCCTTGTTTTTCAGAGTCTTGCTTTACGATAGGCTTGTGAATCAATCCACTGTCCCCACGCACATAGTTTAACGGAGAGAGAAGGTGTACATACGGTCTTTTTCGTTTCTCTCAACAGAGAATCTTTTCGTAGATGGCACCAAACAACGACACAACCCGGTCAGGCAGTGAACAGAGACTGAAAAACCACATGTCGAACGAGGCAATGAGTATGTTTCCCAGCCATTCTTCTTCCCCCTCACCCCTCAACCCTTTTCCACTGCGCGCGGCTGGGCAACTCGAACGCTCACACAGGATGGATCTACAGGAGAGCCCCTGCTTTCCAACGGAAATGGAAGATGCGGGAGACGCCTCGCCGCGAATGGCGATCCCGAAGCGCAAGATTTTACAAGATATCAGACGCTTCCATGCGCACGTACCCGAACTAATGATTCGGATGAGAGTCAAAACTCGCGCAGCCGAATCAACCCGCGAATAATATCAGATGCCATATTAGGCCTCTCGGACGGTCTTACAGTGCCCTTTGCGCTCAGCGCGGGGCTGTCAGCTTTCAATGATACCAAAGTTGTAGTCCTAGGAAGTCTGGCGGAGCTGGTGGCTGGGGCTATTTCGATGGGATTAGGCGGTTATGTGGGTGCGAAGAGTGAACTGTAAGTTTGAATTTGAAAAAAAAAAAAAAAAAAAAAAAAAAGGCATTCAAGTTGTGTGGGTTTGTTTCCGAAGTGAAAAAGCTGACCGATGCCCCTTTGTGATTTTGTTAAGAGAATCATACGAGACCACCAAACGTGAAATTGAAAATCTCGTCCAATCATGCCCGTGCGAGACCACAACTATGGTCCGAGAAGTATTTGCTCCGTACAGTCTCCCTGATCATCCAGTTTCGGAAGTGAGTTCGACGTTGCACAGCTCGCCGCAGCAGCTGATGGAATTCCTCCTTGCATTTTACCATAAACAACCCGCACCAGAGCAAAACCAAGCTTATGTCTCCGCTGTTACACTTGCTCTGGGATACTTCGTCGGTGGCTTTATACCCCTTGTTCCTTACATTATCTGCCATCAGGTAATTACCGCCCTGAAGTATAGTGTAGGCGTCATGGGGATAACACTGTTGGTGTTCGGGTATATCAAGACTTGTATCGTGCGAGGATGGGGAGGAAGGGATAATATATTTGCTGGTGTCAAGGGCGGAGTGCAGATGGTTCTGGTCGGGGGAGTAGCCACGGGAGCGGCGATTAGTTTGGTTCGACTGATCGATAATACGCCCCAAGGAGGTTAGAACAACATATATTTCTGAAGCCAGGGAGGTTATACCAGATTCTGTTTCTCCAATTCATTGCTTATGAATATATTAGATATCTGTGATAATTGCAAGGTACTGTGGTGTTGCATTCATCAGTTCCATTATGCATGTCGAGACATACTGGCATACGTAAATTCGCCCGATCCAAAGTTCACGATGACAGAGCTTTCATAATTAGCCCCTTTGCCCGCTCTGACATCTCAATCTGTAAAGCCAATTCATGACCCTTCTCTGACATTTTCGCCCAAGTCTTCTTCAAAATACCCACAATTTTCTCCTCATCGTGCTCCCTTTCGAATTTCTCAAATTGATCATCCAAAAACACCAAACAAGCCACGTCCTCCAGAACCTGACACTCTTCATCCCGCTCCATATTATCTTTGCGAACTAGTGCCGCAGCGCGTTCAGCTTCATCTGAATCATACCCGCAGCTGCGACAAATCTCTTCAACTAGGTTTGCCTGTCGATTCTTCAACGTATTCCTCCAGGCGAAGTAACCGGGTTTGGTCATTGGGTAAGAGGACCTGGGGACTTCCCAGCGCCGTAGATGTTGAGCACGTACAGCTAATCTGAGGATTTCGGAGGCAGAGGGTTTGTCTTGCTCGAGATATTTGGTCATTTTGTTTGCATAGTGCAGCTCATATGGGACTTCAGAACAGTCGACAAAGACGATGTTGGGGTCTTCATTATGTGCGTCATCAATGCGCGCAAGCGCTTGCTCATATTTAGAGGTCATTGAGCTGACCAGGTACTAACTAGTTACTGCTGAGTGGGCGGGAGGGTAGATGTTGAAACGAACGATCATCGGAGAGGTGTGTAGCTAACTGTTAGTTATTTAATTGTTTGTATTCTTGCAGCCGGAACCGCCAGAACAGAAAGGCGTTTGGAGAGAAAAAGCCCCTGCAGGCTAAATATGATTGAGCAGCCAATGAGAAAAGGAAACTGGGTATTGTTCAATGCGAGCTTCGTGTCATCCATAGCGAACAACAACTGCCAACATCTCATCCCTTCACGACCCTTTTTGTCGTTTTCGCTGCTTCTTCACCGGTCTCCGCAATCGGAGCCCCCGGGTGTTTGGCGGAAACCCTCAGAGATGCTTAGTCATGCCGCAAAGTGGCGGGATGGTCAAGTTTAATGCAAGATTTCGGCAATCCTTAGAGAAATTGACTAAATGACTGCTCTGCTTGGGTTATATCTATGCTCCCCTTGGTGCATCTGACATCGCCCTCACTACGGTTTCTTGAGGAGGGGGGAAAAAAAATGTCCAGCACCGATTCGCAGAGATATCTTAGTACGCGGGGTACATCGTACGGGGTACGTGGTCCAATCTAAAAACCGCTGCTTATGCTGTCATATATTGTTTCTATCTGCGTTCAATATTCAAGGCAGAAATTTTCAAGGCTAACATGGAATGCCGTTTTACCAGCTGTCTTTCGAAGAGGCTGTGTTGAAGGGCCTCGCTCCAGATGGCGGACTTTTCATTCCTGAATCCATACCGCAGCTACCAGTGGGCTGGGAGACGAAATGGAGGAATTACAGCTTCCAGGAGTTGGCGCTTGAAATCCTCTCTCTGTATATTTCACCGTCGGAAATCCCTTTGGAGGACTTGAGGAATATCATAAACCGCAGCTATTCAACTTTCCGATCGCCAGATATCACCCCCCTGGTCACTCTCGATGACTCCAAACAATTATACCTTCTCGAGCTCTTTTGCGGCCCGACATTTGCATTTAAGGACGTCGCTTTGCAGTTCCTCGGAAATCTCTTCGAGTATTTTCTTGTGCGACGAAACGAGGGCAAGATTGGAAAGGACCGACATCAGCTTGTTGTCATCGGCGCCACGAGCGGAGATACTGGTTCAGCTGCGATATACGGTCTGAGAGGGAAGAGAGACGCCTCCATATTCATTCTTCATCCAAAGGGAAAGGTAACCCCGATCCAGAAAGCTCAAATGACAACAGTTCTTGACCCCAATGTCCATAACCTGAGCGTTGAAGGGTCATTTGATGATTGCCAAGATATGGTCAAGGCAATGTTCGCCGATCCTGAAATGAACAAGGTCCACAAACTGGCTGCTGTAAACTCGATAAATTGGGCGCGCATAGTTGCTCAGATGACCTACTATGTTCACTCTTACTTCTCCCTCATCCGATCTCCAACATACGTTCAAGGCAAGGGTGTACGATTTGTCGTACCGTCGGGTAACTTTGGTGATATTCTTGTAAGTTATCCCACCAGAACCCGGTCGCTGCACAATATGATTACGTTTTTATTTTTATTTTTATTCAAATAGTACATCTAACGAAGAAAATAGGCCGGCTGGTTCACAAAACAGATGGGCCTTCCCGTAGAGAAGTTAGTCATCGCAACAAATGAGAACGACATCCTCTACCGATTCTGGAGAACCGGTCAATACACCAAGAAACCCGTTGAAAACGGCGCCGCCAACGCGCAAGCAAGTAGCGTCAAAGAAACGCTTAGCCCTGCCATGGACATCTTAGTGTCAAGCAACTTCGAACGGCTGCTTTGGTTTCTTGCCTTCAAAATCTACGGTGGAGACCAAGATATCCAGAAGCAGCGGCAACAAGCTGGCGATGTCGTCCGAGGATGGCTTGATGATCTGAAGTCCAAAGGTGGCTTCAGTGTTGAGCCAGCAATCCTTGATGCGGCCAAACATGATCTAGAATCAGAGCGAGTCTCTGATTTACAAATCATAGAAACAATCCGTGATGTATATTGCTCTTGCTTCCCTCCACCCCCAGCTAGCAGCGGAACTAGAGGAAAAACAGGCGGATACATTCTTGATCCACACTCTGCTGTTGGAGTTGCCGCTTCGCTCCGGTCTATATCTCGCAACCCTGGAACCCATCACATTTCCCTTTCAACGGCGCATCCTGCGAAGTTCGCTCATGCGGTTGACTTGGCGCTGAATGGCAAAGAAGGCTATGGTTTTGAGAATGTCCTTCCTCCCGAGTTTGTGGGATTGGAGAAGAAGGAGCGCCGTGTGATTGAGGTTCCCGCAGGAGAAGGGTGGAAGGCTGTGAAGAAAATTGTGGATGAGAAAGTTGGACTGTAGAAGTAGGAGAGGATGGCCCAAAGGCGGTATGGGAAGCGAAAGAACAATCCAATGAATGTTTCGGATACACTTAAAAAAACCATATCTATATACTCAGAGGCGATGAAGTACACTGTGATAGAGGAAAAGGCTTAATTACATCGTAACCTTTAGCAAGTTTGGGCATCTCGATTTACAACGACATAGAGAACCAGAATGCCCATCTCTGTCATTCAAAATCTGGCAGGGACATTATAACTTGGCAAGGATTCATGAAATCATCCCCCCTCAAACACGCAAAACCGATCCCCATAAACAACCCCTTCCCCCCCCAACGCAATTAGTATCATCGTTCTCTACCCATCGGAAAGTGAATTTCTTCCTCAGATTTCCTTCTCTGCTTCCCTTTCGACAGCCTCCGCCAACTCTCCCAAGGTATTAAATCGCCATCCAAACGCCACTTTTGGATTCTCGCCCGCAAGGTACTCTACCACGTTGCCCCCCATCCCACTCTCTCCCCCCTCCCCTCGCGCTATCCAAGCACTCTGTAACCCATATTTCTTTGCAGGCTCATGGTCGTGGAACAGACTTTGCGCAACATGCAACACCTGATCCTTCTCCAAGCCGAACTCTGATTTCACATGCGATAGCAAATAGTCAAAGTTTTTTGGATTAGGTTTATAAGACCCAACATCCTGCGCTGTATATACGGCGTCAAAAAACCGTTCCCCATCCCCTAGCCCTTCATGAACACCGCCTAACGGTCCATGGAGGGTTCTCTGGAAAGAGACGCGATCAACGTTTGTTAAGGGTACAAGCTTGTATCGTTTCTTCAGTTTGCGCATCGCCTCAACCGTATCTGGGAACGCAGGCCAAGTGCCAATGCTAGCTCCAAAAGCGGTTCCCTCTTTGTCCAAAATGGAGGATGGATCCTCTCCACCAGCAGCAGCTGGGAGGGCTTGTAGCTCCTTTGCAAGGGCTTCATATGAGGCCTTGAGAATTAGATCGTAGGTTTGCCTTGGGTTCTCCGCTTGAAACGCACGTTCGTACTTATTCAGAGAGGAACACAGAGCTAGGGGATCTAACTCTGACAGGTGCGAATCCGGGAGACGGTCGCTGAGGGGTTTAAGGCTTTCGATAATTCCACTTTCCCAGTCAATCAAGGTGCCATATATATCGAATGATAGGAGCTGAAATGATGCTAAGGGTCGGTTGGACGTCATGATGGGGAATGCTATTATCTGTCGTCAGATGATAATGAGCTACCGGATTCTTTTTGCTCGTGAATGAATTCAATCGGTCGTATATCCCCGGTAACTATATGACTGTAACTTCTGGTAGGTAATCGTTGCATTCGCAATACTGAAGGATGCCGCAGTCAAGGAGGCCGAGAACAGCGAGGAGAAAAATGTGATCTATCTTCCAGAATTTCATAATTCCGGGTAACAATTCCAACCTCGATGGACTTCACCTTGATATTTTCCTCAGTCCATTTGGAGGTTTATTTTATCACGACGTGAGACTACGTGGGGTATTTTATCCCGCTCTGAAGATAACAATCAATATTTCAGCAGGAGATGAACGCCCTATGACATGCATTGTCAAGATGGATCTTAAACCTCCTCCACTTGTGACCAGCTTTTTGGCCCTCCTACCATACGAAAGTTGATTAGGGTCATAAATAAGAGGGCGTTCGCTGTTTAGCGCCACGTCAATACTAATGTGAAGCCATCAGTTGAAGCTTAATTAACTAACTAGTTATCGTTAACCTGGGATCATCCAATTTCATCTTCGAACATATTCCATGCGAGGTCAAGCCCTGATACTCGGAACCAAAACAACCATATTATCAATGTTTCTATTCAAGTATAGTTTACTCCTCAAAGGAGGTCTCCAATTTGGTCATTGACATCTGAGTTTTGCGATTTTTTGTCTCTCTTCATTTCACGCGAAGGATGAGGTGGAAGCGCAAATGTTATGGCGCCTCTTCTGGGATTACCAGGCCAATGAGGAGTTAAATGACCAATACCTTGCTCTTCTATACTCTCTTCCCCATCATCTGTTGGACGGTGTGAAACTGAACCCTCTGTGTTCATCGTTCGCCATTCGCCGTATTTCCTGAGGAAATCGGAAAAAAAATCAATATACGATGAGATCAACTGCCAACCCTGCCATTTCCTTATATATGTCAGGTTCAATGTTTATGGAACTCCTCCTTACCAGCCACCGTTTTGTCGATAATCTCTCAGTAAAAGTTATGGAAACCATAACTACCTATTTACTGAATCTATGTCCACATGTCTATAGACAAAATTTACAAAAAGTCATATTACACCCAACGCCCGCCTTCAACAGATACCCCTGAAATATGCCATCACCACGATTTTTCAAAATTTTGAGGCCTGCGAGCTTAAGTACGAGTGAGTTTTCTTTTCCTCTAATCTATTCCGAAAGTTGCTATTGATGGTGACACTAGTGACGACCAGATATTACGACATAATAATCCAAAATACTGTCAGGAATACTGCGTTCTATAAATTACAATCCAGTGTCCTTTACAGATAGTTAAACTACTCTGGAATTCTCATTGCACGGGGCCGTATATATAGCCTTTTCACTGCTTCTTATTGATTGTTGACTCCCAGGCTCTCTATATAAAGCTCTCTATATAAAGCTCTCTCAGAAACCTCACCTTATATCTACTTGTTTTCAAGTGAGAAACACCTAACCATACAAAATCAATTCCTCAGCGAGAAAGCGATATTGAGAGCAAGCCAAAAAATGGCCACATAACCCCAAATACAATCGAATTCATCTCCCGAGATGTGTTTTCCACTTTCTTAATTCCCTTTCTTAATTCCCTTTCTTACCTTGAACAGTGCTGTTAACTATAGATCTATTGAAGTCGATAAAATGTCGTGCCAAAAATGTCGCTAGTCACGACTAAATCCTCACTGGAGGAGCGGCTTTCTCAAAAAGTGGACTGGAGCTTCCTGTGTCTATGGTGCAGGTGACCGCCGCGCGATTCTCCTTCGCCTAGGGAATGGAGAAGAAAGTTAATTTTCCATAGCCAAAACGAGAGACAGCGATGATGGGCAGATTTAGTGGTCTATCAATCCCTTGCACTGGGTCCCATATATTTCGAGGGAGTTCATCATTCTGAAAAGGCGCCTGAAAGTTAAGTACATAGTGAACCTGCTACAGGACCTCCAGCGACTGCGAGTCTAGTCACAAGTGATAATGGATTTTCTCCTGTGGGACAACATCGAAGAGGAGCCCGTATTTCGTATTCTACCACATAACTACCACCATCCAAGCATGGCGACTTTGCTCGCTACGGGGATTGTGGATGCAATAGTGGACCCCAAGTGGCGGGAGATGCGCATTGCGATCAATGGCAAGACTAGAGACGATATCAGACTTGAACTCTATGAGGAAAAGAACGGCCAGTGTCTATGGAACGAAGAATACGGGAGAATTGCTGACCCTTTAACTCAAGGGCTAGAGAAAGTTTGTGGACAGCTGATTGGTTCTTGTTGACGTAGTTACCCCTGGGTTTTCTTATTCGTAGCTTTTCTGTTAGCGATCTTCTTTACACAGTCGTAGTATTTTTAACTTCGGATCGTCTGGTTCCTTTTTGGTGTTGCAAATTCATCCATAGGTTTCTTTCAGCAAGGAGAATGAGTTTTGTTATTTTCTACTTTACCCCCTTACTATTCTTTTCGTTGTGGATTACCATGCTTACATTCACCAGGCTGTTCACAACCATTTATGCTTGAGCTATTGCAGTGGGGGAGTCTGTTATTCGCGGTGCGAGCGACACCCCTCCCTCCTATGTTGCCAGTGTGTGATGACAGGTTCTGATACACACTCTTTAGACGGCCATGTTCTTCCTCATCACAATTTTTAAGTCAATCCTTAATGTCTATTTAGTTGCTCCAACTACCAACTATGCTCGTGCTCGCTCCTTTAGTATTGTGACATACTTCTCTCTATCATCTCCTGATGGTTTGGATATCATTTCTTGCTATAAAATATCCACCAAGGCTAAGTGGCCAAATGGGCATGGAACTTAACCCCCCTCATTAGGGCTTACATTGTCTTGATCCAGGTCTCCAGCACTGCAATTTGAATGACCAGAATTGAAGAGTCATTTCCTGGACCAACTAATCTTCCGTGGGGAGCTGATAAATTGCGGCGTAGGCGTCTTAGTTGGCATGTTTGTCCGTCAACACAGCCATCCGTTTCCTCGGAGGAGAAGAGGAAGTCAGTGTGCCATTTAGTTACCTTTTCGGTCAGCAGAGGTTATCTAAGACCGAATCAGAGAAGCTGTGTGCAAGCTCTGATTTTGCCTGTCCACTCGGCAGGAAAACCTCGACAGCCATATGATATCTATGAATAGCGATGTTATTGAATACCAAAACTATCATGCCTAACGAACCCCTCCGTTTTGAGATGTCCGCGCGTACCTTCCGCTGTGGAATCTCGATATCTCTCAAGCAACAATCGCTCCAGCAATAGATAACGACTATTACGGGTTTTTCTGTCGGACGATGAAACCACTGATTAAAGAGGGACGTTTTCAAACACAGCAGTTGATTGAATTCCACAAAGCCCTTGTGAAAGCGTTGGTTGGTCATGAAGGCAGTGATGCAGATGTGGGAGAGAAGTTGGGAGACACGTTCAGATGGGTATTTGTAGTTGTGGATAAAGAAGATTGGGAGGCGGATGGGGCGTTGGTTATATGTCTGGGTGAGAATGTTGCAAAGCTTGGAATCGACTGCAATAATGGCGAACCGGTGGAAGGGGAAAGCGACTGGATAGCATATAGGATGCCGTCAAGACCGTGATCCATGATCCGGAAAGAAGGAAAGAAACAGCGCCAACCTTGGAGGAGTACAGGGAGAAGAAATTTGCGATATAACTTGCTGGAGCTCCACCGTCTCCGAAGCAGCTCTCCCTCAAAAATTCTGAATGGGGCTTGTTTGTCTGGAAAATATCAAAAACCCGAGTCTCAGAGATCATGATGAGATAACCTCCTGCCAGTGAGTGACATTCGACAATCTCCCAAATAAACCAGCCGTATATTCTCAGGGAACATGCTGAACTGCTTAGTTCTCCACTTCATGTCAAGGTGCATCCGTTCCACTCATACACTAGTCCTCTACCTGTTCCTGTGCTAGAGCTGCTAAAACTCATGTCCAGTGGTTCAAGCAATCAACCCATCTTGAAGGATCTAGAAAAGGAGCCGGGTAGGAATGATGGCCAGGTTTCAAATCAAGGCAAAAGAAGTAAGATATTGGGCAGCTAGAGTGACTGAACAATATCTTTCTTTCAATGGACTTCTTCTATATTATTAAGTTTCCTGTTCTGTTGTTCTTTGAAGTGACTAGTTACAGTAGTAGTGATCAAACGGAATGATTTTCTACTCGATAAAAATAGCGGTCATAGTTCACGGTTAAGTTCAATGCAGATATGCTTCCTGATATCAATTTTATACCATAGGAAGGTAGAATTCATGGCTGCTCTCAAATCAATACTCAACACTTGAGCCGGGGAGCTTAATGGCCGCTGACAGCTGAGAAAGGTGCTAAACGGTTCCGCTTAGCATGAGACTATAGAGAGAATGGTGAGACCGGGGAGGGGAGGGGGTGGAAGGGTTTTTAAAGGAACTAATAGCTGATATTCCCATGTTTAAACACTATACTGGTTGCATGTTAACTACATGACGCAAGACCCCCTTCATTCATTCCAACATAATGCATCGAACACACCTGTTGCCGATAAGCAGAAACGCAATACAGGAAAAAAAAAAAAAAAAAAAAAGGGAAATGAAACAGAAAACTAACAGTCTCGTACTATGAAACAGGTTTCGTGGAAGTATTGGCCCATACGTATATATAGGGCTTGAGAGAAGGGGAAGGTATTGAGTAGAAGCTAGAAGTTCAAAAAAAAGGGCGATTGAAGTAACATAAAGCGGGACAAACATGCAGGGTTTGCAGGGGAATAAAACAGAGACGTAACATGGTTAATTGAGTTGGTTTTCTTTTTTTTTTTCTCTTTTTCTTTTCTTTTCCTTTTTTTTTCTTCTTCTTTTCTTCTATTTATTTTTCTTTGTTTTTGATCAAGGAAAATAAAGGCGGAGTAAAATGGAAAAGAGGAAGAAAAATATCAAGGGAATTATAAAATAAATAACCCGGTCATATGGAACGCCGCGGCGGATCATTCCATAGCTACAGGGGAGGAGAGAAAAAAACGGGTGCCCTTGATTGAAAACTTCGTATAAAGTAGAGGCATGTCGTACAGAGTAAAAAAAGAGTAGATTAATCAGAGGGCATAGGATGGAGAGGTAAGAAAAAGCAAAAGGGGAAACGAGACAAAAATAGAGAACAGGAAAAAACCAAATAACCGCCCCAGTGGCATATCCTTGCCAGACCTTGGGTTTAACCCTCCAAATAACGCCGATTTGATCAGGCGGGTATATCCAGCACCACCATGCATATTTACAGTGGAGGAATGGGTAATAATAAACAGAAACCAAACATGTTACAACGAAATGAAAACAGACCATAGACGGATGAAAATAGAAGATAACGAACAGATAAAGCAGGGGAAGAAAGGTTTTGACCCCAAACACCTACAAAAAAAAACGCCGATAGTAGTTGGAACCACAAACTTTTTACCGTGAGTTCGAAAAATTCATGCTGCTCATTGTTAGTTCCGGGTAATGTCATCGGGCGCCAACGCCAAACATGCCGACACCGTAGCTTCCGCTTCGTTCAGTGAGGGTGGGAGACACTCCCGAAATGTGATCCTATCGACAAGATAAATTAGATAGGTACACAAGGGGGGACGGAATATCTGTGCCGCAGCTAGGTGCTAGGGAATCTAGCTCAGTACCTTTTTCCTTTTCTTCTTTCCCGACCCTCGTCCTTCATCTTCGCCATTAGAAAATTGCTCTCTTTCCAAGTCCGCATCGTCATCCGGGAATCCCTCGCCATAGCCGACGAAACTGCTGTCATTATAACTGCGCTTCTTACCTGTGCGCTTCGGTCTTGTGTTTTCAGCAATCGGAGTTGATACCGACGCGGTTGCACCGTTCAATTGGGTTGGATGACGGATAGATGCGGGGACGGTTCCAGCAATTTTAGCCGTGGACGGATCTGCAACTACGAGGACCTTGGATGGCTTCTCATGACCTAGCGCATCTTCCCAGAATTCATGATTGGGTAAAATCCCTGCATCCAATTTCATCGCTTTCAACTGTTGTTTGAAGAAGGACGATTCGGGCTCCGGGACTTTTATATCCTTTCCATACACCTTTTGGTTTTGCCACTCCTCTTCTGGCCATAATGTCAGATATCTTAACCCTCCAGTTGCTCCAGGTTCGGCCTTGACGGGTTTATTTCTTCCTGCTAAACAAAGACTTTTAATTTTCCCTTCATACGACTTCCTTAACCTGTTTATCTTTTCGCCCGTCACGGGGTCGGTCCGAGCAACAGACGCAGCAACCGGGCCTAAACCGTAGAGTGATACTAAATCTAAACTCAGATTCGGGCCGGATGCGGTATAAGCTAGAGTGTTCAGGTCGCGTTAACATCAATGATGCCCAAGAAAGAGATATCACAAACCAGGAATAATTTCTAGAAACGGTATTGGACTTGAGAAGTCAGACAAGACAGTGTCTTAGGGAGACCTTACAAGATTTGCAGATATGGAAAGCAGTGCCTATATCTTGCTGGAGGGCTGACAGGGCCAGCCGTTCTTCTTGAGACGTTGAAGCCACTCTGTAATCCAAATCCATTTCATTTTCATCAGAATTTTCATGTAGACTGCTTTTCTGCCGGTCATGGTCAGTTCTTCTGTGTCCTGGTTGATCAATATCAATGAAATCCAACCCTCTTTTTTCCCCAGTCGACGGTCTTCCGTCCTTCTGAGAGTCTGCTGTAGCGTTCTTGGAGTTGCTTTCTGGATCATCCATGGTGCTGTTGGTGGCGAAATGACCATAAACACTGCTTGCGGGTGTGGGAAATGATGTAGTTGACGTTACAGTGGGCTGTTGGGAGACCTGAGTGGACATTGCGACGGAGGATGGCGGAGAGGAGAGTGAGGTGGATTGGGTTTGCGCAGGTGACGTTTCAGTAGTAGAGAAGCTCGAGGCATAGTTTTGAGCACTGGCTGACATCAATGGAGGGGAGGTCGGAGTATGGGGTGTTTGGTCTTTCGGATGATGCTGCTGATGCAGCTGATGCGATTTGGCCCTGTCGGCTGGGGGCGAGGAAGGTGATAGAGGAGGGCCGGCTTTGTAGGAGGATGCCAGCGGTACGAAGGACATGAGGCCCGAACGATGTAGGAAAGATAACAGTGTGACCAGTAGCCTACACCAGCTGCTATAATGCTTGCGCCAGACACGTACCGAATCGATGGGCCCGGTAACGATAGTTGTTGGATGGCGAAAGCGACGGCTCAAAGGACCGTGAAGCGTAACATAGGCTGACCTTCAGCGACGAGCTATGGGGTCCACATGCCAGAATTCAGACAGCCTCTAACACTTGTCTGACGGTGTCGTGTCAAATACAGGAGACGGATGTGCGATACGGATGCTGGGCTGGATGGTGGATTGACGCCCGTTGTTCAGTGAGATAGAGAAGACAGTGGAGGTTGAGGTTGCTGGGATGAACGGCGAAGTGAAAAGGTCACGTGTGACTGGTCGCCTTCACCCGGGGCTTGGCGGAAGAACCAAGGTTGGAGCTTGCATCGGCATAACTATTAGTTATTGTTTGTAATGGGTTATATCTCAAAAAGAGAAAAGAGGGGACTTAGAAGCATATTGCAAGGAGGAATATATATATCATAAAACTATATTTCGCATACGAAGCGAAACACTTATATCGAATTTACATTAGTCCGGGCGATCAAGGTTACGGGGTCCAGTTCGAGCCCACATATCTAAGTCACGTGATAGTATTTCTGGAAAAACTTAATTATTCTGCATGCACACACATTCACACTCAAAATAAAACCGTAGTGAAGTAAAAATTATCAGAAAGTTATATGGTACCAATAGCATCGTAAGACGTTGAGATGGTATATTAGTCAACATAGAATTTTATTTGCACGGTGCACATCCGACTCTTGGAAGATGAAGCAGAAAAAGATGAGGAGGTAGGATATCGAAATAAAGAACTCTCCAAGTAACTTCTCAAGACACGCATAAACCACAGCCTGAAGTATCATGAAGCAGATTTCGAAGAACGGAACAAACTGAGATACATAACAGGGAAAAAAAATAGCAGGTTTTAATCGACGCCGAAATCCTCCTTTTGACAATTCGTCAAGCAGATTTTGAAACACGCACACGCGCATAAAAGGTATATATTCAAAAACGTATCCTTCCGCCCTTCTGATAACAGAGAAAAAGTCGAATCAACATCACCCTGTACCAGTTTTCAATGCAAGATAAATAATAATATAAAAGGGAGAAAGAAAAGAAAAGAAATAGAGAACAACACATGCCAATGGAAATGGAATCGAAGTCATCTCATGGCACCACATTTATCACATTGGACGAAACCAGCCCTCTAGGCGAATTCGCCAACTAACCAGCAACAATTGTATTAGGAAAACGCACTATCGTTCAGAAGTGTTTGATAGTTCAGAAGTGACAACCCGAATTTCATGGAATTTCATTGTTGTAATAAGTCGTAGATTCATCAGGGCGGTATGAGACTTCAGGAGGATTTTGAACTAGATTTTCCATTAGTTCTATCTGTTCTTGCTGACTGAGACTTCGTCCTTGCCAATTTGCAGGGTACGGCTGGTTGAAGAACTGTGAATATTGATCCCCAATCGAGCCCAGCCAAGACATTGGGTTAGCGCTGGCACTCGGGTAAGAGAGATGGCCTGCGGTGGTGGAAGTAGGATTATAGTTAGGATCCCAATGCTGCAGACCTGGAAGCACTGAAGGGAATGTGTTGTATAAGGAATTTGGATCGAACTGTGTATCACTAGGGTTGATGGATGAAGGTCCGTACGATGTGGTTGCCACCGGCTCCGTAGCTTGGGTTGCTTGGTGATATTTAGGTTGTGTCGGATAAGGATTGGATAAGGTAGTTGTCGTTGATGATTCGGGTGATGAGTTTCGAACGACATTCATGGAATAAGGCTGTGAAGGATTAAAATGAATGGATTTCGGCTGAGGGATTGGGGAAGACCCGTCCGGCGTCACACGGTCTCTGGTTGTTGTATGGCGAGAAGAGCCGACAGAAATGGTAGCAACACTAGAAGGACTGGACATAGGTGGAGGAGTCGTAACATCATGTGAAGATAACGGAGAGGCCCCGCTGGGTGGTGAATGCACCACAAATGATTCGCCAGTTTCATAGGCTCTGAGACAACCCGCGATAAGGCTTCTATATAGCTGGAGTGCAGATTCCACCCCAGGCCATCGCTCAGCACTTACTGTGATAACGGCTAGGGCAATTGAAATGTGTTCTTTAACCTCTTCGATAGGATGCTCCTGTCGAATTTCGGGATATGAAAGTGACCAGAGTATGGTATTCAGAGCCATGAATACCGACTGCGTGAAAATCCAGGTCAAGTCCACAGAACTCGTCTCAACTTGATTTCTGTGCATTCTAATGTTGAATATAGATGCATCGTAACACTTCCTCGCAGCATTGAGCGACGGTTCCGGGACTTGTGGAGATGGTCGAAACATGAATACAATCATTGTGTTCCGTCTTCCTTGGAACCTTGATGTGAATTAGCTGCCACAACTTAAATACCTATTCATATGGGGGAGATAACCCGGAGCACAACTTCTGCACTTACCACAGTTCACTAAGTCCGCTACCTTCATCGTTTTTGGGACAGGAAGCAACCCAGTGATCAAGTTTCGCTAGCATGTTAGTGAACCACGGATCGTTGTCATTTAGAGGTGTATTGCGCTTTTTGAGATACAAAGTTCTCCGGATTTCGGCCTGGAGTAGCCTCATTTTAAAGAAATGGATTGCAATGCACTTCTTCATTATAGGTTGGCTGCCTGGCAAGATACCCCCGCGTGTGATGAAGCGATCGTCGACCATTGAAAAGAATTCCACATTAATATGATCATGGGTTGCCCCAAAAGCACTTGGGCGACCAAGGCTATGAGATAAACCATACTCCATAGATATTATAATCCAGAATAGTCGCCTCCGCATATCAAGTTCGAGACAGTCAAGGGGCCCCGAAGATGACTTAGTAATGGTAGCCTCATCGGTTAAGCCTAAATCTTGGCAAAGTTTGACAGCAACTCCGACAACCCAATACGCCGCAGTCCTTGTTGGCGTTAATAATGAATATTGGGCTATAAGCGCGAAACACTGTAAGGTTGATATGTCCATCTTTCTTGTACAGTCATCTAAGAATGGAAGGGCAGCCAAATAATAGCTGTCCGCCAGCCCCGCATACTGTGGGCTAAGCTTCTGCATACTGATCGCAATAACTAGTCGAGCTTGGAAGTTATAGCAGGGGTCTTCAGACCCATTGAGGACAGCGTTGATTTCCTGGAGGAATGAGGGTTCATGTAGAGTAGGAAGCATGTATTGAGCTAGCGACAAAAGTTAGACCATATACGACTAAACGCGATGGCTGTTTGGTATATGGTTCACCTTTCGCCATGAATATATCCACTAATCTGTATGTCAATTCTCGTGGTGGAAGATTAGGTTCTGCAACCGAACTTATCATGGGATATATTTTCGAGGTTGGTTTTTGGCTCTCGCGGGTAAATGCTGATTTGATTTCCTGGGCAGTGGTCTCGTTCACAACCTCTTTAATACTTTTAGAATCAGTGTTTTGTTTTGCCATTTCCATAACGAGACGAGTAATCGCGATACCACTTGATGGTCCCAGGAATTTGGACTCATCTGTTTCTTTGAACCTGATGAGACCAGCCCCACGAACCATGAGTTCTGCATCCGGACGATGATTTATTTCGCTCTCGATCACGGCTAGTTCCCGGTTAAGCACCTTTATCCGCTCCCTCAATTGTACTATATATGTCCTTGATATGGTTCCATTTCTCGCGGGGTCATAGTATACACACTTTGCGTTGGATCGTTGACATGGCTCGCATCGGGGAATGCCGGGGTCGCATCTTGATTTTCTCTACGTTTTCACGTATTAGCGGCGGCAAATGTTGTTGACGGGTGATGATGGCTTGGGGTATCCCATGCGAGAATGGTGGAACAAGAATGAGGCGCAAGGGGTATGGTACAACCTCAGCTGCAGAGGCAGCGGGGTTGGGGTTGGGATCGATATACCTGTCGACATCGTGTACAAGCGGTCAACGTGTGAGCGATGCGAGTATTGGCTAGCTCTGCTGAAAGTGCAGAGCCTTTTTGAGGTGATTTTCCCCATGCATCGGGAAAGGAGGTCTTGGTAGTAGCAGCTTCGTCCATCGGGACCAATATATTATTGTTCAACACCTCACATCAATTCCACTTTGATGCCTATGGGCTCTCTATAGGGGATAGCCAGCTTGTAGCTATTGATATGAAGCCTCCTCACGAGTAGGACACAACTTCGCATATCGGGAATCCCGAACAGTTCAATCTCCGAGATGAGAGACCAAACGTTTCGATTGTTCGGCCATCTTCGTCTCTTAAGGCGGCCTGAGCCATGATGTCTAATTCTCTCATCCCGCATTTGCGCGGAACCAACAAAGCTCGATCGCTGAGTCATCACCATACCCCAGCCCTAATATCGGGGGTCTTCGTCGGCTTCTTTTTCCAAACGGCTTACGGGAGATTTGCAGCTGAGATTATGGTCGCTCTAGCTAGCCCGAGAGTATATCTAATTACGAGTAATTGATTTCCCTCTTATGGCGCTAGCATGGATTGCACATTTGCTGTAATTCCCTAGTTATATAAGAGTCCGCCGGATTCCCGTAACTATGACGCCTCCCCGAACTGGCGTTTTCAATTGTTCCATCTACGGCTACAATCGCACATGCTCCCATCCCCAAGGGGTAATAATGCAGTGAATAAATAGCTACGTATGTAAGGTGCACCGTGTGACGTTGAAGGTGAAAGCCAACCCATTTATTCTCTATCCCGATTGAATCCGATCGAAAACAGTCCACCCCTAGAATGCCAGCCAAATCACCATGAGATTGAGCTCACAGCTGTTAAAATCCAAGTGAACTCTGCTAAAGCAATCTATTGATAGCAGTGATTGGGATGAGCATGGCAGATTATTTGCTGGTACCGCCTGATGTTAGTGGCCCCGCGACGGCGAAGGCCAAATTTTGATATGAACCGCTGTTGCTCGGCTTTCTACCAGTTCAGTGAATTTCTTCCCTTTACCAAACGTGCATGTGGCAGTTTGGAGGAGATTCCGGATCTTATCCGTCCCTGGACTTAAGGAATTCCGCCGTTCAATTGAAGATCTCCCATGGTTCAGCGTCATCCTCGTGATTTCTTAAGCGGGACGGGCAAATTTCCAGCTAATTTTAATTTCGGGATAGCAAGGGAACATGGCACAAACATTCCATATTTGCCAGGTTGGGCTATCAAGTGAAATGAGAGCCAGGCGTCCTGGTATTTTGGCATGGATCATGAATTCGGGTGTTTATACAACTCTACCATTTTGCTCCATTGTGAATTTTGAAGGCCATTTCAATGCAAATGTGGAGAGATAGAGATGCTTTTACCTTCCGTCGCTTAACTTGACCTTCTACGCTCATTTGAAAAATTGGGTATAGTTCAATTCTAGCCAGAACCACGGGTAATATATTAAGAAAATGCTTCATCTACCATTAAATATTAGGGATTTGGCTCCCTCTTGAGATATATTTATTTTTTCTAAAAATTGGCTTTCTTTTTGTCCTGCTGAGCGATCTCAAATATTTGATGATTCTTAAGAATAGACTCTTCAAATTCTAGACCTTTCAAATTTAGCAGTGAAGTCTCACATGAGACTTTTCATTATTTAATAAATACATAGCTAAAAACATGATTCTTTAGCTAAGTGTAGAGAGATATCAACTTGATGCTAAGAGAAAGGAAAATTTCAAGACATTTATTCAAAAGGAACAAACATGATGTCTTAAAAAGAAGTGAGACAGAAAAATTTTGCGGTAATTAGGGTCTCTTCAGATGCATCAGCACTTAAAGTTTGATATTAATTAAACCAAAACCAATTTGTGAAAATGCCCACCATGAAAACATCTATCATTTCCTGAATAGACTATCTTAAAAGTTAAGTAGAAATTAGAAACAAGACAATATCAAACAATTAACCCAAAGGAGATAGCAGTCTAGAGACGATCAACAAATATAGCTGTCATATTTGAGTGGTTCTTGCATATAATATGGCCTGTATCAGTAAATAGTATGTACCCTTTCAAGGGAAAAGGTTGTTGCATCAAACACGAAACTAATACGGTTGGTGCGGGGCACGATTCTCGAAGTCGCAATAGAGGTTTGCAAAATATACATTTCCCCCCCATCATACTCCGTAAAGAAAGCTCCAACCCTCAAGAAAAATGGCACACCTATAAAAGCAGTTATATCTAAGCAAACTAGGTAATTGCGATGCCACTCTAACCATCAACTTTCAAGAAATTTTATCATGGACTTGGCGGGAATAAACCAGAGGAACGGTCCCCCAAAGTGCCAAAAGCCACGATATGCATAGCTTTCAAGCCGGTTCTCCAGTGCTATATCCTCTAATTGCAAATACATATTTCTATTATTCAGCAACAGGATTAAATCCATAGAAGTGTTAATTGCTAAACTGGGAGGAAACAGTGAGCGTAAACTTTCATTGAGTAGTTTAACCTTCACAGCGCGATGGTGTGGATGACGGAATATTTTTTTTCCCGGATGAGGAAGACCTTGAAAAGAAAGCCCTTAAAAGAGATTCAGTAGACAGACGTGTTTGGACACGCCGCTGGCTGAGATGTGTGATTGAATCCTTTCGCAAGACTTCTTCAAACAGCGGCATAGTGTCAGCTGTCATAAACCACCAGTGGGGGTATGTTGCTATTTGCACGAGTTAACTTTTGCCGGATATAAATTAGTTATTTCAGCGCGATAGGGAGGGTGCCTCTGAAACTTAAATAATTTAACAGCACTTGACTCGCGTTCTATTAGCCACTCTCTCGGAAGGGTACTCGTCATGGTCGAATCTGACACGGGCTTGTAAAGTTATAATAAACTTGGAAATTATAAACTTGGTTAAGTACCGCTGTATTGTTTGAGACAAGATGCTTTATTTCTTCCTTATATTTCCTGAATCCAGTTCGCCCAGTTCATTCCATGGGCGACCGTTATCGTGTTCCCTCAGAGCGGAAACGGGGGAAGCACATTGTAATGATTGCATGGGGCCTACCTTACCATCAAATTGGAGTCTCTTGATCTCCTGCATGAAGAAAGCCACTTTCGTCCCCAGCATATGGAAAATCGTGCAGACCTCGAAAAGGAGATGGAAAAAAGAAGAAAGAAAGGATGAAGGCATATCTAGACCAAGAAAGGTTGTATATAGTTAACAACCTTGGGCATCCGAGTCATATGATACGTGTTTGATCCGAAAGTGAATTCGAATTACTTTTGAAAATTTGCCGATATTCAAAGCCGAGAGCGGACCGCAAGATCTGTTGGAAAACTAAAGGAGGGACACGTTCATGTGCCTCAGCTCCTGGCAAATAGATGAATTGCAGCACACCCCCACGTGACATAAATAACTTTCATACGACCCATCATCGGTTGCGTTACCTGGCGGCAATCTTATTGAACCTCATCGATTTACCCAGCGCCTGGATCGGTTGAATATGCATCGATACGCCATTGTCAGAATCATGCCATGAACTGTTCGTGGGTTTCCGGGCTGAACATTCTTGAGAGGGTTTTGGGATATTATTGAACACAAAACACGTGGAATTAAGCCTCCGTAGGTGGCATTCCCAGCTAAGCTAGGATTTGGTCAAGTTTTGGCCGTGGCAATTTCAATAGCAAATAGCGATTATATGACATTGAGATGACGTTCGTGTTGTGGACTTTTCGATGGGGTAAATATCACCACGTGTCATCGTCTTACAGCTGCAGGGGATGCAATGCGTAACGACTATATCAAGGATGGCGTTGGCTGCTATTGGCGCACAAAATGTGGGACGAAAAAGACTTTAATTATACGGTAGGAGGATACAACGTAGAGGGAGAGGGGGGTGTGGTTTTTCAACCGTACCGGCATCAAAATTTGGATTGAAGGTGTCATAATACATGGCAATATAGGCATGATACGACGCATTTATTGCTCCTAGCGGCGGAAATTGCGAGAGAAGGCTTTTAAGGGGGCTCCAAGGCCATGAGAGCCCCTAATGTTTAGCGCACTTATACGCAGAAACTCCCGTTTTGCTGCGGACCGCATTTCTCCACGTCCAGAGCCGAAACAGATCATCCAAATCCAGCGGATGAAGACAAACAGGTGCGATAGTGGGCGGAACAGGTAATTCAATGGGATATTTTTGTCTTTGGCATTCGATGCTGCAGTGACGTGGTTCCGGAGACCTCCTTCGAAACATTCATTGGCGTTGAAAATTGGCAATGCTGCTCGCTTGCTGGATATATAAAGTCATAGTCCAAAACACAGAGTTATATGTATGCATGTACAGTTCAGTGCAAATTGTTAGCACTAGGACCTTGGCCAGTACTTGGGCTGTAGGGGACTATGACTTTCAAAAGAAGCTTAAGGTATTCCGGCGCAATACTGAACACCAGACGTGAAGGACATATCGAATTTTAACAAACAGAGCAAAGATTGGCGAAGGAGGAAGAGAAGAAATTGGACAGGGAGTTGGAGAATAAGACAGCAAATAAAAGTGGAATCAAGATTTATTTCCTCCCTGTTTGTGACGTGTCCGTGGCGACATACGCCTGCCCAGCGCCTTGAGTCTGCTCTGTAACTTGTCTCTGATATAAAACTCCGAAGGATGGGTTGCGGGAGATTGAGCTCCAACGTGTCACATGACCTGCTAGGAGCTTGGCGGATACATTGAAATAGTTATCTGCTGCAGCTGATTGGTGGGTGAGAATCAGATTATGGAGGTCACGCCGTCACGGGCGATAAGATAAAGTTTGCCTACACATTTTAAGCGCAATAGGGGAAACCCTAACCTTGTTTTGATGTCTCCTGGCTGCTGAATTGACGATGATGATGATAATGATGATGATGATGATGGTGTGGTGGTGCTTTGGTGATGGGAGTCATTGACTAATAACCACTCAACAGGCAAAACCACACCATGACTGTTATTTTTCTTGTTGTTTATGAGGCCTACACACCTGGATATACTTTCTATATGCCCAAAGGATAATCGTCTGACACATTTAAAAGGCATTGCCTTCCAATCAGACCACCATCCGGGACAACGAAGGTTCTGTATGAAACCGGTCAGTTGATTCACGGCGCAGGCATCCAACCGCGGGGAAATTCCCTGAGGCGAAAATGAATCATTCCGGGAGTGCGGTAGCACTATGATATATATTCGTATGATATTGCGGTCACATTATCTCATCGTTTTAGCATGCCCTGCCGCCCGCCATGGGGTAGATCATGGGAGGCGAGGGCCGGACCACTTCCTCACTGCTAATAACACACATGAAGGTTTCAGTGTCTCTCTTATATGGAAACCCTCTGTCGCGATTTCTTTGTCTGCTCTGTTAGAAAGTGAAGCGGAAAGCGCACAGTTCTTGGTCTGGCCGTCCTTAGGTTGACTTTGATATACCCTCGGGAAACCCGTTTTTGGCTTCTGCCGGTTTCGAAAAGGGGGCCCTTTTGCCTAGTAGTTACTGTTTACTGTTTATCCTCACCAGAGAGTAACGTTTTGCCTTCTCCACTAAACAGAGGAAGTCTTTTCAACAGCGCTGGAAGAGACAGACAAAAGGAGTTGATTGATTGATTGATTTTTTTTTTTTTCGAAGAAGCAAAATGAACAAACGAATCTCTATTCCAGTATCGCTACCTCATCCAAATCCCACGATCTCGTACTGGCAAAATCCACCGGATGAGATCGGGGACATATGTTCGACTACGCAGCTTCCATCGCAGGTGGATATTGCCATAATTGGGTCAGGGATCTCTGGCGCAACTATTGCGTATAATATCCTATGTCGAGCTCCAGGGACCAAGATTGTATTGTTAGAGGCGAGACAGGCAGTAAGTGGAGCAACAGGAAGAAATGGTACGATTCAATTCTTTCCCCCCCCTCTTTTTTTCTCTTTTTTTTTATTTTTGTTTTTATTTTACTTTATTTTTTACTTCTCCTGTGTACATGTGATATAAGGAGTACAAACAGGGGAAAGAGGAGGTGACTTTCGTATGGACAACTTCGCTAATCAGACGTATCGTGACAATTTGAATTAGGTGGTCACACCAAAGGGGCTTCCTACACAACCTTTCCCACAAACGTGCAAAAACTTGGCCTTGAAGAAGCCATAAAAATCGCAAAACTCGAACTCAACACCGTCCGACAAGTCCACGCCTTTGCAAAGAAGCATACAATTGACTGCGAGAGCAGACACATCGACACCGCAGATATCATATACAATCAAGACACCCTCGATCAAGCCGTCCAAGCCGTCCAGTTCATGCAAAAGGCCATGCCAAACCATCCCGCAAGCAAGTACACGTTCTGGAACAGAAAGGAAACAGAAGAGAAGTTCCTCGTCCCCGGCGCCGCCGGTGCTATTACATACGAAGCTGGCAGTCTTAGCGCATACAAGCTTGTCATCGGGATTCTCAAGCTATGTCTGGAGAAAGGACTGAATTTGCAAACAAATACTCCCGTAACCGGTTTACATAGGTATGATGGTAATAGCTCTAGTAACAGCGGCAGCAGCAGCAGCAGAACGAACAAGACCAGCTGGACAATCGTGACTCAACGCGGCCACATACAAGCTTCAAAAGTCGTAATGGCAACAAACGGCTACACAGCAGCCATCTACCCGAAACTTCAAGGCGTCATAGTCCCCGTTCGCGGACAGGTAACAGCGCATAGACCCGGGTCAAAAATGCCGTCCTCCACTCTCTCCACCACCTACTCTTTCAATTACGGCAGCGGCTTCGATTACATGATTCAATGCCCGGAGACGTCCAAGTATCCGGGCGACATCGTTATCGGAGGTGGGTTCTGCGAGAGCAAGAATGAGGGTTTAGCCAATTATGGTAATACGGATGACTCCGGTGTGGAGCCGGCTATTAGTGAATATCTGGCTGCGTCGACGGTGGAGTTTTTCGGGAAGAATTGGGGCTCTGATGATCGTGCTGGTCGTGTGAGGCAGGAATGGACGGGTATTATGGGCTACAGTGCCGATGGGTATCCGTTGGTTGGGGAGATGCCGGGGGAATCGGGGTTGTTTATCTCGGCATCGTTCCAGGGACATGGTGAGTTTTCCCTCTTTTCCCTGATGCCCGTTTACTTTACCCCAATTTCACGGGATGGATTTTATTTCTAACCTTTATTGCCCTCCCTTCCAAATTACAGGAATGGTCTCCTGCTTCCTTTGTGCAGAGGCGCTTACCAACATGATATTTGGCGACGATGAGAAGAAACTGTCCAGCTGGTTCCCAAGCGCATATATGGTCAACTCTGAGAGACTGAAGCACAAGCTTGACCAAAAAATCACACCACCTCCAAGATCCCAATCTAAGGCGCGCCTGTAGCGAATCAAGAACCCATTCAAAACAAATGGGTATTTCCTTCCCTCTTTGCCAATGATCAGGCATTTTCTTGTTTCTCTTACATTTGTTAATTTTGCTTCTTGACATATACCCCTTTTATTATTCAATGATGTTTTTAATAATATGATATGATACTCGCTCATCAAGTTCGCTTGTGGCTGGTAATTCGTGGCGGTTGAGCTGACAGCGGTGGTTTCCAACAAATTGCAAGCAACCAGTGGCAACACTACGAACGGCTTATTTTAATAAAGAGACAATGAAGCAAGGCGTACCCTGTTGGGCAATGGAATATCAGCGATTTCCATTTTCTCCTGGCAGGCTGGTTGTCACGGGCGGTTCTGCTGTCGTATTGTTTGGACTCTTCTCATCCATGTCAAATACCAATATCATGGAAGGCCTAGAGGCACCGTGAGTTGACTTCTTTTCAGTGCAGTGTTTTCTGACGCGTCTTTTGTATTCTTCTTACCAATATACCCAACTCTTTAGCCAATGCAGACTGTTATGTTAACGCTCATAATACTAGTTCTCTTGGCAAACCGTAGCATGGAAGGCCCATCGTCCAGTATTTGAATAAGATGGCTGATTTATTGACCGGTTAGTTAATTAGAAACTAGCTGTTCACTTTTCAGTCAAGAAGCTACATATGTATGGGAGACAAGACATGCAGAGAGAATAGGACAAAAGGGTAGATACCCACACACATGCTGGTTAAACATAGTAAAAGCCCTCCCTTCATAGAGAGATTATGACAGGAAAAAAAGGGAGAATATATATGGCGGCGTATGCTTGACAATGCCATAAGGAAAGTACAAGTTCTTGGTACACAGTCGGCACCCTGCCGGGAGAGGGAAGAGAAGGAAGTGAGCAGAAAGGTAAACTCCAAAAAGCCCAGAGAAAAACTAGAGGATGAATATAAAGGAAAAAAGGGGAAATTAAGAAATAGGACGGATAAGAAATGCAAATAATTGACATGGCGAGAGAAAGAAGTAGATAGGAACGGAAGTATATGGCAACAAAAAAGACGGAAAAAAAAAACAAGTATCCGATCCGATATAACTTCTTCTGATAGACAGTAACCCCAATCACGCCCCAATGACAAAAAGAAACTTTTTGTTTTACAAAAGCTTTCGACGCAATTGATTTTACCAAATAACTCATCATGTTTAATATTTCTTCTGACAATTTATGCGATCAGTGGGAAAACAGGCGAGAATTCATTGAGCCGTTGCTCATGACTCTTTAACATCAACCTTTTTAGCGGGAGGGGCTTCAGACTCCGCAGCAGGACCAGCGCCATTGGAAACAGCGTTGCCATTTCCGTTGCTATTCCCACTTCCATTAGCGGCTGCATCGCCATCTTCCCGCGCGCGCTTCTGACCGGTCTTGGTTGTCGAGTCATCGTTTGTTGCTGGTGGTTTTCCAGTTGGTGAGACTTGGATGACGGGAACGCCACTATCGAGAGAAGCAGGGAGGATAAGCGAAAAAGAAAAAGGAACATCAAGTCATAGACTTTTGAATGGAGACAAAAAGACGTAATTCGTCCCATGGAATGGAAATAGAGAAAAGAAACATACCGAGCATCCTTCTGCAACTCCGTCCGCCCGCCGCCTCTGCCGCCTCTTTGACCACCTCGTCCACCCTTCCCCCCCCTAAAGCCCTTCTTATGATCATCTTTGCGACGATCATGTTGATTCGATGAACCACCACGTCCCCGATGATGCCCACCCCTCCCCCTCCCGGTATTAGGCTTCAACCTCCCCGCCTCAATCTCCTTAATTTTCTCATCGCAATAATCCTTCTTGCTCTTAATCAGTAACTCTGTAGTCCCCTTCCACTTTGGCTTCGGGTCAAGCGCCAGAAACGCCTTTTGAGTCTCCTCGCTATCAAACTCCACAAACACGCTCCCCTTGAAGATCTTCTCGGGCGTGCGGCGGAGACGGATGGCGTTCGTGGGACCATAGGGCGTGAAGAAGGCTTCTATGTCGAATTGCGTGCTTGGTTCTTCCGGCCCAAAGCCCTTGGCATATATGCTGCGTTGCATCGCTTTGTCCTCGAACACCTTGATGGCGGTCGGATCGACGGATTCCTTGACTATCTCCGGCAGGGGAATTTTGCGTTTGACGCAGGTGTTGTCGTTTGTGAGCTCTAGAGTTTTGGAGTCCTTGAGGGCATCGACGACGGCGCTGAAGGGTTGGAAACGGCGCATACGTTTGAAGGAGTGGAGGAGGGAGAGTTCAACGGGCTTGTTTTCGCTCCCGCCTACTTTTGAGAGGAGGAATTTATCCATGACGAGATTTGAGTCTGAGAAATAGAATTCGACCTGTTTGCGGATCTCGTCTGGGTCACTGGTTTCCTTCAAGGTTGAAACATCCGATTTGATGTTATCGCGGTAGTTTACCCGCTGTCGAGTTCCGCCACGGCCACCCCGCGATGACTGCCTGTGGTTTCTGCCGGTGCCCTTTTGCTCGTCCTTGTTCTCGTTCTTCGCTTCAGCGTCCTGGCCCATTTTCGCAGCGGCAGCGATAATTCGAGCTTCTTCTTTAGCTTCCACATCGTCACCAGCTCCTTCTTCCGACGCCTTGCCATTTGTACCTGCTGCGTCGTTGATTTCGCTAGGTTCTGGTGCTGTCATCTCCACATCGACATCTGCCTTCAGTTCCGTTTCCTTTGGTTCCTGGGCCTTATGATTCTGGAGCACCTGCTTTAAATCATTTTCAGCTTGGACATTTGGATTCGCATCCACTGGAGGGGTAGCTTGTTTCTGTTCTTCAGCCATAGTGTGATTTATATTTTGATTCTCTTCGTGTAAGGCGAGGAGAAGCAGGCACCCGTCCTAACTAGGAAGAGGGGATGTTCCTGTGTGTTCTGTTGTCTCTCGACGGCCGAGATACAAATTAAGCTTCGAGCAAACTGTAACAGATCTAGACCATTGGTATTGCTAAATCGAGTGATTTTGTTACGGATATTCTTAGATTGCTCTATGAATAAGGCGCCGGTGGGGGGATTCCAGCGCGGTCGCGAGTTGGGTCTGACTACCTGCGGACGGAAATACCGCACGCAAATACAAGAACGGAATATTTCAAGATCAAAAGCTCCCTATAAAGTAATTTATTATGACAAACAATGTTAATGGTATAAATCAAAACAAATCGTGGGAAGAAGGTAGAAACGATTGTCGTTGGGTGTGGGATGCTGGAGAAGGGTGGGGGAATGTCTGGAACTTTTTTTATTTTTCATTGGCAACGGAGTGACAAAGAGAGGAGGGAAATTCTTTGATCCGATCCGGCTGCATAGTTCACCAACCACACGGAGTTCAACGGTTGTTCCCCTCTGCCTAGACTTGAATGTTCATCCATACGCTGGAACCCAGACAATGAGGGATCAGTTATGCGAGATATACGCAGACTAGGACCATGAGTGCATATTGTGGCTCTGGGGAGGGACCCTACCCTGTAACGCCCGCCAGTGGCGGTTGATGGATGATGGCCCTTCAATCCCATCCCCACACGGTCTCCTCTAGTTGAACTGAATCAATGTACCGCACAGTTAACATTTTGCAGCGGTCTCAGCTATTTATACCACCCGCAAAAGTATGGGGAATCAGATAACCTGCTCGGCCTCACCCACGCGGGTTTTCTCTTTGCTCCCCTTTATGCATTCATCCCCACACAGCACACCGCACTCACTCTCTACCCAGCCAGTCACTAATAGAGGCACACCATACACATACCTTCTCCCGCCCGGAACTGGTTGCTACCAAAATGTATGTAGCAGCCTCGAACTGCTGCGTTCTGGGGGCTGCACCTGCTGTGGGAACCTGCCCTTGCTCCTGCTGATAATATACAAGCTTAGCTTGTTGGGGTTGTGAATTATGCGGCTTTTTAATTTGCCTTTGTCTCTCTTTCTGCTGTGTGTTCAGTCGCTGATGATCAAACACCGTAATATCTCCCAATCCTCCCCCTTATTGAAATAATATTTCTTTTACAGCAACACAGTTCTCTGTGTTCTTATGCATGTTTATCTTGGTGGGGGGAAATAATCTCGAAATTAAGACAGTGTGTTATATCTCATGTTGGGTCTTTGTTGTCATTCGCTATTCACATTTCGAGCTGGCCCATCCTCTGATCTGCAGCATTTTTCCACCCGCCAACTGCGAGGAACACAAGCTATCAACGTCTTCCCGCCTTCTGGAAACTTTATCAAAACCCTGTCCGCACGAAATACTTACATGTTATACCCGTGATTCCATTCCAAGCTGCACAAATTCCGGCCCCCTGCAGGCGACAGATCCCTGACTCCGAGTCCCAATACTACAGTTTGACAGCTACCGATGTGCTCCTGTGTTCTTCCATGCCAATGACTGACTGAACGTGGACCCGTGGCAGCCTGCATAAGATCGGCCAGCTGGGCTGATCGGTGCTGGGTTATATTATTCCTCTTTTAATATTCTTCTTCCTCCTTCTACTGCGTGTTCCACAATTCGTCTCCTGTTTAAGGGATTGACAACTGTGGATAGAAAGAGACATCGAATCTTCGAATATTGCCCAAAATGGTGGCGTACACCTATAGATCTGCCTACGATGAATCTGAATGGGCAACAAAGGATGTAAGTCTTGACGTTCTCATATTGGGGGGGGGGGGGGAGGGAACCCGTAAATGTCGCGAATATTAACTGTTATTTTCAATAGATCATCTATGTTTCCATACTAGGCCCGTTCCTTGTAGCTGCTTTCCTGGAGTGGTTTCTATGGCTAGCAGCTTTTTTATACTGCCTGGGCAAAGTGTTTGTGAAAGCAGATCATTGGAGCATTAAAGTACTTGCTGTTGTCATGATGGTGTTTTTCACGGCATTTCGGTATGGCTTCTCGTCACCTTTTTCTCATCCCCACAATAGCCCCTCGCTGACCACCTAGTCCCTGGTTAGGGGCACTTTTCTCCCTGTTATGGTGGTTACGCTTCCTCTCCCACCAACTATCACAAGACATTTTCCTGACGAAGTCGTTTCCTTCCTACAATGGTTTGCCTTCTGGACTTTCTCCATTCTCCTGATTATTCCCTGGTTGTTCTGCATATACAGATTGGTGACAAATTCTGTCGGACGGACAAAACGGATCAAGGAGGTCCTTGATGAATGTACTGCTCCTAAAACTGTCATCGTCATGCCGGTGTATAAGGAGGAACCTGACGTACTAATCAAAGCTGTGAACTCGGTGGTCGACTGTGATTATCCACCATCATGCATTCATGTCTTTCTATCCTACGATGGAGGTCAAGTCGACGAGTCATATCTCACAGTGGTCGGTCATCTTGGCATTCCCGTCACACTCAAGAGCTACCCAGAAAGCATCGACGTGTCTTATAAAGGTGCTCGAATAACTGTATCGCGTTTCAAGCATGGTGGAAAAAGACATTGTCAAAAGCAGACCTTCAAACTAATCGACAAGGTTTACGCTAAATACCTTCAGAGACATGACAATCTCTTCGTGCTTTTTATCGATTCGGATTGCATTCTCGATCGAGTCTGCCTTCAGAATTTCATGTACGACATGGAGTTAAAACCGGGGAGTAAACGCAATATGCTAGCCATGACGGGCGTTATCACCTCCACCACTCAAAAGAACACTCTCATTACTCTATTACAGGATATGGAGTATATCCACGGCCAACTGTTTGAGCGATCGGTTGAATCAGGATGCGGATCAGTTACTTGCCTGCCAGGCGCTCTAACGATTCTCCGCTTCTCAGCCTTCCGCAAAATGGCCAAATATTATTTTGCGGATAAAGCAGAGCAGTGCGAGGACCTGTTCGATTTCGGCAAATGCCATCTTGGCGAAGACCGCTGGCTCACCCATCTTTTCATGATTGGAGCCAAGGAGCGCTACCAAATACAAATGTGCACGAGTGCCTTTTGTAAAACGGAGGCCGTGCAAACATTCCGCAGTCTCCTGAAACAGCGAAGACGGTGGTTCCTCGGCTTCATCACGAATGAAGTATGTATGCTCACCGACATCCGTTTGTGGTATCGATATCCCATGCTCTGCCTCGTTCGCTTCATGCAAAATACAATCCGCACAACAGCGCTCCTCTTTTTCATCATGATCATATCGGTCATGACAACATCTAACCGCATCGAAAACCTCCCTGTCGGCTTCATCGCAGTATCTCTAGGCTTGAATTACCTGTTAATGTTCTACTTCGGCGCCAAGCTTCGACGGTACAAAGCATGGCTCTATCCTCTCATGTTCCTTCTGAATCCCTTCTTCAACTGGCTTTACATGGTTTACGGAATCTTCACCGCCGGCCAGCGGACATGGGGTGGCCCGCGCGCGGATGCAGCAGCAGCAGATGAAAATACGACTCCTGAGGAAGCCGCAGTGAAAGCAAAAGCGACAGGTGACGAGCTGAATGTTAATGTCGATACTTTCCGCGCAGGTGCTGAGGGGAAAACCTCCGTCGTCCCCATCCATCCATCGGAGGGGATTGAAGGACGATTCGCGGCACCAGATCTACAGCCAAATGGATACTACTACACAGAGAACGAGAACATATCCACGATGACGTTTCCAGACTTTTTGCCGCGGAATTACAACCACAGCCACAACGCGAATGCAAATACAAATGGACATGGAAACCTGAACGTGACTTACCAAGGCCTCTCTCCACTCCCCTTGCACCCACGCGCATCCTTCGATTCAGACTGGACCAACGGGTCGAGTTCGATAATACACATGCCACGGACTGTGGAGAGTATTATGGGTGAGGAGGATCAGAGGAAGTTGCAGCTCGCGCGGCAGTCAAGAGCTTGTTCGAGTGTTGGTGTTGAGTGGGGCGATTACGACGAGCAGTATCAGCGGGACGATGTGTCCGAGAGGGACAGGGACAGAGAGAGGGGGGGTAGTAACTCTGGGCTGGCTTTCCAAGCATATGATGGCGGGAGCGGGAATTTGACTCCGCCCGATACGATTCGTGGGCGGTCGGCGGGGAGGAGTCCCTTGGGGAGGAATAGTCCTGTTCATGCTGTAGAGGATGGTGATGATGTAGCTGCAGCAGAGTTGGAAGGAGGATTACGGGATGTAGGGGATGATGCGGAGCAGCAACAGCAGGAGGAAGGGAGAGATCAGGGTGGTGAGGACTATGGAAAGAAGGGGCGGAGACCGGCGTGGTTAGTTAAGAGATCGCGGGATTGTAATCCCGATCCAGGGGATATGGTTTAAAAGTTTACAATGAGGACTCTTTTTTGGCTTTGGCTGTGTTTTTTTTTTTTTTTTTTTTTTTTTTGGGAGGGGGGCCATTCTTCTCTGACCCCTGACTTATTCGCCTATTCCCCTGATTTCCTGATTTCTTCACTTTTTCCTTTCTGCCCCTTTTCTTTTCTGTTTATTGTATTTTCCGGCGTTGGGTTATGGGATGTGCGTGTGACTAGGGTAGGCATTGGTTTTATAGATTACTGAAGCACTGTTTGAACGACGGGTTAATTATGCCAAGAACACCAATAACTTTCTTTTCTTCCTATCTTGAGTATTACTATTTTATCATCGCGGAGTATTGGGTGTGTTGTTGCAAGTGTTGGTTCAACTTCTCTCATCTCCGCTGCTGTGCAGAGATGGAAAATGAAAGAAAATAAAAGAAGCCGCAGAAAACTTGCTGGAAGGTTCGGTCCACGTGATGCCAAGAGGGATGTGACGACAAGAAAACACAGCGTGTGCAGAACGAGGTACCGGTACATCCAGCTTGACCGTGTCTGTCCGTGTCTGTCCGTGTCTGATATGTTTTCATTGTTCTTATTCTTACTACATACTGCAAAAGTAATTAAAAATTAAGGAAAGAAAAAGCGCATTAGGGATGGAGGAGTAGTAATACTTTTCATCCATCATGTAATATATAGCATATATTATGTCTCAATAGCTGTGTCGCGCAGGTAAACAGAGGGTCAGCGTAATCCATATTGTGCCCACACTTTTGCCGTTGAAGCCGTGGACCAGAGGTACCACTACCTGCGCCCGATCCAGAACCTTCATCCCACTTGGGCCGCCTGCACAAGGAAAAAGTCATAAATAATATAAAGCTGCCCGCCCAAACACCCAACCTCCAACCTGCATCATAACATATTGCAATCAAGTATTTGTTCCCCTCCTCCATCTTCCTCCCCTTTGCTTCCCCAGCTTATTATCCTAACGCTTCTCTGTTGTTGTCTTTATCTTTTTCCGTTTCCGCAAAAGGCTGAAAACCTTCCTCTGTGCTGTTTAGCTTTTTCACGCCCAAAAACACTCCCGCCCTTCCTCCATTAAAACTCCGCATCACTCCCCGAAACAAAATCAAGAAAGCTATAAGCAAACGAAGTACCTTGAAAGTAAAAACAGGACACATTTGAGTTCAAATTCTTGTCATTCTTTCTTTTCCCTGCTGTGTTGGTTTTTTTTTTAGAGAAAGATCTTTTTCTTTTTTTTTTTTTTTAATTCCTTTTCTTTTCTTTTTTTGCCGCCGATTATAAAGATCGCATACCGTCATCATGAGCGTCGTTGGTATAGATTTCGGCTCGCAGTCAACAAAGGTTGGCGTTGCTAGAAACAAGGGTATTGATATTGTGCGTATACTCTCCCCTTTCTCTTCCTTATCTTTGCGGTTTGTGGTGTTGTTTCCAGACTTTTGTTGATGGGGTTGTTGTGAGTGATGGCGGTGATGATATTGCATGAATACTGTGGCCGGGTTGATATTTCGGCGTGTTCTTTTACTTGCTATATCCTATTCTACCTGTTGGGTTCTTCTCTCACTGACGAAGTGCCTGTCTTCGAGGAACAATTAGCTCACGAATGAGGTCTCCAATCGATCTACGCCGTAAGTCCAGCTCCCGGCCGCATAAATTCCCCACATATCAGAAAGGAAAATGATATCTGCTGACAAGCTATCTCTCCCAACCCTCAGATCCCTAGTTGGCTTCGGTCCCAAAAGCAGATACATTGGTGAGGCTGCCAAAACACAGGAGATATCCAATCTCAAAAACACCGTTGGCACCCTGAGACGTCTCGCAGGTCGTTCTTTCAACGACCCCGATGTCCAGATCGAGCAAGACTACAACTCTGCCACCCTGGTCGATGTCAACGGTGAGGTCGGTGCTGAGGTGTCCTATCTGGGCAAGAAAGAACAGTTCACCGCGACCCAGCTGGTGGCCATGTTCCTCTCCAAAATCAAAACCACTGTCTCTTCCGAACTGAAACTTCCCGTCGCAGATGTTGTTCTCAGTGTTCCGCCTTGGTTCACTGATGCCCAACGACGAAGCCTGCTGGATGCCGCTGGAATTGCCGGTTTGACCTGTCTCCGCCTCATAAATGACTCCACCGCCATTGCTCTGGGATGGGGTATCACGAAATTCGACCTTCCCACCGCTGAGGAGAAGCCCAGACGTGTTTGCTTTGTTGATATTGGACACAGCGACTACACTTGTTCCATCGTTGAATTCCGCAAGGGAGAGCTGAACGTCAAGGCCACAACGTATGACCGTCATTTCGGTGGACGTAATTTCGACAAGGCTCTCGGTGACCACTTCGCCAAGGAATTCAAGGAAAAGTTCAACATCGATATCAAAACAAACTTGAAAGCCTGGACGCGAACCCTCACTGCTGCAGAGAAACTGAAGAAGATCCTATCCGCCAACGCCGCAGCCCCTATGAGCATCGAGTCCCTAATGGATGACATTGATGTCCGCACTATGGTCAAGCGCGAAGAACTGGAAGAAATGGTCAGGCCGCTCTTGGAACGCGTCACGGTGCCCCTGGAACAGGCCCTTGCCGAAGCAGATCTGAAACCAGAGGATATCGATACCATCGAGATGGTGGGGGGCTGCACACGTGTGCCCATCATCAAGGAGAAAGTCAGCGAGTTCTTCGGCAAACCGCTTTCCTTCACACTGAACCAGGATGAGGCCGTTGCCCGCGGCTGTGCTTTCAGCTGTGCCATTCTCTCACCCGTTTTCCGCGTGCGTGACTTCTCCGTTCACGACATCGTCAACTACCCCATCGAATTTACCTGGGAACGGGCACCCGATATCCCCGATGAGGCCACTTCGTTGATTGTTTTCGGCAAGGGAAATGTCATGCCCTCGACCAAGATTCTTACTTTCTACCGCAAGCAGCCGTTCGATGTTGAGGCGCGCTATGGAGACATTGATAGACTGCCTGGCAAAACAAACCCTTGGATTGGCCATTTCTCTGTCAAGGGCATCACAGAGAGTTCCGACGGTGATTTTACTACGGTCAAGTTGAGAGCTAGACTTAACTTGCATGGTATTCTCAGTATTGAATCTGCATATTATGTGGAGGATGTGGAGGTTGAAGAACCAATTCCCGAGAAAGAAGGCGATGTAAGTATATTATCTTTTCTATCCATCCCCCTGCCCCCCCCCCCCCCCCCCCTTCCCCCCCTTTCCCGTCTTAAAACACCGAAATTCTTTCCCTAAGATAGATTTTTGTTTTTAACGAGAATTACATATCCCAAAAAAGAGAAACGTGTTTTCTAACATGAGAAAACTGTGGAAACAGGCCATGGACACTGATGCTCCTAATGGTGATGCCGAAGATGGTAAGCCGAAAATGCGCAAGGTCAAGAAGCAGGTGCGTAAGGGTGACTTGCCTGTCTCTGGGGGGACTGCTGGCCTTGATGCAGAGTCCAAGGAGCGCCTGACTGAGAAGGAGAATGCGATGTATATGGAGGATAAACTCGTGGCCGATACGGAGGATAAAAAGAATGAGCTTGAGTCGCATATCTATGAGCTGCGGGATAAGATCGATGGTGTTTATTCCGAGTTCGCTAGCGACGAGGAGAAGACGAAGCTTAAAACGAAGCTTGATGAGATAGAGGTATGTCTGTTTCTTCACATCCAAAATTACGAGTTTTGCAAAAAATTGTCACTAACTCATCCCCTTTTCTCACTGCAGGACTGGCTCTACGAAGACGGTGAAGACACCACCAAGGCCGTCTACATTTCCAAGATGGACGATATCCGTTTTATCGCTGGGCCCATCATACAGCGCTACACGGATAAGGTCGAAGCCGAGCGTGCTGCAGCTCAAAAAGCGCAGGAGGAGGCGGCTGCGAAGAGACGTGAGGAGCAGGAGGCGGCAGAGGAGGCGGCAAAGAAGGCCGCCGGCCCTCCCCCAGCTGCTGATGCGGAGATGAAGGATATGGATGCTGCTGCTCCAGCTGGGGAAGTGGATAAGAATGCTGATGAATCAATGGCTGAGGTTGAGCAAGGTTCGTGATTGGGGTTATTAGGGACCATTTTCTTTTCTTTCTTTTCTTTGTCGTTAATGGTCCTTCCTTTTGCCTCTTTGTTTATTAGAATAATATGGACTTTTCTTACGCTTGTCTTTTGCGTTTTGCTTTTTTAAAGAGGGTTGGAAATGAATTTGATGAACTAGCATTTCCCCAACCTTTCGCTATCTCAATCATCCCCCTCTCGCTTCCGTCTCTCCCTGCGTTTCCTATTTTGTGTGATATTTCTTCTTTCCCCTATTTCCTCCTAACTTTTCATGAACTACCTTTGATTATATATGTCCTTTGCGAAAGAAAAAAAAAAAAAAAAGAAGAAAAAAGAGAGTAAAAAAAGGCCAAGTGAATTTAAAATGTGAAGAGAAAAAGAATAGAAGACGAGTATCTAGTTGAATCAACTATTGTCTAATTTTTGTCTGTGATCAAACTTCCGCTATTAATGATTTCTTTTCTTCTCCTCTGAAGTTCCTGCTTCTCTTCCCCCCCCCCGGCGCCCTCCAATTTTCCTAGTACAGAACCGACAATGTCGTAACTCAACTGCTCCCCTACTTCATAGTGTTTACCAGTTCGCTCCCACCAGCGTGCCATCAAATGTGAGTATAAAGCACAAGCAAGGAAAACGAGACTATGTGACGATCAGAAATCATCTTCCATCTCAATATTTCTCTTTATCATCTCCTCCCTCCCTCGTCAGGCCTATCTGAATGTAAAGCAGTTGCTAGATGCTAAGAACACCATGTAGTTTATCCCGCAGGGCTCATCAGTTCCCTGTTGTTGAATTCAATGGGAGGTCGGGGCAGAAACCCGGGTGTAACATCACTCATCAATAGAGATACAACAACGGTGCAGTCAATCATGATGGTTTGTTAACTGTCTCCTCCCCTTCCCCCCCCCCCCCCCCCCCCCGTAGCTAGCACCAATCTGACGATTAGTTTGGGGCCGTAAAGGCAAGGTTTTCGGTATATTTCGTTTCCTGGAAAAAACAGCCGGTATCCAACCAACCTATCAATTTCAAAGATGCGCTATGAATATCGGTGTGGTTGGGAGTGAATTTTGCGATTGTTTCCGCGGAGGTACATAATATATTAGATCACAAGTCTCATTTTAATGGTGCTGATGAATTAGAAATTCCGCTCCGCTCCGCCCAATGTGGAGTTCCGCTCGGGCGAGAGGAAGCCATATCTAACCATTTTGTCGCCTCCCATTGTCTACAACCCTTTATGAATCCCCAAAACAGACGGTGGCTTTTTTATATTTACCTTGCATCTGAAGGATATTATGGAGTTGACGTCGAGGAGTATACAAACTGTTTTACATATAGAACAAAAATCAAGAAGATAAAAGAGGTTACGTTAACTATTTGCTGAATACAAGCAGGCATAGTTGAAGGGACCATTGACATCATATCTTTTAACTTGCGGGTTTTTCATCAGCTGTCACGAAACTGCCGTCAGTCAGCACCCACCATCATTTATTTATTGAGACAGGCGATGAGAGAAAGCCATGAGTATGTGGCTCAACATTTTGAGTTTTCCAGCAAAGAGATGAAAGTAGAAGATGACAGCTTCAATTAATTAATAAAAATAGAAAATAAAAATAAAAATAAAAATAAAAAAAAAGAAAGGAAGACATTTCATTTTCAAATTATGGAGACCTGAGGTTGTGATAGCTCAAAAGCTACAACGCTTCTACCAAGCTTTGGGTTGAGCCTTGAATCAAGGCTTGATATCTCAACGAGATACCATGCTCTTGGTTAACCTACTAAAATCATCTGATAACTAGTTAAGTTAACTAACTAGTAACTATGTGTAGTTCCGGATGACAAAAGTTAATCTTAGACGACAGTTTCATATGTCAATACCGCATCTTATCACTTCCAGGGTTGCTAATCCTATCAGACAACCCCCTTTCCAGCCCTCCACCGTTAAAACTCCTAGAGATCATCGTGGTGCAATATCAAAAACCACAATGGTGTTTATTTGGTCAAAGAGATGACTACAGCCATGCTGAGCCACCGTCATCATGTTCTCTCTAGGGTTAGATAGCGTAGTTTGATGTTCTCTGTTGTCTGGGGTGGTATATTTAGCATCCGAATCTGTTGTACTTTGGCCAGTCTTGGTCCTTGAATGACCAGCGAGTTCAAAAAGCCCGGGGTGGGAACTGTTTGTCTCTGGAAAAAGAGATAGGCTTGCAACCCACAATGAACCTCTCCCCGACCACCGGACAACTCAAAATCAGAAAAAAAAAAAAAAAAAAAAAGGCTGCTTGACGACACCAACGGGTCACCGGTTCCCCTGCATTCGGCGTGTTGTGAGTCAAGTGTTGCTGTTTTCAAAATTTGCTGCTCTCCTAGTTGATCTAGGCCCCCCGATTAGCAAGGAGACATATGTAAGTTACTTAATTATCATCGCCAATGATAGTCGATAGGTGGAAAACACAGCTCCTGCAGAAGAGCAGGATGGGGCCCAGCTGAACGGACCGTGAAGGGGGTAAATTCGGAGACCCCGCGGGTCAAGGTTTGTCTCCCTTGGAGGCGTGCGATAACATGACGAATCACACACGGATGTATAATAAACGGAGCCAGTGATCTAATGCCCCAAACCCCTGGAAACTTGATTTCATTTCTCAATCTGGCATTTCCTTCACCAGAAGACCATGCATATATGTAAGCTCTGTTAATGCTGTCTCTTTCGCTTCCTGTCAGACCGGCGGATCAGATCCATTCGGGAGGATGTGATCCCGTCGCTAGTAACTAGTTAACTAGTTGCTGCTTTGGTAGGCAAAAGATAAGTCATAAGGACGTTGCAAATGTACCCTTCGTTAACAGACTGGAGCCCTAATATCACATGTCCCGCTGCTTTCACCTGGGAAGAGCTGAGATAGGACATATACTTGACAGACGGTCGACAAAAGAGTGATATCGCCAGTGGTCGGTAACGGCCCCATCCGGTTGGCTGCTTTTCTTGCGCAAAGCTCATGCTGGTCTCACGGGTCACTCCAGGAACATTCACATGGTAAAGGGTTTCGTTCGGTCTTGGGGAATCATGATAAATTCAGGATCCTTGTCTAGGGAAGTTGTTCGTCAAACAGTGGTTGGTCAAACAGTTCTTCGTTTTAGGTAAATAAGTTGGCTCCAATGCGCCCATTGGCACCCATGAATCTATCCCCGATTGAATTCGGGGTACCGTCAGCAGGACTGTCAAGGTGGGCTAAGGTAGCAACAATTTTGGCTTGAGAGGAGATGACACCGAGAACCCTGAAAGATTCCCAGCTCCAGAAAAGTAGCAAATCCTTTAGCCCCATGATGTTGGGCCAACACTTCCCTGCTCTCCTCCTTTTGCTTCTGCTGTTGATTCAAGGTCTGGGTCTAATTTGACGAATACGAGACCTCCACTTTTCTTCAAAGTCCCAAGGGTGTGGTCAAACCAAGTGTCAAGGGTTGAGGAACTTGAGGCTAACTTAGACTATGTCTCATATGTTAGGTCTGTTAGGGGCTAACCTTACCTAAAAAAATGGAGATGGCAGGGAGCGGCAAGGCTTATTCTGACGCCTAACGGCTAGGCTCCACCGTTAGCTCTGGAAGCCAACAAGCACCTCAGGAACGGAACAAGACTGAAGGATGGCGACGACGCAGGTAAAGATATCACGATAAGGACAAACAACAGTAAAACAAGCGTGATAGAATTGACACAAACATTGGGAATGAAGGTCGTAGTTGAAAAGTAAAGAAATTCTATGTAATAAATACATTGATTTATGTATATTATATTGCTTCCAAAAAGGACAGTTTGGTATATCCACCCATGCGCCCCGTTAACTACAGAAGAGCAAAATAAAAATTAAAAAAAAAAAAAAAATTAAAAAAAATTTAAAAAAAAAGCTATTAAATGACCCGGTCAACCAGAACAATAGTGGCGAGTCGGGATCTACTTCATCCATACCCAGATCCATTGGATCAACTCAAGGACGTTACCTTTGGTAAGCCCTTCGTCTGGAAAATGCAATCTTCCTTTTCTCCTCTCGCTTGTGACCTGGACACAGTTGCCGAGATCGTTGGACCTCTCTGGGCCCCATTGCGAAAAGTTGAATCCGTGCTTTGACAGCTTGTAGCCTATGACAAGCACAAAGAATACCGGGACCTGGCATGTGATTAGGTTCTGAGGATCCTGAAAACTCCCAATAGCCATTTGGGTTTCATAACAGGGAGACTTACTCCAATATACGATGCAAAGAACCCTCGAATATCGAATGGGTCCTGTAAGAAGGAGGGCACTCCATTAAAGACCACCAGGACGGTGCATACAACCAAGCCGTAGCAAGCTTTTAACCACTGGCCGTGGGATTTATAAGGATACTGCGGGTGGTTACGGTCATAGCAGGCGGCTTGGGCTTCTGATGTATTTCCGTAGCGCTTAACATCATGTAGCCTGCACATCAAGCAGGAAAAGTCAAAACTCCGTCCGACAGTAAAGCAGTTAGACGTGGTGATTGGACATACGTTTTGAAAAAACCTAAGTAAGTCCCGCAGATGACAATGTACACAATCAAACAGGACACTGTACAGTTCGTCGAAAGCTCGCTCAGTCTCTAAAATCGCAGTTCAAATAGTTGGTGAGCAAAACTTTCATCCTGATCATGAAGAATGCTGCGTTGCTGACCTGGCCAGAGGACCCAGTCCCCAAGTATCCGAGACACATCAATGCGCCAGTTACCAGAACTGCCCTGAGTGGTACACCATTGTGGCATTGACGCAGCCTTCTCGTGATAAACTCCGGCCCTGTTTGATCACGCAGCGCTAGAGTATGCAAAACTCTTGAGGAGACGTACATGGAGTTAATACCGGAGGAAAAAGCTGAAAATAGGTAGATTGCATTGAAAAAGTGGGCAGCCGCTGGAAGACCTCCCTGGACTACAGCGATCAAAAATATCGAGTGTGCGCTCTCGGATTGCCCCCGGCCGTTGAGAAAAGGGTGATCGTAAGGGACGACAAATGAAGACGTCAACATGCAGAGGGTATACAGTGTCACTGCTCGTATGGAAACCTTGCGCGATGCCATCTTCATGCTCTCGGCATTGGACAAAGCTTTACTTTCTGCTGCTGTGGCTGCAACCATGTCCATGCCTACATACGAAAAAATAATGTTTGTGAAGGTCGTCCTTTGGACAGATGCGCGTCAATCTACACATCAAGTGGCCACGGTATAAAATGGATATAGGGAGGTTGAGTCTTACCACATCCCAAGAAATGTCCCGACGGAACCCTCGATCACTCGCTGAACTTCGCCGGTCGTATGACTCCTGACCGTATAACGCGGCGCAAAAAAGGAGTACGGTGAGTCCCAGTCTTGAGCTCATGATTAGTTTTCACTACCCCCAACATGTCAAAATGTGGGCATATAAACATACATCTGGTACCGACTGGGGTCGTGTAGTAACTGGTATCCAGCGCTAATATCCCAGGGAAATGTCAGCCTTTCTTCGACAAGCTTTCGACGAGACGTACTGACGCTGAGTGGTATCCAAAATAACCATCAGTAAGATAACCAAAACGAGAAAACAGATTTTTATGCACCCAAAGACGTATTCAAGTTGGCCATAGTACTATAATCCTAATGTCAGCAAAGTATGTACATCAATCATCAAGAACCACCTTCAACACTAATCCGTACCTTCACGGGCAGCGTGTTGATTAATGTTACGGCTATCAAAACCACAGACACCCACACTGCGGGATGGACACTCCCTCCGGTCACCCATTCCAAATGGATCCCTTTGTCGTCGACATACTTAAAGCGGATAGTATTTGCTACGGCGACTAGCTGGTCAGCGGCTAGAACAGCGTACGCGAACCTTGCACAGCTCCATTAGCTACACCGTTCCAAGCTGATTCCAGATCAATATTAGACGTTACCAGTATATCCAACCGATGGCAAAACCAACCCCACGGTCTAAGAAGCGGCGAGGGAACTCCATAACAGGAGCATTCACCGGCATCAGCGCTGTCATTTCACCTAGACAAGAGACGACCGACGCGATAACCGTGCCCATAAGTATATAGCCAAGGACTGCGCCACCAGGCCCAGCAGAGGCAAGGGATCGACCACTACCGAGAAAAAGCCCTTTTTTTGAAAACATTAGAATTTTACCTCTTCTGCACGTTTATTGCTTAAAGGAAAGGTACCATTTCCGATGGTGCTAGGAATCGAAATAGGCTCTGTTAGCGATATGTCCCTGAAGTGCGGTCGTGGTGGGTTAATTCAGGGGTAGAAAAAAGGCTCTTTACCCAGAGAAGGCTATCATCTTTTAAGTTCGCAGTGTGTAGTCAGCATACACCACTCCCCTCTCCCAGCAATTGAATCAACATACATTAATTTGTCTCTCATTCAACACTCGCCTATAATGTCAGAATCTTGTAAGCCATAACTCAAACTACTCGGTTTGGTAGTCGGGCTCCTCACCAGACACTGTCCCCTCTCGTTTTCCGCTCTTCTTCCACCTGTGCTTCATCCATGAACAGATGGTGTCCAACACGCGCATCATCCGATAATTGAGTATCCTCTTCATGGAGTTCATGGAAGTGCGTCCTGGGAACAACCACTTCAGGTTTTTCGTTATCCATTAGAATAGATTGGTACGATACTGTCATCCTGTGTCTTTCTGCCTGGCTTGTCAGTCAAGGCGAGAGGTAAAATGCGAAATGCGAATGATCTGGGGATATATAAGGCGTTGCATGGTGAACGGGCAAGCTCGTATTCGTCCCACCAGTATTCTTCTGGTGTGCCCAGATGGAAAAAGAGCAATGATCATCTCCTTAGAGAGACACCGCCCCTCTGCAGGTCTGCATTTGTCGCCAGTGTCCAATAATGGACTCCAGTATCGGGTACTAGAGCTGACGGTCGATTTGCAAGGAGAGGGATGACACGACGACCAAATGCATACGAAAACAAGTGGCATGGATCTTCCTATTCCTGAGCTCCCATTGGCGAACGGGTGGTCCCCTGTCCTGTTTGTGCTGATTTGGATAAGATACGCAGCAGTATTCTCGGTCACCAGTACGCGACAAATGCATAGACCTCAAGCCATTGGCTAGATGCCGGAGGGATCATTTACCGTTGCTCCTGAGGCTTCAGGTGTCTTAGGAGTGCCGAAGCTAGTGGCCTCTCCCAGCCATGATTTTCATGATTCCCAAACAATACGACTTCGTATCCCCCCACCGAACGTTAGTCTCTCGATGAGTCGCAAAGCTACTCCACTGTTTGGAGAGCGAAATCTCGTGGTTATTCTTCCTCTTGCTTGAGACGATCCAGTGTCAATATAGCCACGTGAAGTGGAATTGCATGCTGCCCGGGCTTGCTTAAACGGAAGAAAAGCAATGGCATTATTATTCGCTGTTTCTGCGGAATTCCCAGCCTTACATGCTCTATGATCGGTTCCTTGCTTATAAGACAGCCACCTGCGGAATAGATAACTATTATCATTTCCTGAATGCGGAGCATACGTCCTTTTTGTTGCATTGATTACTCCATTTGGTCTATAGTCCACTCCGTATGTAAGCCCCAACAAGCAACCCACGTCTGAACCTTCTTCCCCAGCTTTCCTCGAACCCACCCAGACTCCTTGGAAGTGATCCTGTCTTGGGACACAAAGTCCCACATGTCGCTGCTTCATACCATGGTGGGGTTAGGGACGGTGCATACAGCTAGCGAATAACACTAACTACCTGAGAGATCCAAGTCTCAACCACCGGCTGAATTTTCTTGCGGATACTTGTCAGTTAGCAACAGATCTAGTTTATAACGATCGGGTGGAGCCCTAACGGTGTGCATTATCTGACTGTTTGGGAACTGGACCACGAGGCGGAATTCCTCGGGACTCAGGTCCTCTTCTGCCATGGCGACAACAGGCACATCGTCGTTATCTATGCGCTTGGGGGATGTCTGGCACGTCCTTGCACTTCGAAGCGATGTGGAAGATATCATCAAGGAATTGTTAGGCCATTTCTCGTTGGAGAAAATATATGCAGAAGGTGATAAGGAATCATATCAGGCCCTAACGACGACGTTGCTTTCGCAGTTGAATGCCATTTTCTACATCCAGCGTCTGTCACTGCCAGCAGAAAACATAAATACAGGGCCATATCTTAGTTTTCTGGCGAGTTGGGAAACAACCCTGCGATGTGTGGAATTTGTTGTACAAATTATTGAAGAGGGCCGTGAGAGTCTGTGGGAAGTTCGACGGCTACGGGACCATCACCTCGCCGAATTCCTTTTGCTGTGTCTACGATTCCTGTCACTGCATCCGAAAGCGCCAGCAGGCCAACGGGCAAAAGATCGCCGAGAACGATTCTCTCGCATACATAGATCCCTGGAGCGTGTTTATGATAGCTACTCAGGCCCAAAGTCATTTCTGTTGCAGCTTTGTAAAGAAGTAACATTCTCTTTACGTAACGATCCTGATTCGCTAGCGCTTCCCTCAATATATAGATATGAACTACCGAATCTAGGAATAGAATTGGTAAGCAACATCCAAATGGTAACGGTCTCCTTATATCATTCTTTGGACTAACGCTTTCTGCTCATCTCTAGTACCCTCTTGCCCCCTGCTTGTTATCAGAGTCGGTCTCTACAATCGTTCCAGAAGATGGATCATCTGACGATTGGTTAAGTCAGTTCATGGCTCTACGGGATGTCACTCACTTTGTTGTAGGGGCAAACATTCAATATGCAGTTAATACAAGGACACGAAATACTCAACTGCAGGAGGTATCTTCCGAAACTCGAAATGCAGTCTTGACCTCTCTCGACAATATCAAGTTGCCGCATCATTTTTCCAAAGCAGATTTAATTGCAGCGTTCATCAACAGTTTTCGAATTGTGCTTCCAAATACACCCAACGTTACAACACAAAACTCTTCTGAGTTTGATGATGATGAGAGCACGGTTGACGCTCTAGCTGCCCTCTATCAAAGGCTTAGTGCTCGCCGATTGATTTGCCGTGTGAGTGATAGGGAAGTAGTTCATAGCATAACGGAAATCACTCGGAACATTGCTCTATTTGATGATCCCAGCGGACAATTCAGAGCAACCCGCCCCAGACTGTTTGTTTTAAATTGTCGAAGGTGCCACTTCGTAGGATATTCCCAGCTAAGACATTTGGAAAATATTAATCTTCCAGTACGTTGTAGGCTTGGCGAAATCCTTTTCTTTTACCTTTAGTGACATTTCTATTGCCACATATGCTAACTCTTCTTTCTATCACAGCTTGATTTGGGAGAAACCTCAGAAATTTCTCTGCCTCAAGGGACAAATTGTAGACACTGCGGAGACGCTGTGACAATGGCTCGTGAGATACAACTTGCCCTGCGTACCTGGGATCTTCTCTCCCACATTGAATCCAATGCTGATACAATCAGTGTTGAGAGACACTTGCCAACCCAATTCCAACTACTACCTCCCAAGACTGAAAGTAGTAGTCCTTTCCCGTCATATAATAATCTAACCAACCCAGGGAGCCCGAGACCACAGGATATAATTTCGCCCAATTCAGCTCGATTTGAGCGCCCCACCACAGCCCTTCTCACACAATCACCCCCTTTTACTCCTGGGATCCGTCACAGATTTGATGCTCCTCGAAACGAATTTTCGCCTATGGACAGTTTGACAGCTATCAACGAAATAGGAGACACTCTGGGCCAAGCCAACGCGGCGGATTCACAAGTGTCACTCGGTTCTCCCGAATTCTCTAGCCAGGGAGCGAATCTACCCAAGCTTGAGAAAAATATCTCCACAACAACATTTGAATCCGTCCCATTTTTCCGATCGCGAACATTACAGTCCCCTGGAGTGTCTGATAGAGGGAAAAGTGGTTGGAGAAAACTGGGCACTAGAAAGGAATCCATTGCAGCTTCTGGAGATACAAGCTCTCTTTCATCATCGCTTTTGGAGTCACAAAAGCTAGACGAAATCCCTCTGAAAAGCCTAGCCAATGCGATGAAGAGCGTGAAAGGAAGATTTGCCAAAAATACCAACGTTTATCTTTCTCAAAATTCAACATTTGCCCTCTTCTGGACTCAAACCACGATACATCTGTGGGATGTTGGAACATCCCCGCCCACCATGAAACGCGCATTTTCAACAGACAGTACGTGCCTTCTTGCAGCAGTTACGAAAATGTACCTGGCATACGTGATTGGCACCCGCGATAATAAACTTACGGTAACTTCCCGCATTCAAACCGGTTATCGCAGTTTTTTTGACTAACTTGATTCTAGCTTCGGATAATTAACCTTACTGATGCATCAGCACCTGTTGTTGAGTACCGTATGTCTTCAACATTATGGTGCAAGTGCATAACAGTTTGCCCAATGGAGAACTACGTCGTGATCGGATTTGAAAATTCTATTGTTCGGTTCTTTAAGACAACAGACTCGGAAGCCCCTCGAGAAGACCGGCTCCATGGCCTTTTCCATAGAAATTGTACAACCTGTACATTGGACACTCTTTCATTTTCCAGAGACGGGCTTGTGCTTCTTGCCAGTACCCGAAATGCTAAAGGCGTCATCCAAATATTTGAATGGAAGTTTCCCTTCGTGGTATTTCACGAACTACCCGCTTGCAGATACTATGTACCGTTACACGAATCCGAGGATAATGGAATATCAGCTGCAATGTTCCGATCTTCGCGTCGAGGAGATGACCTAGTGTGCATCTCGACGTGGACACAGTCAGGGGTGCCTATTCTAACCCACCCTCAAGAGGGGAATAAAACTGAAGTCAAGGATAGTACCGGCCGCCATGGGAAACTTGGTAACAGGATACAATGTGCTTCCTTCTCTCCATCTGGTTCTGAGCTCGCCATGGTAAACGACCAGGGTTATCTGTATCAGATTACCAATCTAGACTCGAGTCCTATTGATATCAAAAGATTGGCCACATCCAGAGAACTCACGACGAAATCTGACTCATTTGCCATGTCGTATATGACCATGACTGATGAAGATGCCATTATCATGGCTTGGATTGACTCATCAAAAGGAGTAGCATATGTCAAAAGGGTACCAGTAACAGCCCAAGTACGTAGAGATTTTCAGTCTCCACTTCTACCTCCTGTCCTCTTCCCGACTTCAATCGCTTTTCGAACAATGTTTGCTAACTGAATAATATAACTAGGGAGATATCGAAGCCTCAATGGTTGCTATGCCACAGAAACCACCATCACCTAAGTATGAGTTAGCGGAAAGTGGTAGGGATCCTCCACAGATGCAGGAGCTGCCGCGACAGGTGTCATTATCACTACTACCAAAAAGAAGCGTAAAGCCAGCAGTCGAACTGCCCGCAGACCCCCCTAGGTTTTTAAGTCGGTTTCGGGGAATGACTAGATAAGAGGTACGAGATCGTGGGTATAGCTTTTTTACGCAAGTGCGCTATCAGCCTCTAAATACCTTGTCTGATAGGACTGGGTCAATCAGAGTATTCCAATGCACGGGCGAAATTACAATAGGGTAGCTGTGACTCTAGCGACTTTGAAAGCACCACGAAGGAGACGCTGTTCAACCAAATAGCGAACCCCCGATCGCCCCCGTCCGACATCAACTTAAAAACCCGGCAGATCTATGCCATTTTGTAAGTCCAGCGTAGAGCTGTGGAGATTGTATATATTGGATTATCATCTTACGATCATCCGGTTGAGCATGCTACTCTATCTCTTGATCCAACGGCATTCCTAGCCTCTTTCGTTTTTATCGGTTTAGTATATGATCTGGTCACCCTCTAACACCCCTAGAAAACGAACCAGTCTCTAACGAACTTACTGAGACCCATGACTTTATAATTTCTTTATATACCCCGGCCTCTGCATTGAACTTTTAATTGTTTGGCGCGATATCCACGGACTCTTTTTCCTAGTTACCACGCCATGCCAGTCCATGATATTTCTATAGAGGGAGGAACAGTTTTAGAGATATTGCCTGTTACATTATTATGTGTACTCTTTTTTTTTCTTTTTTTCTTTTTTTTTATTCTTTTCTCTTCCCTACTCCTAAGTTTACCATCTGCCACTCCGCACCCCATAAAGGGGTGGGATTAGTCGCATTACCCTTTCAATATTTTCTCATTCTCCAATTCAAATAATAACTATTTAACACATTTAACAGTCCGTATAAGCCTCTCCGAGAAGAATTAAATTATTAACACACTCTCTTTCTCAGTTCAATTGGAATCTAGATTTCTCAGAATACGTCTTCACACACCAGGAATGGAAAACCGTTGAAGCCAGATTTTCAAATCTCCGGAGTTGAAGAGCGGATACAAATTAATTAGATGAAACCCGAAAATGAGAGCGGAACTGGTGCATAGCTCGTATCGAGTCAGATTAGCGGAGATTCCCTAGTAAAAATGAATAATGCGACGGGAAAATGGAGGTCCCGGTGAGAGCGTCCATTCAGCAACCAAGTGGTGCGCTCGTCGTAATGCATTGGTCCTAAACGCGTGGTTGCCACCCCCTCAGGAATAGGCGGAACACCCGGTACGTTTCCTCTTCCCATCCCGGAATTACGGCGTCCCTAGCTCAAAATCCAGACGCTTAGCCCATTCTAGCATTGTAAGCTCGTAGTTGCGAGTTACTTTGGCAACATTCAACATCTCAAAGCCGCGGTATAACGACTCCGCAATGACGCCTTGAAGAGTCATGAAGGCATGTGTGCGGCACCAAAATGTAATCCCGGGGTGAAAGAGCTCACTGCAAACTTTCGTCTGGCCCAAGAGCCGTCAAGATAGAGCCGGCCACCCAGCTTCAGTACATCTTAAACAATGCGTGCTAACTTGCGGTAGTCGGGGAGGTGCTCTGCTACCCCGTACATGCGCATGGTCATATGGTTCTTTAGGACGGTGGTCGAGAAAATTTCTGTAGAAAAAGCTCACCGGGCAGATCATTGTCGTCAATGAGATGCTGGATATAGAGAGCTGAGCCCTGCGTGAGGGTTGAGCGTCATGACATGCACGCCTCGAGCACACCACAGAACTGCGTCACGCCGCCCCCATCCGCCGTCAAACCCAAGCAATCTCGTCCCAGACTTGAGCTCCAGGCTTGGGAACATGGTTTCTAACTTGTGTTCCGAAGCCTCTTCGATGGATTCGTCTGGTTGCTTGAGCAATCCCTGTGACCAGATCCTGAAAGGCTTGTCGACAAACGTGAGATGTAAAATCACCACCGCGGCAATAGTGCTCGACGACAGCGTTGGAGTTCATAGCAGTTGCTGTCCGAATGAAATCCCATTCTGCCGAAGAGGCACTCTCTCCTGTAGCTTCTGTCAAGCGTCGAACAAGTACAAGATCCTCCCCTCCACCTGAATATCGCCCGTAACAAACGCACGGTGGACGCCCAACTCCGTCGTTGGCGTCCGAAAGAACACGAGCGGAGCGGAAAACCACGCTGTCAAAACAGTTCACCTGTACCGACAGAAATAATAGAGCCATCGGGGATTGTATTTCTCCTGGTACATAATGTCATCAAGCCCAGCCAGGAGGAGAGGAGACAGAACTCGAATAGTTACCTAGTTACTTAGGGTTCACAGGAACTGGTCAACTAATCCCCGTTTCGTCATCAGAGGCCTCAGCTGCAAGAAGCGTCCGATGTGAAACCCAACATCGGCCCCCCAATTCTGGTGCAGCGCTTCAACCCCCCCCCCCCCCCGGTTAAGTTAGTTACCCGTGACTGGTTACATTGATCAAAACAACAAATCATCATGAACCCTGTTTTACGCTGGAGATAGGGAAATGTATCACTCTGGCCTTTTGCTATCTGTAAGGAAAGGGAACCGCGGGTAGTTCAAGAACGCCATAGCTGAGCCTACCACGGGCATTGATCGAGAGTAGTTTTTGAGTTGATTCATCCGGACTGTAAGTTAGCGATTCTGCTGTGAGCAATGATAACTAGTTAACGCTCAATTCAGCTTCCCCACTCCTTTGGCTGAAGCTGAATCGGACAATGCCGAGGTTTGTCTTGGAGCCGAGCCCCCTCGCTCTGCCTTTTGCGGACGACGGATATTGTCCGGTTCACTGCCTAGGTAAGAAGAGAGGAACTCCAAGACGGGACGGTAGTTATATAAAAGAATGGAGGCGGGGGGCATCTTGGACATTCGTGCCGTTGAGCACATACATATCTTGACGAATTAATTACGTGCTGCATTCTAGTTACCTACATACATTCATTGCATAAAGGAAGAGAAGGAGAAAGTAATACAAGCCGGCGGGCGAAAAAAACAGGACAAAAATAAAAATGGCCAATGAAAGACTCCAGGCTGTGCTTTCGCAGCTGAAGCCTGCTACTGGCGGGCAGAGCGCTGTTGACAAGTTGTGAGTCTTTTCGTTGCTCACGTTTCCCCATATAACTAAAGCTGCTGTATCAGTGACCTAATTGCGAACAACCTGGCAGAACTCAAAAGAACCCGGATGATATTGTCATTACCTTGGCCCTACGGACGCCTATGGCCAAAGGATTCAAGGGTGGCTTCAAGGACACGGATCTCGACTATCTGGTATGCCAGCTGCTTAAAGAAGTCATGGCACAATCGAAGCTGGATCCTAATTTGATTGACGATGTCGTCTTGGGGAATGTATGTTAACAAGCCCCCATATAAAGGAAAATGCATGAAACAAGGCTGGCCACATAAAGGACCAGATTGAGAATATCACACAAGCCAGTCGCATAACTATACCCCCAAACGGAGGCCTTTTTAAGCAACTAACCATCAACGGACAGGCCAACAACGCCAAAGCCTCCACGATCTGCCGCACCGCCGCCCTCGCCGTGGGCATCCCCTACACCTCTGGTGCTGCCGCCATCAGTCGCTTCTGCTCATCGGGCCTCATGTCGATCCAAAGCGTCGCCTACGAGATCGCACAGGGCGCCATTGAAGTTGGTATCGCCTTGGGCGCCGAGTCCATGACCAAAGGGCCCGATCGGACCCCCCAGCCTTTCCATCCGGAAATCATGAAGCATTCAGATGCCGCAGACTGCATGCAGCCCATGGGCCAGACGAGCGAGAATGTCGGAGACGATTTTGGCATTACCCGCGAGATGCAGGATCAATATGCTGTGGAGTCATTCCGGAGGGCAGAGGTGGCGCAGAAGGCTGGCTGGTTTGAGGACGAGATTGTGCCGATTCGGACGACGGTGAAGGGTGGGAAAGATGGGAAGGGGCCCCACACGGAGATTGTTGTCACCAAGGATGAGGGACCCAGATATGGGACGACGATTGAATCGTTGAGAAAAGTTCGGCCTGCGTTTCCGCAGTTTGGCAATAAGACGACGGGTGGGAATGCCAGTCAGATTACAGATGGAGGTGGGTTATATATGTTTTTATCCTGCCCCCCCCCCCGGATGAGTTCCCCCAGCACTGGCATTTGTTTATGCAGAACCTCTGACGGCTCCATTCCCACACATCAGCCGCTGCCGTAATCCTCATGAAGCGCTCCAAGGCCATCGAACTCGGCCAACCCATCCTCGCCAAATTCGTCGGCGCCACCGTTGCCGGTGTGCCCCCTCGCATCATGGGCATTGGCCCTGCCATGGCCATCCCCAAGCTGCTCTCGATGTACAATCTTCGAAAGGAGGACATCGACATCTTCGAGATCAACGAGGCTTTTGCATCCATGGCAGTTTACTGCATTGACAAGTTGGGATTGGATCATGAGAAGGTGAACCCTCGTGGAGGGGCGATTGCGCTGGGACATCCATTGGGGTGCACCGGGACGAGACAGGTATGTACGATTCTGAGTGAGGCGCGGAGGACGAAAAAGAAGGTACTTGTGACGAGCATGTGTGTTGGAACGGGCCAGGGAATGGCGGGGTTGTTTATTAATGAACAATAAGGAAAAGGGTTGGTTTAGCAATATTTATTCATAGGCGGTAAACATACTTGAACTTTGCAGAAAAGGAGGTCATGGATCAAAGGGTGAAACGTAGGACCTATGGGCTGGCTATACGTATTCTTCCCCTAATAAATTCAAGGTGGCTATCCTGTAGTTATATAAAAAGAAAATGAATCCTAAATAGCACATACCCTTTAATTACCCGCACTGGCATCTTCCACATCACCCACGTTCTTCCTCCCCTCGTCCTCCCTCTCCCTCTTCGCCATCGCAGCCCTCTTTTCCGCCGCCTCCGCCAGAATCTCCCTGCGACTCAACCCACCCAGATCCCTTTCCCTGCCCCCTAACAAAAACTCGCCCCCTGTCCACCCGCCATGATCCATCACCTCCCCACGCCCGCTCGCCATTTCTTCCCAATCACTTGGATTATAAAACTCCTCATCCGTCAACCTCTTCCCACCACCCCTACCCGTTCCCCAATAATCCCCCCGCTCCACCTCCTTCTCAACTTGCGCCGTCAAGTCCCAAAAGTCCCGATCATGATCGCTATGCACACAATGGGCCAGTTCGTGGCACAGCGTCTTGCGAATGGTGCGGTAGTCGCGGTAGCCATCGTAGGCATCTGTGCGCAAGCGCAGTTCGATGACTTCGCCTTTGTTCCTGTTTAAGCCTAGTGTGCGCGAAGAGACGGTTGTGTGTTCAGCTGGGTCCATCTCGGTTAGGAGTGAGACGGAGAATCGGTGCTTGTTCATGGCGGAGCGGATGCCGGGGTCGTCGCGGAGACGGGTTAGGTAGGATAGGGAACGTGAAGGGTTGGGGAGGTGGGCTAGAGGGAGGAGGGTGTGGAAAGTGTATTGGGAGGTGGTGGGACGGGTTCTGCGCGGGTTGGGTGTTACGGGTTTTATGCGAGGGATGTTGGTAGGGGATTTAAGGGGAGAGGCCTCGTTGATGAAGTTTACTTCGGCGGCCGTGCTGCCAAAGAGCGTAATTTTGAAGCGGGGATGGGAGAATGGGAGGGTGGTGAGTGGGATTGGTTGGAATGGGTGCTTTTGCATTCCAGGTTTGGGGGATATGAGGAGCTTTTGATTTGTGGGTGGGATGGAAAGACGGTCTGATATGGCAGCAGAGAGGTCTTGGAGTGTAGAGGTAGAGAATAGATTGAATATGTGATCTTTTCCACGATGATGGACTTCTAGGGTTATTTGGTTATCATCTTCTGGATTGCCTACGGGCACTGCTGGGGTGTTGTCTCCTGGTTGGCTATCTGCCATCACTGGAATGGATATGATCCGCAATACGAGTCAGAGTGACGATACAGATAAAACTTCCGTGTATCAGTTCTATGTGTTGGAAGAAGAAAAGATGCCATTTTAATAGGAGAATTTTCTCACTGCCACGGTCCGCCGTTGTTGTTGTATCGTTGCAGAGGCGGAGAAGGGCGGAGAATGTTCCGCCGCAAGCTGACTAATGCTAGTTAATCAAGCCGTATTGGATAGCACGTGACTTCCTCTCCAACTGTGCTCTCCTTGGTCCTGGTGTAGCTTCCAGTCAGTCATGCTCAGCAGCTCATAGTTGATCAACTTCAAATTAGTAAATATATGATGGTTTCTACCCAAATCCAACATTCCAACATCATTAGTAGCAGGTAAGGATATGTAGCACGGAACAAGCAGAATTGAGAAGTAGAATATCAAAACCAAATCAACAAAAAGCGGCACAATGGCGACTAAATTCAGACGTCCGTGAGATATGTTCAAAATCCTCCAGGCCTCTGCTTCAGACAGGCATGTAAAATATGTATATAAAAAGATTGAAGTTCAGAAATGCACCCAAGAATACGCATTATCTAGCACTCAATTTGCCCCAGAGTAGGAAGACGGCAAATGATAAATAAGGAAAAACCGAGAAAGAACCTATGCAGATCGAAGAGGAATAAATTCCCAAGAAGGTAAAAATGAATAAAAGGGGAAAAAAAAATAATTATGGTGGGTTCGTGTTCGATCCAACGCTCATCCAACCCGACATGCAATCATGTATACCAAAATATACCAATTAGATATAAATATATGGAGTATTCACAAATCCAAAGAACTAAAGGGGTCGACTGGTATGCGTTGTATTGAGTTGAGTTGAATCCCTAGAGAAAGTATTGTTCGCAAGGGAACGAGGGTCGAATCGAACTGGAAGAATGCTAGACAACATCACAGTTTAAATTGCAGGGAAGGAGAGTTGAAAAGGCGTTTTCGGTTTTAGCCCTAGTTTCGCCTTCTCCTCTTCATCCTCGTTCTTATGTCTGGCCCTTTATTCTGCGCATATTCACCGCTTTACGAAGCCACAGAGCTCTAGGGCTGAATGGGATTCGGATTCCGGCCAGAGAATGATTGCGATGCAATAGCAAGATCAGATGAGACCCATTTGTTTAGAAAGCTGTCTGATCTCATCTTCGCGTATCCTTTTGTCATCGTCTTGTTTCATTTTTCTCTCTTCGGGAGTCAACTTCGCGGTTGCGGCTATTCGTTTCTCGTCTGGTATCCATAATTCAAGAATTGGGTCCCAGTAGTGGCTGTAAAAATGGAAAACAGGGTCAGCTTCGGGGCGGGCCAATATATATAAGGGAAACTTCAAAAGTTCCTGCTCACTCCTCATGATCCTTTATGACCAACGCACTAGGCCCGTACTCCTTAACCAAAATTTCATAATACTTATACGGAATCCTAGCGGGGACGCCTTCATACATGCTATCTCGCATGGGATATATATCCGATATCTTATACTTGTGGAAGTTTTTGCACTGGAGGATTCCCGGCTCTGTTTCCGGGTTAATCTCACTAATGCCTGTGATGTCGATGTAGAGCCCATTGCGCGTGTCGATCCAGCGGGCATCGATGATGTTTTGGCCCTGTCCTCGTTCCCGTTGTCGGGAGTACGGGTTGACATCTAGTAGGTAGTCACGATTGGGCTGGTTGTCTTCAGGTTTATAGTGGCAGATGGTGTGGTTGAAATGGTCGGCCATGCGGCGGAGGGTACTAGTGTTGACTTGGGTGTCGATGTCCCAGTCCCAGGGGAGCATCTGCATCAAGCAACAAGGAGTAGACAGTTAGATATATTTCTTTTTTAACAATGATGTTGTCCCTTCAAAGGAATGCCATGAGGTAGAAGCAAAAAATGGGTCAACCAGCCTTCCCATTCCACCACCAACCTAGCAATGTCCCATGCGCAATCCATGTCTCCAGTCCATTCTCTCTGAAAAAATTCAAATACGCCCGAGTCATATGCAACAGGGTATCAATTCGGTTGTCATACGTGACCACACCTTTGAAAAATCTCGAATCATAGTGGCCCAGAATATCATCACCACCAGGTTCTTGGAAGTATTTTTCCTCTGGTGGCTCCACGACCTCCTCCTGATGAGGGTTTTTTGAATATAGGTGTGGGAGAGCAATGACTGAGTGTGTGAATGGCAACGTGGCTACGAGAAGGTATGGCCAGTAAAGTTTCATGTTTTCGTTTTTGTTCTTTTTCGTACCGTTGGGCGTGCTTTCCTCAGAATCATTAGTTATTAGGACCTGATGTCAGTGACTAATTGGATTCACATCAAGTTTATATATAAAAATTTCTACATCAGGGTAGAGGTGATTATTCGGAGTGTGCTTGGGGGGGAGGTTTGAGAGGAGAACGGGTGGTTAAAGGTTGAAAAAGTTGAATAGGGGGCGAGCATGTAAGAGCGGAGGATGATATATTCAGAGGTAGTTCTAAGTAGGATAAGTAGATATGAGATATAGAGGTATGAGCCGGAGTCGTATCACGAGAAGAATAAAGAGACGAAGAGAAAAGAGGATGGAAGAGCTCAGAAGAACCAATCCGGCGGAACAGGGAAAGGAGAGAAGAAACAAAGTTCCAAGAAGTCTTCAGCCATGGGGCGCCACCAAGGACTAGGGAGAGAAGAGTGGGCTCGCAGAGGCTAGAGGAGCGGCAAAGGCTGTGGTCCTGGGGAGTGTTTGTGACATTGTAAAATCCTTCTGTATCCACTGCTAGGAGGTCGTTGGCTCGTAGCGGAAGCAGATAATAATCTGCTTTGGAGTTCAACGCCATTATTGTTAGCGGTAGGTTTTCCAACAGCAAAGTAAAAAAGATATTATGATCTCATATCTCATAAACCAGCGACGGCAAACTGTGGTTGGTCGACGGAACCTTGAGCTAAAGCACAGATCCAGTCAGCACCTTAAATGGAGTCGTTCCGGGCAAGCTCCCAAGGATATTGCTGGTCGATTTTGACATTATTTTTGGTATGAGACCACGCAAGCATTCTGATTCAAAATGGCACTCTGTAGGAGAAGTTATCTAGAAATGCAGTGGAGACGAGTAACTATCAGGATAGGATATGGATGTGGCACGTTGTTTTGATATGTCGTCTGTGTCGCGTGCCACCTTACCGCTTTTGGCCAATATTACAGGAGGTACGAGGTATGTATTGATACGGTATTCATCGTACCATAGGCTGAACTGATACAATACGCGGAGACATAACTACACTTATGCAGTCACAAAAAATAAATATGCGTAAATCTTTGAGAGAGAAAGTCTACAGGAGGGATCTATGGGATATTTGTTCACCTTAGTCCTTAGCACTTTATACGGAATATTGGGTGAAACATAGAATTAGCGATCTGATGCTTGGAGTCCAAGATTGCAAATGCGCTTCAATAATAACTTTCCACCAACCTGTCCCGTCCTACAGTATGCATGGATACTTCCCAGCCATGTCAATAGGTGGACGTATCAACTTCCACGTTTGATATCCCCAGCATTCCTAAGCAAGGAGAAAAGCAAAGGGTGGAGGCAAACGGAGAACAAAGGGTTAATGCTTGCTAAATAACCTAAACGGTCTCCAAATTTTTGCGTAGTTTTTAACATCATGGAACACTTCTCTCCGTCTTGCATTTCTCACTACTATTACGGCGATTGAGACACTAGACAGCGGTCGCTACCAAAAGTTTTGACTCACGCTACAGCAGTTACGCTAAATCGAAATTAGAACTGATGAGAAGAGCTATAGCATGCCTGAAATCGTAGGCTTGAGTGTAGGGAATCTTACGCCAATATATATTAAACTTTAGGTAAAGGCGTCTTAAGTCTTTAACTAAGCTGTTTAACTATCAATAACTAATGTGGCTCGTTATAGTGGCCTTGGAGAGTCGAAACTTTTTGACAGCCTCTGTGTGCAGTTAGTTACATGCATCCAATTTTTGACTCCACGCCAAACTCGGTGAACGGGTCACTCCAAATCTGGGCAGCATGCTGGAGTCCTTCGTGTTCAGCCACAGGAGTCTCAAGTCTCTGCTTGATTCCTTGCTTTTTTCATCATAGTGTCAAATCTTCAGAAACAAGTTTGCTGGATGTTGACATTGCTTTTCTTCTTTTCTTTTCTGATGGAAAGTCAGTGACAGTTGCTACAACAAAGCGCCCCAGAGCATCAGCTTCAAGCGGAATAGGTATTGATTCCCAGCTCCTTGTTCACATGTAAGAACTGAATGTCCAAAAATATATACAGAATAAATACTTCATCACTGTTCTTTTATATATCTGTAATGTATATGCCCGGCAAGTATTGCAGATATATAAATGATGCAATGATGAACTGACCTATATTGGAAATAAGGAAAGAATGCAAACTAAACGAATAATAGATCAAAGTTTGGTACAGTATCCCGCACACTTTGTAGAAAATACAAATAACTAGGTAATGAGGACAAGCCTTGAAATGCCTACTCTCGACTCTCCTATTCCCTAAATAATTCTTATGAATTCCACGTAAACAGACGTAGGTAATCTACGCAAGCACAACTCGCCAACCAGATATCAGGGACAAATGAGAGAAGAAAGATTGAAGAAAAGAAAAACATGGCGTCTTAAAATAGATGCAGGATATAAAATGAAACAATGTAGCCCGTACCTGAAATTCCTTTGAAGTCGAATCCCTGAACTGGGTCATCTCCATTCTGATGGTTTGACCAAAATAGGGTGCATATCCTTCCAACGAAATCACTGACATAATACACATTTTCACTAATAAGGATGGTTATGAAGACCGTCATTGCTACTGGTCACGCTCCCAACTTCAGACCAGCTGGCTGGGGTATGCGTGCCATCACGGACAGATCCTAAGTCGCTCAGCGTTCCATCTGACATGGGGTTAAACGACCCATTCTCGATATGGCTGAGACTCGAGGCGACTGAAACTGCCGTGGAAACATGTTGAAGAGAATCAGTTTCTCGCGGGTCCTCGAACGGATTTTGAGGACGGCTCTGTTGTTGCAAATTTGGTACGGTAATATTTAGGTCAGTGTTCGGGGGACGTGCGTAGTAGAAGTCCGCTTCGCCGTCTTCTGGATGCAGCGATGACGCCAGGGAGAAATAGTTTGATTGCGACGGGTGTTCATCTCGTTGTCCCCGGTGCCGTCCCAGTATCTCACTCTGTGAGGCAAACGAAAAGTCCATGTCTGGGATTTCTGAGGTTGGAGTCAGGTCGGCCAACGACTCTGAAGGATGGTTTGACGATGTCTCTGACGAAAGAGTGGTGCGGAGTCTATCTCTATCTATATTATCAAGTATTGCCTGGCGGTGTTCAGAGGAAATCCTCGGAGACATTTCAGATATTGATCTGGAAAGATCAGGGGAGTCCTCAGGGCGTCGATGAACGACATGAGAACTTGTAACTTCCACGCCTGTGGCTTTCGCCATGGATTCTCCCTCCTTCAGCAAGGGCGGCTTGGATTGCTCTTTCAATCGTCCATCTTTGTCCACGAGGCCATCAAAACTACCAACGGAAACTGAAGAATTATTCTTTCGCGCTTTTAAAATCGAGGCTCGTCGTAAGATTTCCTCCCGAGCTTTCTGCCGTCTTGCCTCCGCTTCCTCACCTAGCTCTTCGGTCATGGATATGTCTTCCGTCGACCTGCGGTCTGTGGAAGATTCTCGAGGATTAATCTCATCTCCAAGATTGTGTAGAGCAACTGCGATTTTCCGGCGGGAGTTTTGAATCCACTGCTTCACGTGGGGGTTTTCGTAGACGGCAATTCCCGCGGCAACAAGAATAGTAACAGTAATCACAAGTCCTGGTAAGATAAAATAAGGACACGTTAGAGAACAGGAATGAGAGACGTATAAAGAAAAGAAAAATCCAATAAAAGCAGTGACGGACTAATAATTGATGCTTGTAATAATAACATCCGCCGGGTGGGATAGTGGGGTTCAGATGCGTGTGGGGGAGACCAGATGAACACACCTTTGGCTAACTGGGCGGGCATATTGATTCCGGTTCAGGGAGGGACTATGTCAAATGAAAATCGATTCCTACACAGCTGATATAAGTATGCTCAGAGCATTCATGGATTGGAAAAGTAGGAAGGCTGCTGAGACATTGGATTATTTAGTTAAAGCTGCCGCCTTTGCTGACTTCCAAGTGAGTTACCTAATCTCAGCAATCGGTCTTGGACTAAGTTAAGTTAAGTTAGCCGCAGATCAGGAGTCTAAATAAGCCTCCAAAACACGTGATGCCAAACATCAACCCGACTTTGCATAGTTACACATCCATCCATCGATCGAACGCTCTCTATAGAAAAGGAGTCGGCTTCAAGTTTTACTCGTCTAGTTAATTTGGGGTCTCTATCTCACGGAGATAGAGAGGGCACTATGTCACGTCCTATTCCTGTCCAGCGGAATCTTACTTTAACTGAGGAGCTGGAGAGACTGGAACAGTCCATTACCCTAACACTGCAAGGCACGAAGCATAAAACCTCTCCCTCCCGCATTTTCACTTGTCAACGCTGATCAATATATCGTTAACTGATTCATGTCTGCTTTACAGAAATTGACCATAACTTCAGCCATGCCCACAGGATCGTCACGTCTAGCATCCTCCCCATTGTAGAACAATATGCGGCGCAGTCGCGAGAAGTTTGGGAAGGGTCAAAGGTGGGTTCTCTCAAACCGCAGTTCATATCGATAATCACACCTAAATGTAGCTGACGAAAGAGAATAAAAATTTAGTTCTGGAAGCAATTTTTCGAATCCAGTGCTAATGTCTCCCTCTCGGGCTACGAGGAACATCTTCCCAGCGAAAGCGGACAGGAGGGCACATTTACCGAAGACTCAACCTTTAACACCCGCAATTCAACAGACGACGACGTTACAGAATCATACGCCACAACATCGTCTGAATCGCTAGATTTGCGTCACGGAGATGATGCTCCTGACCTCTCTTCACTTACAATAACTCCATCCCACAGTACGCCCCGTCCAAGAGTACACTTAGAGCGGGACAACGACGACGAAATAACGAGCTCGTCCATTAATTACCCCAACCCATACGAAGCTCTCCACAGAGTACCAGAAGAAACGCCCTCCCGGTCGCGCATTGCTGAACCAGTCACGCCGGGGAGGACACAGCGAACACATAGTGTGACGCACCATGGCTCCCAAGCACCAACATTCTCAGTTTTAGCTCCGTCCCCCACCCGTGGGATGCCGTCCACTGTCAAAAAAGTAGGCAAACCGACAGATCCAGTCCTTCGCCGCATCTTGGATAAAACGTACCGAATCCAAGCCACCCCCCTGGCCAGCTCTCGCAAATCATACCACAACCCAACCCGCATCATCACCACTCCCAAATCAAAACCCAGGTCAGGCTACCTGGATTCCTCCCCCATATCGAGCCCAGAAATCGAAGTCCCAAAACTTCACTCTGAAGTTTTTTCATCCCCAATCAAGGGAGGTGGTGAGAGTCGACCTCGTCAGCGACGGCCAAGTAAATCCTCGAGAATCCCACAACCAGGCATCAGTGTGCTTACTCCCGCCAAACACAAGCAAAATTCTTCGAAACCTAAATCTAGTAAGGGTTGGGAGAGTGACGACCTTGACGATGGCGATGACGACGATGCTACCTCCCTTTTCGGAAACAGTCCGCCTAAAACAATACAGTTCCATATTCCACAAAGCAGATTGCTTAAGACTCCTGGTATGTTTAATGAAAACACGTACACCAGAACCCCACACAGATGTCTCCGGGCATAGAAAGTTACACTCGTGCACAGAAACTAACGCAAAACAGCCAAGGAAGCCTCTAAACGTATTGTTTCTGACCTGCTCTACACCGCTGGCGGCGGCGAGGACAACACAGACGAGTTCGAAAATAGCCCCAGCATAGTGCGTCGGGTGGCAGGGTTAGAAGATGAAAGTTTCTAAGAAATGAAGGGAGTGTGTGGGTTGCAAACATATGATTGCTATGACTTACGTCCATTACCCGTAGTGGTTAATCTATTTTGTCAACCTTTTCATCACGACAGCATAAGATTCTATAAAACTCCATGAGACACGCAACTGTAAACTCGAAAAACCTATTATCAAATTAAATGAAAACTAAGGATGAAAATTGACAACGTCTTTGTTCTTGTCAACCATTTATACCAACCTTCACAAGTATATATATATTTAGAGTTTATTTTAGGGTAATCTACGCCATTCCAAAATAAAATTTATGGGAAATACGGACTCGAAAAGCGAATTGAACACTTCATGCTTCCAACTGCAAATACTTCCAGCTGGGAGTATCATTGGAACGTTATACGTTTACAACACTAAAGCCCTATAACCCAATTAATAATCCATAGAATTGGGATGGCCTGTGAGACCTGTTGAGACCCGTAACTTCATCATTTTTGTGTGTATATATATCACTGGCACAAGTATCAAGCAGAAAGAAGTGCTTGGGTAAACGGAAGGTCATTGCATCACATCGTGGAAGAAGGATACTAGAATATTCTACGAGCCATTAAAGCGGGCCGATGAGAGTGGGGAACTAGAACTCGAATGAGAAGAAGAGTGAGAATGAATATCAAGATGGAAGATGGAAGATGGAAGATGGGATATGCAAGGAATGCAATCAGCCATCACCTAGACGAAAAAAAAAAGGACGAACAGCAACATAGATAAAAATAAGTGACCGGTGCGAAGGAGCATACAAGGATAGACAAGAAGGAAAAAAGGTATAAAGTTGAAATATACAAAAATACGGTGGCTTTTTCAGGGTATGAAGTTGGGCGTTTATAGATCCGCCAGCAGAATGAGCTTAGAAAAAAGAGAAGGGAAAAGAAAAGAAGAAAAGAAAAAAAGGGGTAAAAACAAGTCGACAACTAATGAACAATAGCCAGATGGGAGATCTCTTTTCCTTTTTCTTGTTTGGAATGAGCAAAATGGAGATTCGGAGGAAGGCAGGGATAAGGGTATAGCGAGTATATAAACACAAAAGCTTAAGAGGTATAGCAAAACGATCGACGCAATTCATACACAATCATGCAGCAAAATGCAACTGGGTTTCTAAGCATGGGTAATCAAAATGGTTGGTGGAGGGCAGGCATCCACGATGCTATGCCTCAAATGAATGCAAGCAAGCAGCCTGACGAGCTGGCGGGCGGCACGACGCAAGTACAGCGATATAAGGTCATGGGGAGTAACATTGATAAACAGGAAGATAAAAAGTATCAAGAGCCATTCATCCAAACGCAAAGACGAAAATGGTATGGAAAAAGGGGTATGAAACAAAACGACACCAAAATCGTGAAGGAATGAAAAAGAGAAGAAGTTAGAAAGATGAATTACTCCTCCATCCCCATAAATATATCCTGACAATTATCAACCAAAAACTGCAGCGCCTCATTCTTCTTCTGAACATCGCTCATTTCCCGACTCAGACTTTCGGGCCGCAAAATCGTCGGTGCAAACACCACAGCAACATTCAAGCTCGTCATCAGATTCTCCTTCTCGCGCTCCACGACACGGCGGAGATGGAAGATCAGGAATTCGAGCACATCACGATGAGTGGTCGGAAGGCTCAGCAGGCTGCGACGCATCAAGTCAACACGGGCGGAGACCGGGGTAACGCCCCATGTGTCAAGAAGTTTATCATATACTTCATAGGTGATGAGTGGGGTGGGTAGTTTGCGGAAATATTGTTTCAGGGTCGAGGTGACAGCGTGGATGTCGAGGTCTGGGTCGGAAATGTCGTAATCGGAAGACTTCTCGAAGCCTTCGCGGATCATTTGGACTTGGGAACTGCCGCCAGATTTGCGATAGATGCCCTCGCAATCCATACCTAATTAAATAAAGAACGGTTAACATTAATAAATTTCATGAACAAAAAAAAAAAAAAAAAAAAAGGTAATTCGTCGCTTACCTCGAAGCTCTACTTCCTCGATACAACGTGTGACAATACCTGGAATAACACATTTCTCAACCTCGATCCGTTGTTCAAGGTCAGTGCCAAAAAGCACTTCCGGAAAAACAAAGTCAGCATGCTCGCATTTCAATGAGAAAGGATATGTTGTAGAACAGTTCTCACCATTACTATTATTAGTAGAAACTTCAACAAGAGCCGCAGAACTCTCATTCGACTGCGCTGTCCAAATCCCAGGCTTCACCTTTGAGTTCCCGAAAAATCCAAAACCCTGACGGGTCGACTCCTGAGGTTGACCGCGAACAGATCTATCATCACCATTTTGCGATGCCGCAGATCCATACGGTGCTGTTTCCGCAAACTGACCATCCTTTTGATATTTGCCTTCTGCATAATTGAAAGCGCCCTTGATACCCTTCGTAACGCCCTTTGCTACATTCTGGCTACCTTTCTTCCAATTGAACTTGCGGACTTGGCCCTTACGGATACTGATAACTTGTGGTCCTTGGAGAACGGTTGCTTGGTCTGCCTCTTCGGACTGAATGTTAGAGGTTGATGTGAGAAGGTCATTTGAGGCCCGGTTTTCGCGACCTTCAAGTGAGGCGACAGATTTTTCCTTTTGGTGAGAGGAAATACTCAATCCATTGGTTACCTGGCGACTGCTTTCTCCGCTGCTAGAGGTTGTGTTGGCCCTGTAGATCCCTTGGATCTGGTGAACTAGCTGGTTATTAAGCTCCGCGAGTTGCGAATTTTTAAGAGACAACTGTTCAAATTCTTGAAAGCTCTTATCTTTCATGCGGCCAAGGTTGGTCAGTTCTTCAAGGATGGTATTACGCTTTTGGATCAACTCCTCAATCTGAGGGGCAAACGAATCTTTGAGTCGCTGTACAGACTCCGCAAATTCACGTAATACGCTATTGCTTAGTCTCCTTAGATCAAGAGGGGCCCCACTCTGCTTTTCGGCGGCGATGCATTCTGTAAGGACCTCCAGCTCACGTAGGACAATCTCCTTCTGAGCATCAAGAAATACCATAGTGGATCGCTTTTCGCGAAGTTCTGTGTTAACCTGTTTGATGTTTGCTGTGGCATTAAGTGAAGCCTCCAACGCTGAGATTTTCTGATCCTTCTCAACAATCTTCTGCCGTTCCCTTCGGAGCTCGTTCTTGTACCAGGAAAGCTCATCGCGATTTTCAGGGGAACTCCCAATTGGACTGCTGATGTCATTCACAAAGTTGCTTCCATTTGACGGTGACTTAGGCCATTTCTGCTCTTTCGATAGTCGGGCACATTTATCGCTTAAGCTTCTTCCATGTCTGACGGAATGCGACACCCGCTTCAGCAGGGATTCTTGATTCTGGCTATCATGACTGCCAAGAATTCGGGCCATATCTTCTTCCAAGGAGAAGTCTCCCACCCCACTGTAACGCAACCTCGGGGAAGCTCCAATATCCGGCTCACGATGGCCATCAGAATACACAGTCTTCACCGATTCGTTACGAGAATGATGCCCACGAGGGTCTGCAGATTTCTGTTTCGACACGCTGCCAGACCCAGAACGCTTGTGAAGTGAGGGAGTAGAAACTGAAGCATCGGAAACCCGCTTTGACACTGACGCCTCTTGTACCCTCAATCCCTTTGCAGTCGGGGATTTGTCCACCTGGGGAGATGAAAAATTCGAGGACGCCGGCGCAGCATCGTTTGTAATACTAGATGTTGGTGGCGTAGACTTGCTAACAGGTGCTGCAGATGCTACCACCTTCCTTTGGAGAGATTGATGTAGTTTGGCTTCGAGAGAATCGCCTCTCTTAGGCGGATATTGCAGTCCCGGTCTCGCAGGCTCAACCGATCCATTTTCTTTCATTCGGGGTTCCTGAGAAAAGCGTGAAGGTGTATTATTGTTGAGTTCTGGTGCCGGAGACGGTTGATTTGTGACCCGTGCCGTATCCCGAGGAGGAGGACTTATAACGATGTCTTCGGTTTCTTCATGTGTAGGAGACGTCACTGTAGCCGTCAAATCGAGGTCAGGCCGAGACATGTTCTCAGAGCCACCTCGTGACCTCCTTCCCTTAGGGACGTCTTGCAACTTGAATTTATCTCCACGGCCCGACATATCGGCCCCAGGGCCGGAACTGTTCTGCAATATATTCTGTTGGCGAATATTGTTATTGTTAGCAGGAGGCGACACAAGAGTAGAAGCTCTTGAGGGTGTCGTGCTCTCTTGGAATTTGTGAGGGCCTGGATCTGCGGGACGCTTGTTTTGATATGGACTTTGCTGCTCAGAAGAGGCCTCAGGGTGACTCTGGTCTCGGAGGTATTCATGTACGTCTGTAGACTGTGTGCGAGAGCTGTCTCCAGATATGCGCTGACCAAGGGACTCTCGTGGCACAACAGGAGAAGCTTCTGACGGGGGTGGTTGAGGAGAGCGAGTTTCAGAAGCTGCGGGATCAAATGCAACAGGTATGAGAAACTCTTCTCCACCCGATACATCAGATTTATGAGAAATAGCAGAATGGCGATTCAACTTGTAAGTACTGGAAGGAAGGATAAGATTATCTATTTCACAAGTGATTAGTCTTCAAAGAAGTGATCAAGATTGCAAACTTGGACGATAGGACCGCGGATGTACCTTGGTTAACGGGCTGTGGTTCAGGAGTTCCAACATTTTTGTCATCCCCCGAGCTTTTCTGCTCTTCGGATCTTGGACGCGACGGCAATTCAGTGGGCAGTTCAATGGGCATTTCAGCTGGCAGCTCAACGGGCATTTCAGAGGGAACTTCAGCGGGCAGTTCATGGTATTGATCGGGTAGTGGACTGGGAGAAGTTGCTGATAACCCATTGCTCGAAGCAATGGTTGTCGGGAGTGACGGGAGAGATTTGTCTAGCTGGACATTGGGGACTTTTTGACGCTGCCTGGCCGTTCGCTTCCGCCTTCGTGCCATCAGTGATTCATGACAATCCATACAAAAGATACCCTGTGATGTCCGCGCATAGCGAAGATTCTCGATCTTCCGCTTACAGTTGCGACATTTGAAGCAGGTTGCGCAAAAGGCCTGGTCGCCGGTGAGGATTGCTAGGTCTTCGATCTTGTCTCCGCAGGAACTGCAGCTGTAAGTGCAACTGTTGCAAATGAGAGAGCCATCGCCCAGCAGAAGGAGGTTTGCCTCTGAATCGAGAAAGGTGCCGCATGTGTTGCATCGAAAACAGTCAATATGCCATCGTTTATTGGCTTTCAACTAATTAGTTTTGTTTCTTGCGACTATATATTTAATAATTGGTTGATGATAAGGAGGGCCTACTCACCCAGCTCGAAAGCTTTGCCTTCTTCCAGTATCTTATATCATACTTCCGTTAGCCAAGAGAATATTTATCAAAGAAAATACTAAAAAGTGATCTGCGTTGCAGGTGGGGTCAACCGTACCTCTCCGCAACCCTGACATGGAAATGGGACGTCATCCAGATCTAATGGAGAGTCCGGTTGGCCAGTGGGTGACTCCATCTCTCAATTCTCTCCCCTTCGACACTCTCAATCGTAGTGTAGTACCAGCTGGTCTCTATGCTTATTACCCCCAACTCTTGTGATAGTGTGGTGTTGTATTCTAGCCTGGGTAAATCTAGAACTCGGAGATCCGAAACCATTCGGGATGCAGACACGAACAATGGATAACTGCTGGTGGCGGAGGGGTCCAAGGTCAATCAATTTTTTCTCCTTGAAAACTCCACAAGCAAACCTTTCTATATACAGTGAGGAGGCCAGTTCTACCGAGTTGCAATGGCCGATTTGGAGAAGAGAGCCAATGGTCACGCTAAAAGACAGGATCGGAGGATAAGAGGGGGCGGGAGAAGGGGTGGGGAGGGGGGAGAGGGGAGAGGGGAGAGGGGAGAGGGGAGAGGGGAGAGGGGGAGAGAATGTGGCTTAGGAAGTCAGGGACAAACAGGCAGTAGGACGAGATATGGAAGAGGAATACTAGAACAACTACACAACGTGGTTAAGGGAGGGCGGGTTTGGTTGGCCGTGTAATATGACGGAGTTGGATGGGGTTGGAGCGCGCGTGAGACGTCCACGGATGGGCACAGAGACAAAAGTCGTGACTTTTGTGTGGACGGACGACCTCAGAGCAACGCCTAACACAAAGGAGACGAGGTCAGCAACCGGCACACAACATTAATTTGGGGAGCATTGGTCGAGGAGGAACACGCGTAAAGCAGAGGAAAGAAGAGGTAAAGAATAGGCGGGGTGGAGAGACGTTGAAATGCGAAACACGCCAGAAATTAACGGGTCGTTGATGGCTGGAGAAACGTGTTGTTGCACCGACCGTACCTAACAGGTTGCTCCGCAGACGGGATGGAAATCCCAGGCGAACACTCGGTTGGTGAATCGGGAGAATAGCCCACTGATGAATGACAAGGATGTGCAGAGTTGGACTTGGTCTCGATTGAAATCAGAGAAATGGAATGGGAGATGTAATAAAGGGATGATGTTAAATATAGCTTAATTATTATAGTGACGGCTGTTCGACCAACAGGTCTAACAAACAACAAGTGATTGACGATCCTGACGCAGAGGGGGAACAGATTCCGAGAGAAAGAACAGGCTAGGCGATGATTAAAAGGAACCTATTGCACGTCTGTCAAAGTCCGTTCCCTTGTTAATTTTCTCCTGGAGCACTCCGTCTAGAAAAACGACGTGGTTGGTACGAAAGTAAAATTTGTGCAGTTGCTGGTTTACGTGCAAGCAGGCAGACCGTTTGGAACCGACTAAACAAGGAGAAGAAAAGAAGAAAAAAAGACAGCACACGGCAGACAACGCAGGGAATGAATAATAACTAATTGGGGCAGAGCTGACACTAAGACACACCAACACCCAAACGAAACAGAAAATAGCATTAACAGTTTAACTAGTTATTCTGTGGATAGTTCTTTTTAATAATAGTTCACTCCCCCTCAGCCGCGCGTGGAATTATCCATCTCATCATTCTCTATCCAGATGTTCGGTTGTCGAGATGTCTCCAGGTGTAAACTATCCGCTGCGGACAATGGCTTCTTGGATATTTTTATGTTTTTTTATACCAAACATGCACAAAATATACACTCCACGTTTCAGCGGGCTGCTGAACAAGCTGTTGAGCAACATATCTCCGGCCTGGTAGAAACCATGTTACATACAATTATCTCTCCCTGCTGTGAACCCTTCACAACTGTCCTTTACACGTGGATCCCGGTCTTAACGCCACGAACAGGTCCGATAACCAGACACTGGTTAGACACGCACGCAAAAGCGGAGTGAAACGATGCTACCGCTCCAAAGGACCGAAGTTATTTCGCTAAGACCCAGCGTTAAAACAGCCACTCCTGCACCATAATGGAAGAAAAAGCCGGCTAATTAAACTTACCCTTCTTGACGCGCTTTCCAGCGATCAGGAAGAATAAAAAACCGCATGTGGAGAAAGGAGAAGAAAAGGACGGAGAAGAACCAGTTGATTCCAAACCATCAACCACGTCTTCAAGGGAACAAGAACCACGGAATATATGGCATCGAAGAATTGGAAGGATATCCAGGAACCCCGCCACCTTTTCTATCTCACTGAAACATTAACTGCCTAGCCATGGATAAAAGCAGGAGGATTCCCTTTGAGATTCGGATGATGTAAATCCCCTCCTACAGGTCCCCAGCGGACATCCTGGCGGAGAAAGTCGAGGATCAGTTTACTAACGGGAGGAACTGATCGCTCTCTGTCCCGTCCAGACATGCAACAAGGAGCCCAGACTGGCCCTTAGTTCCTATATTCTCCTTCATCTTATATCCCGCAAGCATCATCCCATATAATCCCAGCTCGCAAATATCTCCCTGTTTGGCACATGAGACAGACAACCCAGCACCCACTAGTGTGCCCATATAACTACATCTGCAATAGTGTCCGTGATAATGGACCCTTGTGTATATGTCAGTTTATGCACAGCAACGGCTTCTGGCTCTTTGAGAACAATATACATTATCATTGCCCTTTAGAGGTACACTTATATAAACTATATAATGACGACAACATTCAAACATGTGGTTAGCTGCAGCGAATGATGAGCTGACTCTGTTAAAACTACCCCATAGAGAAGAACCATAAATTCCCTCACTAGGTAATAAATATCGAATTACCGTCAATTGGGTAAATGAAAGCACCGTTTTTGCCCCGCCCAATTACCTTCAATATTAATAAAGTTGATACAAGTTTCAGCAGCAATATGTGGAATGACGAAACATTCACAGGCTTTCCTGCATCCTTTGACTTCATATTTTGGCAATTCACCGACGACGATCTGACCCCTCCAAGTTGATCTTCTGGCTCAGGTTGCCCATTCGATTTTCCCAGCGATTCCGTCAGTCACTTGAAATAACACAGCGGATTTTAACTAGTCTGATGGCTCCTCCTGTACCTGCGCCGGATGGTCCGCACCAGAGGGGGGGGGTTTAATAGCCCCGGGCCCACTTTTATAAAACAATGATCAACTGATCATCCATCTAAAATAAATACGGTCTAGGGGTAGATTAGGTTAAGATTAGGTTAGTATTCTAGGATTGGGATTAGTTAGGGGCTTTAGATGAGAGTTGGTTAAGGGGAAGGGACCTGAGAAAGGTTTGTAAGGTTTGTATGGGATGTGAACTAGAGTGTGTAGTTTTAATGGAGGGTTGTCATGGTTTAACGTTATTATACAGCATCAAACCATGTTCGGCTCCTTTGAAACCAACGTCCAACTGTATGCACCAGAGAAAGAAGCACTCACAGTTTCCTTTCCTTTCCCAGGTTCTGACGGAGTTAGTTTTAAATATTTTATCTAGAAAGAGTCTCGCTTGACCGCTGGTCGGCGTCAGTCCGAGCCTCTGAGGTCTACATCACATGCATATGGAAGTACAGCACTTACAAAGAACATGCCTTTGGTAACTATATTAGGAACGCTGGATGGCTAGGGGAACAATACCGAGTGCGATATTGGAGAGAACTTGGATGACTACCTCGAATCCTCGGGACCCTCGGCCTGCATCTATATATACAGAAACTCCGCTGATATTCAAGTTGAAACTACAATCCCTTCGTTCGTTTATTTGCTGTTTTGAAAAGGTGACTAAGATTAACCAGCAGAGAGGACGGGTACAAGGGGACTGCCCTTGTTCGGATTAAACTAATTACACTTCAATCCTGCGCCTCTTCAGTTCAACGACCCCATGTATGTAGAGTACATGCATTGGGGAATTGATCGAATTTAACCTTATCATCGCTTTTTACTCTTCGCATGAGTCACTTGATTAAAGGATCAAAAGTGACGACGACATCTATGACTTATATAAGGAATACGCTATCAGATACATAGCAAATACGCGGGAAGTTCAACCTTGCAAAAAGTACGGCTGTTCTTTCATGTGCAGTCATCTCAAAAACCTGAAAAATGATATTCCCATATAACTACCCCGTGCTACCCGTGGTAATTGTGGCAGAAACTAAAAGAAAAGAAAAGAAAAAGAAAAAGAAAAAGAATGAATGAAAAAAAAAGCTAGCTGACTATTTCGACATCCATTGAAATACCAAACTTCATACTCGCATAAGACGATGATCTGCCACGATCGGGATCTCATTCAGCCTCCGCCCCTCAAATATATGACTGCCTAGCCAATGAAATTTTTGAGAGACAGAGATCGTTAATGTTTAGTGGGTGGGATCTTGGAAAGATCGCACTTGTACTGTTTCGTGTTTCAAAATGTATCCAAATCGAGGTTAGCAATGGATGGATTAGTTAGTTGGATAGATCCTGGATCCCTGGATTTTATTCTGAGAAACGAAAAACAAAGGCTGAGCGTTTGCTGATTTCTTGAAGACTAGGGGAAATAATCCAATGAATTGAAGAGATATGCGTGAACAATTTCTACTGCTGCACAGGATGTTAATAACTTCCAACTGAAATCCTTGTGCACGAAGCAAAATGACCCAGCAGGTCTATTGGGATAAACAAAAATATAGCACAGCAGCGGGTATTGAATCAAAAATTGCCCCTTGATAAAATCAGAACGAGGTAATTTGAAGTAGAAGTAAAATGACAAACTTCCTGCTGAGATACAAGGAAGAAGTGGAGGAAAATAAATAGTATCAGGCGGGTAAGGGATATCAGGATGAGAGAACAGAATTAAAAAGTTAGAAGTTACGAAGAAAGGGAAAAGAATTATACAATTAAGAACACATTATACCACTATAAGGAATCACTTTTCGGGGGAAAAAAAAGAAAAGAAAAGAATAATGTAAAAGAGAAAAGCCGATAGAAGCAGGAAAGTGGAAAACAACTACATATACTCCAATAACACCACAAATAATCATAATGATAACACCATATCGACAACCAAGCACCAAGAATCGAGGAAAGAAGAGGGACAATGCGATAAATAGAGCAGACAAGAAACATAGAAGGAGTTATGCAGAAAGTACACGCCCCCCCAACGCCTGAAGCATCTCGAACCTGGTTAGGGACCTAAAAGTCCCGATTAGACATTGATCGCTCATCTCCCCGGCTTCCTCACAATGTAATAAGTTAACAATGGACGATGATCTTCAGCCTTAATCATTCGCCAAAATGCTTCTTCTGGCTTAACCATCTCATGCAGCTCTAGACAAAACTCCATTACTGCCCGTCTTATATCTGGTTGCGGATCCTTAAGGCTCACGTTGGCAAAGTTGCCCAGGCGCTGCAGCACCGGCTCACTAAGGAATAGATTCTTTTCGTTTAGTCGACGTAGGAGTCCGCTGAGGATATATCCGCCCATTGCGACCATTCGATGGCTTTCGGGAGACTTCTCCTCTGATTCCAGCAGATCCAGTACAGCGTCAATCACATCTGCCGGATCACAAGCTCCTACAATATCTTCTGCTGTTTCTTCGAGGCCGCTAACAATATGATTTGTAAGCTCATAGTGTTTGCGTGCCGTGATAATTGCCGTCATAGCTCTCGCGTAGTATGTGGAGAAATAATTACGATTCATCGAGAAAAGCAATCGAATCGTCACTAATACCTGCGTTTTCATGTCGAGCGGTCGTCCAGTTGCAGATTTCTTTTCTGTATCTGGAGCTTCCAGCGCGTTTAACAACACCAACAATGCTTCGCCATATTTGGCTTCGTCATTGAATATTGACTCATGATATTTGATCAAACTCTGCACCTTTCGATATCCATGGACGTCAATAGCTCCAGATCGGATTTTATTAAGTCCCCTATCAATCATATCTCGTGCCCGGGATGGGTCTTTCGATCGTGGACTCAGGCTCCTTCGTCTTTCTGAAATCTCCACCTTTTTCCATCGTCGATGTATATTCTCGCTCGCAGGGAAAGCAGCGCTTGCTGGAGAAAATGTTGAGGGTAGCTGTTGCTGATTGTGTTTGCGATTGGGAGTGTTTGCTGGTTCGTTGATAGAGTGTTCTTCAAGAGGAATTGCTTTGGCAGGCGAACGGGGTGTTCTTGGGGACATTCCAAGTGAAAATGGATAGGGGATATTTTCCTTGGCATTTGGAGACTGGGGGTCTTCATAGACCTTGAGGGTGTCCACAGGATGATTGCCCTCACTGCTAGAAAGGGAAAGCCGGCCCGCTGGCGCGGGCATTCTGGGCAGCACCACGTCATCTTTGTGTTTAGAATAGCGCCTGTTAGGGCTGGTCGTTGTAGCCAAAAGTTCACCAGAACGCACTTGGGATTGGAAAGATGGTGACATGGGGATATGAGTAACGGAGACGTCGCTGCTGCTCAAACGGCGATGGCTCGAAAGAGTGCCATGAGACGTGGTTAGAGATCTAGAAGTAGGAAGATCAACCATAAGTTCGGCTTCGTCTTGGCTGAAAACATCATCACTGGAAGCAGGGACGACGGCTTCAGTAGGGCTAAGAATCTTTTCCGCAGTTCTATTGTCGGGCTTCGGTACGGCTATCGCTATATTTTCTTCAGTTCTAGCCGGGCTAACAGGGCTAGCAACTTGTGGTTTTGCGTCTACAGAAGATGCGTAATTTGGTTTAACCGCAGGACCTGCCATTAAACGAACTTCACCAGATTTCAAACCTGTAATATCAAGCCGTTTCGGTTTTGGCTTTGCTGTGCTGACAGGAGCACTGCTTTCAAGTCTCGACTTGGGACGAGAAGGTGTGGGGTTGGGTTTTCTTCCCGGAGTTGCTGTTATGGTCTTACTCCGGGGTTTCGGAGGGCTTTCTGGGGGACTTGATAATCTCGGATGAGACGCGCTTTGAACGGACCTATTACGCGATGAGTATGGATCGGCAGTAGCAGGTCGCATCAACTCAGGCCGTCGTGGTCGTGAAGAAGGACGCATTGGGGCAGAGGAGAGGGAGGTATTTTGGGACGAAATATGAACCCCAGTAGGCACTGTGCGAGTGGTCGACCCAGGTGGTTTGTGTATCGGGGGTTTAGCCGATTTTACATCCGGAAATGATGACTGCGCAGATTCTGGGCGGGCAGGTAGTTTCTTCGCTACAGCCAGACGAGCCTTTTTCTGAGCAGCAATCGTTTCTTTGAGGGTTTGTCGCGACCCTCCCCCTGAAACGCTGGGTCCCAAACCCGTTCGAGGCCTTCCATTAGTATTTACGGCATTTGGGTCAAGATTTGGATTACTAGGATCCCTTTCGAGAAGAGACTTTGACTTGGCATCTAGTGTTTCCATGATCCTATACTGAACTTAGCATAATGAGCTTTGAAATTCCAGAACGCAAAGTTTTACGTACCCTTCAGCTCTCTCAGGCCAGAGCCTCGCGAAAGTCCAGAAAGTTGATCGCATGTTTTCCCTCACTCCAGGATTGGGATCCGCTAATCCCTTCTTGACACATTTTTCCAGAACATCAGCACCCCCGCTGTGTTCAATGGACCCTTTGATCCCGCTGTGCTTCGTGATAAGGGTTTGTATCCAGCCCGTGACGAATAGCCTAGGTTGAACATTTTTGTCCTGACACGCACCCCAAAGATGCTGTACAATTCTAGAAGTGTAAGAGACATTGCCGATGATAGCGTCCACAGTGAGGTTGCCGTTTTGTGCACTAATTTTCTTCAGTCCCCCGCACACTTTGATCATATTTAGCAAGAGGACTTCAACCATAGGATCAATTGCCGGCCCATTCACCCGTGCAATATCTTGAATTAAGCAACAACCGGCGGCGGACAACGTTGTTCGCAATGAGTTGGAAGATTTTAGGATACCGTCGAGCAGACTTTTAATACCCGCCAAGTAATTCTGCTCAAAATCATGCGGGGCGTTGCCCTTTGTTATTCGTCGCAGTTTCAAAACGCTTTTCTCGCGAGGAATCCAGTTCTGCTCTGATTCTCTGCCTTCAAAATGGGGTAGCATTTCGCGAATTATTTCATCTAGTTCTCTGTGGGAATTGATGTAAAGAGGTTCGATTGTTTCCGCTTCAACGATTTCTGGGTTTCCGGTAACGGCGGAGAACGACTCGATGCTGGCACTGTGCGATAGCACCGCATCCCTTCGTGGAGGATCTCTAGATATTTTTGGAGCATCTGAAACTACGGTTAGTAAGACTAGTAACAAAGTGATGAGAGTGCATACCAATAGAGGTCGAATCAAATGTCATGCTTGCTTCCTTACTTGTTGGTTCGCCGTAGGAGTGAATGGAAAGAACGGAGTTAGGCCGCTGGGGATCTTGAGATCGATGGCTTGAAAAGCTGCTCCCAGGTCTCAAGATATCGGATCTTGGTTGAGACTGCATGGAAGAGGAAAGTTCATGATCCTGGCCAATGCTAGACAGGATTGAGGTTGCTATCGATTTCCTCACGTTATGTGATTGAAGTTGCTGTTTTAAATCCGACAACGCTCGAGGGGGGGCATTTCTATCTAGTATGAGCAAACAGAAATCTGGGCGGATAGCTTGTGGGTTCGTGACCTACCGAAATAGATCGATAACTGTCATCTTCGCAGTTTCCCTGACTCCACTATCGGCATCCTCAAGACAGACGACGAGACTTGGAACGTACGTACGGAAAAGCACTCCGCGTTCACGAGTCATCTACAAACAAGAGCGAGAGGGATAGCCATATATTAGCAAACAAATGAGACAGTCAAGCCAGGTTTGGATGATACATGATAAACTGGTAATAAACTCACAGTCGCCAACCATGCCATACTAGTTTCTTTTGCCCGTGGATTCTTCCCCGCCAACGCAAGTTCCAAGACATGATGTTCAACCTCAACAGGAGAAGCCTGCCAAAAGTCACTGAATGCCTGAGAGGCCTGAGAACGGACGCGCTCTTTGTGATCGCCTAGCCGCTCAAGCAGCAACTGATATGTGGACCGTCCTTGAGAGGCAATTGTCTGATGTAATTCCTGGAGATAAAGTCGTTTGAGCAGATGACCTAAGGCAGAAAATCCCGCTGTGGAGAGCAAGGAATGTGGTGAGGCAATCGCAAGACGGAATGCCTCGAATATTGTGGATACGGCGACCTCCGGCACATTTTTTTGCTTTATTTCCGACTTGAGCTTGGTGAGATGTTGTACCTTCGCCTCGACGGAGAGATTGCTGTTTTTAAACGCTGCTAGAACCTCAGTGGCTCTAGCTTCCATTGTCAAGATTGTTCGATCACAAAGCTCATTGGTAATGGGACATCCTGGGATGTGGCTGCTGTGATATCTTGACCAACGATAGATGGCCTATGCGCAGGATCACTGAAATACAGTTTTCCACCTCCTTGTAGATAGATTCGAACGGTAATTGGATAGCCGAGCCGCGAGGGTGGATATGTGAGCAGCTGAAGGTACCGTGAGAATTCGAAAGAGGATCAAGAACTTGGCGTCAGATCTGACAGATTATGCTAAGGCAACTCACGATTAGCACTTGGAAGAAAGATGAAGGGGGCGTGGGGTAAAGAAGGGTGAAAAATTGTGAAGCGTAGAGGATTCAAGTAGCAGCACAGACCATGGAGATATCTGCGCGACTCTGAAAAAGGGGAGGAAGGGGGGTTAGATAACCGATGTAGAAGAGGGTGCGGGTTATACCTGGAGTTGACGTAGCAAATGTGTTTTGGCATATAGCGCAGGGTATATAAGTTGGGATGGGAATGCAGCGATGGGAGTCGGCAAGGGACTTTGATGATGAAGACATGAGGTTGCGACGAGGAAGAAGAGCCTCAGTTCGGAAGCCAGGCAATGGCCGAAAAGGGTAATTTGATTGTTTCGCTGCCCAAAATATGGTTGGCTTGGCAGCAGCACAGCGCTAGCCCGATCTGGGTGGCGAAGATTGGTCAGCGGCTTTCTTTGGAGCTTGACGTTAGGTACTAGTTATCATATCAATGCATCCGTGTACAGAGTAATTAATAACTAGTTACAAGGATACTGTAGAAATACTTTCATTATTATCAGATGTTGATTGAAAAATCTATCTGTCAAAAGGTAAACAAATCAACTATTCTAGTGTGCTGATCCATGGTTGAACACAAACTTTTACCTTTCCAAGCATTCAAAGTCTCAGGAGACTTCGCATAAACTAATATTCACTGACATTCTGAAGGAAAAGAACACTCGAGTGGTTGTCATATATTCATGTCTGTTGTCTTCTAAGGCCATTCTTGTATAGATCATTGTTAAAAAATCAATGTAGTAAGCTAGAGGTGGATATATGTAGTATTTAAGCGTATGAATTCATATCATGAGGATTAGATGCGGCGGCTGAGCCACTGCATGCAACAATCAATCTATAATAAACATGCCACTTTCATATGCTGACAATTTTCGTACGTAGCCATTGACATCCTCTGATAAATAAGAACGCTTCGAAAACCATGTCCACATCATCTAGCTCTCCGATTCTATTAACCACAGAGGAATCTCCAATCCCGCGCTGCCAAACAACGGACGCGGAAAATACTGAAAGTAAAACCAGCGATGACAGCGCCATTGCGGCATCCCCGCACACCGCAGCTCGCCCATCACCTAAAGTTCGCCTGCACCTCCAAGACCTTACAGACCCCGCAACTAAGACCTTCATAAATTTAATCGCAGACCCAAATGCCGCAATCAATACAGCTCTAGCCAACATTGTAACGTACCTGTACACATCTCCCCCGAAAAATGACCAAACTGGGACCGACTATGCTCAATCCACACGTCCCCACTTCAAACCATCCCTCCCAGACACCCGCTCCGTCACCCTTATACTCCGCAATAAATCTGGCGTAGCTTACACAACAGGCACAGACCTAGATCCAGACCACAAAGAGATCCACATCTCTCTCTCCTACATCTCCAAAGTCAGCAAGACATTTGAAGACCCGACCAGCGAACTCTTAGGCGTAATCACCCACGAGCTAGTGCATTGCTATCAGCACAGTCGCCCTCGTTCCGACCCGAAAAATGAGAAGAAACAGAAGGGAAAGCCTTCACCGGAAATGCCATCTCCCCCATCCGGTCTAATTGAAGGTATTGCGGACTTTGTACGTTTGAAGGCAGGCCTCGTTCCTCCTCATTGGAAGCGGCCGATGAACAAGGCTGAGCGCGGTGACTCGTGGCATCAGGGGTATCAGAGCACTGCATTCTTTCTGGAATGGATTGAGGATGTAAAGGTGGGGAAGGGAGCAGTGGGGATGTTGAATGATAGGTTGTTGAGGACGGGGTATGTGGATGAGTCGGATCTGAACGCAGACGAGAATGACGAGAAGGGGGAAGGGGAGGGGCAGCGAGTGATGAAGGATGGCAAGACGCCGGCTAAGTTGGGATTCTGGCACGGGCTTTTTGGAGCGGAGGTGCTGGAGCTCTGGGAGGAATATGGAGAGTATTTGGATTCTTCTAAGATGAATTAAGACAGTGGTTGAAGGATGACTATCACGGATGTCATGAAAAAGTGTTTCGGGAACTATCAAATTACAGGCGGAACTCATCCTCTCCTGGCAAACACTTAGGTGTGTGTATGTCCTTCCACTTTGTACTAAATTCAAAACTTGTCTGACATTTCTATATATCTAACCGTACTATATTGGTCCATCCATCCAACCAAATGAGCAGAGTCTATATCTTTCCTTAAAAAAAAGCTAAATTTGCGGTAACATCACTGGGCAAAGGAACAGCCGTACCATGCTGCGCCATAATAGAAATGGATATAACGTTTCGCCTTAAAAATTCCCTATCAAGCTGAGATCTGATATGTGGAATGAGACAGGTGGTGTGTGTAGGGGTAATGTGGGAAGTGATGGGTGGGTCAGCATAAGGCGGTTAACATTTTTATACTCCAGATTCTCGGCATTTTCATCAGCAAGTTACACTGTTCCATGGATGATGCATGTTTTATGCGCCGCAATCAAGATTGATAAACGTTGAGAAATGGGGAATGATGGGATAGAAATCAGTCAGAAGAACAAGTGGTCGAAAGTTTCAACCAGATATAATGAAACAACGCATTCCCAAATATTGTACATAGACACAAGTAAAATGAAGAACGTAGGAAAGCAGATATGGCAGAAAATACAGGAAGAAATCGGCAGATATGCACATGAGGTGGGTGAGATAAAAGAGGCAGAGTGGAAAAAAAGAGCGGTATGGGGAGCAGATTTTCATTTGTGTTATGTGATTCCGCTTTGATATTTCCTTTGAACAAAGAAACCCAAAATAATTTCCACTGCAATCTGCTGCATTGCTCTCCCACAGTTTGCGCCTTCAAATATTGTTATTTCTTTACACAATGACTTCACCAGGATCAATATATACTGGTTTCCATGGCTCTGCACCTTCCTCTTCCATCGAGCTGGGGACTCTAATCCCAAGGGGGCTGTATAGATACCACCCCTTGAGCGCTGCTGCTGCTGCTCTGAAACGCGCTTCACTCAAACTTCCTCCGGCTCCCTCACCAAGCTTGTCCGGCCCGGAGAAAATACCCACGTTGAAGACGGGACGGTTGCTCAAACGACCTGTCTCACTAAGGATTTTCGCAACGGGATCTTCAAACCCTTCCCGACGGCAAAGCTTGCTGAGATCCCGCGTTGGTTGCCGGAAGCTAAATAATGACGCCATGTTAAGATACCGACTCATGAAGTGTTCTTTAAAAAACAGCTTCGCGGCTGGTCGACCGGCGTGTAGGTAGACAGCGCCCATGACGGCGCGGACGAAGTTCGCACATGCTCGGTTGGGTGTGACGCCTTCATATTGAACGGGGTATGGAAGTGCAGATTCGCCAAAAGCGTCGCCGTATATAATCCTTGCACTCGTACTGCGTTTCGATAAATTACCATCTGGTTTGAGGAACGTGCCGTTTGCGTTGGTTTTGACTTCTGTATCTGGTGGAAGCCGCTTAAATTGTAGGAAACCCGGGTCGACTTCGGCCCCAGGATCAGCTATGAATTCCAGACCCCATTCCCTAGTCATGGCTGCAAGCGGTTTTGCTCCAATGTATGAATACATTGCAGCCCAGAGAACTTTAATTGGGAGTCGTGGATAGGTGCTTATCAAATGTTCGGAGGTGTAGTATGTCAAGAGGTCACCACCCAGTATTGACAACGATTTATTGTTGAATTGCGGTGAGGGATCGACAGACTCATCTACAAGGGTGCGGGCCAGTGTTTGAAGAGGTAATCGTCGTGGTAGAGAGAGTCGAGCATGTAGGGCAGCGAGTTTAGGGGAGTTCAAAGCAGCCTCGACGGGTGGTGAGGGAGGTGTTGGTGTTCGGGTTATATGGATATTTGAAGAATGCTCATCATCGTAAGGCTCAGTTTCTTCCGTTAACACACTAGATGATGCGGAAGACTGCTGTCGTATAGCTGTGAAAAAAAGCTGATGCGGAGCCGGAGACACCCACCTCGTGGTAGGCCGTATCCGCGGTGAAAGTACTGAACCGCTCCATCGGAGAAGCTGCAGTCTCTTCATTTGGGCTCCCACTCCGGCGGCTGATCTCGAGTTCCGGTAGTGGTGTAGAACGTCACAATTGAAGGGTACGCACGCTCGCTGGAGTGTGAATTTGATGCTGCTTCATTATCACAAGACTTCAAAAATTTCTTGAGGAATTTGGATCGGTCAAGGTCATGTGATATGCCACACATCACGCTAACCTGGTTTTGTCTCCTAGCGCCCATCCGAGATGAACCTCTAATTATTATTATTATTCTACGCCAGACACCCAAACATCTCCTCAGTTGTCAGTCGCCGTTGCAATATCCTGCTCAACTCCATATTTGAGTCTACTGCTCAAAATGGGAGGTGGCCCCAAAATTCGGTAAGCCATTGGCTGAGTTGCTGCTGAACATACCGCACGATTCCCGCTCAATTGGTCATTCTCTGACTCTCCCGTTTTGTTAGCTATCCCAAGCATGTCTGGTCGCCGGCTGGTGGCTGGTACTCACAACCGGCAAACTGGAAAACCAATACCGCGATAGTCGGCGTAGTCATGTTTGGCATTACTGCTATGGCCTTTAAATTTTCCGCAGATAGAGAATACCGGACCAAATTTCCAGAACAAGGCAGATTCTTTCCGAGTCGGTGGTGGGTTCCTCCCGTTGTCTCACGCAGATGTAGTAAACTAATTGGTAGTTGCTGACTGACTGTGGAAAACTACAGGTGGAGCAGACAACTTGTGGAACACGAAAAGAAATTGGCTACGGGAGACAAGTCATGATGAAGGTGACGAGGAAGTTTATTGGGGTGGACATCTCTGTGCATTATTATATACATATGTTCCTTCGCTGGTGTTGAATCAGTGGGTTTAGATACACACACTAGTATCGATCGATCAAACAATCGAAGTTCACTTTTGCATTTCTGAGGCTTTGACAAGGTTTCTCGCAAACTGCAGCGTGTACAGGCGAACCCGCTCCGTATAGCTTTCACCATTCCATAGCTCCTCCCCCAGGTCGGTACAGGATATTTGAGGCACCCCTACTTGTTCAATTACAAAACTAGCCGCCACAGTGGCACAAATCAGGGCAGCTGGAATCCGCCCATGTCCTCCCCAGGAATCAGAGATTCTGGTCCACTTTTCGGATTTCTCTAGCGTGGAGGTGACGACTCTGATGGGCGGTCGGTCAATGCTGACGACGAGTCCTTGAGCCAGGGCTCCAAGAAAGGCGTTTCCTGCGCCTGTTGGATCTACCACCTTCACTCCATTATGCGCCGGAATATGCAACGAGAGATTTTTGGCAAACGCATAGGAACCGCCCTTTCCAGCTCTCACCACGAGCAGTCCATTCCCGTCTTGTCCAATTCCGGATTCGATGATGGTGGAAGCTATAGCTCGATCACTGATATTTTCTTCATTCCATGTTGTATTACCAAACATATTTGCCAATTCGAGGTCATTTGGGCTAATCACGTCTACGTGTTTCAAAGCCTTGTAGAACATTGGAAGCTCTTCTTCGCGGCATAAATCAGGCACTGGTTCCCACACAAAAACTGGACGTTGTCCCACAGTTGAAGGGTCGATATTCTTGCTTTTTAGGAGTATGTCCCTTCTCTGGAGGATTCCTTCGACAATCTGACAGCAGCGCGCAGGAGAGCATACCATGTGGAACGACTTCGAGAATACCTGAGATTCCGAGAGGGAGTTATGATCCAGGGGAAGTTTGGGAGTGAGATATCGGAAATCTTTTCATGTTTGTGTAGAGGAGCAGTAGTCAGTCAACTATGAATTGTCCACTGAAAGAAGATTAAAAGGCTATATCCATTCACCTACCCCTTTTCTCATTCGGGCCGTAACCGTTCCATGCCCTGGTAGTTAGCCTTTCAGCAGACTCCCTCAGTACACAGGCAGAATCCCAAGATATGATGATGCGGCGTATTTCGTCAGGAAAGTCGGAGCCGGTGTCGACGATCCAGCTAACGACCCGGGAATGCTCCTTGCCTGCTACCATTCGCGCCCCAACAGCTGCATAAGAACCAGCGCCTCCAATAATGTTTTTCACTGGTGGTTTAGGAGCTTCAAATTCGATCTCGTCTGCATTCTAGGTGTCAGGAAGTCTATACATACAGGGCAATATCTACACTTGTTTTGCGGGAGAGAAGATGACTCACCGATAATGAACATTCCCAACGTGCAAAAATTGATATTGCCAAGGAGGACCGACATCATTAGCAGCCATATTTCTGCACAGGTCTAATTATGAATGCGTATCTATATATCTGAGATCTAAATTAATCCATCTCCTCTCAGTGTTGCGGCGTACGTGCCGGGGGTATTTCAGCAATACATAGGAATCGCAATTATCTGGTTGGGCCTTGGCAGTTGTTGTTGTTGCTAAAGTACTGCCACCGCCCAGTTCGGAGCTTCAACTTTTAGCACCGCAGCGTCCAATATCAACTTCGATCAACTTCTCCCGTCGACCGTCTCAGCTTCATCTTCCCGCTCTACCCTTTTCCACCCAACGATAAGTTGCTCCAGGTAGCGCTCGATATCCTACGTTTAGGCAGCTGTATTTTCTCTCATTTAGCAATTTCATTTAAGCCTCCAGCATAGTCCATTATTTAACCCATACTTCGTTGGGAAAGTCACCCTTCGCGCCCATCTCCCACCTCATCCTAGGTTAACATCAGGCAGCTGGCAGAGCATGAACCATGACTACCAACCACATGAACAGTTTTACCACGCTCATCAAGCGGTAGGCCGATCTATTGATGGACTATTTTGTCAATGCACATGGATTTTGATATTGTTCCTGAGAGCACATACTGACAGCCTCCGGTGACAGGCTTGAGGCTGCCACCTCCCGTCTGGAGGATATGGCATCCTCGCTCGAGAGCTCAAATCCAAGCAGCCCTGCTGCTGGTGGTTCCATAACAAAAATTTCCATAGCATCTCCAAACAATGCGTCTCCTTCTATTCCTCCCACCACTGTCGTTAAACCGCCACCTGGCCAGATCGAAGACTTCGATGCGCTGATCAACAAGGAAGTGAAGAACTTTATCGAGCTCAGTAAAAAGATAGGAGAACCAGTGGAAGCACAGGTATAATTGGACGATACACGCATTGTCAGCTTCATAATACTAATGGGAAAATATAGGCTAAAACCGTCCTTCAAGCCTTCGAAGCTGAAAGGACATATATCTACGTCACTTTAAAAGCCAAGAAACCAGAGCAGCAGCCTCAAGATCTACTGACAGACTTGCGCAATGCTTCTACCGAAATCAACAACATACGAGAATCAAACCGACAATCTCCTCTCTTCAATCACCTGAGCGCCGTAGCGGAAGGAGTCATGGCTTTGGGTTGGTTTCTTGAACCCAGGCCAGCGGAATTTGTGCGGGAAAGCATAGCGGGTGCCGAATTCTATGGAAACAGAGTGCTTACGCAGTACAAGGGAAAGTGAGTGGGCATATGTATTCCCGCACTCCCTCTCGGCGTAAAAATTTCTAACGTTCTAAAGGGATGAAACCCATGTCGCCTACCTTCAAGCATATTATCAGATCTTTAAATCCCTTGTTAGCTACATCAAAAATCACTACCCCACAGGTTTGACCTGGAACAATCGAGATGGAGTCGACGTAATGGAGGCTTTGAAACAGGTCCAGTCTGGATCACCAATGGGAGCCTCGCCACCACCACCACCTCCTCCTCCCCCGCCTCCTCCCGCCGGCGCAGGTGCCCCCCCACCCCCACCCCCTCCGCCCGCGGGCCAAGCCCTGCCTCCAAAGAAATCCTCAGGTGGCGATATGTCTGCTGTTTTCAATCAATTAAATCAAGGATCCGCTATCACCTCCAGTCTCCGGAAGGTTGACAAGTCGGAAATGACACATAAAAATCCTAGCCTTCGGGCTGGCTCGATTGTCCCAGAACGCAGTACCTCAATGGGTAGCGTGACATCTCCCACTTCTCGTGGCAAATCTCCAGTTCCAAGCAAGAAGCCAAAACCTGAAAGTATGCGCGCTAAAAAGCCCGCTCGCAAACAGCTCGATGGTAGCAAATGGTACATTGAACACCATGACAGCCCTGCCGATATCATCGAGATTCCCGCCCAACTCTCACACTCAATCTTAATATCCCACTGCAACAAAGCAATCGTTAAAGTCAACGGCAAAGCAAACGCCATATCCATCGACAACTGTGCCGGCCTCTCCGTCATCGTTGACTCTCTTGTCAGTAGCATTGACGTTGTCAAGGCCCCCAAATTTGCGCTGCAGATTGACGGTGTTGTGCCAACTATCCTTCTCGATCAGGTTGATGGCGCGACTATATACCTAAGCGAGGAAAGTTTGACAACTGAGATATTCACCAGCAAGTGCTCCAATGTGAATATCGTGGTGCCGCCTAAGGAGGCAATGGACGACGATTCCAAGGAATTGCCTGTGCCCGAGCAAATTCGAACCTTCATCAAGGATGGAGTTGCCGTGAGTGAAATTGTTGAACATTCTGGATGAAGTTCTTATCAGTCGGTTTGAAACTGCAGGAAGGGACTGGCGAGAAAATGAACAGGTATTTTCTCTATTGTGGTTTGATTAACCAATGCCTATACATCTTATACATTCTGTTGGTTGTTATATTTCCTTCTCCAACTGATCCATTTGTCAATCGCAATGACCTTTTCCTGCTCCTCCGGATCTATCGTGCGATTTACGTAGAAAGATACTTTTCTATCCTCCCTACCATCTGACAATTTGTCAGGCGGAGGAACAGCTAAAATATTCGTGAACAGCAACATATATATCAGTCGACTTTATTACTGCACTTTTGTATCCATATATTCCTTTACGTCAAGTTGAACTAGGAATTCTAGACCTATCTACTTAGTCTCTTATGTGTATGCACATAACAAACTTTTGGGTGTGCGAGCTCTGATCCCCTAGACTTTTCCACTGTGTTATCTAGCTGTTTTGCAGTTATCTGTTGGCTCTTTTTAAAAACATTTTGAATACACTTCAAACATACCTGTTTGAGTATTATTTTGTGAAGAGATAGGAGAAACAGTGCAAATTATATCTAGCCATTCATTCTTGATTTATTATTATTTACTCATAATCTTCGAATGTTTTTTAATAGGAACAAGAATAGTATTGCTATAATGAGTTTAGTAAAAATAATTGATTGAGCATCAAATATGAAATCAAAATGATGATAAAAGTCATGCATATCTATGTTAGAAAGTAGTTACAAAAATATCCAAGTGAGTGGAGACTTCATGAAACACATGAAGAAAATATAAAGGAAAGTATGTCAAGTCAAACTGAACCGCGAGAGAGCAGTGAGAGCAGTGAGAGCAGAGAGCATTTTGAATGAGAATGTATATTAGGCCCTCTTAATGTATTTGCGGTTCAGTTAATTATGTGATTTAAAAAGCCGTTTCCTCCCTGCCTTTCTATTACCCGCGCGGAAAAAAAAAATCAATAGAAGCATAAGAAAAAAGCCAGGATGCGATATCAATGTCGGGGCTCACAGGACAGTAGAAATTCGAATCCAGTCGAATCAAAACAGGTGGGAAGAGAAGATTGAGAAGAGTGACAGTTTCATCATCCTTTTTATTGAGTTGATAAAAGGGCCCCTGAAATATTTCGACGAGATACCATAGGTTGGATGGAAGTCGGGAAGTATATATTGCATAGATGTTATTGTTCATTCGACGGATCTTGCTTTAGCATGACGTCTAGGTGTTTTAACTTGCTCGCCAACAAGCCTTCGCCAACATCGCTGCCAGTGGTGGACATCCCAAACGCGCCAGCATATCCAGCATCTCTCTTCTTGAGTTTGCAGTACACATTATCGGCATCTGGAATCGAACTTCGGCTGTTGGAGGGAGGTGCATGATGATTGCTTGAGACCAATGATATAGGAGGGGTATCGGGTGGGTTAGGTGAAATTTGTCCAGACAAGGTGTGAAAGGATGTGTGATAGCCAAATAGAGTATTGTGTTCCATCCTAAAGGGGGGAGAATCACGGTTGTATGGCCTAGTCTTAATGGATGAATGAGCGGGGAGACTCATGTTGACTGCAGATAAAGGTGGTAGAGGTGGAGATTGGGCATATAGGCTGGGTTCACGACTGTCAAAAGTACTCATTGGGAGTGGGGTCTGTAAAACCGGTCCATAGCCGGAACTTCTACGCCTGAAAGCTTTTTCTGCAGCTGATTTACTGCCGGTACTGCCAATCCCGATATCTTTTACGGGCTTATAAGGACTGTATTGGGGGTCAGGATATTGGACTTCATTGCGCAACTTCTCCTTGCCGTCCGGAACTCTGTTTGCGAAAACAACCCTGATTGTAGAATAGAGGTAAAAGCGGCCGCGGGAAGGACAACATATGTTCAGGTGGATCAGATATCTTAGTATAGGTTTCTCAGTCGGATCTTCCCCCGTACCCAATGAGGCTTCTGGTCTGTCGGTCCCCAGATTTGTTCTTGCGGACAACGGCATATCGATAATCGGTCCAGCCGAATAACTTCGTTGTCGAATAAAGGTCTTTGTTCCTGGTTCCATTCCTTCTAAATCATAAGGTACAAGGAAGAGTTTCACTGCCGTTTTGTTAGGATTTTTTATAATGATTTGCAACTGGCCTTGTTGGGGAATTCGGTAACATCCTCCAGGTGGCGATTTTGGAGAAGGTGACCTTCGGGACCGCTTCTCTCTCTTACGTCGTTCTTGCAGAACTGTGGTACTTGTAAGCGCTTCTGACATTGCAGTATCACCTTCTGGGCCTTTGTCCGCATTTTTAAGTGGACTGGCATGACGTCGACGGTTCCGGTGACTGGGTTTATTTTCCCTTGGAAGTGTATTCTCAATATCGATAACACCGACATATGGGCTAGGGCTATCGTCTGAAATCGAGCGTCCACCGCCGGATGTAGGATAGCTATAAAAGACGGCAGGAAACGGCACAGTGACGTGTGGAGGACATTTTAGGCTGGGTTTACAGTTTCCCCTCCCAAAAACGCCGATTTGAGCAGTGAAATCCAAAGGCTTAGACGGCGATGTCGACATTCTCCCTCGTAAAATGGATTCTTCATAAGATCCAACCATAGGTGCATGAAGTAGTGGGGAGGAAACGTCAGTGGAGAAGGATGGCCTTCTAGAACGTAACATAAAAGGTGTTTGCGGGGACGATATCGGTTGGAGAGTGTAGGCAGATGTTAAAGACCTTCGGGGTTGATGTGCTTGGTAAGGGAATGTTGCCTCTCTTCTCCATGATAGGGAAGGACTGGGAGCATTGGTTCCACGGGGATAACTAGAAGGGGAAGATTGGATGGATGAAAATGCTTCTGAGGGTAGAGTGAGACAACGATTAGCTTTTCCGGGGCTATCAGACAGGTCCATGGGTTCCATATTTGGAGATAAATCCAGATCTGTGTTACTGGCTTGATGTACGAGAGGACTGGTTGGGGCCTTTAGAACAAAACTTGACGAGAAGGATGTTAAGGACGGCTCTCTCTCTCTGCTTTTGGCTAAAATCAAGTCGGTTCCCTGTCTTGCACGCCACGGTGGGCTTGGAGGTATATACCAAGGTGTTGCTGGTGAAGAACCAAAAGGAACAGGACTGCGACGTTGTATGAAGGGTTTTCCAAGCTCATGTTTCTCAGTTTGCGGAGACCCTTGGCAAAAGTCACCAGAATGCAACGCTGAGCGGGGTCTCTCGATCTCACAGGGGCATCCGGTCGTCATCCCACTTCTGGAGTCTTGCTCAGGTGGTGTTTCTATTGCAGCAGCTGGCCGGAGAGGAGGGGTTTTTTCCTTGTTCAGTTGGCCTTCAAGCCTCGAGTGTGGAGGGTCTCCATGGGTTGCAAAATATTCTTCCAGCTATTTGATAATGAGGTCAGTCGTTTATTCTACAGGGAAAAGCAGGGGAACGGATGCTTTCAGGAAGAGAGGTATCTGAAGAGATGCAGATCAACGGCAAATTCCAGCTCAAAATCGTCCCAAGACAAAGAGAGATATACATATATTAAAAGGCACAGTAAAATGTCTGCAAATTGAATGTTTTCATGGCGGGAATCTGTCATATTGGGATTGGAAGTATACTCTGGAAGAACGAGACTCTGATCAAATATATCCCGATTTCAAATATTGACTTACAGAACGATTAGGAACCCAGGTGGGGCTCTCCCCTTTCTTAATGCTCCGTATCAACTCCTCACGGTCACTCGTTTGAAGCTTTGGCGGGCTGTGTTTTTCCATATTTGCTTCCCACGAAGAAGCACCGACCATAACTTCGTCCTCATCATTATCTGCCCTTTGTTTCGGGGTCTCGCTTGGTTTTTTATTGTGGGTGTTGGGAATACGACTTGCAGACCACAACGGATGATACTGGGATTCTCCACGATCTTGATCTTTGAAGATTGGCATATTTCACTTGGATGGACTCTGTCATCCGATTTGGAGACAAGTCGACATCCCTCAGGCGATAGACGTGGCAACCCCCGCAGCCAGAGTGAAGTGGCACCGACACAGCCGTGGACAATTGGGATGCAGCCGGCTATTGTTGGCAGATTGCGGATAACTTAGGGGTAGATAAGCAGCAGACTCGAGCCAGTTCTGTTACGGTGAGAATGTAGGTGGGCGGAGGAGCAAAAGGCCTGCTTGGATAGAAGAGACATGAGGTTGTAGTTGGGAGCCTGGAGGACCATGGCGGTAGGATGGGCGTCAGACAATGAATCAATGGTCTGGCAGATTCAACAACTTACTTAAACCAGCTGGTTAAGGTAAAACTTCTACCGGCTGATTACATACGGAGTTACATCATCAGCGCAGAGTGTAACTTACCCTAACTGGTTTAGCTCGTTTTGGCTGGGCCCCTGCGGAAAGACGTCGCCGAGTGCCGAGATGAGTCAGTCATGTGGGGCTGGGCCTCGTCGAGAACATCCCATGGATTGTTGCAATCCGGTTGAATATTTCGAACACATACACACATATCTCTTGACTTTTGCTTCTGAGACACTGCATAGCAGTAGTGTATGGTTCTTTTTTAGAAATTTCAACAATGACCCTTGGAATATTATTGAAATTGAAATTCTGTTGTTGCACAAACCATACCCTTGACAGCAGTTTCTGAATCATCAGGCAAAATAACATCAATCAAATTTTTTTTTTCCCCGTCATCTCCTCCTTGACCATGACTATTCGTGCTGCTATACAATCTATCTGAGAATAAATATGGACCCTAAGAGACCGCGAGAGGATGGTGCTGCTGATGGTAATGCGTCCAAAACTAAAAAGGGGTTTTCAGTTGGTCCTGCCAATCTTCCTGACGGCACATATCGAAGAAAAGGTTAGCAGTGGACATCTTTTCTCACCCTACGTATTCTCTGTAATGAATACAACTAAGCAGTACCTAACTATTTTTTGCTCCATATAGTGCAAAAGATCAAGGGAGACCTGATTCACAAGGCCAAGGTCAAGAAATCCTATGCAAAAGTTAAAGCTGAGGAACTTGCAAAGGGAGCTTCAAGATCCAGCTATACCCAAGAATCAACCCTGGAAAATGATGCAGATATCCAGCAGTCAGAGCCAGCCAGGCTAGAGTTACACCCTTCCAGACAAGCTATGCTCGATGCTCCATCTACAGAACAACAATCTACAGAACGAAGAATAAGAGATCCTCACAATCGCTGGAAACGTCGACAAAAGCCTTCGCCGTTTACCAAAGAGATTGTAATCGCAAAGAGGAAGAAGGAGGAGATTGAGAATAGGCAGAAAATAAGAGAAGCTAAACAACGAGATCGTGAGGCAATGGCTAGGGCTCGGAGGCCGGATAAGTTTGGAAGGCGAAAACTCGGGCGGGAAAGTAATGTTTTATTGGATAGGGTTAAGAGGATGATTGAGGAATCTTAGAGAGATGCGATACATATAGTACAGGGAAATGACCTGTTGATATGGGCCACCGAATTTACCGGTTTATCTTTTTTCCATTGGAAGCAATGGTTTCCTCACCAAGGCTTTTACAGACCAGGCAACTTGGAAGGTGAAACTGCAGTCCAATGTCAAATTCCCCCAGATTGGTTAATGTTATGGATATGTCCTAAGTGCCGGCTTCATATGCTCGCTTCAAGTGGTTACGCAAATGCGTCGACCTGTGTGCGCCACATACCAGGGAGGCATTGATGAAGGGGGAACACTTAAGTGGCTCAGTCTCAGATACAGCTCTACTCTTCGTCATCGTTAAACAGGCAAATACTTCTGGGAGATATACCAGCAAGAGTTGTGTCCGCTTCAAAGAACTTAAAACTTAAAAATTCATGTCTTATGAATACTGCAATCAAAGGGTTACATGGTAGAGGCATCAGTACATAGGCAATGTTACATTGTCATGAATTGGCACTTTCAAGGAGTTTTGAACCTGCGCCATCACATTCATATAAACGGCATGTGCAGGCAAGAAACCAGCCTGTTACATCTCTAATTAATGCTAAAACATGGAAGAATATCTTGTTTTATGTTCCTTAAGTTCTTGTATTAAGTTGGTGAAAGAGGAATAAAAATAATGGATCAGCATATCGTCATGTCATTGATCTACCTGTTGTTATTTGGGACCAACCGTTTTACAGTAGGTGAAATATTGTGAGCATTTTTGGTGTCTCACGACTGGTACAACATGTATTACCTAATAAAAACAATTCATATCGAGCCGTAGAAGAAGATGCTCAAAGACAACATCTGTATCAACACTTGATCGATCGTCGCTCCCCCACGCCGCAAGATCCTGACGTTTACCCTTCAACCTCATCGCCTTGGCCCCATCCAACGCCCTTAGAAACTTTACAAATCCCGAAACCTGCTTCCTAAAAACCGAAAAGAGCTGCTGAACTATCCGACCGTAAGAGGCGTTCGTGCCATCGCGTTCCACCCAGGTGCCAGTGGCAGCAGCTTTCGAGATCGGGGCGAAAGTGAGAATCGTACCATATATGTTGTCTAGCAGCTTCCTAGCCTGCATATGTTTCTTGCTTATGAATAAGGCGAAGAGGATCTGATCTAGGACATCTTCATGGAATTCTCGGAGACGATGCAGGCTTTTAGCATGGTCAATGGTTCCGTCTATATCCCCTTTATCAATGCACTTTTCGATCTTGTCGATTTTTTTTTCGAACTTGCTCCATGTGTCTCCCACGGCAATGTGGAAGGAATAGTCACTCACTGTTTGCACGAAGTGGTGCGCTTCCATGCGGAATTTTTGAGTGATTGTTCTGCTCATGTCGGTGGCATTTGAGCGATCTGTCGAGTCACGAATTAGGCTACGCGTGACCGAAAGCATCCGCATCTGTCTCAAAAGGCGCTTAAATATATTGTCGTATCTGCGGAGACTTCTAGGAGTGATTATGGCTTTAAGTATTGATGGTGGATGATACTGAAGGCGGAGGAAATCCAAAGCTTCGATAGAGTTGGGATTTTTGCACTTCAAGAGCTCATCCCCCGTCAGCTCACGGATTGCGAAGCTGAGGCCTCCAGGTAGTTCTTTATTCCTAGCCTGGCTTCTGGTACTGTGACTGAGAGGAGATGTGTCGCCGTGATAACTCTCGGATAGCAAACCCATTAACACGAGGCGAAGTTCAGAGCTGGCTGGTGGCCAGGTATCTCGATTGCCTAGGCGAAGACCTGTGGAGCTTCCACCGCGGGCAACGCCAGCTTTGCGCTCACCGCTATGCATCTCCGGATCAAATAGGACATGGGATAAGCGTGATGAGAAGACACCGTCCCCCAGGAGTTGGAATCGCCATTGCAGCTGTAGGTGTTTTTTGATTTTGTGTCCCTTGAAAAGCAGATGCAGGCAAGAGAAGTTGATCAGTCTTGTTTGTGCCGAGATCACGGGGGCAAATGAGAGGTGAACCGACGCGTCCAAGGGTGGTCCAAAGAGAAATTTGTTAGCAGGAATCTCTTCGGTGTTAAAACACTGGCTCTCAGCAAGTAAAATATGTAGTGGATGGTTAGATAAAGACGCGTGGTTTGCGATTATTTCCGTACCATTCTTGTGATTAATATCGACAAGTGAGAAAACGCCATCAATTGGATAAAGCTTGTTGGGAATCGGGTTATCATCATCGATATCCCCATGTAGAGTATTGTTGCGCTCACTGTTTTCATCATAAAGGAGGATTTCAGCTCGAAGTTGCGCTTCGTACTCATTTGCTTTTTGCTGGATTTTATCAATATCTTTCCAGGTAAAAGCACACTGCAGTGAAAGGCTTGTTGAGCGGCTGGAACCGCTTTTTACAGAAAGTGGATGATTAGGGTGGAATTCTTTGAGTAGCCTCAGGCTTTTTCCGCTTTCAAAAATGGATTCCGCATAGCCTTCTGGAACGAAGATTGGCATCGCTTCTGGACGAAAGCTGTAATCCACAAGCTTTGCTTCGATCCCTCTGCCATTCTGGATTTTCATTTCCTCGGCGTTTATGAAACCTTTTCCATTCCTATTGAGTTCCATCAAGGTCTGTGGGTCTGGTCGGAGGCCGATCCATGTTTCAACAAGGAAAAGCCATGATTCAGCCACAAGGGACATCAGTTCATGAAGAACGTCAGATAGCCAAGTAAATTTATGAGAATACTGATCACATCGCATGAATACCGAGGATATTACAGCTTCGTCTGTTTGTGCATTTTCTGCGCTGTCTATGATGTCGACGAGGACTTCGAGCAGGCATGAGGGACGTCTGAACAGTATTTGAGTTCTTAATAGCGATAAACCAGTTTTAAAACTCTCGTAGACGTGCTGTTCAAAGCTATGCAGCAGTACGGAGGAGACACACGCTAAGCTGGAGAGCGGAGTTGGCAAATTAACTCGAGTAGGAGTTGCAAGAATGAATTTTCTTATTTTGCGCACTCGCGTTCCACATTGTAAAAATTCCTCAATCAGAACATTCATGGCAGTCAAGCTGATTCCGGATATGCGCGCATCGCTGATACCCTTTTCAAAAACTCGGGTTTGTTCGTTGAAGTGAAAAAATATGGAATTCCAACCTAGGCCCAGTCGAAAAAGAGAAGTGATGAAGATATCAGTTTGTGCCACTCGACCAGAATCCTCAAGACCAGATTTTGTAGCCCGATATCCCAAGGCTAAGTCATACCCACGAGGGCCAGCCTCACTGAGATATATAGGACCAGCCTGTCGAACACGATGATTTGGAAATGTATCCCACGATCGCAAGAATACCCCTTCAGGAACCGGCTTTAAAATCGTATCTAACGCCCAAATTTCTGCGACATCATGTGTTTCTTGTTCTTCTGTATCGTTTGAATCCACATCATCTGGTTGGCTCGCCCCGTTGGATGAGGTTGTGTCTGATTCGACCGACTTAAGCGGTTCAATACCAAAGAGATTTAGTTCGTATACAGTAGAGTCGTTTTTGGCGAAGGAGTCTAAGGAGCTCTGAAAGACACCCTGGGGAAGATCTAAAGCTAAAGGTCAGTTACGACATGTTGGAGGTGTGGAGATATGGTACGCGGGAGTGTTGGATCACCTGGAAAGTCTTCATCCCAAGGAAGGGAGTTTAGCGGCTGAACGTCTTGAAGCTGGAAGTAGGAGGGCTCCCAGAGCTTTTCAACAGCAAGCACGAAGGGGTCGTCTGCATCTCTTAACTCCATTGTTTTCCATTGGTTGTCTCCAGTTACCCAACATATCTCTTATAATTGAGTTGGGTTTGACACGGTTCGGGGAAGATAAACGCGGCTGAAAAAACTAGTTTATAATAGGACTAGCGCCCTACGGCTAAGTGCACGGGCCGCACCTTATTTGACAGTAATCCAACCTTGAAAAGAGCCAGCCTCATGCTGGAAACTGCGACGGATAGCAACACACAACAACTCAGACACGCTTGAAGCTCATATCTATTCATTGTCTACATTTCTCCATATTTAATTTGTGGTGTTGAGGTTGTATTATTACAGATGCCTCCCAGGAAGAGGTTAAGGCTCTCGTCACAAGGAGCTTCGACTCCGCAAACCGAGAATCCCCAACAAACACCGACAACTCCGGCGCAACCGGAGACTGCATCGAAGCCTGAGGCCGAGACTGACTCCCTAGTTACGGACCCATGGACTGAGGATCAGGAAACATCATTACTCAAAGGCATCATACGGTGGAAGCCAGTTGGTAAGTTTAGCCTTTTGCGGAGCACATATAAAGCTCCAGCTGACCACCGACCTAACAATCGCAGGAATGCACAAACACTTTCGCATGCTCGCTATCTGGGATCATCTAGCGAGCCAAGGTTATGCAGCTCCAAGTGACCAACATAGTCGAATACCTGGCATATGGAAGAAGTTGGAATCGCTGTACAATCTCGTGGGACTGGATGAGAGGGTTAGTCATTGAATCGCGGGCCGTCATTTGCTGGTAGATAGTGAACTAATGGGGTCGCTAATTCCTTTTCCTTTTCAGGAGGCCTCCTTTGCTACAGATACATCTGGCGAATTGGAACCAGCACAAGAGCCCTATTGTCCATTTCAGCTCCCGGTCGATGAATATGGGGAGATGATGTTCGAGAGGAGGCTTGCTCCGGAAGGGACGGCATCTCCTCCTATGAGTCTAACTGGAGGATCGAGAAGAGCCAGCACTGCTGCAGACACAGATGGTGAGATGCAATGAAATATCCAATTATGGAATTTAAATAAGACAAACGAGGTACTAAGAACATGAACTGGCTACCAGAACCGAGATCTTCACCTGTACCTTCTCGCGGTCGGCGGGGAAACCGCAGCACCCGCGCCACAACCCGAGGCACAAGGTCGTCTCGGTTACATGCTGAAGTGGAGAATGGAAAAGGTCGACAGAATAATAAAGCCAGCCCCGCTAAAGAAGAGGATACTGGGGAGGAAGGTGGGGAGGAGGACGTTGAAGATGAGGGGACAGAGACAGGTGAAGGGGAAGAAACAGATACAGCACCCGCAAGATCAACTAGGACACAGCCAACTCGTGGAAAGGCGAAGAAGACAACGCGAGGGGCCACTAAACGTGGTAGGCGACGGTAGCAGGGTTCTTTCACCGAACGAAGCTGCTATCAGAGTTGACTACTGGTGCAACTTCCGGGATCTTAGGAATTAGATGCTGAAATAACCAGTAAAAACAACCGGGAAAGCAAATCCAACCAAGAGAAGATTGCATGATAATGATTTAAGTGAACTTGTATGAAGTTGTAAATATTCCACAGGAGGAGTCTAATAATACCATTTATATTTTGTTTTATACATTTTAAATGCCAAGGAAATATCAACAAGGATCCCGCATCTTTATATACGTGAAGTCATAAAGACCATACTTTTGTACATTAAAACGTGGAGTTGCAGGAGAGAAAAATGAACATGGGCTAAATTCATGTAATAATCGCACAAAACAAATGAAAACTCCACCAAAGCATACCTACTCTATGGTCACCTGTGCCTAGTTGGAAGTGTGGGAGGTTTGGTTGCGAAAAAATTAACGGCGAATTTGTAATAGAAACGGGGGCAGGAGCCGAGAAATAATATACATTACAGCTTCGAGATGATGGCGCCGGCATATTCGCTGGTTTTGGCTTTGCCGCCAAGGTCGCCAGTAAGTGTCTTATATGCTGTTAGCAAAAGTACAAAAGACGCCCAGAGGGTGATGATCCTTACCATTCCTTCTGCAAGGGTGGCGAAGATGGCGTTTTGGATCTTGTTGGCATGCTCATGAAGTCCCATGTGCTGCAACATCATTACACTGCTCAACAGCAATGCTGTTGGGTTCGCCTTTTGTTGGCCAGCAATATCAGGGGCAGAACCGTGAACAGCTTCGAAGATGGAACACTCGTCGCCAATGTTACCAGAAGGGGTCAGACCAAGGCCACCAATCAAACCAGCGCACATGTCAGACAAGATGTCGCCGTAGAGGTTGGGCATAACGAGAACTTTATCGTTGTAGGGGACAGGATCCGTGACGATTTTCAGGCAGGTGTTATCAAGCAGCTCCTCGTCGAATTCGATGTCGGGGAAATCCTTGGACACATCTCTCGCAGTACGTAAGAAAAGACCATCGGACATTTTCATGATGGTGGCCTTGTGCACAACGCGGACCTTCTTTCTTCCTACCTCCTGGGCATATTGGAACGCAAAGCGGAGAACTCGTTCCGATGCTTCCCGGGTAATGAGCTTAATGCTCTGCACAACTCCATCCACAACGACATGTTCAATGCCGGAGTATTCACCCTCAGTGTTCTCACGGATAAGGACGGTTTGAACGTTATCATAGGGAGTCTTGAAACCGGCAATAGATCGGCAGGGTCGGACATTGGCGAAAAGATTAAAGGTACGGCGGAGTGTAAGGTTGAGGGAAACATGACCCTTGCCAACGGGAGTCTGGAAGTCCTTTTAACAAGCTGTCCGGTTTCGAAATGGCACTGGAGTAAGGAAGCTTACAGCAAGAGGTCCTTTCAGGGCAACAAAGTTTCTCCTGACGCTTGCAATAGCATCATCTGGAATAGCAGTCTTGCCATCTTTAATAATTGGAGTGACGTCCACCGACTCCCACGATATTGGTACCTGGTTGTTGGTTCAGTATTTCTCGTCGTGCGACCAAACAGAAATGTGAAAGGATATGGTACATCCGTCTTCTTACCTTGGCAGCTGCGAAAATATCCTTTACGGATTGTGAGATCTCTGGTCCAATACCGTCACCCTCAATCAATGTAACCTTGTATTTGCCCTACACAAAATTATACTCTCAGCTTCGAATAGACACGGCCAACGGGTTCGCAATTTTTTATTCCAGCGAGGAGGGGAGGAAATTGCGTACGTCGGGGCCCTTCTTGCCAGAGAATTTAGCAATTCTATCCGTAGCGGCAATGGAATAGCAACGAGTCTATATTACATGTACAAATTAATTAACTTCTTGTTTCCGCCATGTTTTAATTTGAATGTTGACTCCTGGGAAGCAGGTTCACATACATTCAATGGGGACATGCGGACTAATTGGGCGGCCGGCTTTCGTAGGCATTGCCGCGCAGGAGCAAAGGCGCGGAGGGAATACATTGTGCGGAACACCGTGGGACAACAGGAACGGAGTAACAGTAAGTGGGATAAGCAATTGAGGTGTTTAAAGCAGGTAACAAATTGCAGAAGAATGCAATCATAAACTACTAATGCGAAGTGTTCCGCGCGGAAGTCTACGTTGTCGTCGACTTATATTCCGGCCCTCCGCTACCAAGATTCCACGCAAGATCTTTCTGGCTTAGATAAGCAAGCGACCGTTGTTTGTTCTGTTTGCTCAGGTCCAGCAACGTTGTACCTTAACTTAACTTCAACTAAACGATCAACAGGAGTCCTTACACGACCTAACTGACAACGGAGAGCTCGGCGCGGAATGGAGGTTGGGAATTATGTCTATCTTGTTGAACAGTATTTTCGACCAATTCCGGATATCTTATCTCATTCAAAGTCATTTCGCCGTCTCTGCATTTGATGCTCACTCCTTATTATGGCGGCCTTTGATACCGATGTTATTGTATACTACAACATTCCCACTCTTTACCCAGAGGAATGGCCAGCGGAGCTGGAAGAAAGTGATGATTCTGATGGTGAAGAATCCCAGCCGTCCGGCGTCCCCTCCTCGACCGCCCAACGACGCAAATCGAGATATGCCGCCCTACAGAGGCATGGGAGTGATCGCAGAAGCATAGTACCTGGGTCTCAAAGGACTGGGGATGGAAGGGATAATCTAGTTCAAAAAGACGAACCGGATCCGTTGGGGTCTTTTGAGAGTGTGGTTAGAATGCTGAAACAACGTGGCATCGCCGACGATGACGTTCGCGTTCGAAACCGTTACCTTTTGTCGTCTACAACATTTTCACCTGCTTTGTTCCTCTCTCAAACGCACTCATCCGATTCAACACAATCGCTCTTAGAAGGCCTCGATTTCTTGTCTAGGTCAATCGACCAGAAATCGGCATCTTTGAAGGTATTAGTCGAGTCAAATTTTGAGCGCTTTGTCCGCGCGAAGGCGACTATCGACAACGTATATACAGAAATGCGAAACCAAGGCGCCCAGCCTGACGAATCACCACATCGATCTCATTCGCGCAATACCAGCAGGTCTGGGTCTCACATCAGAAACTACAGCACGGGAGCTGCAGTACGTTCGATCAGTGCGGAACGCTTACAGAAGAACTCACTTACAAAAGAAAGCGAATACGGGGTTAAGGGTATACGTGTACCATTGATGGAGGCTTCAGGAAAAGCTGAAGAAGTGTGGGGTCCGGCACTCGGAGGTCGACAGCGGGAGGATGGTTTGAAATCCGTCATCGAAACTCTGGAACAGCATCGTGAGATATACGAAATTGGGTCTAACCTCGTCCGTTCAATTAAGCAACGAGATTACGATGCGATAATCGATCAATACAACCGTTCCAGGAGGCATGCGATTGATGCAAAACTCATTGCAGACAGGGCTACAACCACAAAGCGACCCTTAACCGACAAGCAAGTCCATTTAATCCTCGTGACGGGTAGAATGTGGATGGATGTTGAAAAACAGATACAGGCCTTTAAGCGAGATTTGTGGCGACGGCTAAGCAGCGTTCCGACACATACTTCTACTATGAGTCTCAATGGACCCTTTGAAGAGCACATGGAACTTATTAGTACGCTGCTTGAACTTGGGGTTGACGATAATCCGGTCTGGGTATGGCTTCTTGGACGGTATGACTATTTGAAAACCACAATCCTGGCTTTCTGTGAGCGATCAAAAGTCGAAATTGAAATCCTTCGGCGTCGGCTAGCCAATGGAGAGAAACCCACACCTCAAGCTGTTGTTCCATATATTCATCTATCTAACCGCGACGGCGTGGCAACTTCCCAGGATTTGCTCGACACTGAACCAGTTCTGGAACTATGGGAGTGTATTCATACGTATCTTAAGAAGCTGCTATCTCTTGAAGGTGGCCTCCTTGGAGATGTTATTGAGTTTTGGGACACTACAAAATCGTTTATCGATGGTAGTAAGCAGAAGCTCCTCCCTGCGGGATTCGAGGGTGAAAGTCGCAAACACCACCGATTATCCTCTGGTGGAGTTGAAGATTTGAAAAATGGTGTCATCGAGCTTGTAAATCTCATTCGTGACAGTGCTGTGTCGATTTTTGCGGACCCTCCTATAGATGATATCTCGCTTTTATTTTCACCACTCCCCGCCACTCCCAACACTCCCTTAACTGGCATAACCCCAACGGACTCTCGTTTCAGGATAGACCCCAAGGATATTCCCCCGCTATCACCCAGGAAAGGGGAAGCATGGGAGGACTTCGCGTTCTGGCCTCCTTATTCAAATTCGCTTAGTGGTGTCCATTATCTCAGTCAATTTCTTATTCTAATAGGAACAGCTGCGAGCGAGATGGCTGCAATGAGCCCGATATCAAGCGGTAGCAGTACATACGACAAGTTAAAACTTCTCGTCAGCGGTACCCGAGAACGGTCCGTCCGGGCGGTATGTGCTGCATGGAATAAAGATGCCGAGAGTATTAAGTATCTCGAGGACTGGACTCGGGACCCCGAACGGAAGGATATGACTAAAATGCCGGGGCTTTTCGTGGCATTCGAAAGTGCAGTTCTTTCTGGAATGCAAAAGATATTATATATCTCAGAGGCCATGACGAAATCACTTGCGGGTGACGTCGTCACCCCGCCACCAGCAAAGCTATTACAGATGGTCCGTTCGCAGTTTGTGACTAGTGTCTACAAAGCACTAAGCGGGCTTGTCGAAAATGCTGAACATCCAGTTACGACTGAAGGAGACAACGAATGGGTCCTGGTTGGCCCTGTTGTCCGCATAGGCGGATTAGATATTTCATCATCTATCTCACCTTCAAGTGGCATTGATTCCAACAACAGGGTTAGTTTTATTATGTCAAAGGAGCACGAAATATTGGCTGTATTTAAATTATTTTTACTAACTGCTCACCTTTCAGAACGTTCGAATGCTTCTCACTCTCTCTAACCTGAAAGCTCTGCTTACTGACTACGTGCCTCAATTGGTATCTAATTTCGAAACCGCTTTCTCTGTTAAATTAACTGAGGAGTCTAAAACAATTCGCGATGTTCTCGGTCAAATTGACACGCGCCTCTTCCAATCGTACACGCGCCCCATGACCACCACCCTGAATTCGACGATACTCGAGGGAATCTCAGCACCTGACTGGGTCCCTTCAACGAGTCGGCCAGATCAAGTCTGTCCGTATGTATATGCAACGATGCTTAACCTCGTACTAGTGCATACAGAAGTGTCTACAACTCTACCAACGGGTTCCCAAAATTCGTCAGGCGCTCCCGCATCATCCCTCACGAACGAAATACTTTCACACCTTCTAACCCAGGTATCCTCCTCTCTCCTGAACGCTTTCATGCAGCGACCCAAATATTCACTCCCAGCCCTCATGCAAGCAACCCTTGATACAGAATTCATCGCGCAGACGCTCTCCCAGTATGCGACAGAGGAGGCTTCAAAAATTCAAAGCCAGATATACCTTGAGCTTGATCGTCGGACCAATAACGATGCTAGGGCTAAATTGCAAGATGAGCTGGGGGAGATGAGGAGTGTTCTGAAGCGGTTACGGGAAGCGACTCGTGGGGAGTTTGCGTGTTTTAAGAAGGCGAGGAATGGCGGGAAGAAACAGTAATGTAACTTTACTTATCTTCCTTTGGCGATATTGTGAATTGTATGTGCGATTCTTAAACCGTGATTCTACCATTAACATAGTATATTTGAATCACCTTTAAGAGCTAGTGTTTAATAGTTTTTTCACAACGCCGAGCGTTATTTCTTATCTGAATTATATGTGTGATGGAAATGTAGTAATTTAACTCACAATTGAGCATCCAGAAGATTTATAGAGCGTCAAAATGGCAAGATGTTTCTTCACATGTGAAACAACGGTGTTGGATGGGGTTCTCAATGCATTAACGTTAAACAACCATACAACCTTCTGTTTAGATATCTATTTCCACTAGCTAGAGTCACTTTTGAACTGGGAGACATCATCGCTCGCGCCCCTTCATTCTTCATTTCCTCAGAAAAATACCAAATCTGACTCATTCCAGCCCATGCCCAACAATATTTTTCTCACAGTATCTGCTAGAGCTTCAGGTCCACATATAAGCACCACGGATTCTTTGTTCTTCTTCACATCAACGTTAACATACTCCCTAAGTAAATCTTCTGAAATCCGGCCTCTGCGCCCCGGCCAAGACTCTGACGGCTCTGTCAGGGTGTGGATAATATGGCATCTGGTCTTTGGATGCTGCGTCATAAACTCATCCAGTTCTGCACGGCAAAGGATATCGGCTTCCGTCTTATTGCCATCGAGGACTACGCATGAAGTGTGGTCTTCTGCGTCCTGCATTATAGCACGAAGCACTTGGAAGATGGGCGTAATGCCGCTTCCAGCACAAATCATATAGAAAGATTGTACGTGGCGCGTTTTCCCACCTAGGAGCACTTCCCCTTTACCCAGATACTCGAATTTTCCAATTGGGCCTTTGAAATTTACGGTTGCGCCTAGAGGGAGTTTGTCTATTGCCGTGGTCATTTTGCCACCGTTTGGGTAGTTAGGAGTCGAAGGGTACAGTTTTATGAGGAGATCCATGGTTCCCACAGCGTTTGTTTCGGACGTTGGGGTGTACGCTCTAATTAAGGCTTCATTAGTGGAAGGGTCGTCAATTTTGAGCATGACATGTTTGCCAACGGGAAGACCCAAGGATTGAGATTCATGGGAGAGTTTAAAGCTGAAACGGCGTGTGTCTGGTGAGACCACTGCCTTTTCGGCGAGCATTGAAGGAGCCCAGATTCTTGAGTCGAGGAAAATATCGCGTGAGGTTGACAGTGGTTCTTCCTCCTGGTTGTTATTTAGAGCCTCTTGTGATGAAATGTCTAGTGTCCCGATATGGAAATCGAACATCATAGCTTTCGCAGTTTCGCTATCTGGGTATAGATAGTTAGCAAAATGTGGTAAGATATGTTAAGTCGTAATTGGAACCTCACGAATGGCCATAAATTCGCCCGTTGCATCAGTGCCAGCAACAGAGATTATACTCTGTGCACCTCCTGGATGTGCATCCAAGAACGTAGTACCATCATACACCTGGCCCTCAACCACAAACCAAGGCTGACGTCCAGTTTTATGTCTTTTCAACTCCTTCAAGCTGATGAGATTTTTCAGGTCGGGCTTTTTCATGTTGATTTTAGGAATCTCTATCACTTTTGGCTCTTCACTAGCATCTGTACTTTCGCCCCAGTTTCCATTTGTCAAATCTCCGCCACTTTTCTTCACACGCTCCATCCAGCCACCAGGGATCGAAGCGGGCTGAGTTGGGTGCTCAAACCTCAGATATCCATCACTTTTGGTAATAGTCACGCGGAACCAAGGGTTATTCATCATACCAAGAACTGACCAGTACATATCGCGAGGCTGGATATTCATTGCCTCGTCCATTGCTCGTACAAGAATAGCATCGCTAGCTTCTAACTCGAACATTGGTATTTCAAGGGACCAAAAACACCAGCAATAGCATGTTTCCTGCCATTGCATGTCGATTTGACCTCCGTAGAGATATTGATCTACTTCACGATACTTGTCTTCGGGGTATTCAATAACTGCTAACTTCCATGCTGTTGCGGCAAACTAAGGTTAGCTGTAATACGTCCGATAAAACATAGAGGACTTACTCTTCCCCTTATTTAAAGATATTTCAACTCTTGTGATCCTGCGGCCACCTCCTCCATAAGCATAACCCCTGGCAGTATATGTGGAGGTGTTGCAAACAGACGCTCGCTCGTCGTGTTGCGGATACACGACAGCAGAATTGACATTTAGATCATATATTGCATATCGCTCATCATGCCACCATTTTGGTTCCTTAGCGGAAATTCCTGGATATACCAAAGTGCTAAAGCCAAATCAGCTGGAGACTTATAAAATCTAGAGGGCCCTGATCAAACTGACGGCAAGACACGATTATCGTATATGTGATACCAGTTATCGCTTGGACTTTCTGTTAGAATTAATCTCTTCAACCACTTAACACTTCGTCCGCCAATCTGGCCTGGAACAACCGCTCGCAGTGGACGACCGTGATCTGGTCGGAGTGGCTCTCCATTCATTTTGTGTGCTAGCATTATCCCTCTGTTGGAGTCCATTACCCAGTTCAACTTGACAGATGTACCATAGTATCCGTTGGGCTGAGGAGAAATTGTCAATGTTGGTCGAGACAAACCTAATATCAATCGCCGAACTCACCAGTCTATCTGCTCCCTCCATGCACACATATCTTGCTGTTCGAAGCGGCTTTGCCAGTCGCAGGATAGAGGACATCAATGGACCCGTGAAAAGAGCCGTCGATACTCCAGCAGCTCCCCATGAGAATCCTTGGGACTTTCTCACCTGGTTCTGTTCTTTACGTCTGTTTCCAGCGCATACCAACGTAATGGGGACAGTAATTTGTTCGAACTCATTCAAAATTTGTGCGAATTTCAAAATCATTGGACGTTCCACTAGACTGTCAATAGCCAGTCAATAGGAATAGTTATGCAACATCTAGTTTCAATATACATAATTTACTTTGTCTTACCCTTCAATACTGAGCTCCCAATAATGGATATCCTCCTGACGAACATTCGGTACATATCCATGATTTCTCACATAAAAAAGCTCAGGGGAGGTAAGAAATCCTATGAAGCCATTAGTTCGAGGGTTGGAATATGTTGTTATATTGTATATAACAATATTCAAGGAAGAGAGTACCTTCATCAAATAGGGCAGTTAAGGGAGCCTCGACATTGAAGGGGTGCTTCCCAGTTAGCCGAATAAGGCGTGGATCTCTGGGCACATGTTCATCAGGAGTATCCCTATCTAGGTGAAGAATTTCAGTCGGTTCGTTTGTAGGGGGCGGAAGGGGAATACCGTGGGTCAATGGGACTGATGCTTCAGCTCGTGCCGGATGTTGTGAAATTTGAGGAACAAGACTTTTTGCTGTAGCAATAACTGGAAAACTCTCTAGTTGAGTGACAGCAGCCATTTCGACATCGAGTTGCAGGAAAATTTTTCTGCATCAAATAAATCTCATTCAGACGGCACAAGAGGACACAGTAATGGAAAAGGGGTCTCTCATAAACAAGGAGGAGCGGAGAGTTCTTATTGTCAAATGACATTCCCACGAGCAGGGCCCGTTGTCATACCGAATATCGGCGACTTACTGTGTCTTTGGAGCACAAAGAATCAACCCCGGAAATCTAGATTGGAATCACATTTCGCAGCTAATCCGGTAATTGTGATGTACGTCAACAGCCGCACAGCTTCTCATGATTCCGCGGAAATGAAAACACAAATGCATCATAAACCACAGAATTATGCCGTTGAGGGAATGGTTGCATGCGACAGTTGTGTTTATGGAGTGGCGGAAACCATCTCCGGACATCTAGAGCAGTCGACGGGGCAGATAAATGCCAAACCCAGTAATTGGTAGTACCACCAAATGGAGAGCAGATTGAAAGACTTGGATCGCCAGGATGCGTGATTATTGATCAGAAAACTCACGATTGCACATCTGAGATCCAATGCCCAAAACCCGGAAAGAGTGGCGTTCTGTTTCCATCATTCATCAGGTGCAATTTAGACCATCATCAGATTGGAATGACCTCGAAAATATTAGAGATGCTCTTTTTGTACTTATATACAAATTTGAAGAGCAAAGAATTTCATACATTAAAACAATCAATCAGGAAACTCATAGTCAAAAGTTGAAAATGCAGCTCTCGAATGAACACTCATCAATGCTATTGAGCCCCCCACGATAGGGCAGTTAACCTTGGTACAATGGGAGTAACACGACCCAATGCAGTTAAAGGGCTCGAATGATACAAGCATTCAACATCACTGGTTGGTTGAACATAGTGAACCTGAACAAGTCTCGGATAGCTTCACTTAGAAAAAGTTGACAGCAGACTTGGGATTTCGATGGTGGTAGAACTGAAACTTGACTGGAATCGAAGTAATAACTATTTGTGGCTCAGAATCGATGACTAAGCAGGGGCAGATCCAACCCGCATTTCAGCTCTATCAGCTGTTTATAAGACATCATCAGTTAACGGTTGCTCAGCTGGGTGCGGATATATGATGATAGGTTAGCGTTCTCATCGGCGAACGAGGGCCACACATTGCATTACAAGAATGTCACCATCATCATTCTTTGAGCCCCGCAAATCGAAAATTTGTATTTCAGCCCAGCTGAATAGGGTGGATGTCATCCATGGAGCTATTTCATAGGCAAAGGCTGGTTATCCAGTGAAACCAGGAAGTTTCGCCATTGGCCTCTTTCCTACCATCTCAGCACTATGGTACCCCGAGTTTGTGGTAATACGTCCTGCTCAACGTGGATCGATTGCCGCTTTGCCGAAATACACCCTCGGAAACGATTCTAAGGTCGCCTTTGCCAACCGGAACATATCAGACTTGCAGCTGCTGATTGATCTGGCACCGAAACACAAAAGCGGTGTTGGTGTCAGGGTTTTGGTGTTGCTGTAAAACTAGATTGCAAGGTCTAGAGGCGGTGAAATTAATGAGGACTGTGAACCATCTTCAGCTTGTTGAGGCTGATTGAGCGCAATTGATGGGTCTATGCTAAAATAGTTGGACGGAAGACTCGACATCCGGTGGCGATAAAAGAATTTGAGAGCTCGGTTTTGGTGCGGAAAGGAGTCGCGGGAATTTAGCCCTGACAACAACGACAAAAGTACTGTGTCTCCTCTTGAGAATATTTTAAAGGATTGTGAAACCTTTTCCCGCTAGCCGCATACCGTTGGCAGTAACTGAACAACCACATCCCTTCTCGGCGAAAAAGCTTGTTTAGAGTGGAGGCAATACCAATTCTGCAATATTGAGACGCAGCATCGTGACGACCTCGTCGTAGCTGCATTGTAGATACAGATATCAGACATCCCTTACACGAGGGTCTGTACGTGAATTAGTCATAAGTTCTACCTTTTCTTTCGATCCGTTAATATATTGGGTGGTGATTTTAAAATACGCAGATCGTGCTAACCGGACAACTACTCTCTAGAATGAAAGTATGACATTGGGGCAACATGGCCTTTGGCATCCTTCCATCTAGGATTGGAAAGGTCGGCGTTCTTTGGTTTTAATTTTTACAGGAAACCCAAGGACTGCTAGACCACTCACGTCAGTACGGAACTGACTCTACCCCGTACTAGGCATCGAGGTAGCTAGTGCTGTTCTCATCTTCGCCGATAGATATGGTTTAAATTTTTGTTAGAAACATAAAGTCATATCCAAGGTTTCCTTCGGCATCATGTTCAGAGGGAAATCTCCGTATAATCTACGAGAAATGTCTTCGTCGACACAGATATAATTTCTATCCCTTGAGATTAACTCTTCATAGAGTTTCGGTTCAAATACTAAAAAAGGGATCAAACCTCTACTGTCGGCTGCAATGGTGACGCCATTCAACCCTCTTTGCAGAAGCCGTGCCACTTTACTACATTCCACTCACAGTTGGAAGATCTTACTATATTTGCCGTTGATTAGAGATTTCCTGAACTCGCAGATCACTTGAACTTTGATGTTAATTAGTTAGGCCATAGGAGTCACCTTAGCTCTCTGTTTTTCAGCCCTTCAGGCAAAACGACACGGAATCTCGACAAACATCATCACATAAATTCCAGCCTGCCGAATGATGAGACTTTCGTTTATAAACTAACCACCTAAGTCTCACATATGATTACCCTATCAACAGTACATTATATTTATCCGCGGTGAAGCCGGAAATGCGGTGACGGATGCCACGATGTAGAATTACTTTTAATCACGTCTGACCACTGAGGGCTTTTCTCCGAGATCCGTTGCGTCCACGGACTAGAAGAGCCGGAATGTTGACTAAACGACATACAGCCTTTGATCTGCATCAGTGAATAGCTGTCAACGGTCAGTGGTCAGCGAGCCCAAGATAAGCTTCTCTTGTTTTCTTTCCATTCCAGCATTAGGTATGGGCTAATGGATAAGTAGATCTCTCGTCATTGCTGCACAGGGGGAATTTAGATGGCAGCTTCGGCTCCCATGACGGTAGTCAAGTCGCAGAGAGCGATAAGAATCGGGGTGTATGAGAGACCCACTCCTTGCACTAGGCCTGGACCTAACTGTTTCACGATCTCCAAGATTCAGGACCCTGTTTTAATTTGTGTCCAACTGGTAGCTGAAACCTGTCCGTCTTTACCCTGTGACGTTTTATTGGAAATCCCTGTCAATGTGTACAGAGGCGAAGGCGTGAAAAGCATGCCGAGAGAAGTCATTATCTATATCCGTGCGATTTATGCGTGACCCCATATGGAGTCTAGTTAATTGCCTTTTAAGAGCAGAACGAAATCAAGAAGAATAATCAAGTCATTCAGCTCCCGCACACAGCGAGGTGTGATTTTCCTGTTGAAACTCTACTAAGTCCCGGCACAGCTTCTTTTTATGACTGCGAAGAAGGATCATACAACATTTTTACCTTGATTTAAGCCCAGTTTCCTAGTTGCCTTCTCCCGTTAGCCTGTGATCTTGCTGCATTCCTTTTCTATGGATGCTGGGAGACTTTCCAAGTTGCAATTCTCCAAGTCCTGCATGCGGGGTTATTTCATCTTCCTTTTATATTTTCGTCGCTAATGACCGGGTAGAAGTGGTTGAGGAGTGATTCGCCAAATTTCACGTCAAGCCTCCCATTTATTGTTTTATGCCCGGATTGATATTGCTTTACGTGGAGTATCTTGAGAATATATTGATATCTTTTCCTTTGCTATAAAACCCCTTTCCGCTCCATCTCCCCCGGTTGTGTTGCAAACAAACTAATAAAGATCTTCGGATTCCCAACCAAAGGCCATTGGACATATCCATCCCGATCTTGACGGCATCAAAGTGCTACAACCTCGCACCAAGTGTGCATCCATGGCGAACGGTGTTCTAAGGTCTCTGACCGCTCCCCCTGAGGTAAATCCACTGAACAAAAAGGCTAGAACAATACCTGTTCTCAATCCCTTTAACATATATGGCCGCATTTTCTTCTTCTCGTGGCTTGGATATATGGTTTCATTCCTATCTTGGTATATTTTCCCGTGGGTTTCCCGTCTTCTTCGATAGTTCTTCTAACATATTTCATTAGGTGCGCTTTCCCGCCGTTGGTATGTTTCCAGAACAAGGCACTAGACACTATTGAGAACAGTTTAGTTTAATCCGCCCATTAGATGACGGTCACAATTCGAAAAGACCTTAATATGAGCGAGTCAGATGTGGCTAACTCAAATATTATGGCTCTATTAGCATCGTTAGTTAATTTCGTGGCTCCTAATAACGACGCACACACTGCTGACCTTCAAACAGCTTTTTGGTTCGAGCTTTGTCTGGGCGACTATGTGATCAATTTGGCCCCCGCTGGGTCTTTATTGGGACTATGATCGCCGGCTCTGTTCCAACGGCTATGGTGGGCCTGGTCACCAATCCGAAAGGCCTAAATGCTGTACGGTTCTTCGTTGGCATTCTAGGTGCCACATTCGTTCCCTGCCAGGTGTGGTGCACTGGAGTGTTCGACGAGTCTATTGTAGGCAGCGCCAATGCTCTGGCTGCCGGTTGGGGAAATGCGGGTGGGGGTATCACATAGTGAGTTTAAGCCAAGGACATAGCTCAATGAAGCATAGCTAGAACTAACCAGCAACTGTAAAGCTTCGTCATGCCAGCCATATTTAATTCCCTGGTGAAAAACAGGGGACTTGCCGCTCACAAGGCTTGGAGATTGGCCTATCTTGTTCCTTTTGGCGTCATTGTTTCCGTAGCTATAGGAATGGCTCTCACCTGTGACGACACTCCCACGGGCAAGTGGTCGGAACGCTATAAAACTGCCGCCCAGTGCCAAATTGGAAAAGATGCTGAAGACGTTGTTGTGGAAGGGCACTCTGGAGTCCAGGATTTAAAGTCCTCTCCAGCTTCCAATGTATCTGCGCCAACACTATCGGAATCAGAGAGAGTTGACCTCCGCTTTACAGGAACACCCAATGTCAGCGAGGCTCAGGGGCAGGAAGCTAACCTTGGAGATGTGACAGGAGAAATTATCGTTGCCCCGACATCCCGTAAAAGTCTTGATGTTGTTCTCAGCAAAGAATCCCTAGCCCTCGCAGGGCCATATGCTTGCTCCTTCGGTAAGCCCCTGACAGATATTGTCCATGCACCCACCACGCTAACAACTCAATCGAAATTGTCCAGGAAGCCAACTGGCTATTAACTCCATGCTAGGTTCTTACTATTTCATCAAATTTCCAGAACTCGGTCAAACTGTCTCCAGCGACTGGGCCGCTATGATGGGTTTTTTGAATTTGTTCTGCCGCCCTCTTGGCGGCTACATCAGCGACGTAGTATACCAGAAGACTCAGTCAGTTTGGGCAAAAAAATTCTGGCTGATCTTCCTCGGTTTGTCATTCAGCCTCATCCTTACTGCTCTTGGACTTTCAGATCCCGAAGACAAGTCTACCGTGTTTGGACTTATTGCTGGTTATGCTTTCTTTATGGAGGCATGCAATGGAGCGAACTTTGCAGTGGTACCTCATGTACACCCTTACGCGAATGGTACGCAGATGCTCCCATCTCCCCTTTGTTCTCTAATATTGATTATTCCGCCATTGCATGTAGACTAACTCAATCTCTTCAGGTATTGTTTCTGGTTTGGTGGGCGCTTTTGGAAATCTAGGAGGCATCATATTCGCAACCATATTCCGCTCCAACGGTGAAAATTACAATCAAGCAATGTGGGTGATTGGAGTGATATCTATCGCTGTAAACTTGGTTGTTTGCTGGATCCCACCTGTGCCGCGTGGTAAGGTTGGCTGGCGGTGATTTATTTAATTTAATTTATTTTATTTTGGATTGCCCCCGGAGGATTTATGAAGAGGATATACGCATCATGTTTCTTATGGTGCCTTTTATTAAGTCAATCTATGAAACGGACGGAACGAGCTATAATAGGTCGCATAGCTACAGCTACTGCTACTAATCAAATAATGCTGCTTCTATTTCAACCATATATTTATATCCACTCTAGTTGCATCTTCTGAGTCGCCTCGTCCGCCAGACACGTACTATGAAACACAATCTACAATCTCGAAATACCAAACCCGTCCTTCTTCTCCACACCCAACATCGACCTTCTAATTTCCCCCACCGTCCCGGCTCCAGCTAGTGCCATCGTCCTCGAAAGCTCCCGTTCAAGGATATCTAATACCCTTATCACCCCCTCCTGACCGCCAAAGCTCAGTCCCCATAGGGCTGAGCGTCCCACAAGTGTGAAATCTGCACCCAATGCCAGTGCCTTAAACACATCACTACCCCTCGTGATTCCACTATCAATAATGACAGGAATCCTGCCACGAACCGCACTGACAATTTCGGGAAGTGCTTCGATGGTGGAAGAGACAGAGTCGAGCTGACGACCGCCGTGATTGGAGACAATGACTGCGTCTGCGCCATAATCAATGGCTAGCAATGCGTCTTCAGCGGTCATTATCCCTTTTAGGATTATTTTCAGGCTAGACTTGGAGCGCAGCCATGAGATGGTGTTAGACCAGGTAAGAGATGCGTCGTTGAGGGTGTCGTGGCTCCCACGCGCGATTTTCGCAGCTTCCTGGGCGTTCCGTGCTTCAAGGAGGACGCGGTTCATTGTTGGTTTTGCTTGCGGTGAATTTCCTTCAGAAGAGGATTGATTTATCGTCTGATGAAGATTTGCGAGGGAAAGATGAGGAGGTAGAATTAAGGCTGTTTTTCGCTCGTTTATACGGTTACCCAGAATAGGGGTATCGACAGTCAGGACAAGGGCTTTGTAGCCGGCAGCTAGATAATTTGAGTGGGTAATTAATATATCTTGCGGAAGACATGTTCATGTCGCAATAAAATAATTCCATAAATACGTAATCGCTAACAGTTGAACATACCTTCAGCTCTCCCTATTACTTGCGCGCATCTCTCTCGATTCTGCGATATATACAACTGAAACCAAAAGTCCACCGAGCTGCCTCCGTCCGGTGCTCGAATAACATCTTCCAACGCACATGTCGTATGCGACGACAGGATCATCGTCGTACCGCGACTAGCTGCTGCTCTGGCCATGTCGATTTCTCCATTGCCACCCGCCAGCCTTTGCATCGCACTGGGAGAAATTCCAATTGGGATTAAATATTTTTCTCCAAATAGGGTGGTGCTAGTATCGACACGAGAAACATCACGTAAAACCCGGGGCCGCAGGATTAATCTATCACAATCAGTTAAATATCATATAAACAGGGGCACCAATTCAAAGGGCAATTTTATAGTATCATATCGTAAGATGCGCACCTATCAAAAGCGCCCCTATTCCTCCTCAATGCGTTCTCCTCATCCGCCCCAGAGGCATAATAGTCCCATACTTGCTTAGGAAGCTTCTTTTGTGCTAGAGTCGCCAGTTCAGCAATTGTTATAGGATCCTCCTTTTGTAGACCATCATCTTTTGCATCGCATCGCTTCATAATGTGTTTCATTTCGTCGTTCTGGTTAAACCCAGCCAGCAAAAATATCAATCTATCTTCTAGCTAAAGTTAAAGCCAAACTGCTGTTGCAGTTCAGTGGATTTTCAGAAAGCGAAAGCAAGTTCGACGAGAAAACGTGAAGTTATGCAAAAAAAAAAAAAAAAAAAAAAAAAAAAAAAAAAATCAGATTGGCATAACTATCGTTAACACCCAAAGTACGGAATTGGCCCAGAGGAAACGTCGAAGGAGGTTCTAGTGCTGAAAGTCCAAAGAAACAAATGTATATAAAATGAACAACCGCCTCCGGAGTGAAAGTCTTTCTCCGGCTCATTCTTCAGATTTAACTAGGTTCAAGCCGCGGTCCTTGCGCTTTTTCATCAGTCAATTGTCCCGAGATTTTGTTAAGCTAGTTAAACCCCGCATTATTCGGCTTCGGCGAACCAAAACTTGGTGGAGGCCGTCAGACTAGATCTATCCAGGGAGAGCTTCAACCCGTCGGCCGTAGCTGGTCAAGGTGACAGATTTATACATGACCTAATTCTTCAATCCACCAAGAAAGCTATCTAATAGTTTATTTTATCCCTGTAAGGTCTAAGCAGTTCCACGGCCACTTGATTGATAGAGTTGAGGCATTGATCTTTGTGATAATCGTAATCGACCCCTGAGCCAGTCAGCAAATTCGAATATCTTCTTCAATTGAGAATGCCATCAATTAGTGGTAAAAGGCAACAAACTCTATAGAGATAGAGGGTAAACTTGAACTCATGATATTCCCTTTGAAAAGCAATGAATTCCTCACTTCATGGAGTTGCGTGTTTATATATTTAACTCCAGGTCTGCAAGAACTAGTTAACATGCAAATTCAACTTGGCTGATGGAGATTGAAGAGAATCAGGTAGTTCAATAAACTCTAGATTTGAATAAATGAAAATTACTTAGTTAGTATTTGATAAAAATGTAACTAGTTAACTAATTTAATTATTTAATTATTATTTTATTATTTTATTATTTTAACTAACTTAGTAAATTAAAAAATTTTATTTATTTATTTTATTTTTAAAATTTTAGATGTTTAAATATAAGAAATTATAAAAAGGGTTATATAAAAGTTTTCAAATTATATAAACTTGCTTAGAGCTGATAAAGTTAATATAACTAGATAAATTAAATAATTATTATCTTTAATAGTTTAATATTTAATTTTATCGGATTGTATGCAGTTTTTGATTATTTCTCTTCGAGGATTTCAGTTGCCGGAACCTGTTTGACAATTCCTCAAAGCCATTTATGAACCAAAACAGATAGATATAATAGACAAGCTAGCTAGATAGAAGAACTACCAATCAAGCCTCTTTCATGCAAGTACCCCATGAATTCTCCTCGGTGATGTCATAAAATAAGTAAGAGCTAATATCAAAGTAGATGTAGAATTCATCTTGACAATTTTCACTCTGAAGAATGCGCTGTCGTGTAACCGGCCTACAATATTCAAATCGGTAATGAGAATATTCACTTTCAGCCGCAAAAGCAGCGGCTTGGCTGCTATCTACGAAGTTCTATCTGAAAACATGCCTGTCAATTTGTTTGAGAGTAAATATGCGGTGTTGGCGTTGTTTGCTTGATTACCCAAAAGTTTTGAAAAGAAATTTTTAGATGTGGACTCGTGGTTGCCGATGACAGGACAAGCCATACAAGTTATATATCTATACAAGGATCTTGACGCTTGAGACCTGTCCTGTTGCTAGGCTTATAGTAGCTGCAGGGAAATGACATAGAATAGCTGCAGGGAACTAATCATCTGACGGGATTTCAGGAAGGGTTTCGTCATTCCTCGATGTAAACGTTATACTCCCCATGGACTCGAAATATAGAATTTTGATAATATCAGTTGACACGCACTGCGAAATGAAACGCGTCATATATCAAAAGAAACTCTACTTTTTTCTTGAGTGTTTGCCAAGTAAGAAGCAAGATTTATGTGTAAATCTTCTATTTGTAAATACTTGGCTGAACAGTAATACAATTTATGCTTTTATTCTTGTCTTTTTTCAAGGCGTCTGAAACAGTATATTTTAAATGAAGAATTATAAGAGAACAGCAGAGATATAGATGTTTATGCGAGAGGTTAATTACGCCATTCATGCTATTTTCTGCATCTCCGAGGTATTACAGGCGTGTATGATAATGGGAGCAAATATACAAATTCGCGAGACACTGAGGTAGTTATTCTGTGCCAATGGCAACATTATTACTGCCACCATGTGGAAATTTAAAAGTCAGCAAGTTGATATGAAGAATGAACAGTCAAAAAGCAGTAACTGCCGCAGAGACTCATCAGAGAAGAAGGATGAGCCGCAGAGAAATATTAAGCAGACTTAATTTTCACCACTATCTGTGTGATTGTGCCGAATTTCTAGGGTCCCAATTTTCGTGCTGATGAGTCCTCAAGTAGTCTTCTGTGGGCATCCCAGACCATATCATGGCAATCAAGCTTCAAGATGTAGGTATGAACACGGTCTCACAAGGAACCTTGCCTACCGCAAGAGCCGCCGTAAATATATCGATCCATGTTTGCCTTCTCCTGGTTGCTGCATGGGTCGCAATGTTCTGCGGGGGTTGCCACATGTGGTTGAGGAAGAAATCTGGTGCCGTGCATGGAAAACTTCCTGTTGTGATATCCAGAGTTGCATACTTTGAAGAGCACTTGATCTATGCGTCCCTATGCATCCTCATGTAGTAGGTGAACTGCAAATGCGGTTCTTCACCTTCTTACGACGATGCCATCAAAAATGAAACTTGACACAGTCAAAAATCAAGTTTTTGGAGGGGTTGGCCTGGCCCAAACATGAATGTGACTTTCGGTGCGTTTTCTCTGTGTACCGTCGAGGAGGCCGTCACTGTCGACGAAGTGGCAGAGATATAGAGAGAGAAAGGGAGGGAAAGCCTTGAGCCGTGAATAAGCATAAATTTCGAATGGTTTTCGCTTCCTCCTTTACGAGGAAACAAAGAGAAGGCTAACACCGCAATAATACATTCTGGTGGAAACAAAGAATTGAGATGCATGGGCGAGATATCATGATTGAATGAAATTTCATCCGCCATTATTCTCTAGAGACTCTGAATCTAACCAAACACGTCAAGTAATCAATCATGACTGAACCCTCCAATAAACTTGGGGGACGATCACCCATCACATCAAAGACTGCAGGCCTTCATTGGAGTACACCCCGAGAAATGACGACACGATCCCTAGGGATGCGAAAAGGTTCCAGCTGGTTGGATTCCTCCGGCTCTATCCGGAAATCTATGAAAGACGGTGCCGTTTCAGCATGACCCGATGCAAAAAAAAAAAAAAAAAAAAAGAAAAGAAAAGAAAAAAAAAGAAAAGAAAGAAAAGAAAGAAAAGAAAGAAAGAAAAGAGGAGAGAGAGAGAGAGAGAGAGGAGGTTGGAAAGAGTCGACTTTTCCGTTTTCATTTGCCCATGCCTTCTTTTCTTCATTGCGGCCTAGCGATTTTCTCTCTTAAATGATAAACCGCGATTAGGAGCGGTTTTACCATCAAAAACCCAGCCAATTCTCCTCGTATCAGATAATACCTATGGTCAGTATTTCAGAAACGTAACGTACAGATATTGTGTACTGTACGGTACAGGAGATCCATATCTTTGGTGCTTCATCTTAGCTTCTTAAGCTCCAATAGTTGCGGTTTCTACTCAGACTTAATGTTGCAGCCGCATAAAACAGCCTAATTAATCAATATGTCCTGCCCCGCTCATCTTGCATTGTAGCCACATCGAACACTCTAACATCAGTTTCCGTTGGCATTTGGGAGTGGGGCTATTGTGGCTTTGATAGGGTAGTTATTTGTTCTCCAGAACTATGTCGTAGCAGAGCCAGAAGAAATCTGGCCGTTGAGTATAATGGATGGGTTCCAAAGTGATTGTGGATGGTTTGAGTGGAGAAAACAAATAACGCTGGAGGGAGTGCAGGCTCTGAGCATGAAGTTGGATGAGAAAGAAAGTACTGTGGAATGAATAAGTTGAGGGAAACGCTCAGGAGGTAAAAAAAAAGAGGGAGAGTGTTGAGAGTGAGGCAAAAAGGGGGGAATGTCGTCTGATGTTGCCATCATATGTGAGGGGTTGTTGACCAGCAATTCTGGAGACAGCCCTGGGGTTAAAATTACAATATTTTATTATTTTTATTATTTTTATTATTTTTATTATTATTATTTTTTTTTCATTTTAGCAAGGGGGACTCCAGAGATGTCCCACTCCCTTCATGATCTTCCGGGCAAGTGGAAACAGAAAATGAGACAGTGAGATATGAAATTTTGTGGTTGTTGGTACTCGAGGGCTCTTGTCCCTTTTCTGAGCCATCTCCGTTGGTACATATCCAATAGCCAAAGGTTGTCCCATTGTTTAGATATGATAACTACAGAGTTAGAGATAAGCAATAACTCACTTAAACACTAACTAAATACTAGACAGTTTTAGCTACATGCGAGTCAGCAACATTACTGCATCACATTGCATTGAGAGCTAAATTAAAGTGGAACAGAACAATCACTCTGAGATTATTTCTCAAACCCCTGTGAACCCTTTATGAAAGGCATAACAAGCTTTAAATAGTAGACCTTATTTGTAGAAGAATTCGGACTTTGCTTTAATATCTAAATCTAAGTCTGAGAAGCTAGTGATATTTATTATCACATCATTCTATAATAGAGGTTCATAGACAAAATGTTAAATTTATACCTCTTTGATGATAGAATAGTTGTGAGGTTTAACTCTTTAGTCTGAGATCAAGACTAACTGAGGCAGTGAAAAGAAGGTTTAGTGACGGGATCTAAATATGAGTGTCACATTGATAAACCCAGACAACCTCAAAACTGCCAAGTTGGCGAATGATATATGTCACTCACATCTACCTGGAAGGTTTCATTGCGTTTATACAGTCTGACTGCAGGTCACTGCATTGACATCCATGGGAATGAACCTTCAGGCAATTTGAACTATGAAGCCAACTATTAACTAGTCATCTGTTTCACCTCTTTTTAAAGGCAAGCAGGTTTTTCACTAGTTAATAATGTATTTCCATGCATGTATGAATACTTTATGTGTTTTTTACTTTTCATATGTACCTCACATCAAGGTGTTCATTAACTCCTTGTGTATGTATATTCCTGCATGAAATGCAACTATAGTTTCTAAATCATATAGACTTGAATTCTAATAAATCTGAATCAGAATAGTTAGTTATATAAGATATATTATTAATGATAAATCTATGAATGTTTACTATAATGAGAAAACAAGTAATAATATATTTACTTTTTCTACATCATTGTAAGTCTTTCTTTTCTTCTCATATTTTATCTGTTCTTCTTTTTCTCATGCTTTATAACTCTTGGACTAGTCTTGTGTGACCTATTGCCTCACAAATCTATGTACTCAGGCACAGAATAAGGAACAGCTGTTCTGATTTAAATCATCATGCAAAATCAACACTGATGAAAAATTACTCAAAGTTAGAAGGAGTAACATCACTCTTTCAGGGTGATTACCTCTGCTTTTCTTAGTTATGCTCTCCCCTGTCAGTCTGTGTCTGCGTTGCAGAATTGTGGGTTTCGGAGACGAACTAAATACCCATACCAAAGTTTCTGAAAGCACCTGCAAGATGGGTTTTCAGTTTCGTCTAACTAGAAGTTTCGATTTGGTAGGGCCCATATTTCCCTTACTTTTGGATGCATTGTGATTGACACGGTGTAGAAAAAGGTGGAGATTTAATAATATTAAATTGGTAGATGTGTCTTTCTCTTGTACCTAGATTCTACCCGCTTACCGCGACTAGACGATGAAAGATTCCGTAGTAAAACTGGAGTAAGAAAGGTGCAGACAAGCTTGACCTCATTTCTAGCCGGAAGTTTCATGGTATCAGAGCACATGAATTTACTGCACGGGCCCGGTCACTTACGCACACGACAGCATTTTTAATCATTCGCCGTTTCCATAACTCCGGCATCATTTAAGCGTAGTGCTTTGCTGGCACAGAGATTATGGCCAGATAACCAGCAACCAATCACGAAAATTTCTCGCTCGGGCTGAATGTTAGGTTCTGAAAAGAGACTTCAAGTCTGGAAGTTATGTGTGTACTCATACGCAATGATATCCATCTACGAAATTTTCTATTTTACATGATACAGAAACGTTGTATGCGAGTTTAAAGGTACCAATTATTGTACCAAATATGATTATATGGGATTCTCTTTGCCAGGAACATTCGAACGTAGCCAATTTGCTTCCACTGGAATCAGTTGGTGCTAGTTATTGCAAGTAGTTAAGCCAGAACTTGCAAAGTTAGAACGATGTTTGGATCCTTTTCTTGTCTTTGGTCCTTTGCACTGACCAGCTGAGAAAATCCATGTGGCAACGTGGGCCGTGTCAACGGCCATGACAGTATAGCACTCATGGCTTCATTTTAACAGAAACTTCAGTCTGAAACCTCAAAAAGATATTACACGCCTGTCACAATATAAAATATAGTTATTAGTATGATTTTTATTGCACTTGTGAGCTATTGCAATCATCATACTTCAAGTGGAATGGCCCAAGTGATTTGAGAGGTGAGAAACCTCATGAGGGGAGCATCAGATTGGCCAAAAAGAACACAAAACCAACAATAGGGCAAACTCAATGACACCCCTATTCCTCAATACCTGAATTCAGAGATCAGAGTGTATGAATGTCCGGAGAGGGTTCAGACGTGTGTCGCTGACGAGTACACGGCGGATACAATGTCATCATCATCGATGTAATTTCTTTGGCTAGTTCCAGAAAAGCAATGCGCGTTTCCTGGTTGAGCTGCCAGCATGTTGTTGAGGGAGCAGCCAAGAATGTTTCATGCATGTCATGGCTAGTTACCTTATGGCGGCTACTCGTGCCGAAGGCTGAAGATTCCAAAGCAATAAATGTGTCAATGCGGAGAAACAAAGCAAGATATACAAGGAGATGGAGGAAAACATCATCCAACACCAACACGAGTGATGGAATCATCAAGAGCACAGAGGAAAGAGAAAATGAGAAGGGTTAAGAAAACGTGAGTGAGCGGGAGAGTCACATCAAGTGGCAGCCTCATTCTGCACATTGCCGCTCGGGACCCTTCCGGGCACGAATTTCATAGGCTAGTCTTCTCTGGTTTTGCAGAAGGAGCGTACACAGATGTGAGGCTGATTTGTGGTAATGAGTTTGCTTGACCATGAACGCTTGCATTCTTGCTGGGATGAAGCATTCATCTTTTGCAAAACAGTGCATGATATTGGGGGAAGATCGTATTTGAGATCGGAGCTAGTTCGGAGTATTCCATACAGACCTTCTTTTGTTGGTCAGATGCAACTCATGATTTGACAGTGCTCTGTGGACGAAGTATTGGATGGTTCTATTCTTACTGGCTCTGTCTCACATCCATGAGGTGATTCCGGGTTTTGAGAAATCAATGATTAATCATAATCGGGAGGGGAATGTACATATATATATACCTGAATATAAGTGCGCGGTGTGCGCAGATAGACATACATGCATGTGTGCATTGGCAAGGTTGTTAACACAGGTGATAAATTGGTGAGACAATATTCTCCACTCACTGTTGTGTATTGAACTAGGCGGAGAGAGAAGAAGTGGATTAATTCAGGGGGTAGCATATGTGCTGTATATCATTCCTTTGATGTGGGAGGGGGGTTAAAAAGGGATGGGAGGGAGAGGATGTAAGAAGATATGCAGTTAAAAAAGGGCTCTGCAGCAGCAAAAGTAGTTGTGCATGATGAATGTTTGTAAAAGTTCAGGGAAATATTTGGAATGTTATTATTAGGACATTACACACGTTATCAGCGATTTTTGGGAGAGCATGCCTGGAAGACGACTATATCTGTCATCCCTGTTTTCCATTTCTAGTTTCTGAACCGATGTATTATTTCAGAATCCCAGCCACTGAATAAAAATAGGAGGGAAATTAACCCAAATTATAATATTGAAAAAGTAATGGTCAAGAAAGCTGCATCTAGCCGGCATCAGCCGCTTCTTGCTTGGCTTCTGCGGGCAGAATCATATGAGAAGAGCATAGTGCGGGGCAGCCCACACACCTGGCTGAGTAGTAAATCCCGAGCGGCTTCGTATCTCAGAATCCAGAGGGGTAATTATCCTCCTTCCCCCCCTCTCAAAACCAGGGTCTTCGATGTTATTGATGATGAGTTGTTTAGGATATACAGACACCGAAACTTTTTGCCCCACCCAGAGTCGATTTCAACCCATGCAAAGCAACAAAATGGCTAATAAAGGAGGATTTCCGAAGGGGAGAGCTAGAGGTGTCCGATGACCAAAAGGGAAATATACAGCGTGTGGAGTAGCTATACAGAAAGAATCAATATATAGATATTACAGAAAGTGATTTGATAAAAAGAGAACACGACAACTTTGCGTGTTTAGGCTTGATTTAGCACAGAACAACAGGCAGTGAAGACGGTGATGATGTCATGACTTGAGCCTCAAAACTTTAACTAACAATTGGACAATGATTGGACAGAAATGGCATCCAGCAAATAGTGGGGTCAATTTTTCCCTATTCCGCCTTTATTTTTACACCTATATATTTCACTTGATTTTTATTACTATTATTCCTTTCCTTGAAAGCTAAAGTGTTCTCTATGGCGGTAAACCGCGCATACAAAATAAACCGTCCTTTTTCCCATTCTAAATTTATGTCGCACTCTGACGCCCAGAGCCAATACGACGTCTCTATGACGGGGTTAAGCAATGTATGTTTCATGGCCGCAGCAGGTAGCTCTACTGTTTCGGAGGTTCGAAACGGCCAAACCATGCCTATCGACAGTGCCACGTTTCTTAGTTTTTTTTAGTGACCTTCAGCTTTTGCTGGTTAAGAGACTGTTTCTAGTTAGCATTGTTGACTCTGACGAAACCTGGGGAAATGGGAACGCAAAGGAAGGAGACGCTTAGTATTATTATTATTATTATTATTATTATTATTTTAAGTATTGGTGGGTTATGTGACAAGCAATACCGGACGTGACCGTTGGATGGATAATATTACGATACAGCGTACGAAATTCCTCGTTGTGTAACGATATATTACAGATACGAGGTACCCCTTCAACGACAAATAAATGTTAAATACCCATTTGTTGTTGCCTGACAGCCTCTGACAGGCCGTCAGACCATCTGCTTGGATAGAGAGCATCTATTTCATAAGCCATGATTTGTTGTCATTGATGTTTATCCCCGTCGCAAGTTGTCAGTTGCTTATCTACCGGCTATAGGAATTGCTGCTGATTTGTTAACAAGATTGTTTCTTGAACCAATCAGCTCGAAATTAAACCAGGAACACGACCCCAAATAAATTTCCAGATCAAACAGAAGAAGCCCAATTTCCTAACATTGGATGCCAGGCGTTTGTATCAGGCTCCCCGCCGATGCTGCTCCGCTGGTGTTTTAAGAGGAACCAACAAATGAAGAACTCTAAACCATAATGAAGTCGCCGCCAGTTTAAATGATCTGCGAAGTTGGAGGTAATCAAGTTAACTGATCGGGTATCTATCAACTCAAAAGCGGTGAATGAAGCCAAGGAACAAAAGCGAGGACTACGCCGAGATGAACCTGTTAAAAATCTAATTATATCTAATCTCCCGAGTCTCCATAGAATACTCCGTCCTTGGTAGAAGGAGCAAGAAAATTCCCAAGTATCTGGGGGACTTAGGCATGCCAAGCGCCTACCATTATTTTCGGGCCATCAGAAAACGACATTGATCTCGTAAGGCTGGAAAAAAAAATGACGGGAAAGATGAACAAGCAAGAAAGAAAGAGAGAAAGAAAGAAAAATACTTTTTGGGCATTAGGCCTAATCTATCTTATCACCCTCCGTCGCCAAAAGTAAAAAGGTTTAGCTACCGCTTCCTTTGTGCCCGCATTCAAGCCGTAGTTGGTAAACTAGGCTGGAACAACCGGTATTTTGTTGTGGGGATGTCGATTCTAATCTAGATGAAGTTCCTTTCCAACCTGGAGAAGCTTCTTTAGGCGTCCTACTCAGGCCCCAGCTGACGTTTTGCTTAGGAACAGACTCCACCGCCATTTTGTGTTTCCGGAAGTCTAATAATCATCATGCTAAGTAATAAGTAATACGGATAAATAATACACAAAAAAACCCTCCATACCCTTGGTGTTTATTTCTTTTTCGTCTGGTTTATATTCTTTCGAGTTGAGTTTTGGGGGGTAAGACAAACCGCTGCCTGTCGGGGCGGGCAAAGTGCCTGAATCCAGGTCAAACCTGGCAGCCAAGGTAGTTAAGACAATAGGAGCACGTTCTCCGCTCAATGATTGGGGGATTATTATGGCGTCAACCGAACCCTTTGTCTCCCCAACTCTTTCTGAGAGGCAAAATGTCCATGATGAGTGGTGTTTTTGAAAACAGAGCGACATTACGAGGTCTGAAGTCGGTAAAGGTACATGCAAATAGGAGACACATGAAACAACGGAGTTGACCTAACCTTTGGATCCTTAACTACGTTAGTGAACTAGTCAGTTCACTAACTACTAGCTTGTAAAGAAGGCCAGATGATGGGCAGACTGGTGTGTAACTGTTCACAAGGCAGCTGGGGCACAACAATATTATACAGCAGAAAATCCATGTCTTTCCAGCAGGCAGATTTAATGTTACTTCCTCTGCTTGGGCGGACGAAGACGTGAAGAGATAGATAATAGTTAATTAACAATGTCATTAGTCATACCAACACATGGAACAAAACCAGCATGCCATAATACAAATATTACCGTACGGGTACGAACCGATCAATACATAATACACAAACCATCTCCTCGGTGGGCCGTATCGATATGGTACGGTACGATACCGTGTCGCAGCATCGTGGATACCTTACAGGTAGATATGGTACTCCGTAACTACCGGTCCATCAATAATAACTGGATGGAACTTAACACTTTTTAATGCACGACGACGTAGGAAGTTGGTTGACTGGGGGAATCCCAATTCATTAATTTAATCCCTGATCCCATCAACCAAAGAAGTCAATCCCACCTTGAAACCTGTCCGGTTTTCCTCCTCCTCCTCCTCTCCCTTTCGTCTTCTTCGTCTTCTTCTTCGTCTTCTTCATGCTGTGTCTCCTGCTTGACCCAAGATACAGTCAAATTACTATAGGTACTTCCGCGTCCTGCACCTCCCCATCGCTCCTTACTCTGCCTCCCGCGGCATCCTTTGCCTTGCCGCCTTCGCATACTTAAACCCCGCGACCCTGCAGCGACACATCTCTCCCAGTGCCTTATCGCCGTGAGCGTCGAAACTTCTGACTCGTTTAACCCGTCGGTAGAACATCCCCCCCCTCCCCATCGACGACTCACCTGCATTGGGCGCCACAATCATTCGTGAAGAAGTTGCGCCAGCTGCTCGTTCGACGCACCTTTCCCTGGCCACCTCCTTTCGCGCTGCGATTGTTGGCGCACCCTCAGCAAGCTACTCCTCTGCGGATCGGGTTCGACAGGGACCTGCCTTGCAGCTGGCCAAAATTCACTCCAGAGTCGTGATCCACGGGGTTTGCCAGGGAAACTAGATAAAGGGGGAGGTAAGCGCCTCCATTTCACTATCTACTACACCCTCTCCAATTACCATCAGCTTTATTATCCCTTCTCTTCTTCTTCTCCTATTTTTGTCACTAGTAACACAAATTCGCAACAAGAAACTCTGTTCTCAGCCACAAAGTATTTCGTGATCTGCAAGCTCGGTTGGACTCCTTGTTGCGTCCCGTTCACCCATTACCACAACCACCAGAAAGAACCCGACTTTTAATACTGTTGCAAAAGACAGAGAATACTTCGCAGGAACAAGAGGGGAAACACCAAGCAAATTTTCTGGTGTGTCTGCAGGAGGATACGTCGGGCGACAAAAGGACACAAACACCTTTTTCTCCTTTTCACCAAAACAGAAAAGGTGTGAAGGGTGGGCTGGCTTGGAGGGTGTCGTTCCGCTGGACCCGAGTGGCAGGCATTAATCTATTCACAAACACTCTCTGGAAGGGCTTGAACGTATTGTATTGCAGGCCAATATGCACGTATCAAAATTCTGGCAAACGTGGTAGACCCCTTTGCTACACAACGCTCAGTCGCAACCCTTCGGTACAAGCCAGCCTATCCAACTGCTCCTGGTTTGTTCGGGAAACGAGAACGGAAAAGACAAGCACGGACTGCCTCCCTGACCATTTCCATACGGTTCAACACCTAATTATTTGCCTCCTACAGCCCTCCACTGTCGGTTGGTTAGAAGTTTAACGTAACTTGAATATCAACTGCTCATCCGTTAGTCCCCGTTGACCGCTTGCATTTGACCTTCGCTTTTACATCATCACTCCTCTGGAATGGCGGCTAGCGGGTGGGCCTCCCCCTCTATCTTCAAAGACAACACTCATTCTCAATCAAGATCCCCTCTACATGTTCCGCACAGAATTCCTTTCCAAAATGGGTTCTCTTCTACACTCAGCGCTTCTGCCCCTCCTACCTCCGGATTTGAACCTTCAGGGGTATCAACAGATTCATCTAGTCTCCCGACCTATTTTTCTAATTTCCCCAGCCCTACTCCTTTTTCTCCTACCGGCTTCACCGACTCCGCGCATGATACGCCTTTTCGCAATTCTGTGAGTCCTATAATGACGTTCGGATCTCCCGCTCCCCTCGAACTGCCGGAAAGTGCTGTGGCCTTTCCTTCACAACCCTTTAACGCTCCTCCACTTGGTACAGATAGCGCCGCAAACAACACTACCTCCAGCAAAACTCCTGGGCTGATGCGGAGGATATCCAGAGGAGCTGCGAATAAGCTAGCTCGTCGAAGACAATCTACATCCCGCTATGATAAGCGAGACAATAGCTCTGGTCCTGTGATTATGCAGAGGAGAAGTGACAGTAAAACTGGAACGACAACATCTAGGGATAGTGGCTTGGATTCGAGCTATGAAGAAGAGGAAGAACCCTGCGATCATCTAGCTTCGTGGTGTAACCGTGATACAAATGCTACTGCCAGTCGATGTAGCATGGCTGTTGCAGCCAATGATGGCTGTGTTGCGCCCAAACTGGATTCTATTTTGCATCGCGGTTCACTTCTGACCAAGGTATCTAAACATAAGACGAAGATGGTGACATTTTTCCTCGATTTACAATCTGCCAAGGTGTACTGGGACTTGTCAAATCCCGCAAAACGACTTTATATCGATGATATTAAAGAAATTCGCACTGGCCTAGATGCCCGCAATTACCGGGAGGAACATGATATTCCTGAAAGACTGGAGGAGTTATGGTTCACAATTATTTTCACGAACCCTGAGCAGTCCAAAAGCAAGCCCATTAAAACGCTGCATCTTATCGCTCCCAATAAAGAGACTTTCGAACTGTGGACGAATACCCTAGAAGGAATCTCTAGATACCGGATTGGTCTCATGGCCGGCTTGGCCGGCTCTGGTCAGAGTGAGAGCGTCCTGAAAGCTCACTGGCAACGTGAAATGTCTCGACGGTCTCTGGAGTCAGGAGAAGAGTCCCTTGATCGGAATGCCGTCGAGAACCTCTGCCAAAGCTTACATATCAATTGCTCTAAAAACATGTTACGGGCCCAATTCGCAAAAGCAGATAAGGACCGAACTGGAAGATTGAATTTCGCCCAATTTAAAGATTTCCTTCAACGACTGAAAGACCGCAAGGATATCCGAGAAATTTTCCGCTCTATCGCAACAGATTCTGCTCAGGGGTTAACGTTAGACGAGTTTCTCGAATTCCTTCGCGATTCCCAGTGCGAAAACGTGGAGGATAATAACAGAAACTACTGGTCTTCAACCTTCGAATTTTTCGTTCGCGGCTCCAAACAACGTGCCCTAGAACCACGAAATTCTCCCAGTGCTCGGATGAACCTGGAAGCTTTTTCGGCCTTTTTAATGTCTCCGAAAAATGGCATATACCCAGCACGATTCTCATCTCCGAAGCTCGACAGACCCCTCAACGAATATTTCATCTCGAGTTCGCATAACACGTACTTACTGGGAAGACAAGTTGCTGGCGAATCCAGCACCGAAGCCTACATCACGGCCCTCCAAAATGGCTGCCGCTGTGTGGAGATTGACTGCTGGGATGGCGCTGATGGTCGCCCAACCGTCTCTCACGGCCGTACATTGACGAGCAGCGTTTTATTCGCAGACTGTATTAATGTCATCAACAGATATGCATTCCAAGCTTCTGAGTATCCGTTGATACTATCGCTTGAGGTCCATTGTTCCCCATTTCAACAACTGGCAATGGTGGAAATCATGAAAGAGACATTTGGGGATAAGCTACTTCTTCGACCGCTTTTGACGAATTGCGCGATATTGCCCTGCCCAGATGACCTAAAGCATCGCATCCTGATAAAAGTTAAAACCGCAGACGAAGACGAGCAGTTGACATCTTCCAACTCTCAGATTGCTGGGCGCAAGCGCAGTTCCAGTTCGCCCTTTGCTCGTGCCAATGGTCCCGAAAGCGGTGCTTTTACATTTCCCATGGCGCATGTAACTCAGCCAATAGATTCTGGTAACTTTACAGCATGGACACCTGGAAGACGGTCACTTACAACAACAAGCTTGAGTAGCGCATCCGAGGATAGTGATGCTGGCCCCCTTGTGATGTCGACAAGGAAAGAGAAGAGAAAGCAGCCTAAAAGTCGGATCACCCGAGAGCTTGCTGAACTGGGTGTATACACTCGTGGATACAAATGGCACAGCTTCAACTCTCCAGAGAGCAAAAGGTTTAACCATGTGTACTCTTTCTCCGAGAGATCTTTCGAACAAATATCTCGCGACTCAGAGATCAAAGCACTCCTTGAAGCGCATACCAAATCTTTCATCACACGTGTCTATCCGGCGAATACTCGTTTCCGCTCGTCAAATTTTGATCCGAATTTTTTCTGGAGGAGAGGCGTGCAAATGGTAGCAATGAACTGGCAGACGTACGATATAGGTATGCAAATGAACCAAGCAATGTTTGCCGCCGGAACCGATCAAACCGGCTATACTCTCAAGCCAGACAGTCTGCGAACATCTCCGTCGTCTCCGAGATCTCTTGCTCTTTGTGGCGATGTAAGGCCAAAAGTAGACAGGAAATTGGTTAGATTCACAGTGGATATCATATCCGCACAGCAGCTCCCAAGATTGCGAGGAATGGGTCCGGACGATAGCATTAATCCGTATATCGAAATCGAGTTGTTCTGCGCCGATGATAAGAAGAAAGGCCTTGCATTTGGCGAAGGGGGTGTTGATACTTCAGCCCGCAATGGCGTGTCTGGAATTGGTCAACCGCACCGTCGTCGGACAAAAATTGAACAGCAGAATGGTTTCAACCCTGTGTTCAATGACCAATTCAAACTGTCTCTAGAAACCAAATACCCAGACCTCGTCTTTGTTCGTTGGGTCGTCCGCAACTCTCCTGATGGACGGAGCTTTGGTGGTAATAACAGTGTGCAGCTTGCCACCTTCACTGCAAAGCTCAGCAGTCTCTCACAAGGATACAGATATTTACCTCTATATGACGGAAGTGGTGATCAATATTTATTCTCAACTCTCTTTTGCAAAATCACTAAATTTGACCCGGTACCAGCACAACGCCCCGGTTTCAATTTATCGAGAGGAGACCAGAGAGGAATTATCAAGCAAATAAAGCACACATTAACCAAACGTACGTTGTCTGCCGAGAGAGACAAGGAGAGGGACAGCGATCGCTGCCAGGAAAAAGGAAAGGACTTGATTCTGAGACCTGAAGACCTCCAGCTTAGAAATAAGGGATCTTCCTTAACTGATGGCCCTTCTCTTGCTCTTCCATCTCCAGCATAAGAAGATGGGTCATTAGTTACGGAACCCGTTTCCCTTCATATGATATCCCACATGGTAGCCTTAACAAATCAGTGGATTTGACTTGGGGAGTGGTGGTGTGGACGGACTTGACTGGCTCGACGACCCCTCATTGCACCATAAAATTTACGACCCATGACGGCATCACCTTTTGTTCAAAACTAAAGTGGAACGGCGTTATACTTTTTCTTTTTCTTTCTTTCTTCCTTTCTTTCTTTCTTTTTTTCCCCCCGAAGTTGCTTTTATTAAATTAGGAAGCTTGACGACGAATCTGCTATTAATACAACATTACGTCGAAGCTTCAGTTTGCATACTACTGGAAAGATACGGGATAGAATGGGGTACATTGTTTTTGGCGACGGATGGTTTGCTGATTGTTTTTGTGTTCTTTTTTTTCTTCGTCCCCCCCCTTTCTAGCATTATAGTTGCTTGTCAACGGCCAAATATTCTCATTTTCTGTTTCATAATTATGTAATAAAGCATATGGGTATTAACCTCTACTCTTTTGCGATTGCTTTCCGCCTATATTCATCCTCCTCCTATCAGTGAGGTTATTTGTCACTCTCTTTTATTTTCCCATTCCTTTATATCTGGGGTTATGTTTTTATTTATTTAAAAAAATACCCATGTGCCATACCACGCTTGAAGATAGTTTTAATTGTCCACATCATTATATTATATATTTACAGCCCACATTCATTCCCTTTGTTAATTTCTTCTTTTCTTTCACTCCTCGCACCCAGTCTTGCGATAGGGGACATCAGTGGTGCTTGAATATTTTGTTTGCCGATTTGTGCATATTATATACCTATCTATACATGCAATATCCATCTACCAAGAATGACCTTTCAAATTTTTTATTTTTTTTTTTTTTTTTTCATTTTCTTTTATATTCCTTGTGGCCCGTCGATTGCATCTAAACAACAGATACTTCAACATCTGCAGATCACTGTCCGTACATAGCTACATTATAGAAACATCCCATCTATATCATTTGCTATAATTTCCCATTCTTGAGTGAGCTGATTTGAAGTTCGCATCTCAACTGATATACTCATCGCACAATCTATAAATAAGTCTATAATGTAGTCGCGATACCACAAATGTTTAGCCTTCTCTCCTTCTATATGGCCGCTACCGTTTGCAAACCCCCCAACTCTTAGAAGAGGTTATCTACTGACCTGAAAATTGCCCTTCAAGGATTCAGGTATTAGATATATATTATTATTACATTATATAAAGTCAGCCCCAAAGTGTTGCGTAACCTTCACCAATGTCTAGCTCACTGAACCAAAACCTTGGTAGTTTACTAGTAACTATCCGGATGAAGTAATTCTCTCGTCCACAACGACTTCTGTCCAATGAACGTAACATCAAACGAGTCTCCATCGGCACAGCCTTGTGTCTCTTCTCCACAAATCCCTCCAAATGCCTCACCCCCCAACATATTTATCCGCAAGCAATCCCACAAGCGGTGTATGGATCAACCCGGGCACAACCACATTCTTCAGCCTGACGCCTCTCTTCGCATAGATTATTACCACCGTTGCCTTGGTAAACTGTGTCGCCGCAGCCTTCGTCGCACTGCACGCCACCTGCGGCTTGCCGATATAGTTAGCGCAACCCCGCAATAGAAGAGACATTGACAATAGCACCACTGCCCTCCGTTTGCGACTCCATGATCGGCAACACGTAGTGACAGCTCGAGAAGACCGATTTCAAATTAACGTCATGCCTCTTCGGACATTTCCGCAGGCCCACCAGGCTCTGATCTCCCAACATTGTTGATTAAGGTATCGATGCGCCCGCCGTACCGCGCCACGCAAGCTTCCACGAGGGCTTTCACATCAGCGTCCTTGGCGACGTCAGCGCTCACCACGGTGCAGTCACCCCCCTTCAGCCTCGACGCGGCGCTGTGTGTGCTGAGCTGCAGCGAGATTGAGGTCGCAACCAAATACTTTGGCTCCATTGGCAGCCAGGACGCGGGCAGATGCAGCACCATTCCTCTACATGCCCTGGTCGCCCGACCGGCCGATTCCCGGCAGCAGGACGACTTTGCCCTTTATATCTGGGTAGGTTGCGAGGTTGAAAGCAGGGGGTGGGGTTGGTTATTGCCATTTTGGGGAGGGTTGAGATTTCTTGACGGATCTGAGCCGGTGAATTGAGGGTTTGCAGTTTGTTTGTTTTTTACTATATGTTCCGCTTTCCCCTTTTTTTGCTTTCAGTTCTCGAGATGAAAAGGTTCCACGTAGTGTTATATTTTTCCTGCTGCTTCGTTTCGAATATAAGTACCTATGCCGAAAATATAAAGCCAGCTCATGTCCGAATGCCCATATATCAGCGAGATATAGAAATAAATTTGACGTTTACATCTCTGAAGCCGGCAATTTTGAGCGAGTGCCGACAGCAGGGTTTATCTTATCGGGATTGGTTGGTCTCGACAAATTATCAACATCGGCTCAGTGTTCGGTAACTAGTTAGTTAATTAGTATGCCGAGTCGCCGGACGATAGCCGAAATATTTTGATTATTTTCCATCTATCAACAATAAAGGAAGTTATGAAAGAACTTCTCTTTGTGGGAACTGAGGCATTGCAAACGCACCATCCCAACTAAATTGCCATCGCTTAAGACTCTAATACCTGTGCTAGGTATCGAGGATGATAATAATGGACGAACCGAGGTGAGTCGTCTCATAACTAGAAGAATATATCTTGGAGTCTTATACATATTAACCGGTAGGAAGTTGGGTTTCAGCAAGATCAGACTCTCTCTCTCTCCTGTAGAAACGATACACCACAGTACACTGACACCTGAAACACCGTCTGTTACATAGTATGCTCAATATTCAGTTCTCTTGTTGCCATTTAATGCCTTTGGGACTCAAGAACTCGTTAGATTTCCTGCAAGTCTCACCTCAACCACAGAGCGCTTCAGATGAGATGGCAAAAAGAAACATGAGCGCGGGAGATTCCGCTCTGTAAGAGCTTTCTGGACGTTTGTCCTAACTGTGTGTCTCTTCCGCCGCGCATAACCCGAGATCCACGAGGACACTGGGCAGTGAACAGCAGATGACATCAAAATCCACGCATTGAGGTGGAACTGGCCCAGATGAATTGAAAGGCGATTATCGACTGGCAAATATAATTTGGGGTGATTGCTTTGTGTCGGCATCTTATTTGATTTTCCGAGCCAGTCGATTTGGCTGCATGGTTTGGTGCTTGGAGACTTGGAAATCCCGATTTTTCTGGAGACGTTCTTAGACAGAAAGTATCAATGGAGTCGAGAAATAATAGTGCCGAATCTTAGATCGGGGAACTTCAAGGTCCAATTATTCATCTTTCTGAGGGCGGGCAGCAGTAATGATCTCCTCCATTATTAAACACATTTTTTACTAATAAATGAAAGAATCTCTGTCATCGTTCGTTGCTGCAGCTGCAAAAGCATGTTGTAGGCTGTGTATCAAACCCTTTCCAAACCTGGATCATCTTACCAGGCTAGGCGAAGGCTGAGATGTTCGAGAATAAAAAATCCATCAATGCACGATCCCTCCTATCAGCTCCGACCTTGTCATCTCGTCTCAGGTGTGTGGTATGGTATGATCCGTGTTCCTATGGCAAGTCAATCAAGCCTCAAGCGTCGAGTCGTTGACAAAGTGATGAGAAATCAAATGCACATGTAACTAACCACGCACACCTTTACTACTCACAAATTCCACGGATTTCTCAACAGGATATTATTAAATTCTCAATGTAAGTTAAAAACTAAGAGGATAACTGAATTGAGCAACTAAATCGAGTAACTGAAATATGTAAAAAAAGAAATTGATTAAGTTATAATAAACTTCTAGAGAAACTAAATTTTGGAAAACCTGCTTAGAAAACATATAATGATTAGTATATTATGGTTATTCTTTTTATATTTATATGCAACCAATAACTTTGACTGATATATAAATATAAAACTAGATAGTGTTATATAAGTTAATTACACAAGAAATTTAATAACTATTAAAAATAATAAAAATTACTATTTAATTTAATTAAATTTTACTTATAATATATAAAATATATAATTATTAACATTTAAAATAATAATTATCATTATTTAAATATATATTTATAATACATTTTATATAAATTTATATTAATTTATTATTGTTGATTTATTTTTAAAATTATATTAAAAATGTTTAAATATTATAATAATAATAAGTATTTTATAAATAGTTAATTTTATTATTAATGTAGAAAGAAAATTCATAATTTAAAGCTAACTCTATATAAACGAAAGCTTTTTCTGTAAATAAAAAACCGCAGTCTTTCTGAAAGCAGACTCAGTCGACTGATTACAAATCACATTAAACTAATCTGATGAACCTCATATTTATTAGCAATAGAAATAAATTTGCATCTTTCTGGGGGACGATTTCAGCTGCTGTGAGCTCAATATTGGCGTTGTTTGACATGGTAGTGAGGTTTGAAGCTTGGTTGTTGAGTGGATGATGTGCGTTGAGTCGTTATGACACCAAATGATTTTAAATGACTCGAATTGTTTACTGAAGAAATAAATGTGCAGGGGGAACTTCAGGCTATGCACGATTAAAGGATGTGTTATTACTCAGCCGAACGGTTGGAAGTATAACGGCTTTACTGTTGTTCCGGGTTCCGGACAGGTCTAGTGGACTTCATTCGACAAACACATATACGATGTTTACTCGTGAACACATATGATGTATGTGCGTGTGACAATGTACGTACCTCCTGAAGTCCTGGAGAGCTAAGAGAGATGACCTCATAGCAGCATTGAGTGTCTTTTATTGTTTTCGACTATTAAAATTGACCTGTTGCCAAACTTTCCATACTCATCCTGGATCAAAATGATTGCTGCTCATCTATGGATGTGGCAGTTCCGCCAGCTCTGTATGAGAAATTCCGAAGCCACAAACGCGGCTTAGTAACAGCTTTTTTGGTGGTGGGGATGAGCAATGGCAGCAGTGAGAATAGTGAGAGTAAAAGCCAGAGCAACGGGCTAATAACAGGTCAGAGGAACAAAGAGGATTAATCTCAGCTGCATAACATCTTGAACATTCTCATGGCTGTAAGCTCTCTCAGGCTTTTTACTTGTGCCACTCCCCACGACTAGTGGGTGGGCGGGGCGTGGAGTATCACCACAAAACAACAGCTGTATTACCCCAGAATTGACCATCATTCCTATTAGAATGAGTCTGCCGGCCAACATTGGCAGACGTGGCAATGCTTGAACGCAAGCAGTGCAGTAATATTATCTGCGCTAGTTTCTTGCTCCTTGATTTCACGTTTATTTTTGCTTTTTCTATCTTGGCTTTTCTCTGAGTTTGTTCGTGCTTGGGTGCTTGCGCACACCAAAATATTTGACCCGTATACGGCTACTGGAAGGTGGGCTGACTAGACCCAGGCGTGACTATCTTCATCTTCTCCTGGCTAGTCACACCGTTTCATTGGTGGAGGGAGATGTTGGCTGGGGAGTATTGCAACGATTGGGCCTCATGTGGGTTTCTGAAGTCTGGTGTGAGATGTTGCACTTAGAACCTCCCTTCGCTAGAGTCCCTGTGTGGCAATTTTGTGGCTCTTTCATAGTTACATTTTTCCACTGAGAAGTTGACGATCGGCTACAAAATTATCCATCCAGGTCAAACTACGGAGTACTGCCCAAACCATGCTGCAACCCTTAATTCCTAGCTCGGTTTTCCCTCATCAGCGGCCAAACCACGCTGCGTTAGTTCTTGAAGATAAGGTTATTGAATTTTCCTTCCCGGCCCCGGTTTTAATGATGCTGCTCAGTTCCCTGGAATGTTAAGCTTAAACATCACGAGCTGCCGTATTTTACGCTTTGCCGTCAATGTTTTCTTACTTTGGTGTTTCCTGAGTTCTGCAGCTCGGATGCCCATGCACTGAGAATCCATATCAATCAGTGGGAATGACCTTGATGGCGTCAATTGCAGATGCACACAGGAAATCTAAATCTTTCATGTTGTGTCATGCACAATCTTGCCATCCCTGCATTGGCGATCATAAAATACCAGTCTATCCGAATCTTAAAATCTTCTGATATGTGACACGGACTTTACATATGGAGTTATTAAGTCCTCCGTATCCCCCCTGCTTACCCTTTTTCTGCATTCGTGCGCTCACTCTCTCTTCACGGCAAAAAAACTATTTTCCCCTTTCCTCTGCGTGCTTCAAGTTCGGTATCTTCGCGACCAGCAGGATGAACAGCTCACCCAAAGAAATACCAAGCACGCCTACCATTACGGAAACACATTCCGTCGAATCCATAGATAGAACAGCCGAAAAGAAACTTGTATGGAAATGCGATCTCCATGTCGTCCCCGTCCTCTCCTTTCTCATGAGTTTGGCGTTCCTTGATCGCATAAACATTGGGAATGCTCGTCTCCAGGGTCTAGAGAGAGACCTTGGTATGAGCGGACATGATTTCAACATTGCCCTGTTCATATTTTTTGTTCCGTACATGATTTGTGAAGTCCCGAGCAATATCATTCTAAAAAACGTTTCCCCTTCAACCTGGCTCAGCAGCGTTATGCTAGGATGGGGTGAGTGATCACTCCCGTATTTGTTGTCTCCGTTCAATGGCTCAAGGATTGTTCAGGGCTTGTTACGACTCTCCAAGGAGTCACAAATAGTTTTGCTGGATTGCTAGTCTGTCGCGTCTTCCTCGGGATTTTTGAAGCAGGATTTGTCCCAGGTATTCGACCCTAAACTAAACTCACTGGGTTGGTTCTCATGTATATCTGACACTTCATAGGTTGTGTGTATCTTATCTCTATGTATTATAAACGGCATGAACTTCAGACAAGGCTCAACTTTTTTGTATCGTGCAGCATTATGGCCGGTTCGCTAAGCGGAGTAAGATATTCCAACTGTCTTTAATTGGCTCGGAGGCTCATAACTATCGGCAGATTCTGGCCTATGCCATTGCCGGAATGGATGGCGCTCGTGGTTACAGCGGCTGGCGCTGGATTTTTATTCTCGAAGGCGTTGCAACCGTGGTTGCTGCTGTATTTTCGAAGTTTCTCATTCCTGAGTGGCCCGAAAAGGCAAAGTTCCTTGCAGAGGATGAAAGGAAGCTTCTCCTCGATCGATTAGCATCAGAAACTGAAAATGTTAAAATGAACCGTCTAGACAAGAATGCCATGAAACGCGCCTTCACAGATGTGAAAATCTACATGGGGTAAGTAAGATTTTTAGCCTTATCCGAATTCTAGCCCTGCATATGGAATCACTCTCTAACGTCTTCGGCCCCCCACCTTTGCAGCATTGTGATGTATATCGGCATTGTCAACACTGGATACTCAGTCAGCTTCTTTACCCCAACCATCCTCAATCAACTGGGATGGACTGCCCTAAACGCTCAGCTCATGGCAGTCCCAATATTTGCCAGTGGCGCCTGCAGCGCAATGCTAACAGCAATAATCTCGGACCACTTGAAGCATAGATTCGCGTTCACCATGTTGGGATGCGTGATTACTACCGTCGGATACATAATTCTCTTATGCCAACAATCCGTGTCCCCGGGTGTATGTTATTTTGCCGTTTTGACCATCTCAGCGGGAGCCTTTATGGCCCACCCCATTACAATTGCCTGGCTAAACAACAACGTGGGTGGGCACTACAAGCGCGGCATATCAGCGGCGATGCAGATCGGGCTTGGAAATTCTGGCGGACTTATTGCGAGTAACCTTTTCTTCCCGTCCGAGGCCCCAAGGTACCCGACGGGATTCAGGACAAGTCTTGCATTAGTATGGGTGTGTGCAGTCACATGCATCGCGTTTTTCTTGTACTTGTATCGGGAAAACCGCCTCCGCGATGAAGGGTTCCGTGATCATCTCCTGCTTCTTCCTGAGGATGAGGTTGATAACCTCGGAGACGACCATCCCAGTTTCAGGTTTACCTACTGAGTGGTTGGATATCCTCCTACCCTCCCATACCCCTCGCGGCAATACTTTTTCTCTTCATTAATGTATTGCTATTCTCCTAGTTATATTACACAGTCATAAATGGTGCCTGCAGTGGTTTTACTTTTGTATCCTTGATATCTTTTCCATGTCATTTTAGACCGGCTTGGGGGGTTTGCTTTCTTGGGTTTATCATTTCTGACTCGAATGTCTTGATATTGATTGTGATGCCTGTGCGGCGTCTATTTCACACTGGGGCTTTTGATTAGGTAACTCTCTCATGGTACTTGGAAATGCCGGTTGATATTTTCCAAGGGACACTGGGAAAATGGGATACTCTATTGATAATTCTTGAGGTATTTTCTCAGAGCTCTTATTCAGTGTTATGGCGATGGAAAAGTATCATTATTGGACTCAAGACTACTTTTCATGCATTTGGTTAATTCTACTCCATGCCCCCGGTATTTTGCGTACAAGCTTGGTTCAACCAGCTTCTGTATCAGCGGTAACCATTGTGGATTGGACAATGTTCATGTCTAAAGCCATTTGCGTATTTCCTTTGAGACAGGAATGCCCAGGCATATCCGTTGTCGATGCTTGCACGATCGATGACGCTCAACATCGCACTAATCGACTCGTCGACTGTGAGAGCCTTGAAATTTGGGCGCATAGGCCGCTAATCTTTGCAGCATGCTACCCAACTTAGCGAACTCCTCGGGGGTTGCTAGACGGCAAACGAATTAGCAAGAAAAAAGGAAGAAAAAAAAAAAAGGTGTTTTCCAAACCAAGAAGCGCGGGGGACACGAGGAAGCAAATTTCTCACAATCCGTGAACGCGCCGGTGTCAACCATACCGGGGGCTAATGCCATGAACAGAATCCCATCCTTTCTATACTGCGCACTAAATTTTGGCAGTCGCAGAATTCATGACGGCCTTGGTAAGGGCGTTGGGTGCTCCTGGCGCGACATCATATCCAGCGACAAAATCATTGTCTGCCATTCCAGTGGTAAAGGTGATACCTTTCTTGGCTGTCCCTTTTCAGCAAACGAGGCACGAAGACCCCAAGCAAGCAAGTGGATGTTGCCGACTGCATTCGTTCGGAAATGGCGAATTAGGTCTTCTTCAAGTCTCTTTGGATCTTCCATGCTATAACCAACCCCCACATAATCCGTGGGCAGGGAGTTCCAGAGAAAGAACCCGGGATAGGGGATACGCACAGGACACCGATACCTCGACCAGCGCGATGTCAGGGCTGCGTTCGCGATTAAATAGTCAACACTGTCGCTCAACTGAGCAGCCGTCTTCCGCAGCCCGCTGCAAAAGTGTCAGCATGGAGGCCCTCACTCGTTTGCGTTTCAACATGTGCACACCTTCAGGGAGTCATAGTCAGTTACATCAGCTTGCAAGATATGGATGTTTCTCCCCGGTAGCTCTTGTTCCACTCGAGCGTCTGTTGCAGCTTTGTCGCGCACGAGTCCGACAACTAAGTTCTCTGGGATGGCGGATAGTTGCTGCAGGAATCCGAACTGCAGTGATAGGTAAGAGACAATATAAAATCCTATCAGTAACATTCATATATCTCGTTTTCAGAAAATGCCAGATGTGCCCCGCCTGCTGCTAAGACTGCTGACTGCTACGCCAGAACTAACCTTGGCGTCGCAGCGGTTCGGCTTTCAAAGCGGAACCCAGGAGAGGCTCAGGTCGCAAGAAGCTTAACGGCAGCGAATGATGCAAAATGCAACCATACATATATAGTCATGCGCCATTCGTTAGCTATAAAAACGGAGTACCGGGAGTTACTGTCCATCTTAAAACGGAGCATATTGCCAAAATATCCAACTACACGACTTTTATCCTGGTTATATTTCCAAAATAACTATCTAATTGTCAGCAATTAGATCAGGAGTACGCCAATCAAACACTCTTCTTTTGTTCCATCCCTTTTGCACATGGTATATATTAATTGAAAAGGACCGCCTTGAGCCATGTTTTTCCTCGATTGAATATTCCATTTCAGCCTTTCCGCTGGCGCTGGGAGAAACTTGGCGATGTCTTTAGTGGGGCGGGTGGAAGTGGGGAAAGTTTCCAAGGTCATCGCAACGCGTAAACAAATAATAACCAACTATTAGTCAGTAGAACGTGCTTATACAGTTAGCATTCCAGTGAATCAGGGAAATCATGAGAATATGGGACAACTATGCCGTATTTTCCCGAGTCAATAACTTCACGAAAAGATACTTGTACAACATGTATAATTTCACTATACCGAAGGGGAGAAACACGAAAGGAGCAGCCAAGCTTCCAACGCTTGAAAGGAGAGATATCTACCCCTGGGAGCACACACGCTGGAACTGGTCGGCAGCCAACCCCATCTGAGCTGTCGATTGTGCTGTGCAACACCAGTTTAAAAGAATGCATTGCTCTCGTTAAATCTAACTGTCTCCCGTCAATGTCTGACATGATGTGCAGCTTTAAAATGATCTTGGCGGAGTAGGGTACATAATCCGTTAGAAGTGGCTCGTATCCCTTAACATAGTTCTCAGTCCAATTCAAAAGTAAATATTTTTTTAATAAGGGTCAATAAATGACCGTGATACGAACTCTCGTGAATTTTCCACCGAGGGTCTGCGCGGGGATATTTTCCCGATGACCTGCGTTGCGGAAATCCCCTGTATTCCGAGTCTGTATCTGAGGAATCAAGATCGAAGACACTGGATGCACTATTGATGTGCTAAATAAACGAGGCGAGCGTGATTCAGAGTCCCTTTGAAACAGCGGCCCGATGGTTGACAGCGGCGGTGATCAACTTCTGGAATGCGTCTGTGTAACCCCGGCCTGGAAGCTTCTTTTCAACAGCCGGGAGAAGTTGTGCTCTGCAAAGGCATCAACAATGACCCTGCTCCCCCTTCTTACCTGCAATTGCGTATCATCGGACAGCGAACCTTCGAACGCTGTTTGATGGGTAAAGACTTCACACGAATAACTCAGGTACAAGCTGGATGTTTGCAGATTGTCATTGTGGGACCGGCGCTGCCATGAGACAGACGTTGGGTTCGTCTGCCACACAGTCTCCGTAGGAGAAACTGCCCCAGGTGTAGGTGTAGGTGTAGGTGTAGGTGTAGGTGTGTGTGTGTGTGTGTGTCTGCATTAGTTACCCGATGGGCCCCGTGCGAACAGCGGATGCGGTCGATGGGGATGGATGGATCCCATTCCATGGAGGCAAAAAATGCGATCAGATGAGCCTCTGAAAGTTGGCAATCATGCAGGCTCATGGTTGGCCCCGCTTGGGAGGCAATAATCGGTGCCGAAACTGGGGGCTAGCGGGTTCCTAGAGACAAATCATGGTTGAGCTGGTGCGGATCACTTATTAGCTCCCAGCGTGAACCACAATTGATGGGGCTGATGGCGGCAGTGATGCCATCATCGGGCCCAATTATTACTGACAAAAGCTCAGAGGGAGGAAAATTGAGCGGCGATTTTTGCAACGATCTTCAACAAGCCTCCAAACCTTCTCCGTCTCCTCTCCTCGATCCCTCCCCTTGTCTTGTTCTTGTCTGTTTTCCGTTAAACTCGCCGGGCCTCTTTAGCTCTTCTCTCCTCTCCTCATTGTTATCCTTCACGTATTTTCCTTGTTATTTTCTGATTCTAGTGTCTGAACTTCTCATGTTTATGCTCCCCTCATGACTAAACAATCACTCAGAAATGGAAGACTCATTACGAATTCATGCGTAAACGACTTTGTCACACATCAAAAAACCTCTTGTCGGCTCCCTTTTATTATTATTATTATTATTATTATTATTCTCGGTTTCATTACCAATTTTTGACCCATCTCCCTCCTCTTCCCTTTGACAAGCTATTCCCTAACGAGATCTTCACCCACGATCAGTACTTTGAGTCGGCTGGGGCATATTTCCCCCTGTCGTCTTCAGTCCCGGGTCTGGCAGTAAGAAACAACCGTCGAACCAACAGTCCGATTCACCAATCCTTTCCGTACGATGCCAATCTGAGATTTTGTCTTGAAGCTCTGGATGCCGAGGAATTATATCCAATTGCTTGTCCTGCTTGCATCCAACCCTGCATGTACCCGCTATGGGAATTTAAAGACTACATACACATTCTTTGAAAGCCAACCTTCGTTCATCGTATTGCTCCCCTCTCCAAATCCGAAAGGAATCATCGTTCGTGTGACTGAATGTCAAAAATAAGACAAGAAACCCAAGTATATTTTTGATAACTACTAGGGTACCTATCAGGAGCTCTGTAACTGGTCATGGAAAACATTTGCACAAAGTCTCCGACCCCCCGGCACTACGCCACATACACGTCCAGGGCGCCCTGTAACGAGACCAGGGTTATGGGCGGTGTTCGAGATGGATATGATAAGAACAACAAAAAGAACCGCAAACGGTCCTTCTTCAGTCTCCTGGGCAAGAAGATATCAAATTCAAAACCTGCAAGCCTTTCGCAATCGCCCATATCATCCCCGCCTCCTCATTCTTCCTCGTCCACACCGCCACATCAGGGCTCAACCGCTTGCCCGCGTCTCTCAAACCAGCTCACCCCAGCGACATCAACCTCCCGAGTTTCATTCGATCGAAAACCCGCAGAATACTTCCAACGACTGAAACAGCTCACTCACTCTCGAAGGGGGCCCTCATCCCCGTTGTCCTCTTCACATCCGCCCTCACCAAAACACGCTGCTGGTTGCAATGATAAACAAGATCACCGTACCGCCATTAATATCATCGACGATGCCAGCAACTCGATTGGCCACCCGCAACGACAAAACCCACTACCACCCACTCAACCCATGACCGTCCCAATCCCACTCAACCATCCCGGCCATAACGATCGCATTGATATCAACAGCAGCAACAACAACAACAACAACGGAAAACCCCCTCAGGACCAACCACGCACCTCATCCCCTCTCCTTCCCTCGCCCCTCCAACAAAGTCTCCTCCTTAACCCATCCCCATCCAAAGAAAGCAAATTCCGCAAGGCATTCTTCCGCGGCAGTCCGCCCAAATCCAACACCCCACTTACTCAATACAACATGGCCGCCCTACAGGCCGAATTGAACGGCAAGCCTGGCGCGGGTTGTGGGGTGCGTGATGTCTCCAAACCAAACCCGCCAGGTGCTGATGGCGGCGATGACTACGATGAGTTGTTGGAGTTGGGGCGTAGTGCGAGGGGGGCCGTGTTGGAGAAGGAACTGAATCTGTCAAGAGAGAGGTTGATTTGTGGCGTTAAGAGGTGGTTGAGCGAGGTGCAGGAGGGAGGGGAGGGGAAGAATTGGTGATTTATTTATTTATTTTTTCATTCCTCCCCCCCCCCCCCCCCCTCCCTCCCCCTTCTGTTAGTGGGATCTAGGAATTCTGGTTTGTTGTATTATTGAGTCTATGTGTTTGTATCTGTGCTGCCATGATATATGATGTTTGGATTGACGATGTGTTGGGGCCTGGTAACGCGAAGTCCCACAAACACTGGATTAAAACTTTGCATACATGTCTATATAGACTAATTCGATATATCACACTTGGGCTTACTGTTCCCTCGCCCTCTTCCAGCGCTCTGTTGCTGCCCCAGTTTTCGGGGGATAATAGTTTTGCTATATCCCTGTGGAGATCGAGTCAAACGACCCATTGTTCCCTCGACATTACCCTCATCATTCTCAACAAGCTAGCTCATCACGTCCCTAACTCATCTCCATCATGGAAGAATACACCTGAACAGCGAGCATGAAAAGCTCCTCCCCAGGCATGATATGCTCGCACAACAACACACGAAAATAACCACAGAGTTGAATATTTATTTATTATACCCCAGTTGTTGTCAAATTTGATTTCTTTTTGATCTTCCATGGTTCTTTATCTTCTTTTCGCGGTTCATGGGGTTAATTCCTCTATCCCCATCCTCTCTCCTCCCTGCCTCCTAGGAGCTGCTTTGAAATACATCTATCTACATTCATCAATCCTCTTCTCCCACTCCTTGTCTCCATATTCACAATAAATGCGGTACGCGTAAAAGCATACAGTGCCCCATAAATAGCCGTACCATGTCCCATGAGGTTTACACTTATATACACGTTTGGCTTGTTTGAATGATTGTTACGGTGCCGATATCCAGATGGAAAACTTACGGATATGGCTGGGACCACCCATCCTGAAAGATACCTATGATGACAATGTGATGGCAATCACGCATGAACTTTGAAAACTGGCGACTTATATCTTATTTGGAGAGGAGAATGAAAGATAGAAACTACTTTGGTCACTTTCAGAACATCCATCTCCTTTGAAAAATTCAAAGGCTCATCTCCGTTTTTCTTTAACTCCCCCCTCCCCCAATTTTCAACAATAACCATGAACCACGGAGATTTTCGATCCGCTCATTTCTTTCTAATATATATATGTTTTACTTAATGCTTATTTATTTGAAAGGGCACGACAACTAGCTTATTTCCCCTGTGTTGAGAAGATATACTCCGCGAGAACAGGTATTACGGTGATGTGTTCCATACCTTTGAATCTTCCACAACGGGTTTGGCCCGCGCGGACAAAACGTCCAAACACAATGGTTTTCAGGTATTGTTTTCGGGATCTATGTATCTCATATTAATTTGCCTATTCGTAGCCAAGGTGGTGGTAGACTCATATTCGTTATACCACACGTAAGCTATCCATATGGTCATCTGCTAAAACCCCCGGGCGCTAACAAAGAAACAGCAAGACGAAAGATCTGTTACGCCAGACAAGACTCGCGGGGAGGAGATCACAACTAATTAATTGCACAATAAATCCTGCACACTCATTCCTAGTTTCTTTGTGTTTGATTCTCCCGCCCCCACGCCACTCCCCTTCTCTCCCTCCCCATCTCCCATCCCAAAAACACCCACCCGCCCATCTCCCCCGTTCCCACCAGCACCACCAACCCCTGTCATGCCAGAAGAAGATCCCAATACAGCCCCCACCGCCCTCCGATCGACATTCAACATCAACAATGCAGCCGACGCCTCATGTTCATGATCAATATCCATATCCATATCCACATACCCTTCTCTCTCGACGTCTGCAGCATACCGCGCTGTGAGCGGCGGGGACGGATTTACGCTTGTCATGACTGCGTTTGCGCTTGTGCTTGATGGGGCGGATGATACGGTTGATGTAGATAGGGTGTTGAAGGATGATTTGTGGTTGTGGCTGGGACAGTGTTGCCGTTGGTGTTGGCGGTGTGCTTGCGGGGATTGGAGGCGGGGGTCGAGGGGGTGGAGGGAAGGGGTTGGGGTTGTGCTGGTGTCGAGTGATGCATGGAGGGCGGGGCTGGGGAGGAGATGGGCATTTGTTGAGGGGTAGTGTGTAGATAATTGGCCGGGGGATTGGTAGGGGTATTCGCACTCGTACTCGTAGGTGATGCTGGCGGTGTGGTGGATGTTCCGGGAGGTTGTGGTGCTGTTGGTGTGGCTGTGGCTGTGGCTGTGGGCGTATATGAATGGGACCTGGGAGGGGGATGGGGGAGGAGAAGGGGAGAGGGATGAGAATCTTTCTTGATCCTGATCGACACTCGCTGGGCGATTGAATTTCGTTGTCGAAACCCCGCACGGCGTGGAAGGGGTGGACAGGCTTGTAGAATCTGTTTCAGTTCCAACATCGCAGTCGTTGCTGTTTGCTGCTTTGAGATCACTTATGCATTGCTCGAGGTAGTTCATGTAATCAATGCTAGCCTGGTGGAGTATCGAGCAGTTCCTCTAGTCAGCAATGCTACAACTAAATGGTTAAAGAAAGAACTAACCTGCAAAATCGCCAGCTTATGCATCTCCTGGCCCCCACAGGCCGGGATCATATTCTTCAATGTCGTGAACTCCTCATTCATCTTGGATCGTCTTCTTCTCTCAATCAAGCTATGCGCCGTCTTGCGCGCAATCTTTCGTCCCGCAGCAGTGGTTGCTCCACTAGCCTGCTTTTTCTTGGATCCAGCACCACTACCACCACTGGCAGAAGTACTATTTTCCGCCTTAGCTTTACCCTCTGAACCACCAGCACCATTGCACCGCGGTTTCACTTGTTCCGTTTGCATCTTGGGCTTCATCTGTATAATCTTCCGTGTTCTTGTTGGGGGGGGTGGTAGAATGAAGTCCGCTGCGGAAGGGCGTTTCTTGGTGCTAGATCGCTGTCGTGAAGTCCGAGAGGAACGGGTTGATGTTTTGACTGGTTGGATGTCAGGGGAGATAGGGGACATTGGACGAGTGGGAACTGAGAGTTTGGAGGTGCTGGAATTGCTACTACTGCTACTGTTTGGGAGGGCGGCTGGGGGCAGGCAGAAGAACATCTCGACGGGGGAGTTGGAGGATTTCTCCTTTGCGGCGATGTCCCCAGAGGAGGCCGGGGTTAGAGGGAGGCGCGGCATTGGCATGGTTAATGGATTGGGAGGGGAGGGAATGGAGATTGTAGACGAGACGAGACGGTTTGTAGAATAATTTAGGGGATCGTATGGAAGGGAGTAATAGTAAATATATGCTGGTCCAAATGGTGTTTTATTACTAGTCTCAGGGGGTGGATAACGCAATAACAAGTAGAGCGCGGGTGGAATAGATTCCCTAGAGTAACAATAGGATGCGATGCTCTGACATTTTTAAACAGAAAAGACACGGGAAAACGAAATGATCATCGAGGGAAAGGGCTGCTCTATAAGCAAGGGACGAGACTGTTTAAGAAGAGGAGATTGCAATGGCCCAGGCAGCAAACCTTGGGCTTTTGGGAGCAGTCCACATCGACAACATCCCTAGGAGAGAGAGCAAGTGTCGCGTGCTCGTGCTGCAACTGATAGGCTGGCAACGACCGCACAAGCTCCATCAACCAACATAGTCTGGACCATCATTCCCGTGCTTGAGCCTGTCAAGTTATTAGTAACTCGAGTATCCTGTGTCTCTTGCGCTGCTGGTTACTGGTGACGCTGGCGCTGCCGTGGGCATGCATCTTCGATCTGCCAGGGGGTTCAACTGTTGTTCGAGAGTTCCTCCGACACATGGAGCTAACACGGCTTTTTATTGGCGGGAATAAATAAGATTCCGCCCCAAACTGGGCGAGCGTTTCTAGCTTTGCGGGGTTTGTGGATGGAACCAAGAGATGGACAGCCAAGATGATACCGTTTTTGGCAGAGTACGGAGTAATTTGTGTAGGGTTGGTTTTACGTTATGCGGATGTCCTGATTGTTCCTTGGGTTCCTTTTGCTCCTTCTTTGGTGCATTCGATATCATTATCCAAGGTACTATAATTGTTTGGGACATTGAACCATTCCTCTGTTCTATTGAGAGATTGATGAATTCAAGTGATGGAAGATCTCGGTGGAGACGATTCACGGTGGCAGATTTCATCACGTGCTCCTATCCCACTCACAGGGTCAAGATTCCTGTCTCTCTCTTTCCTCCAGTCGATGGAACCACGTTCGTGTGTAATGGTTGTTTTCATTATAGAAAACTGTATCACTGGGACATGACCCCTCTTCAGCGGTCATGGCTATGTTACGAGAGATTGTGTTTCGCGGCAAGCTCGGTGAGTTGATATGATACGCTCGATAGAATATCTCTTCACCCTGAACGAAAGCGTAGAATTTATCCAATCAACTCCTCCGCATCTCCTCCTTGAATGTATGTATATGCATACCATTTTCAAAACTACAACCAAGAAGTCTGAAAAGTATATAAAAATATAAAAATGAAACCTAAAACCTCTTACCTAAAAATCCTATCCAACAAAAACTCCCAAAAGACCCTCGTGCCCGGCGACGCCGCCATCCTCTGCACTCGATTCCCAACACTATCCCTCAACCAATGTCCATGATCACTTATCGTAGTAAGATCAGCATCATCAAATCTCTTTCGATTTCGTCGATCAACCACGCACATCCCCCGCGTCCACCGGCCCATCGTCTCAACGCGTATATCCTCAGGTGAACTAGCCGTTAGCTGCCAGCACGGCTCCCGACGCTGCTGTTGCTGCCCCGTCGCAGAAAGAGACATAGATATCGAAACCGCTTCTCGCGTAAGCGCATACCAAATGCACAGCGGATCATGTAGACTCAGGGCAGCATTATCCTCATCGTGGCCAGGGTACATGGCGTCAAGAGTGGCAAAGCTGTGAGCGAGGATGATGGAGAGCCATTCGGCTAGCGGGGAGCCGGCAGCCATGATTGGTGAGATTTTGGCGCGGAATTGGCCGCGGGTAATGTCGTGGGGGAGGGTAATGTCAAGCGGAAAGAGCTTGAGGGTTAGTTGTTTGCTTAGTTGGGCAGGATAGTCGGGAAGATGTTGTGAGGATGTAGGCCTTTTGGGTGGCATGGTTGATTGGGGTGTTGTGGACGTCAGGGCGAATACACGCGCCGCGGCAGCGGCGTCGGCAAATGTGTTGAATTCGGCGACGGGGGTTATCTGTTGTGATTTGGATAGAGTAAGTATTTTGGAGATGATGGCAGCGGTTCAAGGTTTGCTTTGTTCCTGGTCTTTTGGACGTACGTTTCCGGGCACGTCAATTGTTCCACCCATAACCACTACTTCCTTTGTTCGTAGGAATGTCTCTGGGTCATCTGCTGCGGCCAGGGCAAGGTTGGTAAGAGGGCCAATGGCAACAATCGTGATCGTGTCCGGATCGTTCTCTTTAAGGACCCTCAGAATTTCCTGGTGGGCAGGTTTCGTTGAAGCGATGAATAAAGAGTGTTGAGAAGGATCCAGTGCCGATTCTGCTGTAGATGCAACCGTATTATTCTCCGTGGAGGAGAAGAATAGTGATTCCCATGTCTGCTGCGGAGTCAAATGCGGGTGCTGTTGGAATTTTGATGGGATTTTTCATCAGATCTCGCCTCTCGATACGTAGCAATGATTAATTTGTTTCGCAGGTTTTTTTTAATGGGGGGGGGGAGAAGGTTCTGTACGCTGAAATGAATATTACCCAGTCCGTCACGTCCATCTAATCAACCAATTAATGAATGATTCGGCTTTTCCCAAGCGGAATGGCAGCAGCCTTGAATGCACAACAACCTAACGTCAAAGAGACAAGAACTCACGAAAATAATCAGCCATCATCAACTCATCGTCAAGCGGACAGTCAGCCCCAACAGCTACTGTGGGCTTATACGCCTTCAGTGCATCGAAACCTTCCGGTTTCCCATTCTCACGACGCCATTTCATCTCCCGCTCGATGGTATGAAACATGGAGGCCACATTTCGAAGACAGCTATGTGAGGCGGACGTCACATTTTGCCAAAGTAATCAGCATTCAACGTATAGGGTATGGTAAGACATATATGATATTGACAAAGGTGCTGCCATATATCCCACAGTAGTAGTTATGGTCCGACATACTACTCCTATCGTCGGTAGGTAAGAAACAAGCACACCCACCTACGGACATCGATGTTCCCGAAGGTCAGAGATATCAGCTGGACCTCGATCTCATCTGATCGAGATGACAGTGCCAGCAGCAAGGCAAGGATGTCATCGACTCCCTGTTGAGCATTATTAATAAGAACGGTATTATCTTCTTTGGCACTTGCGAAAATCTGGTGGTCTCCGATGGGGGATAGCCATGTATACTCTTTTGTGTATACAGACAAAATTCTCTGATCAGAAGAGCATAATATGAACAGACATTGACATCGGGTCTTGAACAGCAACACAGTGCAAGAATTCAAACACAGAAGTAAAGGTCATCTCACAGGATCAGTATCGATAATTAAACTGCTCACGGGTGCCATGACGATATCAGGAATACTTATTATTTATGCGAACCCACACAAAGAGAGTATAGTGCGATATAGAACAAACTTATTAATAGCGGGCGGAAAAACGATCGACCTGAAAGCCAACGAGTTCTTTGATTAGCCAGGAGATTGGGTTCAACCGGGTAAAGGCCAATGACTGGCAGCCTGTAAATTACAGTACAGCTAGGCTGTGAGATGTAATAAGCTTGAGCCTCTTGGATGGAACCTGCTAACCTAAAAATGGAAGGCATATTTACCAAGATGGATGGCCCTCACTGCTTCTTTTGGTTTAGCGCCAAGGGGGGGGGGGCAATTTCCACAGCTTCACTGCGGCTGCCAATCAACCTAGACGAAACAAATGGTACTTAGAGATATACTTCTACTTACATAACAGCTCATACATTCCACATGTTTATTTGGTACCTTCCCATGAGGCAATAAAGTTATCCAAACCAGGCAAGGTGGTAAAATTAGCGTTTATTCCACTGAGCAAAGCCAAATGCTTTATAAGATATTATAAATAGTTCGTTTTAACCGTTGATTGGATTAACTATACCCAGAATAGCACTGTTTGCAAACAGTTAAATATGGAATATTTTATCCATGGTTTGGATGAATACAGGGGGGCAATTAAAGAGATAGATACCATGTATGTACCTGGTATTTACATACTCGGTGGGAGGATTCGGGAATCATACAGAAAATCGACAGAATAACGGAATCCTGCCGGCGGCCAGATCTAATGCTATCCCCAGTTCTTTGCCTTTTTCGTCTCTCGTAGAGATGGAATGGAATTCCAGGTCTACGGATGAGGATCTGTATGTAGTACATCGAACCACCGGGGCAAGCTGTAACAGTGTGGGGAAATGCAAAAGAACGTGAGTGACACGAGGCACCCTGGTTCGACTGTAGTTAAATTCCAGTGTGTTTCGTTTAACACACATAAATAATTACATGCATCCGGGAGAGAGCTTCGTGGACTGCTCCCCTTTTAAAACCAGTTTAAAGGCAAGCCCGATGTCCTTGGGACGAGAATCCGTGATATCGGTACGCAGCGGAGTTTCATCTATCGAGATAAATTGCACATAGCCTTCCTGGAATCCCTGGGTACGAACCGCCCATGGATAGATATCTTGTACCTCCCTGAGTTCTAAAAGGGGCAAACGGGGTGGGTTACTTAGTTCCTCTGCGCCTCCATTGTTTGTACCGAATGCATGTATGTAATGTAATGTACTATAATGTACTGTACTGTGCTGTACTGTATTCCAACTCCCTTCTGCGGCCCTGGGTGGGTGAAAGTGGCAGTGAATATACGCCACATATGGTAAATAACAATAGTAATACCCAACACCATAACTGCCGTTGCTGTTGCTGTTGCTGTTTTGTGGAAAGCTGGCCTTATTACTTAATCAGTCATCGACAAAGCCCCCCCCCCCCCCCCCTGTTGACCCATCATCGCCTTCGACCTTCATACGTCTGCATCTTGCTCTCTTTTATTGCCATCTTTCTATCTCGCCCTTGGTTTCTGATTCATCTCTTGCTGTCACTCCTTTACGGTCATTTCCTTAATCCATTCATCACTTCTCCCCTATCGTCGAACGCGATTCTCTACCTGCTCATCCACGGTTGTGGCTCGTTTTTACTTTGTATGCCCTGAACTCTATCTCTTCGGCAATGATGTCGCCCACCTGACAAACCAAGTCCACCACTTTCCGCCTCGCCATCCCATTCCTCTCCTCTCTCCCCCCCCAACTTTCCATCCTGCCCATCTTATAATCAGCTATTACCACATCAGCCCCCAAAAAGGCTAATCCCGACATTGCTCTCCACGCTGGCCCCCCTTGCTTATCTTAAAGTTGGCCACTTAACAGCCGTCCTGAGTTTGAGGCCCGTTTTCCCCGCAAAATACAACTACTTTCAGGCCGACTCCTCCACTCGATTCCGCACCTCCTAGCATTTACGACGGTGTTGTTTTTGACACGGTCGCAACTCAGTCACCTTGGTTAAGCTACTACATCGGTTTTAAAAAACGGCTGGAAAATCACGTTCAGAAGACTTGTCAAACCCAGTTTCCATACGCTAACCACGGAGTGTCTGTCAACTTTGCGGAAGCCATTGAGAAAGCAACCCGTATCTCCAAATTTTGTTTAATCCTGAACAGGGTCTGGGCCCTGGTTATCCTGTCCAAATTTCAATAACGTCTTCTACCTACTTTTGAGAAAAAGTAACGCCTCACAAGTACGCGTCTTATTCCGATTCGTGATTTTTGTCCTTGTTAATGTTTCTTGACAAGCTGACTGTTCTTGGGTTTTATTAGCACAGCCAACATGGATCCCCTTTTGAACTGGGCTATTTTACTCTTTGTTAGTAGCGGCTTCTTCTGGTACTACAGAACCAGTTCTCGACCTAGAGCCGGGCCCGCATTTTTCAAACCTGCCCCTGAAAGACAAGAGAATGGGTCTGCAACCAAAAAGGCAAAGCGGAAAGCAAAGCACAACACCAGCAGCAGTGGTACTCCTAACCCACCTTCAAGACCCTTTGAGCAGGTCCATGAAAAACCAAAGGTTGTTGCTCCTCCAGGAGAGGAGCTCCCAGATGAGGGGATGGATAATAAGGAGTTTGCAAGGCCACTCGCTAAGGCGAAAGAGGGCGCCAAGCTTCCCCATACCAACAGCAAATCCAAGGAGATCCGCACTAAGAAAATCAGTGCCAGCGGAGATGAGTCTGACAACAAGGATGCTACCGAATTATCCACATGTACCTCATCCTCCCACAGGGGCAGATGCTGATGATGATCTCTCCTCTATGAATTCACCTGTTGTCAACCCTGCTCGGCCAGTGGCAGGTGATGTCTCCGATATGCTCGAGGCTGGGCCAGGCGGGCTATCCTGTTTCCGTTTGGTAATCACTCCTCAGCAGGAGCAGGCTCCGAGGAAAAAGCAAAAGACGCAAGATACTGGGGAGACGAAGAAACAGCGCCAACGAAGGCTCAAGAATGAAAATAGAAAGTTGATGGTGCAAGAAGCAGAGAAGGAGCGTCGCATTCAGCTTGAAAAACAGCTCCACGGCGCCCGAGAACATGAACGCCGTGAGGCTGCGAAAGCTAAACCTCCTACAATGAATGCCTGGCGAAACGGTGCCCTCAGCAACCAAACCAACGACCAGACTAACGGTATCTCCAAACCTACGATTCCACCTCCCACCGCCCTTCTGGATACCTTCGATCCAACCCCTCAATCCGCAGGCAAACTCGAAGCATCATCCGAGAACTCGAGGCCGTCCTCCTATATGGATAACTGGACAAATAATCTCCCTTCCGAGGAAGAGCAGATGCGCATTATACTGAGCGAAAATGAGTGGACGACAGTGTCCAGTCGCAAAAAGGAGCGGAAAAACGGCTCAAAGCGAACTGAAAGCGTCAGTGAGGAGAGCAGTTCGGACTTCCTCGCTGCTAAAGATTCCGAGCCATCAATAGCCCCAACAACGACAACAACAACGACAACAACGACAGCCCCCTCTGTTGCGGAACAATTCGAGGTGTTCAGCGGCAAAGGCCACCCACTGGACTCTGATTGGGATCCTTGATAAAATCGGAGCGGCGCAAAACCATGCATACTCTCCCTATCTACATTAGCCCTACGGTTCTCTTTATTACCCCATTTTTAAAATTATTTTCCTTGGAACGTGTTTTTAACAGCACTTTGCTACTGATTCCCCTATTCCAGTGGCTATGGCGTCAGGGTCGTGTTCTAATCCTCTACTGTTAACTACTTCTAACTGCATGTTGCTCTTTTACATTTCTTGTTTCTTTTCTTGTTTTTTTGCTTCCTGGAGTCGGTATGGTTTTCCTTGTATTTCTCTCATTCCTTGATTTTCCAAAACCTTTCTTTCTCTCCTGTTTTCTTTTCGTCATTGATTGTCATGCTATATACATATATATACCTGGACCATGGGACGATCTATCAGACGCTCTCACCCACATGATGAACATACAACTCCCGTATTCGCGCATCTACTTGACCATTCATCCCTCGACAGACCGAAAATGGCAGCCGTTTAACAATACTCCTCGACATGTTCGGGAAGTGGCCAGTCGTTTTCGTCTTGCAGCACTATTTTTTCCCGAAATGACCTCTCCTAATATATCGGAGCGAAGCTAAATTTATTTCCTGCTTTTTAAAACCTGTATACATTCATACCTGTCTACAAATATCCTTTTTTTTTTTTTTTTTTTGTGTGTCTTTTCCCCCCTCTCTGCCTACTGCTGTTCCCATCTCACCTTTCAGTTGTACTATTTTGAGCCAGAAGAAAGGTACAGATTGTAGATTGTACCCCTGTTTCGATTTCAGTGTTGCACCTCAACATATTCAAGAGTGGTCTCTCAGCTTACTGTTTAGTTTACTAATGTTTGTTACTTATGTGTATGTTGTCGTCTCTCCCCTTTCCCCTTCAGGTTGTACAATTTTTAAGCACTAAATGACAATTATAGTTGTATTCATTCTTCAAGTCCACACTATACTACTCTGCTTGTTAGAATTAATAAATATTTCTTGTCTCATTAGTTTTGCTCTACTGTTATAAGACAACCTGCAGAGGAGGGAGAGAGGGAGATTTGAGCACTTTTCGAGTGCATTTCTTGAACAGCGTCAAATTCGTCCTTGGAGTGTTTTTTTTTCATATCCCTTCTTTATATGTTCTTGTATTTTCTTTCCATATTATTTTGCTGTACTTAGCTCCGCACAACTTTGTATATGTTAACTCTAGTCTCATTTCTTTAATCAAACTCGTTTGTATCCTCCATGTCAACTCTGAACATATTTATATGCAGATGTATCAACGTTCCGAAACACATATATATCTTGTCGGCGAGATGGTGTGCGTCCGCAGCAACACTGGAATCAAGACCGACTCCTAAAAAACATCAATAACCACAAAGTCTCAGGATCGCAGTTGGATATTGTTTGAGAAAGCTGCTTGTTCGGGTTGTGCTGAACTGTGGTTGGTAAACACAACGACGACGCAGTGAGAAGAAACCAGGCATCGCCGCACCAAGCGACGACGGCTGAAGGGCTTTGTTGCCCGGCTGCTGACGGCTCTGGTGTCCAACGAAAAACCAGAGCGCTATTAATAGCATTTAGAGTGGAGTCAGAAGGATTATCACTTATAGACTCCAACCTCTTCCTTGGTTGGTACCCGTTGGTTCCTGTGGTTAACTCGGATAGAAACGATGGGAAGGGAAGCTTGATGCCTCGAGACTTTTTGAGTTGTCAAAGCAACGGGTTTTGAGCGCAACCAACCTTTTCCCCCCCCCACCCCCCTCCCCCCCCCCAAAGACTGGGCTTGGCTCATGTTTGGGCCGTTGAAATAGCCCAAGTTTAGGCTTTATGCTTCCACCGAAAGCTAATAACTGGGTTATTATTTACTTAGGTACCAGAGTTAATAGTTGAGAGGAGAGTTTAAGTTATATCGCTAGCCTGCTACTTTTCGTCCCTCTTCATGACTACTTAAATCCTCTTCTGGCCGGCAGAGTCTGAGGCCAAGAAAGAGGGAGAACAAGGGGCAGTCCCTTCATTTGGCTGTTGTATCTGTCCTCCAGAGCAAAAAAACCCCACCTTTTGCCGTCTAATACTAATTACGCACGCAGTAATTAACTAAATAGTTACAAGTAACATCGGCGCCTGCCCCTTTTCCCCATTTCGCTAAATCATCTGCTTTTGGAGCGATCGTCGTCATGTGACTTCGGGGGAATTATCTAAGCTCTGCCCAAAATGCCAGAAGCTCTCCTTGGCAACCATTCCGCTTCTGGGCATGCTTCTCCTTCCGCATCGTGGCCTGTACTCAAACGCCCACCCCC